ATATAAGCGAAAATATATTTTTCTAATGTTAAGGAATACTAGTAAGTTACTAGTATCTACTAACATTTTAAAGCTTTTAGTTTTAAACTTCTATATTATAACTATTATTATATTTAAACCTTTATAAAAAATTAGATGGCTATAATTATACTTAACATAGTTTATATATATTTTCTTTTCTTAGTAAGTATAGTAGTTAGTTTAATATAGAATTTCGAAAAACGGCGTTTTTGGTGTAAATGGGGTGCCCAAATGTGGGGGGTGCCCAGAAGTGGGTGTGGGACGTTATTATAAGCTAATATCTCGAGAGTTAGCTATTTATATACTAAGACTCGTATTAATAGCTACTTATATAATCTTTATATAACTTTTCCTTTAGTCGATAGTTCTTCCGTTTTAGTAATAACTATAGTTCTTATATATCCTATATATATCTAATAGCGTAGCCGCTAGCCTAAGTAGGTCTATTAACCCTCTATTAGGCATAACAAACAGGTTATAACATATAGCAAGACCTCTTATTAGTAGAACATAGCCTTAACTTCTATTAGCAGAAACCCTACTATTACTAGCTAGCTGTAATATATATAGAAAGTATAGGGAATTCTTAGAAAGTCCTACCTATGTTATATATAACCCACTAGCTTTGCGTCTCTTTTCCTAAATCAGCTTTCCCCTCTGCTAGCTTTTAACTTATTTCTTAATACGTTGCCCGTATTTCGCACCACGTTCTACTTCAGACAATGGACGGCCGTAGTCGTAATCGGGCTCGGGATCTCGTTCAGGGCGACGGCCCCGATACACCATACCGTCCCAAATCTGGCCGTGCGAGCCGCCAGAGCCCAGGTTCGAGTATAACTCCGCATAGCCAAGCACCCCGATATACGCCCAGCCAACATCGTAATGAGTTATACCATCGACTTCCATGTAGCCTTCGTCGTCCTCCTCCTCTTCATCATCGTCTGCGTCGTCCTTTTCTTCTGGCGTATGATCTTGATGCAGGCCATTGACGATAACGACACTTCCCGTGCTACTCAAACACCACTGAAATCCTATCAACTTCCCCCCGTGTAATCTCGCTACGATACTCTTGATGCAGACCTCGTCGACGTATATAGGGTTGGGTAATACCCGCGGGTACCCGTATGGGTAGTACCCAAAACTACCCGTGGGTAGTTTGGGTAAACCCGAATTACCCACGGGCAGTCCCACTATATTTACCCGCGGGTTGAAAGGCCCGTGGGTAAAACGACCCATGGGTTACACTACCCACGGGTAATTTTGCTACCCACAAGAAACGCGGGAAATACTGTAACTAAGATAGAAAGAAAATATAACTAGTTAGTTATAGGGAGAAAGAGTAAGTTACATAAAACATAGATGGCTAGAATAGATTACTACAAATATAAGAAACTAATAGAGAATAATACGATAAAGTCGGAGTGAAATCAGAGGAACAATGTATATTTAATCGCTATCCTCGTCAGGAGAGAGTTCGACAAGATCTAGCCGAGTAAGTCTCTTCCTTTTGCGACCCCCAAGCTCGGAGAAGTTTGGGAGTTCTTGGGATACAGAAGGCGTAGGTGAGTTGCTAAGTTGGGAAACTTGACTCGATAGTTTTGGCTGTTGAGAGCTAGATAAGGATGGCAGCTCCTCATCTCTATCGCTAATATCCTCCTCTTCTACTGAGACTTCGTAAGGAGGCGGGGAGGGAGCATCTCCTGTAGCAGTAATAGAGATCTTAGTAAGATCATCAGAGACCTTCAGATATCTCTGAATATCAGCTTTATCCAATAGAGAAGAGTAGTTAAAAGCTTCTCTAATAATATGCTGGCGCTCTTCAGATGCTTCAGTGATATTCGTGTCATCTGGAACTTCCTCAAGTGTGGTTTGGGAAAGCCAGGCCTCATTATTCTGGCTAATTTTGATAGTCAAAGTATCAAAAATAGTATCAGCCGAAAGGTTGAACCGAGCGTAGTGACAGATATGGCGAGCAAGGCTGAATGATCGCTCTAAGGGTATTGACGTCGGTTGAATAGATAAGAAGTCTCGAGCCATGCGACAAATACCATGGAATCTGGGATAGCTATTGTCTAGGCGGACCCAAAATTGCTAAACAGTTTCATCAGGGAACATAACTAAATATAGTTATTAGCTGTTAAGCCTAGTAAGATATGAGTCTTTATCTTACCAATATTAAAAAAGTCATTACAGATATTTCGTGCGTCTTGGGATGATGACATTTTGCCCTTATAATAGGTTAGTATAGTGAGTTGCTACAATAGATTGCTACAAATACCCTTTTCTTTGGACTGCGTGATAGTAAACTATGCAGAGTGTATCGGAGTCCTTCAGTTGCAGCTTTTTGAGTATTGGTATGGCGTTCCGAATCTTGATGGTACTGCTTTGTATATACCTCGATAAATTCTTGCTGTACTCGAGTTCGAAGTGAGGCTGAAGAAGGAAGGTATTCGAAGTAATTTGCGAATTGGAATCGCGTGTCAAAAGTACTCGAAACTGATGTCCCAGCTTCAGGGGTAAGGAGAGTTGCAATACTATATACCTTGAAGGAATCCTCTTCAATTAGCTTTTGAACGTATTTTTCCAGCTTCTCTTAGCCCTTTTTCGTAGCAGCCTGAAGGATTGATATCCAAGTAAAGTCTTTGCTAGTAACTTTATCTTTAAGTGCAGAGGCGCAAAAGTACAAGTGAACTGTTGCAACTTGTAATAAAGTAAAGGTATGACCAGGGGTAAGGTCATTTAACCGGCTGAGGATGTTTGTAAAGAGTAAAAACGGGCTGGTGATATCAAGCAGAATATCAAGAGCCTCCCAATCGGTCTCCACAAGAGAGAATTGTTCCTGTAGAGAGTGCTTTTCAACCCAAGCTGAAATCGTTGTTTTAAGCTCTCTTGCGCGGAGACACATAAGTGTAGTAGAGTTCCACCTTGTCTTAACATCGCGGAGGAGGCGTAGTGGTCGCTGGCCAATGCGAGTCGATTTCTGGAGGTCGAGAAACTCTTGCGTCTTCTTACTAGAAAGCTTAAGGGAAACTGCGAGGTCACGAATCTGGAGGTATATATGTTAATATAAAATCTTATAACTAGGTGAAGTATCTAACCTTTTGAATAACAGCTCCAAAAGGATTTTCCCCAGCAGTAGAATCTTCAGTATCAAAATCATCGTCAGAGTCCTCTTGATCTTTAGCTCGAGTAGTAGAAGGCTCAAACTCTGTAGAGGCTTCTACCATCGAAATTCGAAGAGCCTCAAAAATCGCTCGAACAACAAGGTTGAAAATATGGGCTAAACAGCGAATATGATATATCGGCTGTACTGTGGATGTCGACCCTTTTGCAAGTTCTTGTGCTAGGACTTTTGGCTTAAAAGAACTTGCGTTGTCTGCAGAGACTGTCTGAAATCGAATTGTCTTCTTCGTCCTCTGGCGAATATTTTCTAACAGAGTCGATAAAGCCGTTGCTTGCTTAGAGGCTGTATGACCATCTGTCATATCAATAGCACCAAGAAGAACCTGTTGTAACCTCCAGTGCTTGTCGATAAAATGGCATAAAACACCAAGCAGTGAATATTTTAACCCAGGTGTACTCCAGATATCAATCATCAGAGAGACATAGCTACCAGGCGGAATTAGCTGAAGAGTATGGTGTTGAATGCGTAAGGCCTCCTCGGATATCCAGCTTCGGAGCGTCTTTCGAGATGGGAGGTGGTAGAGAGGATTCAGGTGTGAACAGAATTGCCGGAAACTTAAGTTGTCAACAGTATTAAGCGCTAAGTTGGATCCAACAATACAGTAAACTAATGCTTGATGCTCCGAGACTGCTTTCAATTGGGTACCCTAGATTGCGATTACTACAAATGATTGCTACAATGACCTGTAAAACTTACAGGCACCTGGTTTGCGCCTAAACGTCGAGTCTTACAAGACTTTGCAGCGAGGTGTCGTTGCATAGCACTTGTACCAGAGTTTTTGATTGTTGGATGATTGAAAACTTGGTGACAGTGCTTGCAGACTAATTTTGGCTCCCCTGATGTCATATGGTAGCCTTGGTGAAAGTGATCCCAGAATGATACTCGGCGTTGTAAAGTCCACAAGGATTTGGCGAAGCGTTTTCGTTCAGGTTGAGGGGATTTGGACAACGGTGTGTGTTTGCCAAGGATTACCCATTGGAGATACCATGGCAGGGTTTTGAAAAACGAGAGAAAAGTCTAGAAAGTCTCAATAACAAATAAAATGATTTCCGACTGTATCTGTAAACCAGAAGGTGGAGTATTGATTGTTGGAGTCTGCGTAGAATTTACGAGCTCGAAAGCAGCAGAACAATCGGATGCAAAAGGGTCTGGCCCAAAAGGGTCAGACGCAATTGAGTTCGACATCATACGTAGTAAGAATTACCTTTGGTGTGAACAGGAAGTAGTTTGCAGGATTACTACAAGATGAATACAAACATTTGATTATGTGGCCTTACGTAAATTTCTATTTTAGGGTTTCTGACTAATACGTTTCGTACACAAATCTAAAAGCTCTGAATTCTCCTTCGACTTGTTTTTTCTCCCACTTACATTCATCCTTCAATGCCTCGCTTATCAACTAGCCCTGTGTCAGATCAGAGCTCTCCGCTAACAGTGGAGGGCTCTTCACCGCCAAATAGTTACCCCTCATCATCAGCGAGGGGTAATCCCCTGAAACAGCCAATTACAGAGATTCGGGAGACTCCGCCAAGAAGTTCAAGTCATGCAACCTACTATAGCCAGGCTAGCCCAGACCTGAGTCAACCAGAATTACCACCGCTGAAGCGGAACTTTGCGACGAAGTTGGCGAGACGAACAGATACTGGCCAACCACCAACCATTGCACGGAAAGATCAGCTGAACTTCGCGCCAAAGAAGCAGCTAAAAGCTGCTCGAAAAAAGCCCGTCCAGATCACTAAACGCCAGAAAGTTCGTAGATGGAGGCCTGGTAGTAAGTAAGAAGTAACTCTTTATTGTTTAATTACTGAAATGTGAAGCAAATGCACTTCGTGAGATTCGAAAATATCAAAAGACCACCAATCTTTTAATTCCGCGGAGCAGTTTCGCAAGAGTAGTTCGAGAAATAACACTTGATCTTCCACTAAGAAACCGCCATAAGATCCGCTACCAGTCAATGGCTATAGAGGCTCTCCATGAGATGAGCGAACAGTTTCTAATCAACATGTTCGAGAGTAAGATATCCTATCCTGATCTTCAAACTATTATATTAACATGAATATTAATAGATGCAAATCTCTGTGCTATTCACGCTAAAAGAGTAACTTTGCAGAAGAAAGATCTTGACTTAGTTAAACAGTTAATGAAGAAGATGGGAGCATGGAGTGCTAGATTGTTTTAGCAGCTGTAGATTACTACAAACGATTGCTACAATACGAGAATCAGACTAGAGAGAATTCATGTCCTTATTCATGCTAGCCTTATTGCTAATTCTTAATTCTTAATCTGTCAAACAAACCCTCTCGCTATGCTTATCTGCAATTATAGAGAAAAGTCAAGCAAACGAGTTAGCTTCTGAGCCAACTCATGGACCTGACGCCAGTTGTATGGCGCTTTATCCCGAGCAAGGTCAAGCTTCAGGAAGAATGGTATCAGCTTTAGTATAGCTGAGAACTTCTTATCCATCGCAGATAAGATGTTGGCTGTTTTATCGAGAGCAGTAAACTCTTCCCAAACTTCAGCAGGGCCTAGAAGCTCCCAAACACCTTTCTTGATCATCGAGTCACTGATCTTAGAGAACATAGCCTTCACTGAAGGCTTTGGAGTGGAGGCATATCGGCGCTGAGCTGTAGTGAAGAGAGATCCTTGAATCTTGATGGCTGGGCGGTGCGCGAGTGCGAATTGGCTGAGAATATTAGTATTACTACAAAGGATTGCTACAATTAAGCACTTACGTCTTCTTCTTCTTGACAGAAGAATTAAGAACCAGGCGTATCTTCTTCTTCTTAGACAAGCGGTTCAGGTGCCAGTACTTGGCGAGTGCAAACCAAAGAAGCACTTCCTCTTTGGTGAAGATGTCGCCAGCTACTGGAAATTTAAAGCCAGGTCGAATAAAGCCATAATCCTCCATCGCAGCTAGGGTAAAGGCAGGATTGCTGTTCAGCCGCTTGACCTTGATGTAAAGTATCTCAAGAGTCATCTCCCAGGTATCACGGAAGAACTGGTATTCTCGGATCTGGTTTTCCTGTCTGTTTGTTAGCTATTGCTATAGTAATTAATTATAGTCATCCAGTTACCTGGATCATCTTGTCGATAATCGCATTCGACTGCTCAGCAACATTAATGGTCGGCAACTGGTTATCAAGGTCAACGTCAAAGTTGAGCATGCCCTCAACTCCATCCAGGTTTTCCTGGGTAGCCTCATCAATCTCATTCAAAGGGATATCCTCCCAAGCCTCGTCTTCATCGTCATCGACGATATTATAGGAGCTAGACGAGACTGGGCCAGTCATCTGAGCTAGCAGCTGGTCTGGATGGTTGCCTTTGAGGAAGCTAAAAGCACTTGAGCACTGATTTGAAACACCAAAAGAAATAAAAAAGAACTCACTATCGTGCATCAACTTGCTGGATTTCCCTAGCCTCAAGGGCCGCGCGCTCATCAGCAGACGCACTGATGTAGGAGCTTTTAGCCCTCAAGGCTTTAAGCTTGCGGGATTTCTGCTGGTTGATCGACTTCTTCGAGCGATCAAGTGCCTTCTGCTTCTCAGTCATCTTATCGATGCGCTGACGAGACTTCTTGGTGTGCGCGTTGTCGGAATAATCCTCTTCAGCTTTACGCTTGGCTCCAGCACCAGATCCAAGCGGTCGGCCTAGAAGAGATTAGTACAAATGATTGCTACAAAGCTGGTGTGAACGTACCGCGATCCTGTCCTGAGGACATATTTTACTACTGTTCCCTAATTGATTTAATAAGTCAAAACCAATAATTGTGAGATCAAAGTATCAAATTACCTTAATTGAGAGGCTTGTCGGTGCGGCTGGGTGTTAGTGGTGGAGGTAGGTTGTAGTGTTGTCTGGGGAGAAGTTTTCTGAAGCTTCAGAACCTCACAAAAAAAAAACAAAATACGCCAAAAAGTGGTCTGTGCGCAGCCGCGGCTTCTTGTTTTTTTTCTCAAAAAGAATCTCTTTGAAAACCTCTGTTCAGTAGTTATCTGTAAAAGATTCTATATTGATTGGACCTGGACTTGTGTTTCTAGGAGTCCTACCTGATTCATGGTTAACTTTATAATATGATGCCTGGCATAGCCCGAAAGACTATGCCTGGTGCTAAGGAGCAGCAGAAACGCCGTTGGCGCCCTGGCAGTAAGTCTAGATTGCTACAAAAGATGGCTACACACTAACCCTAATACCTAGCAAAAGCTCTCCGGGAGGTCAGGAACTACCAGAAGACATTTGACTTCCTGATTCCGAAGCCCCCATTCCAGCGACTCTGGAAGGAAATCTGCGATGACATCGACCCCTCCAAGCGCCTGCGCTGGCAGGCGACTGCTATTAGCGCTCTTCAAGAGTCTTCGGAGTCTCTTCTCTTTGGTGTTTTCGACAGTAAGCTTCACTTGCAAACTCTTATCGAGTTGAACGAACTATCTAGTGATTAACTTTGCTGCGATCCACACCAATCGCGTCACCATTAAGCCGAAGGATCTGCATCTCGTCCAGGCTATCTTGAAGGCCGGCAGAGTCCACGGAGACAAGTGGTTCGACCCCGAGTCTGGGAAATGCGGGCGATTAATTGAAGGCATTCAGGGCGTTCGGAAGTTAGGAGTAACAAGGTAGCAGGTCTATTCGTTGCGCAATATATCCACTCTTGAGGCTGGCTACTACAAAAGATGTCTAAAATTCGTGATGCATACTTACTGAAATCTACCCACGGGTATACACCCGTGGGTACCCAAACCCGTGGGCCCCCCTTCAGTTTACTACCCGTGGGCTTTTTTACCCAAACCCACTTTACCCATGGGTACCCGTGGGTAATAGTAAAACTTTCGGGCACTACCCATAACTACCCGACCCATTTCGCGGGTACCCGTGGGACCCGCGGGCCGGGTAATGCCCATGCCTAGACGTATAGACAGAACTTGTACCGAGGGAGATAACCTGCAGCCCAAGGCCTGTCCGCTATTTCACCATCGCGTTTCTGTTCCTCCACCCACGCGAGGAATCGCGTCCGCACAGTAGCCTTGGACGCACTCTTCAGAGCCGTGCGATCCTCAATAACTGTCCATTCGAGATGAGGGCCGAGCTGGTCTTCTAGCTTCGAGTCGTGGAGCTCGTCAGCGATCGCTGCCTTGAAGAGGTTGAGAAAAGTCTGCCACTCGTCATCGTTGTCGTACACGCCTCGCAGAATCACGAAACCCCACTTGAAAAAGCCTGTCGCGACGCTGTTGTTGATGATGGTAGCGAGGTCTCCGCTCGCGGATTGATAGCCCTCTGGGTAACCAGGGCCAGTATTAGCTGCGTTGGGCATTTCGGAAGGTTACGCTGTAGGGCGGGCTAAACAGATTGTGTGTGAAATTTGGGGGTTTGATGAAGGATAAGATCTACGAAAGCCTCACTTTGTCGCGTTGTTTAAGCTACTACCGTTCATACTGGACGGCCTTAGAACTTTTGAGGCACTTGGACATCATGGTGGCACTTGGAGATCAAGAATTGTTGTCCGTGCAGAACTTGACTGGTCTAAGAGGGATCCGCTGTCCTAGATAAGGATTGGCCCGGCGGCAAGGCTGGATCCACTGAGGGGCTACACCAATGTGGGCCTAGCCCCAATCTGGCTTCCGCGGTGGCCCTCACTAATAGTTAACACCGACGTCCCGCTTGTACGATGAGTTTAGGATAATTATAGAAACCAAGTCTCCGAGCCTCTCTAGGAGCTTGTATGGTACGTCAAGTCATTTGCGATCAATGAACGAATGAGTATGGCTTAACTAGAAGTAGTAGGAGTGGTGCGGGTATGGTAGTGAGGGGTAAGCTAAATCCAGGATGCAGCTTTGTAGATTTCACCTTCGCGCTAGGGGTTAGAAAGAGAGGGCAAAGAACGACGCAGGCGGATAGCGGTCCTATGACCCTGGTGACTGCATCTGACGCTTCTCCGAACTCTCTAGGAGAGTTAAAGGCTGAGAAGAGTAGCCTTCAAGGCTCTGCGGGATGCAGCCGTTCCGGTTCGATTATCCTGATGCGAAGCATGTCGCGCCCGCGGCGAGGTAAGTCAACGCGAATAGGAGTCTATGCGACTTCAACGGGTCCCGGGATGTCTACGGTTCTCAAATGCTCCAGCTGAGGCCATTCCTCCACGAAAAAACGGACAAAGGAGTCTGCTCGACCAGCTTATACGGGGGCAAGCTTGACTATCCAGCCCGAGACCGGCGCTGTGAAGCCTAAATCTGAGTCCCTGTGGGTATGACGAAGCAGGGACAGGAAAGCCGCGGCGTCTTTAGATCTTTGGACAATGCTGGGGGCTGCCAACAACAGACTATCGCCCGGCTAACTCGCCATCGACTGTTTACGCGAGACCATGGCCCGACAGGGGCCGAGAATGATCAATTGGTACGGTGAGGCCTGGCATGAGTCAAGAAGCGGTCTATATGCCTCGTCAAGCACCCTGATGCATCGATGGCGTTCACCAGGGAAGGACGGCCGAAGGTCAGGGCTTCGTGGCATCTATAATGTGTCACTGGGCTGGGGGCCAGGACCGGCATGCGTCAGAGGGATAAGAGAGATGGCGACCCGACATCACTCCATGGTCGGTTGGGAGGAAGGAATGCGGGGGTGTGAAGAGCCGGGTTACCATACATGAGCATCTTGGCAAACCTGACGAGCACCAACGATGACTGGTGATACTAGGATAAGGGGCCTCCCGCTGTCCGCGGTTCTCGGGCATGCCGTCTGAGGTCGTATCTGACGAGGAGGCGTCCGGGTAAGTAAGTGGCTGGTATACGAACCTGCATGGCCGGCCAGGGGTTATAGGCAGTCTTGCGTAGACTTGGTCCTATTGCGGGCATGAACTGACTCCTGCCTTACATGGTCAAGGAAGGGTTGCAGTTGGGTATTGGTGTCGCCGACATGGAACAGTGGGCGCTTGAGTTAGCGCAGTCTTCTTCCTACCATGCTACGTAGTGCTGGTTTGAGGTACCAAATGCTACGAGGGTGTATCGGTTGACGTTGAGTTACGCATCCATCTGCGCTTTGTCTCAAGCCATCGAAAGCCTCTGGCTATAGCAGGGTTAATTATAGCCCTCACGTAACCAGCGTGCCCAAAAGAGGACCTTCAGCTGCTCCAAGGGAGTTAGAGTCATGAAGTCGGTGCCACCGTGGATGTGTAGTAGCTTAAGGGCTTTGAGCAAATCAACGGTGCGCATGAAGTCCTTGTAGGCCGCAGACGCGGATTTGTGGTCTTTAAGTTGCCTGTAATCCCAGAGGTTCTGGTTCGAATTCGTCGTGTAGCTTCACACGTTTATTGAACTTGCAGGGTGAGCATGACGCAAGGATTGACAAAGGCCTCGCTCGCAGCAGCAGGGTCTTTTCCTTCGATCGCGACGACTTCAGGCGTAATCAACAGAGGTAATCAACAGAGGTAATCAAAACAACAGAGGCAATCAGCGTAGACCAGGGAGTGCCGATCACCGTTGCTCAACCAGTGTTGCGATTTTTTATCACCACACGTGGCTTGTATCTGATGAGCTGCGTCCTGCAGCACCCAGCTAACAGATCTACACTTCGTGACAACCTATTTTGCCATACACTTATCCTTGACCAAGGCTGAGGTCGGCCCCTTTTCTTCGCTCGAGCGCATCGCAGCTCGATGAACCACAATGTCAGTCCCGAGTACTAAGAACTTGCAACGAAAGATATGGAGAGACCAGTGCAGAGATATACTGTCCAAGCACATACGTAAGAGTTTTCAGCGACTCGAACTTTCCAAGTTGCGCTGACCACATGTAGAAGAGCGCACCAACATTGTCGTAGAGCCATCCCAGGTTTGATTACTGACAACCGAGAGCGATCCATATCGGTGGGAGCTTCTCCCTGAAGTTCCTGGAATCAAGAAACTCTTCGAAGCCAACCTCAGCGAATGCTCCATAGGCCCGCTGAAAAAGCTTTGTGGAGAGGTTGGAAAGAGCTTCGAGGCTGTCAGAGCAACTAACCCTGGGAAAGGCGAGCTGACGATTGCGCAGCCACACTGCGCCTGGGCGGCCGACGAACTTCCTCAAAGTTTCAGCGCGAGAGTAGCGATACTGGCCGAGGAAAATGAAGAGATGAAAAGCCGTCTGCTGGAAGCCAATCAGAAGTTGGAGAGGGAGATGGAGATGAAGAAAGAACTAGAAGGAAAGATTGGATCGTTGAAGGAACAGAACCGTATGCTTGGAGGGCTTATCGAGCAACAGTCGACTGTTACATATCTGAGGGATTATGTTCGGGAGTTCGCCGACGGAATCGAAAAATTCGTACCGGTGGTGGGGGAGTTCCGGACACCAGAAACACGTTCTGGGTCAATGTCGATAGACAGCGAGAGGGAATATGCGTAGACATCATGGCGTGCGCGCGACTTTTGTATGTACATGCTGTAGTTCAAGTAGATTTATGAACGCGTAACTACATCGTGGTGTCGGCTTCTTTCCAACAAACGTCTTGTAAACTTCAACTGGCTGCTGGCTGTCGCTGGGGACTTCTCAGGCCAAGCCCATCGCCGCCTCGTCCATGGTTTGCTTACAACTTAGGTAATGCTTGCGCTCGTGCATCACGCTGCAATAGCCCTGAGCTTGACGTTGCTGCCGGTACTACGGAAGTGAACCGCCAAGGCGGACGCCAAAACATGGCCTCCGCCGCTGTTTTGCATGGCGGACTGCTAAGTCGCGACCGCCTCACTGTACTACAGAGCGGGCACGGCCATGGAGTTAGTGGCAGCGGAATTAGGTTTCTAGCGCGTCCTGTGGGACAAGCTGCGTTGCACCAGAGCAGTATCTAAGGTGCTCTGAGCCGAACCTGAGCCGTACCCGAGTCTCTTGCTGAAAGAAAATACGACGGATCAGCCGGCCGAGCGCTGTCTCGCCAAAGATTTGCCCTCGTCGGGACTTGTGTGTTAAAAAAAAAAAACAGAGGAAAAACTCTACATTTGATGACTCCTTGTATGTGCTTTTTGCTCTTGCCCTCGTCGGGATCGGTTGTAGATTACTGGTTCTCGATCCAATCCAGCAATCTGGCGTAGAATGCCGATGCTCGAGGTCCGTCGGACTTTGTTAAGCCCATACGCAGAACACCGGCCTGCGTCCACTTCTCTCCCTTCACGATCACAGAAGTCACACTCCCTCCCGTCTACCTGTCAACCGCACCTATACGATCGCGCAGCGGCATCGCTGCCAGCATGTGCAGGGCACGAAAGATTTGACCGCGACTGGTCACTAGGCTTTCTCGCTTAACACAATAACCGCGAGTCTTTGCTCATTATTGAATGCTGCATTGCCACACCGACTACAGGGCTGAGTACCTATGGCAACGTAAAACTCCCCCGCGTTAACGGTTTTTGTCCCAGCTACGGGAACAGCAATTACCCTTCGTAGACGTAGCAAAATGGAGAGCTACCAACTCCAATCGTGCTCATCAGGTCCCTCAGCTTTCTCGGCTCAGCCAAAGGGCGAAGATCAACCAGGTCGTCTAAAGTGCCATTGCGGCTCGGAGGGATATTCTGCATCGTGACAGTACCAAAGATATCCTGTCTGTTCTCCCAGTCAAGCATCTGCCAGATCCAATAAACGCGGTCAATCTGGCTGTGGTGTAGGAAGAATGCTGGGTCAGCCGGAGAGATAAAGAAGTTGTTGCCAGAGTCGCCGCCGAGCTGCCAGTGGCCAGCCGCATGAACTCCTAGTTCAAAGGGGTTGATATAACGATCATCACCATTCAAAAAGCCCCAAAACGACTCGATAGTGTTGTGCTCAGTCAGAAGGAGCGTCGTGTTCCGAAACGTAGTGTGTCGAGAAGAGACGTGCTTGTTCAGGTCTCGCTGCAGGCAGCGCGGGTCAGCAGCGAGGGGTGTATCGGTGTTCTGAACGACGGGGAGATTAACCGTCATCTTGGAGAAGGGCCCCGACATGACACAGCCGCCACCAGATCCAGGCTCGAGTTTGAGTGTTACGTTGGTGTAAGCCTGGTGAATTTCGAGGCCTTCATGAGGAACAAAGGCGCCGTTGCTGCCGATGGAAGTGTCTGATCCGTCAAAGAGAGGTGACAGCGTAGGGTCTTCCGCATCATAACCCCACTCCCAGAAGGGAAATGTACCTGACATATTCTGTTAGAGGTTTACTAACAGATAGTAAGGCAATAAACCACGCATGCTTACCAGTGTAACCGCATTCGCGGATCTTTTGCTCAAACACATCCGTGTATAGGCGATGCCAGAGCTGGAAATTAGCCTAGGCAGAAGAACAAGAGAAATGTTAGCACTTGGCACAACATCTTTTTTTCTTCACACCAAATGTGCGCTCCTACCGTTCTGTGAATGACAGGTGTCTGCTTAAGGTGGATAGCCACAAAGTCATCATACAAAGTCTTTGCAGCAGGCATCACTCCCGGCTCATACAAGCTCGGGGAACTCTGCATGCACTCAACGGCAGCTACAAAGGCTCTTCTCTGCTCGGCAGGGAGCGTCCTCCATTCTCGGCGGACGCGAACCTTATCCGGCGTGCATGTTAAGTTTGCAAATGCTCCTGAACGTTGGTGTAAATCTTTGGAGTTAGCCAGAGCCTTTGCAGCAAGTTGAGCAAGGGCGTCGCCGTTGTTGATGGCCTCTTGAGTAAAGTTATAAGATGGTCCCGCGGCGTTGATGGGGAGAAAAAAGGAAGTGGCAAATACAATCACTGAAAAGGCGCTGAGAAGAGAAGGACTCATGGTGGGAAAAGAATGGATGCCAAACAGTGCTCAACTGCACGAAGATCAATGGCCTCTTAGCGCGGCCAATGATCGATTAATAGACTGGTTGATGAAGATGGTACGGATAATCGAGCGGACTCCGAGGTTATTAAATTCAACAAGATGATAGCAAAACTGTATTAAAGCTCCCGATATCAAATGCCCGTGGGTCTAACGAAATCCATCCGCGATCCATTTGGGATATAACTAGTCGCGGTTGCGGTGACAGGATCATCCCGGGCCAGGGTCATGAATCTCGTGGCATACTGTACTAGTCTTTAAAGATGCAAATTGCGACATCGCTTACAGGATCCCGACTCGGAGTACGAAAGCGCGGATTGTGCGTGGGTTCTAGCATGGAACCTTATTATCTGGGGCACCACCCTCAAGCCTGGTCAAGCGCGCCGAACAGCCGCAATGACACAGCCACAGTTCACGGCTTGACTTTACGGAAACTTTTCCGTCAGCGTTTAAGGTAGTGACTCGTGTCTGAACAGAGACGGCATTATACCTGTCCAGGGCTCTAGTCCTCATAGAGCAGGACAGATGTGAAACCCAGGCTCTCAAAATAACCTTAATTTCATCGCTAAGTCTCTTGGATGTAATTCCTAATGCAAGGTCACTTTCAATTGCAAACAAGTATTTTAGCAGCCGAGAAGTTTTGGCACCTTTTTTTAGGTTTGTGAGACTGGAGTTATCTAAATAAGCCCTGTGATGGTCGGGATCCTTTCGGTTCCGCAGCTCGGGGTCACCAAGGCTTTTTAGTGTTTTGAATTGCACTCAAGTGGGGAAGCAATCTATGTGAGTATCATCACCACGTCCTAAAGGAAAGCTATTTATATTGTTAAATATGACTTTCCATATAGATAGCTCCTTCCCTAACACAGATTGTCTTGTTTAGGGCTATACGCTAGGTCTTCCCTGTAAGTTGATTTTTAGGCAGTCAAGCCCGTCGAATAATAGACTCGCTTGGCTATTACTTAGTCCAGTATTGCCAACATTCGAATACAGTAGCCCTAGGGGCTAGGCTCCCGACGCTACCATGCTCGCTTAATAAGATTTAATGTGGACTGAAGACATGTTCGTTGCAACGGAGACTTCAGTTTCACAAGGTTTATGGGGACTTATCCACAGCTCTAAGGGTTAGCGCTCAATATTAAGATCGAGTCATAAGATAACATGATACATCATCACCATCCTTAGCTAACCCTATAATCGCATTCAAAGATCACTATAGGAACTCTGGTATAGTGGTTAGGAGAAAGAGTGCTTCAACCGAATCTCTAAGTATCTCTTTCTTCGGGTGGTGTTACTAGGTTAGGCGCTGCCGGTATTAATATGTCATCCACCCGCTGACCGTGATAAAGACGCTTCCTTGCTGAAAACTCCGTGGTCTCTTCTATAAACTCCTTTAATAAGTAACCCTTATTTATCAAAATCCCTTTATCTTAACTCTAACCCTATTTACCTTAACTAAAGGCTGATTAGCACAGAACAGCTAGTTAGAGAATCTATGCCTATACTAGGACTATTTCTTCTAAAGTAACATTAGGTCTAATTGCCTCTCCATCCATAATTCCACACACATAACATTCGCCAATAAGCCTAAAGCTCTTACGATCGAGCTCTATTGTCCTCATGATAAACGGCATAGCACAGCTTTCCAAAACGAACACTTGATCCCCAATATCGACATACCTAGGGAACAGACACAGGTATCCTTTGCTAGTGAACCCCAGCCTGCGGTGCCTATTAGCATTAATCATTGCCCATCGAAAGTCCTGGAAAACGTGTCCAGGCGAACCGGGCTTCCCGCCGTTAAGCCTGTGTACATCCAACCTGCCCCTGTCCTTAGGCATACGCTGCCGTGCTGAGTACGTTTGGCCTGGGAGTGATGGAGATTTGCCAGTACATGTATCAAGGAGAAGACTGACAATTTCGGCGAAAGATTCTGGACATTTCTCTCTTCCGAGGCCATTCTTACCCGCCACAATAGTGCGCCAGAACGTTGAGAAGACTGTGTTCGGCGCCGGGTACCGCTGTAGCTGGGAAATGAACTTGAAGATTTCGAGCAGTGTCTTATTTTCGGTCTCTGGATCTATACAAGTAATGTCGGGATCTTCAAAAAGCGGGCTAATTTCAACGATGGTATCGAAAAATATCCCTCGTACGTGCAGCTCCGCGTCGTTATATCTGTCGACCCTTGCATATATCTTTTTGAACTGCTGTGTGAAGCGTCCACAAGCGCGGTAGATGCCCCGCGAGGCAGTCGTGTAGCCTAACGAGACCGTCTGACGGGGCTTGCTGAAGTCCGGCACCCACGATGGCAGATGTGGCGAATCGTGGTCGACTGAGGCTAGTATTGAGTCTAGCCCCCCCATGTATGGATAAGACAAGTATTCTAATATAACGGCGTGATATAATCGGGCAGCCGGAAAGTCGTCCGCATAGCTGACTGTTAATGCGTCCCGAAAGTGTTCGTTACATATCCCTAAGAGCCCATACACCTTGTCACGTGAGTCGTAGCATTGGGCATTGCGTGAGTCGACCATAATATAAAAGAGGTTAGGTGGGTTAATCTTGGTGGCATACTTAGTCAGATCAAGCTGCCAAACCCTCCTGTAGACGTCCTCACGGTCATCTACCGGCTTTTTTACTTTTAAGGACTTCTGCGACAGCCATTTAGATATCCCAGTCGTCGCGAGTTGCATGCAGGCACTAGCAATATCCTCCCAAGACACACTAAACTCGCCGCATACAACAAAGGGATTTTTTGAGAGAGTAACTTCTTGTATGATCCAGACCCTTGTGAACCACTGGCGTGAGAGAAGGTCCCACAATGCTTCCCAGTCACTTGAGTCGGCCTTCGGTAGGCAGTATCGCTCTAGGTCCTGGGGCTCTACATTGTCTTCCCTCGTAAACTGTAAACGCTCGTATATCTCTTCTAAGAGCCGAAACGCAATAGCAGACCTTTCGTTCGAGTCTCCTAGCCAGATCACGGTGTTTACTGCGTGTCGGTAGATTCGAGGCATAAGAGGAATCTGCTTCAGCTTTTCCTGCATGTTGCTTTGGTCGATGCAGATTTGGTCAATCCACATAACAACAGAATGGTCCTTGTCACGAAAATGTCGGAGCGCGGACTCCAAAGACTTGGTAATTGCCATACCATGCCCGTCACATTCAAAATATCCTTCGAAAACAGGCGGGCCCCATGTGTAACTTAGCGCTGTGTACGTGACGGGCACAGTAAGGTCGTCCATAGAAAGGGCGTAAATAGTGTCGGTATACCACCCCCTGGTTTTGGGCCCGGGATCTTTATACTCCACAGAGCAGTGATGAAGGGAGCCTTTAAGCTCCTCATCCTTTGATCCAGCCTTAACCTCTAGCACGCGCATCTCGTATGGATCGATAATAGGCTTATATAGCTGGTTTTTGCCAGGGTTACTTGTCTTGGCTGGATTTGTCTTTGTCTTTCCCCAGCTGCGAATCCTCTCTCTTGTGTCTTCTGGAATCCAATCATGGTTGTCGATTTTGGCCAGCTGATACTTTTCCTCGATATAAATATCATGCCCCGTCCAGTTCTCCCCTTTGTTAAATATTCGAGGAGTTAGGGTTCTCGCAGGCCTCATTTTAAAATATGTTTGAGAAAACGGAAGCTAGAACATGAAAGAACTAACAAGATATTAGGGGCCGGCATTCCTTCGTCGCAAATATATAGTCTGTTTACTTAATTTTATAAGCTATAAAGAAGTGATACTAGGCTTTTAGAAAACGAAGCAATAGGGCAGCCGTTGCCCTAGTATGTTCCCCTTATAAAAGGTGGCATCTATTCCTTTACGACTGAGTCAGGAAGCGACTGTATAACAGACCCCTCAGGTATAACACAGGGCTGGGATTCCAGGCACCTTGGGGGCTACAGTCACTTGTGTATAGGAAGACCTATGGAAAGCCATGTGACGACAAGGGACGTATCACGCGGGAGGCTAGTCTTCTTGTCTTTAACCGCCAGACTCACATTGGTTAAATAGAAATACTAAAACATAGTATGACGCAATTGTGTTACACAACATCGACTGATTATACTTTCAATGGTAGTCTGAAAATAAGGCGAACAATAAACGGGCTGCCCATAGTCTGTCTGCCTTACGGTGGCTGGCTGCAGCTGAGCAGCAGAATGACATCATTATGTTGCAGTTGCCTTTCTTGAAATTTCCCTGTTTAGTATGTAACTTGCCTTGCTAGATTTCTGGATTCTGCTTTGTCTTAGGCACACTCAACACTCCATCCACCTTTTTAGCTAGGTATCATGAAGCACCTCAATCGAGGCCCCCTCATTCTATAATCAGCCACTCCCTTTGGGTTATAATGAGCGAGATATCTAGCGATCGCATCTCTGCAGCAATTTACCAACGATCTGGGTCATTAATCCATGAGCTTGTTACCTTTGTGTTTTCATGCGTTTGATCGTGCCGCTCTCAGCAAGGTGCGAAGCACTGTAGAGAAAAGACGATAAGTTTCACCAGGAACGCATAGAGATCTACTGGACGCACAATAAACTTAAACGTCTACAACTGTAAAAAAGCTTTTAGTCGAATTGCCAGCGAGTTAACCAAAGACAACTTATATGTTGCAATAATTAAAAAAACGGCCAGGCAGCCCCTAGCACGTAGGGTCCGGAAGGGACCAATACCTCCCTTCCACACGTAACGGGTTAGAAGACTGGATCCCCCACCTTTACTTCTAAACCACCACTATTGTTCTACTTCTATGTATTACGATAGTTGGAAATTTACTGTTTTACTGTTCTCACCCGTATGGTACTAATCCAACCTCTGAAGCCTACATGATGCGACGACGACGTCTACGACAATTCCATGTGCGACACCAGAATACAAAGCTCAAACAGTTTAGCAACTACATCATCACTTAGAGCAAACCCAACATCTTGACCATCAAGCTCAGATGATAGTAATACTAACTTTGGGACTTAAAAAGAAGTCACTTCTGCGATAGTTTGCTTATTATTAATAAATAACTTCTACATCTTGTATGTGATTTAGAGAACCTGAGTGCGGCAGAATCTATATTATGACTCGAAGAAAAATTACGTTTCTAATAATTCCCTCTCCACTGATTGGTTCAACAGCTTTCATCTGTTGCAGCAAACCTGAATGTGGTGTAATTACTAGCAGGATAGAACGAGACCAAGCCAATGTTGTGGCAGCTACAACTTGTAAATCAGTGACGAAGGTGCGACTAAAGTCAAGAAAAAACTTCCCTAAGTACTTAAGAATATATCATGTATCAACTTATAGAATTTTTTCTTTCGTCCGTTGTATCTACTTGGCGACAACAAGCATAGTGACATATTATCAAAAGTGCATCGAAACACAAAGTATAGTTGTTATATTTGTGCCCTATCTTGCTATTAGCAGCCTTCTTGTTACAATAGGTCTGATATCCAAGTGTTTGTCACTGTTCTTACGCGATAGAATTTGCATCGGGACCATGAGAATTACGTTACAGCTTTGAAGGACTTCGAGGACCAGGCATTGACTTTTACCTCATCCTAAACCTCTATAAGAGCATTTATTTCATAAGTCATGGCATTGAAAATTCCGAAAAGGCCGTCTCATAGTAGTAATAGCTTGTAGACGTTAGCATTGAGATCGCGAAGATTTGCCTTATACATCAAACAGGTCAACTATCAGTGGGAACCAAGGACGCAGATGCATTTTTATTGCCAAAATAAAAAAAAACCCAAGCAGTATTGCTCCCATTTGCCATTAAACGACCACGGCTAGCATCGCACGAGACTATTTACACTTATAGATCTGGATAGATTGTGTTAAAGATTTAACAAGTAACTGGCAAACAGATCAATTGGCAATCAAATTCGTCTACAAAAAGGCCATGATGGTTGTCGTTATCACACATGCGATGGACGCCAGCGAAGACTTTTTCGTAGGCAGAGTTACCCAAGCTATCATAACTCCCGTTATCTCCTACAAGTAGAGTGGCTTTTGAATCCCGCAAAACTACAGCGTCGCCGACCATGAGAATCAGGAAGGTGGAAGTAAACATTACCCTCTAGCCTATCGCGCATAGACAGCGCAAGAGAGACCATTTCAACCACGACTTTTCGTCTTTGCAAGGACGCAAATATACGACGAGTTTTGTTGAAGGAAATCTTTGTGAGTCTTGGGCCCTCACTGGGGCTCGTGATTCCTCCGGGGGCAAGACCTACTAGCTTCGCGACGTTAGCACCTCTCCCGGAAATAAGTAGATAAGTACTGCCAAAGCATATCTCATGAAGAAATCTAACAGGGCCACCGCATTGGCTGGTGTTTGAAATCTAGTACAGGAGGACATGGATAATTTACATATAGTAGGACTCTGACAAAAGAATTTGGCTACGCAAGTTTGGTGGTCTGCTGCCGGGGCGTAACGTCCCCGCCTAGACTTGTTTATTCCCCCTCCTTTTTCGTGGCTATCGACCTGTTCTGTCTTGTCTGTGGAACTTATATAATTTGGGTTTGAAGAAATATTCTAGATAGCGGTGGTGGACACCCACGTTGATCTAGTGGACTCTAATTATGCCGAAGGAAACTACCTATCCCAGGGGAATCCTACAAGTCTGACGCCGTTTTAAAAAGCTAAGTTAGAACTTGAGGCAGCTGGTGCGCTTAATAACACACAAGACTATCAGCGAATACAATTTCAACATTGTTTACAGCTACAAATCCTTCCATTCGATACACCGGCATAGAATTAGCCCTCATCAACTTTGGCCTCCTACCCGTAACGGCTATAATCTCCTACCGTTTGATAGGGATGATAAGATCTTTCGTGACGTGATTGTTCTGGATCTCCGGGCTCACTCTGCAATGCCTTGGCCGCGAGGTTACGTGACGACCTCGCTCTAGCGACCGTACTCTAAAACGTAGTTCGCTCCGCTTGCCAACTTAAATAATACAAGCCTTTTACTCATAAGTATTACTGCTTATACTATAGTTAGTAGCTAGAGCTAATAAAAATAACCTTATTATATAATAATTTAGGGCTAAATAGGCTATTATTTAAGTATACTAGAGTATATATTAGTTTTAAAAAATCTATTTGAGGCTATAATTAAACTTATAGGCTACCTAGTAAAGACTACTATAGTAAAAGACTATTTTATTTATCTTCTAGTCTTAAGCAAGGCGTTTAATAGTTAATCAAGGGGTATGAATAGAATGTTAATAGTATAATATACTTAAGTTACCTATGAAGTTTATATGTCAGCCTTCTTAAGGTATAGCGTCTAGCTATCATCAGTATCTAATAATAGTACTATTATAATCTAGGATAGTTAAACCTAGTCTTGAACTCTTATAGCTTGTAAATCTAACTATATTAGGTCTTACGAGAGAAAGGCTATAGTTAAGACTATTTAAAGTAATTCATAGTAAGCTTAATTATAAAGCTAGGTTACCTATTAAGTAAGCCCTTCTCTTTAGAACCTTTTCGCTCTCTAAAGGATATAGAAAGAAAATCTCGTATAGGTTTATGTTAAGTAGACGACATTAAATACACCCTTCCCAGACTAGCAGAGGCGTTGTATATACATACACTGTTGCTAGGCCCACAACTGCCAGCGGATACCAACTTACTCAACCCATAGAAAGTATATACTTCTAGGATAACCTGTGAAGGACGTGTTTATGATAAGCTGTTTCTCTAGAAGGTTGAAAGAGTTTAAAATATATCAAATCATAAATCTCACAGTAATTCTTTAATATACAAAATATACCTGGTCACCATTCGCATATAATTAGCCGAGTACCAGACACTGCCTCATCACAGCCAGGCCCAACACCTGCTCTCGGATCCCGAAAACATCGTGTCCCTCTTACACCATCACACACCATCTGCCCGATGCGGTCCCGACCTCCAACGTAAAAGCACTGGCTACCAAAGAGTTTTGGTATCTTCCAGATCGCTGTAGGCCAGTCGCGGGGGTCCACATCGTTAAACTCATACGGCTGCGCCCCATCCGGCTTGCAGAACCCGCCGCTATCTTCTTCGCCTTCCGGATGCATCTTAACCACCCATACGTGCTCATAATCTTTCCCGGGCGCTCCCCGCGTCCCGCGCCCAATCGACACGCGATTCTTCTTAGCAGTAGTATCCGGGTCTCGACATCCGCCCAGCCATGCACCCAGGGCGCCCGTCTTTGGGTCCACGGCTACGTAGTCGGCGCGGCCCGTGCCTTGCAGCTTTGCATACCTTACGTTAGCCCCGGAAGTGCCCACGCCGCCCGCAATCTCTCCTCCTTCCCGCCACGTCGGCTTCGTCGGGTATTGGTTATACCAGACCCGTACGCGGCCATCAAGTTTGCGAGTCCACACGTAATCGGCGCGACCATCACCGTCGATGTCGACGAAATCAATCTCGTCGGGAGACTGGCCGATTCCGGAGGCGTCGGCGTCAGGCATGGCGCGGTATTTATTGCCATCGTTGCCCGGCGCGTAGATGTTGCGGTAGATGGTGGTGCCGCCATTAGGTTTCAGGAGGATGTAATCGTCGCGCTGGAAAGCGATGAAGAACTTGTTAGTCTCCTCAGATAACGCTTACATTGTGGGGAACAAGGAGGAAGTCTTTTACTCACCCCGTCGCCGTCAATATCCGCTATCCGAACTCTGTGACCAGGCCCAAGACCAGAAGCGATGGTGCCAATTGGTCTGAATGGCCAACTGCGGTCGACAACGTCGAATCCAAGGTTGAGATACGCCTTTAGTAGGCCGGTCTTGGGATCCAAATCCAGATAATCATCCAGCCCGTCTCTGATTCCCGACCGTTGTTAGTGTTTCATTGGTCATCAGGCACCTGCTGAAGGTGGGCGGACTCACCCATCAATGTCTCCGAAAACTACTTGAGATGCCGGGGCTGCTCCCGTTGCAATGGGATTGCCGCCATCTGCTGGCCGCCATGTCCAACCAAGAGAGTCAGCGTCATTGATGCCGGAGTTGATGCTGTGGGCTGTCAGCGCTGACATGATATAGTAAAACCTAGTAAGCTGATGCACTTACTAAACTGTCGGAGCCCCAGAATCAGGATCAAGCCAGATGTAGTCATCGATTCCGTCACCATCAATGTCGGCAAAGCGTAAGCCGTCAATGGACATGTGATCTGCAGTTCTGCCACGGTTGTACCAGACGGAAAGGGCGCCGTTGTCGCCGACATATACATAGTCGTCTTTTCCATCTCCATCCATATCTGCCAGGCGGATGGTGCTGGGCGGCTTTTGGATCCCTTCAGCGATGGTTTTGGCAGGCCCTTGATTGATGTAAAGAGGCACTCCTTCTCGGTTGGTCGGCTGATTTAGAAAGCCTGTTAAACCCCCATCGTCATCCCATATAAGGTAGTCTATCAAATGTTAAGAAAATGCACCGCATACGCAAGGCAAATCAGAGAGACACATACCATCTCGACCGTCGCCGTTCATCTTGGGTTTCCTCGTCAGCATTTTGTATCCTGTATCATAGTTGGTCGCTTTCACTTACATCGGCAAACACCAATCGTGAGATATCGTCAACGGCACCGGTGGCAATACCACCCATCGCATGAAATAGCACATCCTGCCCCCCAGGAGAACCTGTGTTCATGTGATGCTTCAAGGAACCATGCTCTCCTATGTATACATAATCGGCCCGTCTATCACCGTTGATGTCCGGGAATCTCAAGGTCTCGAGGTTAGCGTGTAGAACTCCCGAGGCAATCTCACCGCCAGCGACAAATTTCCAGCCGTTGACCCAATTCTCGTCTGGCCCGTAGTTCCACCAGACTCTGACTGAGCCGTCTCTAGGATCCACCACCAGGTAATCGTCCATCTATGAGTGTCAGTTTAATTTTCTGGCTCACCAACGTTCCCTTAGTAGGTCACTTACCCCGTCGCCATTCATGTCCTACAGGGTGTCAGCTACGTCACTTTTGGCTATCCTATGAAGAATGCTTACCGCCAAGTAGATAGTTTTTGCTGGGCCAACTCCGCTCCCGATGATGCTATTGTTGTTTCCGGCGGGCGACCATGGTTTAGGGAGATTGTTCAGCCAGCAACGAATTTCTCCCGTGTTGGGATGAATCCAGACGTAATCTTGACATGTCAACTGCTGGACCCCAGACTTTTTGACAGACATTATATAAAACACTCACCTGCTTTCCCATCGCCATTCATGTCGTGCAGCCGAACATATCGTTCGTCCCATCCCAGGCCCGAGGCCACTTCTCCTTCAGCGACCCAGTTCCTGTGGTACTTCCAGTCGCCGTTGCGCTCGAGGCCCAGGGCAATCTTCCCCGTGGCGCGCCAGTTGGGCACGTCACGGCACGCAACGGGACGATCGAAGCCTCCTCGAGCCCACTCGGCGGCCTCGCGCACCTCCTCTTTGGACGTAACCTGAATGGGACTTCTACCCCAATCCGGAGGCGGGATATTCTGGTCAATGCCGCCATTTTCTCCGTCGTCATCGTCGATAGGATCGGGTCCGACTGGGTCCTCGATCCAGCTCTTGGGAATCTGGTGGATGAAGCTGTACCAGTAATCGCCCATGAGCTTATAACCGTCGTTGGTCGGGTGGATGCAGTCTTGTAGATTGCTCGTCTGGAACGTGGTGAAGTCGGCGGCTAGCACGTGTTGCCCGTCGTCTCTGCGAGACCGTACCACACCGGGAATAAGCTGTTGAAACTGCCGCGTTCTCGGCGACTGGTCCTGGTTACATGTGTCGATTATCATGGCAACGATGATAGTGGCGTCAGGACACGCCTCAATCATCTTGTCAATGAGCCGACCCAAACGGTCCGCTGCTCCCCTAGGGTCGTTTCCTTCCTTTGATATGTTTGGGTTGGGGTTCATGTCGTTTGTCCCTGCTGCCAGAAGAATGATATTTGGGCGTTGCTCAAGAGATGGTCCGACGTGATTTGCAATGTACTGGATAGTCTGTCCAGACCACGCAGCCTGTATAAATCATTGCGTCAATCACTGTCTCACCGACATCGGAAAGGGTTGAGTCCTACATAGTTACCATTTCTCATGGTCCCTGAACGTTCAGTGCCGGCAAAGATCACCTCATCGCCTATACAGCCGTAAGTTTGATTATCCATTTTGGTGGAAGACGGTAGAACTCACCAGATAGATCATTTTTCAATTGCCCTCGATATCCATTTCCATCACCCCCATTGCGATCGCTCAGGAAGCCTACGGTAATGGAATCTCCCACTGGCAGAATTCGGAGTTTTGTACCCTCTTTGACAGATTTGCCTCGCTCGGTTTCTCGGTACTGTAGGACGGAGCGACCAGGACCAGGGAGAGCAGTAGGGTATCCAATCACGTTCGAATAGTTTGCATCCCACACGGCAGTGAAGACATAGCCGGCAACTGAAGACATAGAAGAGGTACGGGCAACGGGATCGCTGACGCCATCGTATTCATCTCCAACGTCCAGCTCACCAGGGTCCGTGAAGACCATGCAGCCGCATTCCTCCCACTTGGGAGCTGTGCACATTTGTAAACTATTGCCCACGCAGTCGCTGTGCGTGCAGATTGGTGGCGTCTCCGGGCAACAATGACAACCATTGATCTCACCCGCGGCTGAGCATTGCCATTGACCGTTCTGCAATCCATTAAAGTAAGCAGAGCCACTTAAAGAATTATGATGCCGTTACAGGATATTACTTACATCACCACCGCACTGCTCGTCCGAGCACCGAGGGGGTTCATTGGGACAATTTTGCTTTTCCTCACAAGGACAGCCGGCTTGGTCCCCACTAGAGCAGAGACCGTTCCCATCAGATCCACCACAGTTGGGGCAGTCCTCTTCGGGGTCCCTCATGCAAGATCTATCGTCTTCATCGGCGTCTTCTGGCTTTTGATTGGGGGGCCTCAAGGCAGCAACTGCCGCAGCTCCGCCCGACTCGGCTAAACATGGTTAGGATTTGATTTTGTCTTCAGTCGCTGTCTTGAATCTGCGAAAGACTTACATATGGCAATCCAGCCGATGCCCCCGGCGAAGACAACAGCCAGAGCAGTCTCCAAACCAACGCCACCGTCAGAGGCAGTCGAAGTAGCGACTTCAGTCACTGTTACAGTAGTATGATATCGCAACTTGGAGTATTGAGTGAGGGTAATTGGCTCATAGATGACGGTACCGGTCTGGCCATTGACCACCGTGGTTGAAGTAACTTGGGGATTGTGGTCTTGGCCCTCATGCGTACACTTGCAATAGTAACCCTGGCAATTGTAACCAAAATCCAAACACGAGTAGGTCTGGCGTCCAGATAGCAGGAGGTCGTTGCAGATTCCGTGATGGTAGCTGTCGCCGCCGCATTGATCGCAGTGCTTGGGCGGTCTCCGTGCAGCTTCTGGACAAAAGACAAAGGGGATTTGATTTGCGTAGTCTTGCCTTTTGCCCACCTCAAGAGTCGTACTTTTCTTGTATTCGGAACTGGTACCAAATTTACCTGTTTCTCGCGGGAGAGCCGCAGTAAAAGCCCGTCGAATCTCGGCAGACCCCGTCTCATTGACCTTGTGCGAACTGAGATCCAGGTCTCGGTTCGGCAGTGCCAAGAATCGTGTGAGCTTTTTGAACATCGTGAACACTGTCTCTGGATAGAACACAGCATGCCTTGGTCAACAACGGGTACGTAGAACTGAGGGACATCGAAAACAGTAAGCGATATGTGCTGACTTTAAGTTCGCTGAAGAGAAGTGCTCTTTACAATCTACATCCCACGGCACAGTAGCACCTTTTTGTTGAGAAATGCTAAGAATAGTCAATTCAGTTGTTCCGGCGCTAATGATGCAGCTCATAGTATTGAGTGAGCCTTAAGGTGACAAAAGACGGCCCCGCTATCTACACTTGGAGTTGATCGTCGGCTAAATGAGTCTACATCAAAATAGGTTGGCCAGAATAGCACACTTAAAAGTCGTCACTGGTACGAAATGAGAGACACCCAAGGCTAGAAGGATTAAACCCTTTTTCCAGTACCTGTATTTGTACAGACACAGCCGCTTCAACCGCGCCCCTTCCTGCGAGATCGTCGTGGGGGCTATAATTATATTGCCGGAGAAACATGGGGGCCAAAACGAAGCTGCAGTCAGCTATTGGCGTCTTGGCAATGCCAGGGGCAATGAAGTCAGACATGTAAGCAGCAGAAAGCAAATCACCTGAGTTAAAGTACTAGTGCAGAGCCTTTCCTACAATTTGAGATCGCAGTTTACAGTCACGGTTATCCGACAGGGTCCCCAATATTCTCTCTCTTTTCCCACTGCCATGTGTAATCGGCTTCAACATTTGACATAGGCCGAAATGCTTTTCTCACTCTTTCTGCTGGTAACGCTGGCAACAAGATGTCTCGCTACATATCAACATGTTTGCAATGATCGAATAGCGCAGAGGAGAATTGAGGATGCTATTCAGGAGGCTATCAAAATGGCAAGAAGTACAAACAGACTACAGTATACTAATTTGAAAGCCTGCTAACAATTTTCTGCAGATGCAATGAATCAAATCAGCAACCTTGACACGGACACTACCGCAGCAGCATTCAATCCACTTTTCAGAAATGGCGATGTGACAAGACTACAATGTAAGCATGCCATTTTTGGGTAATTACATGGCTTCACTGGTTAACAAGAATTACCGCAAGTTCTCTACAACCGCGTAGTAAATATTGCCAATATCGACAGAGAAATTACGTTCTACTGCAGAGCAGACTTCATCAGAAAGGTCGAGTACATGGATAGTAATGGTGCGACACAAGAGGTGTGGAGCGACACAGCTTACTACTATCAAGACTCTACGGACACGACGCAGAACGTTCCTATTCTTCGGGTCGCAGGAGGCAGCATGCCTCAACCGGGACGTCCAGGGTCGGGATCCTTCACGACAATCGGTACGTATGATTTGAAGTACTCGAACTCTTGAAACAACCGTGGAAGATTCTAATTTTGAAAAAAAGGTTCTAGGGAAACAATGCCTAATGGCGACATTGCCGACTATAGCAGGCAAACTCACATTCACGTCAACAGCAAACGGTGGGATCCCCCCCAACGTTCTCCGCTCGACCATCGAGCTCTCGACGTGGTGAACAGGGACGGTCTTCGCCAAAGTCACCCTGCTCTCGACAATCTGAAGCCCTTGTCGGAAACTATCTTGCATGAGTTGATGCATGCGCTTGGCGGCTGTAAGTTTGCATAAGCGGGCATCTCTGAGGGGGAAAGGTTTCTAAACATGTCACAGCGGCTCCGCCGGCTCACAGGAGAGCGTTAATCACGGATAGTCCGGTACCGCCCATTCAGCAGAACAAAATCTATGGTTATGAAATGTGTGTCTGGATGAACGAAAACCGCGATAATCCGGCAGCTATCAGACTCGGTGCAACACCCCTAACGCGAGCTGACTGCCCGACGATCCTGGCCAAAGGTAACTATCTAGACCAAAAGAGTTTACAGCGTGGCACAGATCATTGTGCTGACTACAAGATTGACACAGCATTATACCTTCAAATCCAGGGAAGGGCAACCTATTGGAGTACAGGCGTCGTGAACCCAACGACACTGCAACCCTCGGGTATTCAGCCGCCGCAGTCAACATCTAAGCGACGTGCTTCACGGATTTTCCCACGCGTTTGGGGCCAAGTGGTTTAGTTACATAGAGGCTACACAAAGGATAAAATCAGAGGGTAAAGAAAGCTATCGTAATGGATGCATTTATATACTCTGAACAATTATGCGTCTGTATATCGTGCAATGAATCATTTGCAGTATTCTAGCATAGTCAAGTCGGGCTTTTCATGAGGCAACAGAGAACGCAAGAATTGGTCACGTGAAAGAGCCAATTAGAAATCATCTTATGTGAGATTCAAAATAAATCGTTTCTTGACATTTCAATTTCGCTACGTGACAATACCACTTTGCAGGCAGCGCACATTGATTTTCTGCATGCACTAGTTACATCTCTTAAGCTTTACGACTTGAACTCATCCATGTCGATGCTTGCAAATATGCGTCACCTTTGCTATACTTTAAGCTTGTTGGTCGCCTTGACGCCTGGCGCACAAAGCATTCAAAAGAACAACGACAACAACACCGCGAGTCAGGCCGACAGCATCGCAACGCCGCTTCGTTTGGCTGAGATTCAGCAATGTCCCGTCTCACCCAAACCAGGTTGTGACGACACAAATTGTCAAGGCGCCCGGCACCAATGCGCCACACAGTATCTCTGCAGCAACGAAAACCCCTTCACTGAGCCTTCCAGCGGTCGCCACCTCATCCTCGCGGGCTGCAGATGCTGCCCTCTCCCAAATCACGTCGAATGCAGCGACTTCCAGTGCGCTGCACCGGCGGGGACCCGCGTCTGTACGGCCGAACCGCTGAGAGATTGCACATGCCAGACAACGGATGACCGAGTGCGCGCGGTGCAGGAGAGGACCGCCGGATGGGTGTGGCCGCTGGACAAGAACAATGACGCTTATGACGTTGACATTGAACCGAGCAGCGGCGACGAGGATGAGGGAGAAAGTGGCACTGCGAGCGGGGTATCTTCGAGCACTGGTCCTTTGGCTACTATGCCACCCTCAACTAATATACAAGCATACTATTGGGCTATGAACGATCCGCCGGAGCTGAAATTTCTTCTTCGGTGAGATTAAGCAGCGATCTTTGCTTAATTTGGAGCGGTTAGGCTGACTTGGACTGGTGGGGAGCCGTCTGCCTTATCCTCTTGGCATAGTGCCCCGGCTGGGAGAACTTCTGTCGTGCTGGCTCCGGGCCTCCGGACCCACTCTGCCGCGTCTCGGCCGCGAGGTCACGTGACCTCGCTCCAGCGACCGTATTCTTAAGCGTCCTTCGCTCCGCTCGCTCACTTAGAGAATACAAGCCGTTTTGTTCCTAGTTGATGCCGCCCGTGCCTGACGTCGGTCACCACAGTTATGAGCCCAGCTTACCACATCACCCCTTTCTACTGTTAACCAGACGAAGGGTTCGTGGCGGAACACCATCAACTCCTTACGGTCTTCACAAATTTCGCTTCAAACAGCAACTTCTACAACGAAGATGTCGTCGCAGATATCTGTTCTCACGAGCACGACAAGGCTAACCTGCCGCCGGGACTTCCCCGTTTGGTACGACGCTCTCTACGCCGAAGCCGACGCAGCAGACGTCTGGGATCTCATAGACCCAGACGACACTACGTCTCCGTCAGACCCAAGAGAGGACGATGAAGAACTCTCGATCGAATCATGGATCACGCAGCAGAACGAAAAGCAGCGTAGAACCTATGATCGGAAGCGGAAAGCCTACGATTCGATTCTCCAGCATAGGGCAGAAGCGAGTGACGATACAGGGGAAGAACTCCAGGAGCCTGTAGCACAACCAACTCTCACGCAAAACACGCCCGGGACCTTTGAAAGATATACGAACTACCTCGCTTCAAAATCAGGCCGCGACGTCCTCAAAACTCGTCGGGAGCGGGACTTCGACTCTATTCAGCGTTGGATTAAGGAAACGGTCGACAAGGACATCCTCTACGCTGCGAGATCGGAGATCCTAGCGAACAACCAACGTTCACTCCGTGCTCTTATTCAGTACCTTCGGAAACGCTACGCTCCAAGCGAATCAAGCAGTCAAACTACAGTTCGCGAAGAGTACCTTCTCCTCCTGGAAAAGGCCAACACAAGCGTAAACCCCCAGACCTGGCTAAGAGACTTCCATCGAGTACTGCTCCGCGCGCTTCGATTCAGAATACCGGAAAGCCAGGGAACGCTCGCTTCGAAAACTTTTCTTCGAGCGGTGGGACACCGTTTTGCCCCCTCCTGGGCGACCTCCGAGCTCACTGAAATTGTCAAAATAGAGCGCAAGGGGGACCGCATCCCTACTGTAAGTGAATACAGGGATATGCTGGAGGACTTGCTGTATGAGGACACCCTATACGACAAAAATCGGGGTAAAACAAGCGGTGTGTACGCTACCCTTGCCGGTCGCCCGAGCGAAGCAATCTCAGATGGAAAAAGCGGTTCGAAAGGAAAAGGCAAATCCGAAGCGTGCCCCTGCAACAAACCCCACAACGCAAACCCCCTGGAGTGCACCCGCGTGGAGTACGCCCTTACCGGGCGAATCAAGCCTTCCCAGGACAAACTATCGAGGGACGAGTGCAAGGAGATTCGAAAGCGTATCAATCAGTCCGAGAACTATGATCTCCGAGCCGAATTAGCTCGGAAAGGCTGGATCTGGGCGACGGAACCTCCCAGCTTCCGAAACCCAGCGCCGCCTCGCAATAGGTCGTCAGGAAATACCGGCTCTAAAGCGAAATCGCAGCAAGAGGAGAATGAGTCAGAGGTGACACTGAAGAGAAATATCCACGCAGTAACGATCAGCCGTGAACTTCTCCGGGAAATTTCGGACGACTTCGACTCGGACTACGACCAACCAAGCGTATTTGCAACCCTACTGACGGGACCCCATGTTCTGTCACGAAGCACGGTTCTCGACAACTGCGGAGCTACGCACCTTGTTAACAACCTTGACTTGCTTGAATCGTCTTCTATTAAAACGTGCATCGGCGACGAGAGAGTCGACTCAGGAACTGCTTCGTACCCAATCCTAGCAAAGGGAACGTGGATCTTGCCAAAAGCACTAAATGGCCCTGATGGAGACCTCACAGCAGACCTTACGCTCCATAACGTTGGATACGTAGAGAACTTTCACGTTAACATCGTTTCGGAAGCACTCCTCCGAAAGACAGGCATCTGGTACTCCGGATTGGATAACACACTTCGCCAGGGAACGTACAAAAACAGCGTGGTAGTCAAGCATCTTGTTAGGAAGATGAACATTACTTTCTTCGAATATAAGACCGGTTCCCAGTATATTGCTCAGAAGCGAATTACCTCGAGTAACGCAGGAATCGTGAACCATTTGGTGCTTGCAGTACAGGATCCCGCTCGACTCTCGCTTCGTAAACCACCTGATAGGTATGATGACGCCTGGTTATGGCACCTTCGTTCGGGTCACCTCGCACCAGACGCACTAGAACGAATGGTGTCAAACGTGAGAGGAGTAAAGATAAAAGGACCCACGCGTCTGGAATGCGAATACTGCGCGACAGCGCACGCGAAACAGTTAATTTCGAGGCGAACCTCTGAACGGAAAGCAATTCGACCGTACTATAGGGTCTCATGGGATCTCTTCGACTACCCGACAAGCTTTGACAAGAACCGCTGGCTCTTAGTGATCAAAGACGAATATACCGGTCGTCTTTTCGCGTTTCCGCGCGTAAGTAAATCGCACACCTTCGTCTTCGACGCTCTCAGGCACTTCGAACGATGGGTCGCTCGCCAACGAGGCGTCACCCTGTGCAAGCTGAGACAAGACGTAGAACGCGCGGTAATTGCGATAAACGGAATGACTGAGTATCAACTTTGGGCCCAGCATAACGGGATTGAAATCGAAGAGACACCCCCCTACACCAAGGAACCCAATGGCGGAGGCGAACGAGCGGGCCAGGAATTAATAACCCGAGCGATAAAGATGCTCAGCGCAGCGGGCCTGCCAACTACTCTCTGGGTGGAAGCAGTCATGGCAGCCGCCTACCTGTACAATATGTCACCACGGAAGCGAAGAGCTTGGCTCTCACCAATTCAAGTCGAAGAGAGCTGGTTCCGACAGTATTTTCGCTGGTGGCAACCACAATACAGCGCGAGCCTCGCCCGCGACCTTCGCCCCCACTGGGGCTGGACGTACGCGTATGGGTGTAGGGCTTATCCCCTGAAAAAGGACCGCGAAGCGGATAGGAACAGACGTAACTTCAAGGTGGAACCGCGAGGACATATTGGATATCTGGTGGGCTACGTTATGGACGCTCACAACCTATACAGAGTCTGGATACCCTCGCTTGATCAAGTGATTATCACGCGAAACGTTACCTTTGACGAGACGAAGTTCTACTCGAAGGACGATGCAAAAGCTAGTTTACAAGCGGAGGTGGCCGAGACAGTCTCCACGGAGATCTCGGAACCTCCGGCTACGGCGAACCCAGGACTCCAATTCCTCGGACTCGCAAAACCAAGCGAACTCGTATTTTCACTTGAAGAGCAGCCCCTGCCACCTGCCTTCGCGCCGTCGACCGTAATCTCAGAAGAGACAACGGTAAAACGCTCCGCGGTTAACAGCCGACGCGAAGAGGGCCTGCTCACCCCGGAACCGACCCCTGAGCCGGCCGCAGCGCCGGAGGGGACGGACGGGCAAACGACCGGCCAACAAAGCTCCGAAGCGATGGACGCCGGCGTTCCCGACCCGGGGCACGAAGCCCTCTCTGAGGCGGTCGAAGACGTGATATACGTCAAGACCAACAACGAACCTCCACGAGAACCGGCCGTGGAGGCCGACTCGAGTAATGATCTCGGGGGTGACTCCCCAACTCACCCGGTGCGGCCACACTCGGATAATGGGAACGGGCGCGAACCCGAGATAAAGACCAAGCGGGTGTACAACCGCAAGGACTACGGCCAACAACAGGGCAAACCGAGACGATCACCTCGCTTCGCCCAACACTTCGCATTCCTACAAACGGAACGTAATTGGGAAACTTTCTTCCATACCTATATGCCTGATCAGCAGAAGGCTGTGGAGGAAGCGAACCAAGCCCACTATACGCTCCATTGCTTCGTCTTCGCGTCAATACACCAAGCGAAGCACTCCAGAGCGGTCACTCCACAGCGAGTGAAAATACACACAGATGAGCTTATAAAGCCCCCACGAACGTGGAAAAGTGTTGAAAAAATGCCGACCCACCTCCGAAACCTGTTTTACGAAGCGGCCCAAGCCGAGATAAGTAAATTAGAGGAGATGGACGCTTGGAAAATCATTGACGAACACGAAGCGTCTACGAAACCTATTCCTCTAAAGTGGGTGTTCACTTACAAGCTTGATCAAGACGGCTACCTCGACCGCTGCAAGGCACGAATTTGCGTCCGCGGCGACCTCCAGGCGAAGCATCCTCTCGAACAGACCTACGCAGCGACCCTCGCAGCAAGGACGTTTAGAGTAGCGATGGCGCTCGCGGCGGAATTCGACCTTGAAGTAGACCAATTCGACGTAGTCAATGCGTTTCTAAACGCAACAAGAGGACCGAACGACCCGCCTGTCGTCTGCTACCTACCAGACGGCTTCAAACAGAACGGGAAGTACGTCGAGCTCCGCCGTGCCTTATACGGGCTACGAGACGCTCCCCTCCTTTGGTATAAGGAGTTCTCATCAACGCTGCGGCGCCTGGGACTCAAGCCTGCAAGCGAAGACCCCTGTCTCTTCACTTCAAACGACAAGAAAGTGATGGTACTCTTCTACGTAGACGATATCCTCGTCTTATACCATAGGGACCACCGCGAAGCTGCTCAAAACGTTATAAACGGGGTGAAAGCCGAGTATGAACTCAAGGACCAAGGCCCTGTCGAGTGGTATCTAGGCATTCGCGTGATACGTGACCGTGAGAAGCGAACAATTAACCTCGCACACGACCAATATATCGAACGCGTAGCGAAGAAATTCAACCTTATCGACTCGATCGTGCCGCATACACCATTGCCATTCGTCCCGCTCCAGAAGAACACCGCTGAAGCGACCCCTGACCAGGTAAAGCAATACCAAGAGAAGGTCGGCTCAATTCTGTACACTGCGATCATGATTCGCCCCGACGTCGCCTTCGCTTGCGCTACACTCTCGAGGTTCCTAACGAACCCGTCTCTCGAACATCAGAAGGCCGCGAACCAAGTCATTAGATATCTTTATCACACTCGCTACCTTTCGCTCTGCTTCGGTAGCTCGGGGGGTGCAGGTGCCCAAGTTCTCCTAATTGCGGGCGACGCCTCGTTCGCAGACGACGAAGAGACGCGGCGTTCATCTCAAGGGTACATCATCTCACTGTTCGGCGGTCCCATTCAGTGGAAAGCCGCGAGACAGAATACCGTTACCACTTCTACTACAGAAGCGGAACTCCTTAGCCTCGAAAACACTGCTAAGGAGACCATCGCTCTCAAACGCTTATTTCGGGATATTGAACTAGACCTCGGAGACGTATGGAAGATCCATTGTGACAATCGCCAAACGATTCGCCTGGTAGTAGGCGACAAGGAACGCATCTCAACGCGCCTTCGCCACGTTGATATACAGAACATGTGGCTACGCCAAGAGTATGCCAAGAAGACGTTCGACGTGGTATATATGCCTACCGACGAGATGCCAGCAGACGGTCTCACAAAAGCACTCTCCCGAGCGAAGTTCGAACACTTCAGGGCACTTCTAAACCTACAAGACATTCGGGCACAAGTCACAAGAAGCGAAGAGAAACAGGTGCGCGCGAGCAATGCTGGCCCGGAGGCCGAAAGTTAAATTTTGACTTGGCCCCTGGCCAGGAAGCATGATACGCTCCCAAAGGAGCAAAAGCAAGCGTACTTACGCCCCGTAGGGCGGGCTCTTTTAACGACCTCGGAGGGAGGCCGCGTACGTGTCCATCAGGACGTTGTACGCGGGGAGAACAGCCGCCGGCAAGTGTCCTCCAACAAGGCTGTCAATGGCAGCACGGAGACCAGCCGCTTCGGCCACGGCCGGAACCGCTGCAGAAGAGTCAACGGGCAGAGGAAATAATAACTGATGGGCAACCCACGTTGTGGGCCAATCAGAAGGCAGGATTTTCAGAAAATTCAACTGGCAATAATAAGAGGCAAGTACGACGGTTGAATAAAGGAAAGTGCGATTATTGCGCCAGGCGGCGCGCAAGGGCGAATTTCGCCATATTCACATCACTTCGAGCACAAAGACCGAGGCGAATACAACAACACCTCTCTTTTGTTATATATATATTCACAAGAGGCTCTGAATAGCCTCATAATCTTGTATCTAGGCGATAGTAGCGATATGGCCTCGAGGCGCGGTTTTCCAGACGACTACGCGCCGTCTGGGGGGGTGTGTCGTGCTGGCTCCGGGCCTCCGGACCCACTCTGCCGCGTCTCGGCCGCGAGGTCACGTGACCTCGCTCCAGCGACCGTATTCTTAAGCGTCCTTCGCTCCGCTCGCTCACTTAGAGAATACAAGCCGTTTTGTTCCTAGTTGATGCCGCCCGTGCCTGACGTCGGTCACCACAAATAGCTAACTAGCGAGCTTTTTTATAATATATGACCTTACGGAATTCTATCAAGGAAATTATGTAATTCTTAATGTTTGTTCATCGGCAGTCCTTTTTTTTTTTTTTTTTTTTTTTTCAATCAGGTAGTTTATTACACCGCCGCCTTTTCAAGCGTACGGTATTATATAATATCACGAAGGATTCTCCAACACCGGAATGAATGAAGCGGTCCTCCGTGTTAGCTCTTTGTTTATTGTGTGGGTCCCTCTGGACTCTGCGTGGCCCACTTGTCTGATCGAAATCCCATGGCTGTCGTTGTGGCCCACCTCTGATAAAACGGAGCACCGACAATTTGAAAACGGTGTAAGGATATAGACAACCAGCTGCAGAGCTTGACTTGCAAGGCTGCGAGTAAGAATAGTTCCATTTTCTGCATGTTAAATCTCTTGAAGCTGGGCATGAAAGCGGTCACGTCCTTAACTAACACAGCTGCAACGCATATTATGGACTTGAATCCTCTCCTATGAGATCTTGCGAATTTGATTCGCCAACGTCTAGATGATACTTTATGTTAGCGGTGGATAACCGTGTGAGAACAACTCAATTGGCCGACTAATGTGCCGCTGCCTAGTGCCGTGGTAGTTTCTCGGTTTCGTTATTAGCCTGTGGCCGACAGTATGTACTAAGTAATGTTTCCTAAATTCTATGCATCAGCTAGAGTACTAAGCAAATTTGTGCAAAAAAAACGATCGAATTATGAAGGACAGATATCGTAGATAACTAATCTCCGCTTTCTATACAGTCTGTGATGTGTCGACTCAAATATTACACAGTCACACTACGAAAGTAAGTCAATCTAAGACATCGAGTAGGACTCCTATATGTGCGAGGGTTAAATCTTGAGTTTGTTGTTGTGGTGACCGACTACGACATGGGCAGCATCAACTGGGGATAAAACAGCTTGTATTCCCTCAGTGAGCGAGCGAAGGGACGATAGATGGTAAAGAATACGGTCGCTGGACCGAAACTGTCACGTGACTTCGCGGCCGGGACGGCAGAGTGGGTCCGGAAGTCCGGAGGCTGAGGATAACATGATTTTGGCCCAGGAGGAATTACCACTATGAGTACTCTCCGTGCCCCCTTGCAAATGCCCGCCACCACATTGTTCTACAGATTTGCTCGCTGCTTAACATCAAGCAATCAGAAATATTCTGAGCGAGAGAGTTCAATGAGAAATCTGGCAGGATATTGCGTGAATCCTATTCGATGTTGCTATTACCACAATATATGTTTACAGACCTCTCGTCCTGTTTGTTGTGGTCGCGAGTATCGGCAGTAGCTGGACAAAAATGTCTGACCCGGTCCTAGCGCGTAAGATCGAAATAACAGTGGGTCCCGGCCGAGATCGATGCCGTCATACAGTTAAGCGTATTTTCATCTCGGACAACTAGTTTCCCAAAATGTCCGTCTCTATCGTTTACAGGACAGAAATCAACCCGCCGCCTAGTCTGACTGAGTGTTGAAGGAGCTCCACAAAATGTGGCGTGTAAATACATCTAGCCTCCCTACTTCTCACAAGACACCGACACCACTTTGTTTGCTTACTTTGCCAACTTATTTTTGGAATGCTGGTTGCCAAAACCGTGAGTTCCCAAACTTTTAAAACCGCAGTAGCAGTAATGCAGACAAGGGCGGCATCAGCGGCTATGGCTGGCCCCAAAAAGGAACGCAAAAGGAAAACCGAGGACTCAGGCATCCCCAAATCCAAAAAAACGGCACAGAGACGGGGTCGTCCGAAGAAAACACCAAGCAGCCCTTCAGTAGACGCTGAAGAAAAGATTTCTTTCGCTTCACCCAATTCAACGCAAGTCAAGGAGTCGACACCGGCCGCGGACATCCAGGTTGATGCTGCGTCTCCACGCGAACTCGAAGGCTCACCGCCAACCAAGAACCTCGCCGACAAGAAATGGACAGCTTGGTCGAAGCACGCCAAGTCTTCGCCGTACCCAGACTTTTTACGTCCGACGCCCGAGGAATGTCAGACTGCTCACGACATCCTCGAAAAGCTCCATGGCGATGTGGTTCGCGAAACGTTTGCCGATCCAGATGCCCCCTCCCAAGAGTATCCGTATGTCATGGATGCTCTTGTCGTAGCCGCTCTCAGCCAAGCTACCAGCTGGTCTAACGCGAAACGAGCGATGAAGAATATGAAAGTCGTCTACGGCTCGACCTTCAACTACGACGCGATAGAGGAGGGTGGCATGGACAAGCTGATCGATGCACTCAGGCCTGGCGGCATGCAGAACCGCAAGGCAAAGATATTGATGCAACTGTTAAAGGATGTCAAGAAACGCCATGGGAAATGGGATCTTCAGTTCCTCTTCGATGTGAGCGACGAGGAAGCCGTCAAAGAGGTGATGAGCTACTGGGGTCTGGGGCCAAAATGCGCATTCTGCCTCCTGAGCATCTGCCTCAAGAGAGACACTTTTGCGGTGGATGCGCATATCTACCGCATCTCGGGGCTATGGGGCTGGCGGCCGCGTGAAGCGTCTAGAGAAATGGCGCAGGCCCATCTTGACGCCCGCATCCCCAATCAAATCAAGTTTGCCCTGCATTATCAGCTGATCGTGCATGGCCAAAAGTGCCCCGTCTGCCGTGGAAATGGAGATAGCAAGGCCAAGTGCGATTATAAGCTCATGTTGAATGAGAGTAATGAAGCGAACAAATCTATGTCGTAGAAAGCTCGATAGCCAGTGAGAGATAAGCAAGGACAATCTATTCATTTGTTTTTTCGAGCTTCGGGTGAATGTCGATCTAACTCAGCAAGCCCTTGTAGGTCTATACAATGCATTGTTCATCTCATTCAAATGATCAGCAGAACATAGCTATTGATGTACCTGGGATAAGGGACGGACTTCGGGGTCGGCAAGAAGGCCGTAGAATGCGTGGGAGCAAATGATCGGTGACATACGTTCTGCAGACCACTCCTGAAAAAGGGGCCGCCCCACAAAATTGTCCAAGAGCACTGTGAGGGCCGTGAATGTCGTCGCGGCTTGGTCCGATGCCAAGTTTGCACTTTTCCAGGGCCTACAACTGATCCGATCCGGACAATTGTGGACCACTTTGGACCCCGTTCTAGAAGTCCCACACCGGTGAATCTGACTTCATCCCAATTGAATGCGTCCGGGTCCGATCTGGGAGCTTTTTGCACTGTGAGTATGTGAAAATTTGGAAAACCATGACAAAAAAACCCGAGGTGGGATAAAACCCGAGGTGTGTACCATGAGACGAAACCCTAGAAGCCATAGGACAAGACAAACCCAAGTGAAATTGCTAACGTGACAAATGATAATTTTGACGGATCCTGATTTCGACATATAAAAAGTTCATCCTCGCCAGTCTGGTTGATTGGCACTCGAATCATCATCCAAATCACTTCATCCATTTTCTCACCACACCAAACCAATCATGAGCTCATCATCTGCCCATCTTCGCCAAATTGGCATCTATAGAAACCTTCCGACATTCGACGAGTCTATCGCGGGCCTCACAGCCATTGTAACTGGAGCCAATGGCATTTCTGGGTTCAACACCATGCGCGCTCTTCTCGACAGCCCTCAGCGCTGGGAGACCATCTATTGTCTTTCGCGCAGACCTCCCCCAAATGAAATGATGGCCTTACTGTCGGATGAAGCCCGGTCCCGGATCAAAATGATTTCATGCGATTTCCTCGACGATCCCACCTTGATTGCCAAGAGCTTGAAATCGTCAGGTGTTCGAGCTGATCACATCTTCTTTTACTCCTACATTCACAAAGATTGGTCTGAAGCTGAGGCTCTTGTCAAGAGTAACACTGCTCTGCTGAAAAACTTCTTGGAGGCTCTTGAGTTGGCAGACATCAAACCTACCCGCTTTATCCTTCAGACTGGCGGCAAGAACTACGGCATGCATATCGGTCGTGCGCCTACACCGAAACTTGAGTCGGACCCGCAACCGAGGCATCTTGCACCCAATTTCTATTATCATCAAGAGGATCTTCTTAAGGCGTTCTGCGAAAGAACTGGCACAAAGTGGAACGTTATCAGGCCTGCCGCGATTATCGGCTCGTCAACGCATGCTGCAATGAACACGTTCTACCGCTTTGCCGTTTACGCCGCGGTTCAGGCTCGAAAGGGAGAGCCGCTCGTCTTTGGAGGCGACTGGGAACAGTGGCAGTATGAGTACTATCATTGCTCGGCTCGCATGACGGGCTACTTGAGTGAGTGGGCTGCATTGGAAAAGCCTTGCGCCAATGAAGCTTTCAATACCAATGACGGTGGGCCTTTCACTTATGAACGCTTTTTTGCCGAGCTGGCACGATGGTTTGGTGCCAAGGGTGTGATTCCGCCGCCAGATGACGATTCCAAGATGGCAACTGTGGAAATGGGATGCGGGGGCAAGAATTCTCCCCTGGGCTACGGGCCGCCCATGCTGTCCAAGTCGAGCTTCTGCCTCGGAGATTGGGCCAGAGATGAGAGAAATGCCGCCGTATGGAGGGATATTATGGAGGAATCGGGAGGCAAGATCACAAGTAATCCCTTTGACGACATTGAGTCCTTCTCCTTGATGAAGTGGGCATATCACCGGTTTGGCAGCGTATGCTTGAACAAGGCAAGGAGATTTGGGTGGACAGGCTTCGTTGACACCATGGAGAGCATCTTTGAGATGTATCAGGAGATGGGTCAGTTTGGCGCCCTTCCGACGATGCAGGTGGAGTCTGCGCGCCCGCTGTGTTAGAGATCTAGATCAAAACCTGTTCATGGCGCGGGGTTTCAAAAACATCGCAGGATGTTGTAAAGGGACTTATTTTGGGCTCACCTAGTGCAAACCCATTTATCTTGAAGAGCGTATGCGGCCTCAATGTTGCGCGTCGTTATTTTGAAAGCATTTTGTGCACACCACCGCAAAGGTTAGCGACCAACAGGGTGAAACTCGTTTTTCTTCACCATGCATCAAATTATGCCGATAGAGAATAGGTGACTGTAAAACTTTACAAACAAGACCAAGACACATGCAAGGCAACAGCCCTGTCCACTTCTCGACGTCTGAAGCAAGGAGAATGACAATACATTCTACAAACCCTGGTAAATATCGAAGGGCTGTCCGCAGTCGCTGAAATGGGATGATGGGATGATGGAAGCAGAGCATGAAAGAAAAGTACCTACCTCAAGGTAGTAAGTAGACTGGCAGCTCCAGGTAGGCTTTCTTGGTCCAATTTATTTTTAATTCGAAGAATCGAGAGTTGGGTCAACAAGGTAAGAAAATGTCTAAATATCCATTCAATGATTATCAATTCCAGCCACATTCCCACCAAAACCATCAGGGGTTTTCTCTTCAATAGAATCTCCTGTTTTTACTCGCCCAGTCGCTCGCGTGTCCAATTTGTTTCCCTATGCTTCACATCTGAAAGGAGCTTGTGCCATTTCTCCATATCATCTTGACAAATAATTAACTTTTCTCCCTTTTCAAGAGCTGCAACCTGCTTAAACCCTTCACCAGGCCCACCATCCCCGTCAACAACCTCACAAAGAGCCCAAGACTGATGATCCTGCAGCCAATCTTCGTCAACTGTCAGGGGCCCATCCCATCCTCTCTCCCGGCCACCAGAAAAGAATTCGACTTTTTGAAGCTTTCTGTCAATGTCTGCATTCTCTTTAAGAAGAAATTCGAAAGGCGCACGAGCCTCAGAGGCACTCAAATGAGGATTTGCAAAGGAATCGGCGCCTTGACAAGTCGATTTATCCTCAATCATTCTCATTTCTCTCCACGACATCAACTGTTGCTTTGCCTGCTCAAGTTGTCTTCGACATTCGCTAGCCTCTTCCAAGAAGATGGTCGCGTTCTCCAAGTTCGGGAACTTGGTAGCTAGTGCCTCGAGATGATCCCACCCCCAGGTGCCATTTTGATTAATGTCAAATGTCAGCGACCTCAAGTTTGGTGCCATGGAGCCCAAATCGGAAAGCTGATCCGCTGTCATGACTCTCCGTTGCCGTTGCAATAATTCGTATTCGCGCCATTCCAAGCTTCTCAGGGAATATGCGTGGCTGCGTATGATGGGGCTAACCGAAGCCCCAGTTTGGCCGCTGTTCAGCCAGGAAAGATGAGCAAGGGTGTTTGATGGAAGTGCAAGGATGAAGTCTTTGGCCCAAGCCCCGGATGCAGTGAACGATTTTAGGGATTTAAGGTGAGGTATCATAGAAGCTAATGCTCCGTCTGACCGAATCGAGAGACTCTCGATTTTGGAAAAGTCCATTGCACCTAGCCAGAGATCCAAGTTCGTCAGGTTTCTTTGCGCTTCAGACAACCTTAGCCCTTTCAGCCAGATCCAAGCGTTTCCGTAATACAGCCAATTAAGGTATTGATCGGCGGTGTTCCCATAACGCTGAAGCTTTCCCGCCTCTTTCCATGGCTTTTCGTTGAAGCTATACCCCTCTAGATCTAGTGCTTCGAGCTGCGACGAATAATGCGAGCCAGATGGAAGCTCGAAAGGAAAGTTGTATCGGTCAGGACAGTCTGAACATCCTGAACATGAGATTCGAAGCTTGAGACTTTTGATGGTGGAGCACTTGGTCATGATGTTGTGGACCTGGTCCATCGAGTCCAAGGAATCTCCAAGCCCATATCCAGCGTTTCGCCTAAGTTGGGTGGCGTATATAAATCTGTCAATTTCTGTTGGGCATTTGAATGGATGCCGCTCAGCTGACACAGCAGCAGATAAAGCGAGGGCAACTAAGGCAGAAAGACAAAGCCTGTGGATAGTTCGATGCATGGCCGTTTGTGAGCTAATGAGATGTAGTCACATTGGAGTTCTCCGCCGTTGTATATATATGAGTTCTTGCAATCATTCGCGCTTATTAATAGTAAGAATAAATAATAACACGTTTCTCAAAGCCTATTCAAAAAGGTACGTTTTCATATGGAGATGAACAGTGTGCATTCAGGTTTAAGTCACGCACTAATCATGCCAGCAGGCAGCTTTAGGCAGCCATACCTCGCTACCTACTTTAGAAACCGAAAGGATCATTTATGGCTTAGCTTTATACCAGAGACCAGGGTCAGCGTGAATACAGGACATGATGACTAATAAATGGAAAAGAAGGATCTGCATTTTTCAAAGCTAAGAGGCTTGCTCTAAAAGTGTGATAACCTACAGCACGGGCAGTTCTAATTAAGACTAAAACGGCTTACGATCCGTATCAGCCAACAGTTTTGCTGCCCAAGCATCGTGGGGTCTCTGGTCTGCCTCAGGTGGTGTGTCGCATACCGAGGCATCTACCAAGGCAATGGCCAAGATGTCTAGCCTAGACGTGGAGATAGCATGCGACGCTATGCTGGTTGAGATTGAGCTGCCTTTGGTATATGAAGAACTCTTCTCTGACTATGAGCTCCTGATTGCGCTGAAGGGTTCGCCCTATCACCTGGCCCTCAAGAAGCTCCCTGAGCTCGTCGCTCAAAACAAGGACGTCAAACCTCTGAGCACACTCAGTTTTTTGCATACCCAACAACTTTTGTAATCGCCGCCAACGTTCAACTTGACTTTTACGGAGATACCTCTTCCCTTGAAAGCTCGCTTGAGTCTTCGGGCACTGAGGCTAATGTTAAAGTTGGATTTGGCCCTTTTTCCTTGGCAGCATCACACAAGTCGTCTAAGAGCAACCTAAGTCTAAGACAGAGACTGAAACCACTGCAACAGATATGCGCGTTAGCCTGAAGGCTAGTCAGATAACCTTCTGGATATCAGAGCTATTACCGAAGCTACCTAAGCTACACAATTCTTCCAAGATGTTTGGGTTAAATTTACAAGAAAAGAAGATTGAATAGCAGAAAATCAGACCTTTAATAGCAAGGAGTTACGTTTTGCTACCTGCTTTGATTAAATACGTTTCAATTTATATAGACAACGTTCTATGAAAATAAAAAAAATGTTTAGGCTAACGTACATGATAAGCGAGTGAGACAGACAAGCGAGTGAGACAGTAAACCGCGACCGTCGCACCTTGACGCGACCGGCACCTTTTCCTCTACAATAAATCATGGAATCAGCTAGTATTGAAAGAAGGTTACAAATTGCCCTTCAAGCAATGAGAAATGACCCAAAACTTAGTGCTCGGGCCGCAGGTGCACTCTATACAGTCAGTCACGCAACATTAAGCCGGCGACTAAAGGGAATAGTCTCACGACGCGACAGCATGCCTAATTCACGGAATTTATCAGATTTAGAAGAGAAGACAATAGTTGAGTATATTCTCGACCTAGATGCGCGATCATTTCCTCCCCGGCTGAGTGGTGTGGAAGAAATGGCCAATCGACTTCTCGCAGAGCGCGACGCGCCTCCAGTTGGGAAGCGCTGGGCTTCTAATTTCGTCAAGCGACAACCACAGCTTAGGACGCGTTTCTTTCGCAAGTATGACTATAAGAGAGCTCAATGCGAAGATCCAGAGGTGATTCGTGGCTGGTTTTCGCTTGTGAAGAATACAATTGCGAAGTATGGTATTGCTGATGCTGATATCTACAACTTTGATGAGACCGGCTTTATGATGGGCGTTATTGCTTCTGGAATGGTTGTTACAAGTGCTGAAAGGCGTTCAAATACGAAGATGACACAGCCTGGCAATAGGGAATGGGTTACAGTTATCCAGGCTATTAATTCCCAAGGGGAGAGCATCCCGCCATACATCATCGTTGCAGGCCAGTATCACCTCTCAAGCTGGTATACAGAAACCTCTCTTCCGGGCGATTGGGCTATTGCAACGTCTGAAAATGGATGGACAACAAACGAGAGAGGTATTGACTGGATCAGACACTTCGACATTTATACAAAACCACGTACGTCTGGGAAATATCGCCTCCTCGTTGTTGATGGTCATGAAAGTCACCACTCCGCAGCCTTCGAGCTCTTTTGTCAAGAAAACAACATTATTACACTGTGCATGCCGGCTCACTCGTCTCATCTACTTCAACCCTTAGATGTTGGTTGTTTTCAGCCGTTAAAGAATGCCTACGGTCGGCAAATTGAGAATAAGATGCGGCGAGGCACAACCCATATCTCGAAGGAAGATTTCTTTGCAGCATTTCACGAAGCTTTTAAGCAGTCTTTTACGAGGAAAAATATCCAGGGAGGTTTCCGAGGAGCTGGACTTGTCCCTTTGAATGCAGAAAGTGTTCTCTCAAAGCTGGATGTAAAGTTCCGAACGCCAACGCCTGAGGAGGGGGTCCCTCAGACACCAGACCCTTGGATCTCTAGGACGCCGAGCAACCCAAGCGAAGCAAGATCACAGTCTACTTTTATTAAGAGTCGAATCTCACGCCACCGAAGCAGCTCTCCAGCATCAATTTATAGTGCTGTGAGTAAGCTAGCCAGAGGGACAGAAGGACTAGGGCATCGGGTAGCATTACTAGAGTCAGAGGTTCAAATCCTTCGAGAGGAGAATGCAATATTAAGTCGGCGTCGAAGGGCTAAGAAAACACGTCTACAGAAAGGAGGAAGTCTTACTATATCTACTGGAGAGGATATACAGTCGCAAAGAGAGGCAGACACGCAACTACAAGAGGAAACGCGACGGAGTAGTGGTCGCAAAGTGAGGTCTGAGACGACTCATCGTCGGTGTGGCGTATGCGGGAATACAGGCCACAACGCGAGAACATGTCAATTTATTGAGGAAACATCCGAAGAACAGGAATCCGAGTAGTATTAATCAATCTAAGATTTCTTGTTATAGATTTCGATATTATTGTCGCGAAGGTCTGGTTTACTGTCTCACTCGCTTGTCTGTCTCACTCGCTTATCATGTACGTTAGTGGTTGGTGGGCCAGCTTCAGATGGATTTCGTTTATGAGTGGCTTGAAGAAATCTGACATGTTCTCCCCTGGAAGATAGTACGGCCATTGATACTGCAGAAATCCGGAGAAGTCATTGAAACAACCAACGGCAATAGCAAAAGCATCGGCAATGCCATCGCGAACGGTGCGATTCCAGGCGTTATCATCGATGTCTTGTCGATTCGCTGTTAAAACGAAGTCACCTTGAAGCAGGAACTGCTCAAGTGTCAGATCAGTTTACTTGTACCTGATTAACAGTCTTGAAGTACGGACCTTGAAGCCATAGTCACGAATAGGCAGAAATGCGTGGACCATCTGAGTACGCTTCGGCTTTTCAGCTACATTCAAGATTGGAAAACCAAGCACAATCTCTGAGCTTGAGCATCCTGGCCGCTGCTTCATCTCCGGAAGATTTTCAACCTTATGGTGAACGATCAAGTAATCCGACGGAGTGTTGTTTTTCCATAGTCTAGTGACATGGTTGTTGCGGTCCTTTAGATCTTCTCTACTGAGGGTATTTTGCCACATGTCGCCGTCTTCGTCATCAATGACAACATTGATTTGTTTCAGCTGCCGAAGAAACAGAAGCATTGTGCGGTCAAGCGCTTTCAGCTCCTTGGTGATCATTGTTTTGTCACATTCCTCGGATAGCTCCAGAAGAAAAGAAGTGTGGCCATGCCGTACAGGTGCTGGAAATTCACACCAAATCGGCGTGACGTTTCCCAAGTCTTGTTTACCATCGAACTTGAACGAGAATTGGCATGAATGGATGTAGATAGTAGCAGCTACTTTGAAAACCGATTTGAAGCCGATTCCCTTCTCGCCGATGTGGTGAGCAGATCCAGATTTGGTGCTTTGCCCAAAGCTGCAGAGAGCTCGAACGTTGCTGTCTGTAAAGCCAACTTCATTGCAGTCTATACGTAGGCTGTCTTTACGTAAAGTAAAGTCTAGAATGGGAACCACGCCAATGTAGCGATTATCATCTGCATTTTGTATCAACTCGAGAAGGAAATGCGTTTCCTTACTGTACAGCTGTTTGGAGACACTAGGCATTTGTTAACTCATTCATCCTTATAAATGAAAAGAAGCTAGGAGTAACTAGTCGTACATTTCTTCAAGTAAGCTTTGTATGCCTCCGCCACTGTTGGGTTGTTCAGCTCCGATTGCCTTGAAAGCTTCCCAATTTTGCTGTAATTCCTCAATAAGAGCTTGCGCGCTCTTTACCGAGTCCGTCATCTGCGTTTCTGGTTTATCATTGAGCGATGGGAGTTCTTATGTAGTCGATTTAGGTAGTGTGCTGTTGTTAATAGTGTCAATCGAAATTGTAATGTTGCTCTATAGCAGTTGACAAGTCGTGTCATTGAACACCTATTAACATGGTCAAAAAGTGTAAATAGTTAAGCGTGAGCCTGGTATCTAAATGGCGACGTGATAGTTTATCTATGGTAGACTAGCATACGTATGGCGGCTTTCTGGTTCGCCATTGCCATCAGGCTGGAAGTTTTAGGCAACAATCCGGTAATTTTATTTCAGTCTTTCTCGCATATACTACCTCTGTAGCACTAGGCACATAACTAGCCACTCATATTGCTAAGGCAGACTTCGAAGGGCCTCAGCCCCACGAAGATGCAGTGATGTAACCATGTAGGTGGCGGAGTAGCCTTCCAATTGGCCTCTGACCGGCATAATCCTACCTTGGCATGCATCGAGATGGCTTATACAAGTATCTAAGTTAGCCACAGCACGTTACTAGTAGTCTTACCCCGCCATGGTTGGCCCCTAATTCCTGTCCTTGATTTCCCCCTTTCACATTGCGACTTGAAAACCACACTCTATACAACCATTTCACACTCAATCTTTGCAAGGTCAATGCCTACTATCAGCCATGCTCTGTGACGTTTGCCTTTCTATTTTCGATGATTTTGATCCAGATGACTCGATTTCAGAAGACGGTGACCACCAGCCTGACGTTTTGTCCCTCGCAGAGGCTGCGATTGATGGGTGCTATATTTGCAAAGATTTCTTTTGGCAGATCATTGACACCCATAAAGGCGAAAATACAGAATTTAAATCAAGTTCTTTCAACCTCTCCCGTCCGGAAGAATCTGGACAGGAACCATTGTGGAAGCTACATCTATCAGCCATTTCCGAATGTGCTAGTTACGAGCAATCTTATTCATTGTGGCCGACTTCTTCGTGTTCTACAGGCATTTCCATTGAAAACCGGAAAGGAGTAATATCATTTCCGGAGTCTGCAAAGGCTGCTCAACAATGGATAGATATCTGTTCTAGGCAGCATGCGCAATGCCTCTCACATCCCCTACCGGCATCATACCCAACTCGGCTACTTGAAATAGGGGAGGCTCAAATACGGCTCATTGTAACAGGTCAAGAAACTTTAAGCGGCCCATACGCTGCTTTGAGTTACTGTTGGGGATCTCCGCCTTTCAACTTTCTCCGCCTTACTGCCGCCAACTTAGCTGACCTGCAATCCGGTGTTCCTCTATCCGATTTGCCTCTTGCTTTTCGAGAGGCCATTTCTTTCGCGCGACTTCTAGGTCTTCAATACCTTTGGATTGATTGCCTCTGTATCATTCAGACCGGCCCAGGTAGCAAGGAGGATTGGCTATATGAGTCTGTTCGGATGCAAGACGTCTATGCAAATTGCGCAATATGTCTCGCTTTGAACCGGGCTGCAAGCCCGCACGATAGTATTATCAGCGGGTCAAAACCTAAGATTATATCACCATTCAAGGTTAACATACCAAGTACTGCTGGTGAGGATGCCTCTCTGTCGAAGCCTAAAACATACACTGTAGTCCCCGCTGGTTACCACGAACTTGCACTCTACTATCAGCCACTCGGATCCCGCGCTTGGGCTTTGCAAGAACGACTACTCCCTGCAAGAGTCCTGGCCTTCGGTGCGGGGGAGGTATTTTGGAGTTGCAAACAACTTCCTCACGCATGTGAGTCTCTTCCAGAGGGTCTCCCTGATAGTATGACGGCGGAATATTATCAAATTCCTCCAGTTCCAATTGCCATGGAGCCAGATGACCTTTTCACAACATGGCTTCAGATCGTAGAAGAGTATACTAGCCGCGACCTCACTTATCCCAAGTCCGACAAACTCGTTGCTTTCTCCGCAATCGCAGCGCTCATGAATTCGACCACAAGGGATGAATATATCGAAGGCCACTTTTGGAAAACTATTCCTAGAAGTCTTTGTTGGAGCGGCAGCGAGTACAACCATTGGGGGCCTGGTCTACGTCACACAGTAAGAAGACAGTATTCAACGAGCGATGAAAGGCAAGGCATTTTCCATAAGCCCCCAACCTGGAGTTGGGCGTCGGTAGATGGGGAAGTGTTTTTCAACGAGTCCAAGTTTCAATTTGACGACATGTCTCGCATCATGGATCATGACGTATCCTTGGCATATGCTAAACGATACATCAAAAGCATCGGGAAGAGAGCATTTGATGATACAACACTACCGTCAGTAGCTTTGGAACTTAGTGTCTTCGCCATGGAAGGGAAGTGGAAGAAGGATGCTGGTGAGAAGCACCACTGGAGTACAGGTGTTACATTTTGCATTGACGACTCCCAAGGCATTAGAGAGGAGGTTGAAAGTGTCTGCGCGGTTCCAGATGAACTTCCCAGAATACCAATGGGAGAAATCGAGGCAGTGTTTTGCCCCTTGATCTTAACTAAGGCTCATGACAGGATCGCGGGGTATGATGGATCCGAATACGTTCTGGGTGTATTCCAGATAGGATCAGAAATGTTAATGGACGGTCATACTGTGTTTGAAAGGGTAGGAAGCGGGTTTCTTAAGTTGAAGCCTGGAATACAATGGAAGGATACGGTAGAAAATTTGGGTATGCAGCGGAAGACTATTATGCTAGGCTAATAGTTTCTCCATCAAGTATTAAGATGGGGCTAGTAGACTAGCGTTCCGTCAACTTCTGTACGACCTTTTTTTCGCCTAGGTTAGAGTAAATCAATCATAGCCCTTGTTAAAAGTCCTGCTATTTCATTTACTTTGACCTGGACATATTTCTTCTGTATTACTTCTAAGCGTCAAGGTTAGAGACGACCATATCTTTGAGCACATAAACATGTGTTAGAACTTCTGAGCCAAACTCAATTCAACAGACTACTTTGTACGGAAGGTTTTGCGGAGCATTAACTATAATTTAAAAGTGGGAAGCCGAGGAGTTGGCAAACTGAGGCCTCAGTTGATGGGATAAAGATAAACTACCTAGGTATTCGAAAAAGCCGTGTCGGGTAGGTTTTCGCGTGGTCCATCGTCAGACATCAGCAACAATGAAAGAGTGATCAATTCAATAGCCGCACTCAGCCAGTAGTCCCATACTTGAACTGCGACTTGCCTGCGGGTTCATAGGACTGGTGACGCTGGTCCCAATGAACACCGACCCCGTTCATGCCGTGACACAAAAAGTGACCCATGTTTCAACTAACAAACTCCACAGAAATTATTTCTCAGACTTTCGAAAGACGACTCTCAAGACGAGAACTTCGCTTCGCACTGCGCTTGGTTATCTGGTTTTGACATTGGAGATTTTTACTAAAAGCCTTAGAAGAAGCCGTTGGAATAATTTTTGGAGGTTTTCATGTTGTAAAGTCAAGGAACACTTTTGGCTTGCATTGGTGTATTTGGGTCTTGCGTAAATCCCAGCCCAACGGACACCAACCAATCGGTAGCAGTCAAAAGGCTCAGCTGTCAATATTGTCAGCGCAAGCCACCTGCACCCTCAATGTTGTTAGCGATTCCCACTCTGGGAATCAATAGTGCCTTTTTGGGCTAGCGCACGCCCGGTTTTCGAAGCGTGCAAGAGTCTGGACTCAACTCGCTCTGGGTGCTGTCATTAACCTGTGCTGCAGTTGATGCTTTTTAATGTTTGTGGCGCCTTCGACCGCGCTGAAGTCCCAGGAAATCTGCATGCCAACGCATGCATGGTATCATTATCCCAAGGCAGAAGAGGATTTATCTGAGACGTGTTGCTTTTGAATGGTTTGACCCTCTCTAGTTACGTTCGATGTCGATTGATCGACTGATAATCGGCCATGCCGACATGTCCAGCACATCTGCTTGAGATCTGCCCTTTCTTCCGTCCGAGGCCTGACCTGAATGCACCACTCAGCTTTGAACTCAACCTCCTTGAATGAGGCTAATCTGCAGCTGTCGACGCAGAGGGGAACTATCACGGGATTGATCGCTTGCAAATGCAGTGCCCAGCTATGCTTGAGGAGCATGGTGCATACAATCTTTTTAGCACCAAGGTGTATAACGATGTCCATGCCTAATTGCTGCCTCAATCATCACAGAGCTATAAAAGGTCAACCTGTCTTTCACTCGAGGTAGCTATTTCATACCAAAGTATTCGTTCTCCTTCAAATCAGCCAGATCACACACTATGCTCCTAAAAAAGTTCTTTCTCGGCGGACTGCTTTTATTAGGGCCTGTGGAGGCATCTCCATACCTCCAGAAGCGTGCGAATGAGTGCAACCGCGATAATCTGTTCCGATGTCTTATAGACACAAGATACACTGTTCAGGCGGTTGCTTACTGTAGCGGTCTCTCACCATTTACAACAACGGTGAAGACAGTCACGGCGACGTCGTATGTGTCAATGGCCCATCCCTTTCTTATGAGACACGTTTATTAACACTGGGGTTCAAAGCACCCGAGCGATTACGACCATCGTTGGACGGACTGAGACAAACACTATCACGTCTACCACCACGGTATTTACAACTACGGTGCCCGTTGCTACCGAGACCATTACTCGTCTTGCCCCCACAAAACGTGATGTTGAGGAGCGTGCAGCTGCGCCTGCTTCACCACCGAAATGCGTAACATCCGGGACTTCATACCCGGCATCTCGCATCACTTCAGCCTGCTCGTGCATCGGAGTGCCGGCTCGTACCGTCTCGGCGACGGCAACGATCTCCACGAGGACTGTTACAGAGGTAGGCACACATCCAGACCGCTATTCTACTTTTAAAATTCTCTCAAGTACTGACCTGCCTGCCTAGAAATCTACAGTAACAGTCACAATAACAGCAGCTGCGACCTCATGGGTCACCGTCTCAACTGCGACGACAGCCGGAACGGTGACTGTGACGGTTGAGCCGCCCCCGGCAGTGACCACCAATCTCTTGGTGAATGGCGACTTCGAAACAGCCGGAAGTCCTCCTCGCGGGTGGGAGATTGTCTCATCTTCAGCCACTGTCGCGTTGGCCACGAGACAGTACGGCTCGAGAAGCACCGCCCTCATGCTCAATCCCGCTATCGGAGGTGTAGAGCCGGTCGCAATGGTGCGGCAGTTGTTCTCCGTGCCGATAGAGGGGTTTTATGTCGTCTCTTTTGATTACATTATAATACCCAAGACGCCGAGCCTTCCACTGGGCAACAAGATTGAAATGAATATCCTCACGGAGCACGACGAAAAGATCCTATCACCGGAAAATATCGTTTTGATATGGGACAGCACGAACAACCCGTACTGGCAAACGTACAGGTCGGGGCCGGTTAGCTTGCCGAGGGTGGGACACGTTGCTATACAGTTCGACCTCTTCAACGCAGACGAAGACATAAACCATGGAGCGAACATCCTTCTGGACAACGTCGAGATTAAAAGCTTTGCCGAAACTACCTAGGAAATTAGTTATTGGCCTTTGTTGTAATTTTTTTCATTCGTTAGCTAGTTGCTTTTTCTATGTGCCGATCGAAGGTAACAGTTAATGCCGACCGGTTTTTTCCACATCTTCAGAGTCATAACGGATCAGGACTGACAAATGATTTACGGACGCTTTCATTATTGCAGCCCGACCTGTCGCCCTGCTCAAGTGTGTCAAATCCGTCTTCCTTTACGTTTTACATTTATGTAGTACGTCTTTATCTTGCATATAACTAAGTCCGTAAACTTCGCTACATGTCAAAGTACCAACCTGCGCATAGCAATTGACCCATGAAATCCGACCTACAGGCTAAGCTGGTGGTTGAAGATTCCTTTCCCTCTCCAAGAATTAAGCGATTGGTTGCATATGCATCTCCTAAGTGATTGGCCAGAATGAAAGAAATTCCACTTTGGTTGTAGTAAAGAGACAAGTTCTCAATCGATCTCATCATTATCCATTCCAATCCCAGGGATCAAATGATATAATGAATACCCTCACTAAACATGGGTTAAACTTAGACCAGAAGGTTACCCTGTACAGTTTGGTACAATAGGGCACTATTTAGTACTTAGTTGGGATTCTATTTGTTTTGGTTGATAGATGAGGTATTTATCAGGCTAGCCTTCTGGTTGGTACATGTCTTGTGACTCTGCATCCTGGATCCTGCATCCAATGTCGTCAGCACTGAGGCGCCCATGTGCTACCCCTCAAGACCTCGGAGTTTTGTACAAGGCTGCCGCCCAAAGGTGTCATCAATTTTCACCATTAGCAACTTCCGCTACCACGCCCGTAGACAAGACACCCCATGGATCCTCTGTCTATTACTGCCAGTGTCATCACCGTCGTAACCCTTGCTGGGCAATGCGCCAAATCCTTCGCTTGTCTCCGCAACGTCTACAAAACGCTTCCCGGCAGGCTTCACGCGCTGAATAATGAAGTAACCGACATCAATGCTGTCCTGATAGATGTGGCGACCCTGCTGGGAGAGCGAGGGAAACACAACATACCACTAGACGAGCAGAGCCAAATCGCGCATATCGTGACTCAGTTGACTGAGAAGCTCACCGAACTCAGAAGTATCATCGATGCACTGTCAACTTCCAGCAGTCGCGCGAACATCCCCATAGTCCAGGCCAGAGCCTGGTCTAAGGTGCAGGAAAAATTATCACGCCTACAGGAAGATATCAAGAACGCCAAAAGCCGCTTGAACGTACTCTTGGGCGCATCAAACTCGTACGTCCCACAGCAACTTGACAGTCATTTGCTCTTGTACTAACTGTCCTCAGCCGCGACCTATTACATATTCGAATGCAAGTCGAGGCCATTAGCGCCCATACAATTATCTCTCCTCAATTCGAACACGATTTAAAAAAGGATGTGCTTGGCATTGTATCTCATCACGGAGATGAGATCGCAAGCTCTCTGGGCGAGATCAATCGGACTGTTGACGAAAGATTAGCCAGGATTGAAGAGATGATGAAAGCTCAAGGATCTCGATTTTACCAAGGGCAGGAGAACAGACTGGGTCCATATTACGGCGTTGCAGCTCAACACCGCCGCAGACATTCCCAAGCCGAGAAAGGGAATAACGTCCGTCAGCCTCTGCATTCGCGTGCTGATGCAGTAGGGATACAAATGATGCGGTACTCGGCGAACTGTCGTCCGGGATGCCCCTGTATCTGTCACAAGCAAAAGCGTTCCTCTTCACCAGCTTTCTTGGACCGGCTATTCGGTCAGCTCTTCATGGGATACAGTGGAGTGCCGGGACTGAACTCAAAATGCGACAATCCCACTTGTGAGGTCTCCCAAACCACGCATGTCAGCTTAGAGTACTGGTTCCCTCTGGGGCTCTTTTGGTCTCAGATTATCCGTGTGCAAGCTGGCTATCAACCAAACCTCGGACCAAATTTCCAAATGACAGTGATGAGAAGGATACCAGACAGTTCCCAAGCTATCGAATTTGCACTTATCGGTAACATTGATGGCCTGAAACACCTCTTCAAAACCGGACAGGCGTCAACTAGGGATGTCAGTTCCACCCGTGGATACACACTGCTACGCTGGGCTCTGTATGGTAATCAGTGGCAAACCAGCAAGTTCCTCATGCAAGCAGGTTGCGATCCAGACTATCATCCAGCGAATCCTATCGAGTATACTCCTAGAAACAAGGCATTGGATGTCATTTTACAAGGTCAGCTCAGAAAAGAAGACGAAGAGGCCCTGCGACCTGTTGCCATGGATAGCGAATGGATCGACGACCAGAATTACAGTCCGTTGCACAAATCTGTACTGGGGTTGTCGAGCATAAGCATAGAGAACGCACTACTCCAGTGTCAGGATGATCTCGAAGCAGTCGACGCAATGGGTCGAAGCGCTCTTTTTTGGGCTGCTTCGCGCGGAGATGATCGAACGGTCGCGATACTCCTAGCCTCTGGAGCCGACCCAAACAACATAGATTATCAGCTTGACACCCCCCTCGCATTTGCAGCAGATAATGGACATACGAAATGCGTTCGCCTCCTCCTCGAAGCAGGCGCTGACACGGAACCCAAGAGACCTCCAGGCATAAAATTTAGTAACCCTCTCAATCGCGCTTCTCGGAGCGCCACCGATCCACTTACTCTCAAGACGTTGCTGGATTTCGGCTCGGACATTGAGTCCTGCGGCATCGACGGCAGAACGCCCCTGATACATGTAGCTCGCAGAGATAACGTCAGCTTTGCACTCCTGCTCCTAGAATATGGCGCCAACATCAACGCCACTTCTATCACTGGGCAGACACCTCTGACTACGGCCATCACACACAACAGCCATGGTGTTCTACAGTTATTGCTCGACCGCTGGTTTGAATACAGCCAGTGTCCTCGTCTCAGTGGTGGTCATTTGCTTCAGGTGGTTACTGAATATGCCGACCTCGAGACTATCAAGATCCTAGTCCAGACTGACCACTTGCATTTAAAGTATGATCATAGTTACGGTTTATATGACTATGAGAAGCAGTTGAAAGATCGGATCGGGACAGATGAAAAGTTAGAGTCGGCTTTCAAAGAGTTAATGACCGTCATCAACACCGATCCGTATCAAATGCAGGGGCCCGAGTCCCTAGCAGAGGCGGGGCTGCTAGCTGGTCCGCATAGGCGTCAGACGGACCTGTCGGACCCTGGGTCAATCTGCTCAATCTCGAGTTCTACTTCAGATGAAGAGTTTGTGGAGGCTCTCGAGCACCTTGATCTCGGCGCCATTCAGACTAACGCGAGCTCGTCGTGATCCTGGACAATTCTTTGTTGATGCTCTTCGTCTCTATTGCAGCTCTTGGGGGAGGGGCGATTTTGGGCTCTCGAAATCTGGTTTCAAGACTTTAAGTGTGGCCACAATACCGCCATGGACGAAGCACGTGGTCTACTTGTGGTTGGTTGATCGTGTCCGTGTGCCGAGGCCGCCGCGTCGGCTTTTTGCCTACTGGCAAAGTAGGTCTAGGGCGCAAGTATAGTTAGGGCAAAATGACAGAAATCGTGGAGTCTGACAAAGAAATGCTGGTCTTATCTCTTATCGGCCCAGGCATTTCTGACGACAAGGAGCTGGTGATATGGTGTGATGCCCCAGAATTTGGCAGTTCTTGGTGACCTTCCAGGTGATGCTTCTTACGTTGGCATGGATTCCAAAGTCGTCTTCAGTGAGGTAGATTACCAGCGTCTTAACTAGCTTATCGAGTAACCAATGGCGGGTATCGCAGGGGTCTATCTCAAAAGGAGGGCGGGAAAGATCAAGCTCAAGGAATAGAGCTGGCGTCCGTGTTCGTTTTTGACGGCAAAAAAAGTGTAATATCGGTCGGCAAATTGTTTACGTATGGCTTTTGTGGAGGCATTGCTCAGCGGTTTTGGGTGCGTGTAATGGTTGGGGAGTTTAGGTTAAAGGTGATGCTGATAACGCAGGAATGTACGCTGTTCGGCATTGAGTGACACTTAGTTTTTGACGAGTTGTTGCTGGTGCAGAAGAGGAGAGAGTCATAGATTCTTTCCGCCTACATTCCATGTGGAAGTCAAGACTTGTCTTCATCCTTGGCTAAACCCATGCGGCATGTCCCTGTCGACTTGAAAAGGTTTGATCTGTCGTCACGATATTGTCACTACCGAGTCACTTGCAGATGATTTAAAGCATTGAAGAAAGCGATAAAGACAAGAAAAGCAGTTGACTGAGTCTTGGTTCTCTCATTTCGCTTCCATCCCAGATGCTTTTACTTGCAGTAATGCGCAAACTTTTGATCCTGGAAAGTCGGACAGTCGCCTTGACTCATTCAGCCACACGCGCACGGCCACACACCACCATCTACGTAATTTCTTTCATCATCACATTTTTGTACAAAGTAGTGGACACCTCGACCAGAGATCATGGTTAGGTTCTGGGTCTCAGGAATCCACGTTCTCAGCACCAATCACCTAATGTCTGTCAAATTCTGCTGAGAGTCTGTAAAAGGTGTAGGACAATCACAAATCGCACGCGTTCAACATGAAAGTACTTGACTTGCAGTAAACTTTGCCTTTGTATAACTGCATGTTTTGACACACACCCTTTGCGAGCATTAAGTATGATAACAGGATGGGCCGACTTTCTAGGCCTACACGTTACCTATAGAATGCCAACCAGCCACCCACAGAGGTCATGCGTAGATTTGTAACACACTCATCGCCTCCATTAATCCAGAAACTCGCAGATGCCCCTGCCGAATGAACTTCGACGATCTTTCGATCTCTCTCGTTATTACGGATTCGCAAGACGCCTGCATCACCGCCCTTTGGAGGTGAAAACCAAATCGACGTCTTGCCTTTAATACATTGAGTACCGGAATAAACACATATCCCAGAGGCTGGTGCTGGTCCTGTTTGAGGGTACGCCGCCGGCGCGCAAGTAGACACCGCTAGAGCTCCGCTGGCGGGAAGAAGAAGGGCGAGAAATTGTTGGATGTGCATCTCTACCCGGTTTCTAAATGATGCTACTTGATGCACCTAAACTGTTAGCTAAGGTATTCTCATCTTCTGTTTAAACTTGGTTGATGTTAACTGACAGAGACAGGATGCGACTGTGTCAAACGACGTAATGGGTTAGGAAAAAGAAATAGTAGTCTTGCATAGTTAAGGCAGGTTTGAGAGCGTATATATTGGACAGAATTAAATGGATCTTGTTAATGCCTATTGGCGAAGGCCTCATTGTTTACCGAGACTGTTATGTTCGGATACTTATTTGTCCCCGAATGATTGTATACTAGTGTTTCTTATGATCCAAAGTCAAAATTGAATCTACGAGTCATGAATATCGATTTTAGCTTCAAGTAAGGGTATTCAATTAATAGGCATATTAAAGTTCTGTGACTAGTTGGCTTGTTGACGTTGCCTCGAGTCATTTGTACGACTGAATATGAGATATCCTATCAAAGTGTTCACTTGACTCATTTTGCAGGGGCGTCATAGACCTAGCTGGAGCTCTTGCGCCTGATATTCTTGTCAACTCATATGCTTGATGTTAGTGTACATCTGTTTTCCAAGATTTGCAACAGGACAAGAGGTATTAGCACTAGGTATGTAGGGATACCTGCAGAACACTACATCACTGTCTCGGCACAACCAGTTATGGTGCTTGCGGGCAAAACTACGTCAAACATTGCATAGTAGGGGTCAATAACCACGGTTCATCATCACTGAAGCTTTTTCTTTGTGGCGCAGTTGGATGTCCTGACTTGTTCATGACAATTACAGTGACGAAGGTCGGCTGTACTGATGCTTTGGTTGTTTACGGAGGACGCGTCTTTGCTTCCAGGCTCAAAAGTCGGCGAACTGCTGTAAAAGAAGCAGCTTATAATAAAATACATCCACTGTTGGCAGAACGCCTGTCACCTGAGGCAGCCCACTAGCTGACTAGTTAGTTCTGGCCACCACACACAGCTCACTATTCTGACCATTCTGTGCCGGTTTCGCCCACATCAACAGCCAATCCTGCTGTAGCGAATAGCTGAGAGCTAATGCAGTCTCATGAAGGCCCAAGTCAAGGTATGTTGCCATGCCATTTGTATTACTTTCACGCGTTTGTGGTTTTTATGTAACAAATCCTCAAGTACTAGCGCATCTTAGTTACGCGTTATACCATGAGGAATAACCATTTATGCCAGTCATGCGCAGATTTGATGTAACACATTCGTCGCCTCCATTAATCCAGAAATTTGTCGCGATGTTATCCTGCCGAACTTGTACAATCTTGCGAATATTCTTGTCGTTATTACGAATTCGTAGGACGCCTCCTGTGTTGCCTCTCGGAGGTGAAAACCAAATCGAAATGTCGCGCCCAACACATTTTGTATCGGAAACATTGGTACATGTCCCAACAACATCAGGTCCTCTCTTTGGAGTTGGCGCCAGGGCGCAAGTAGAAACCGCCAAAGCTCCACTGGCGGAAACAAAAAGAGTGAGAAATGATGGGGCGTGCATTTCTAGGCTTGTCTCAAAATTCTGTTCTGCATACATTGGCTATTAGCTAATATTTCCGTGGTGAAAGTTGTTTGTTGTCATACCAGTCAAAATAGGATGCTCTCATGTTAATTGTATAGTAGGCAAGTAAGAGCAGACTAATAGATCGAAAGTAGTGGTAAGAGTTTATATATCCAACAGAGTTGGATCGGCTTTGTTCGCATGTAATGCCGGAAGCCCGGCAATCACCGAGACCGTGATGTTTGGATACCTTTGCCCGAGGGGGCATTTAATATAAGCTAGTATCTCTTAACGTCCCACACCCACTTCTGGGCACCCCCCACATTTGGGCACCCCATTTACACCAAAAACGCCGTTTTTCGAAATTCTATATTAAACTAACTACTATACTTACTAAGAAAAGAAAATATATATAAACTATGTTAAGTATAATTATAGCCATCTAATTTTTTATAAAGGTTTAAATATAATAATAGTTATAATATAGAAGTTTAAAACTAAAAGCTTTAAAATGTTAGTAGATACTAGTAACTTACTAGTATTCCTTAACATTAGAAAAATATATTTTCGCTCATATATACTTATTTAAAAAATCTAGGAAATTAATATTTATACTTATTAAAAGTATATAATTATATCTAAAAGAGATTTAAAAGTATTACTTTAGTAAATATAGTATAATTAAGGGTTAAAATTCTATAATAGAAACTTTTCTTAAGGGAAATTTTAAAATATTATTCTAAGCTTAAAGAATTTTTTACTAAGTATAAGAATATATAAATCTACTATATCTTACTTAAAAATTCTAATCATATTAGTTAAATATCTCTACCTATTTTATATATTAAGATATAGGCTAGGTAAATTAGTATTATAAATATTAAACCTTGAATTTATAATACTTATTATTAATAATACTAGTATATAGCTACTTAAGTATTATAATTAAGTCTTAATCTATTTAACATATATTTATTCTCTTTAATAAGTAAAGTATTTAGTTTAATATAGAATTTCGAAAAACGGCGTTTTTGGTGTAAATGGGGTGCCCAAATGTGGGGGGTGCCCAGAAGTGGGTGTGGGACGTTACCATGCAAAGCTAAAATCAAAGCTATGAGTCATGGGTGCTGAGCTTTGTTAAGGAAAAGGCGTTTGACTTATATTAAAGTTCAGCCAGCAGTTCCCCTAGAGGTACTAGCGATCTATGCTGATATAGGACACTGCATCACTATTTCGGCGCAACCGGTTCAGGTGTTGGCTGGCGTAGCTATCTGCATAGTGCAGAACAGGGGATGGTGATACCGGTGCATTATTGCAGAAGCTTTTTCTTTGCGGCGCATTGGTTGCCCTGGCCTGCTCATGGCAATTACACCGCCAATCCAGTCGTGGTGATGTGGAGTGGAAAGTACCTGGAACGGGGATATTGAGGCTTGGAAAATTAAGTTTGGTTAGCACTCAAAAAGATATTATACCAAGTAATTGCGTACTATAATATGGGTTAGTTTAAAAAACAAACACTATTACCATCCTAGGTAGTTTAGTTTAATCTCTTAATTGTACTTTTATTAACTCCCAGGACTTTTACTCACTAATTTTCACACACAATATACAATAGTAGCGGGTGACGACGTTGCATCTTGTGTTTTCATGTTCCCTTTTCTTCTTGTCAACAGTTGTCTTGGCCTTGGCGCGTCGTGTGCCCCCAAACTTTCCAATTGTCGCCCTTCTAATACATTAGATGCAAATTCTTAGTCTCAGTCCCGTCATCTCAGCCCAAGACTTATAGTTAATTACATTGTGTGCCCAGTCTAACGAGAATTCAATAAGCGGCACAACATGCGCTGAGAGGAAACGTATAGGAAGGCAATGCGGCAGTCATCAATAGACGGCCTAGCTCATGTTCGATACAGGGGCAAATGACATAAATTCGGATGTTAATACATATGCTACCTACTCACAAATGGCGCCGTTCCCTATTTCGGCTTTGGGTATGTGCCTTGGCACACCAAGACACCCCCACTGGAGCCAATACCATAACTACCTCCATCGTGATGCGATTTGAATGGTGCGAAACACACAGTTACAGCACTTGTAGGCTCCGCTCCATCAGCAATGAGAAATTATGAACTTGTTTAGTCGAGGCAGGTTGCGGTATGCTATGAAATCATCTGAGTGCCTTAGTGGCCTGTTGAATACACATCATGGGATACACATCATGCCCACGTGGTTGGGAGTGCCTTTCGTTCTTTTCTTGTTTTAGACTGGATTGAACGACACAATGAATGAGTTTCTTCGTGACCCGCGTATCTGGTACAAGTCCAGCATTTCGGCAGCATACACAATGAACATAGGGTGACAGGAAAGAAGCAGCTTCTAAAGTCCTAGTATTCAAGAGACCTTACATCTCGACGAGGTTGCAAGAATCACATTTCAGCCGCTATTTCACGCCGTATTCCGAGTTGCTTTCTCTTTCAGCAGCTTGCTAAACTGTTTCGTATTATCAAACGGCTGGACAAATAGGATGAGTTGTTGTGAAGTGAAAGCTCTTTTGGAAGGGCCTATCGACTAGCTTGTTTTTTCTTCCTTGAAACACTCCTACTCCAAAGGTGGTTTGAATTGTGAACTGCAGCTAGTTACGCTACAAAAGTAGTGATAGGGATCTCATGTCTTTCAAGACGACAGCCTGCTTTGTATCTGGTTGGCACTTAGTATGGCAGACGACTGCTAGGCTCCAACTACTTACATATTTTGACGACCGATAATATTGTCCTTGGTCGGTTTTCGTAGGAATTGGCGCTTCTTGCAATATGTTAAACACCAGTCGGTGGGTTGCATCGTATTTCGACGTAATACTCTGAAAATGGCACAACTACCTCGCACCTCCCCCAAACGATCGTTATATTTGCTTACAGCTTGCCGTGGTAGGTTTAATGTTGTTTGTTCTGCTGTGCCAGATGCGCTCCCGTTATTTCCGGAGTTTGCAATTCTAACCACCGATAAGACTGCTATAGTTTTATGCTTCGCAGGACTAGTTGCAAAAGTAGCTTAGTTGCAACCGCGGCGCAATTGAGCGACAGTGGGGCGGCAACAGGCCTGCGCCGAACGCTGAAGTACACTAATATTAGGCTGGAAAAACCTCAGCGAAATTATCGGAGCGCCGCCCGTCTCTCCTCTCCTTGCTTGTATTCCGCTCAGAGATTTAAACTATTAAAATGGTTGCCCAGCGTAGCCAGCGTAGTTAGCAATTACTGTACGACTTTCATAATGAGTTGAAGCTATACCAGGGATCGAGACTAAGCGTCCTGCCGAAGGTGATCAGAAGCAAGCACTGTAAGTTGGCGCGTGGCAAGCCGCTCAATGGCGCCTACTCCATGACCTTGTCAAGAGTCAGCTGGCGCAGGAGGAGGGTGCGTCAACGAGTGACCCAGCCCTTGAAGAGCGTTGTGTAAGGGTTCTGGACAAGTTGGGCTATCTTCCATCCTTGTTCGTTTGTGGTCATGAATGGACATTTTCAGCGACTACGAAGAGGGGCAAAGCACTGTTCGTTCCCCCGACTTTTCCTTGTTTTCCTTTCTTTTTTGGCCTTTACGTCATGCCCTTGCAATAAACGGTCGAAGTACTAACAGATACTTAGGTACTCTGGAGGGCGGTTCCTCTAGGTACTACCCAAAACGTGCTTGGTGTATACCGCATCATTACACCATCCAGCTGCTCGAAAAGTATTCCCATGGTCACTTTTGGCCCTGGTATACTAAAGCTGTCTTAGGCCTACCAGGTGAGGCTAGTACCAGCTTTGACGCCGACACAGAAGTCTATAATGTGAGTGGTGTTGGATGAAAAGATTTGTGTTTTACTACACACGACATCTACACCCTAATTGGGGATTTTCATGCGACGGGTCTGAGCCGCCCAGTGTTGCGGACCGCAAGGTTCTGCTAGCAAAAGCTAACGCTAGAGGAACGATTACGACGCTGGCTACTTACCCTTCGGACCAAGATACGGCACTGGCGGCATCAACTAGGAGTGAAAAGGCTTATATTCTCCAAGTCAGCGAGGTCGCTTCAAAAGTCCGTCGCCAGTGCGGCCCGTCAAGTGACCACATGCCCGGGGCGCGGCAGGGTGGGTCCGGAGGTCCGGAGCCATCGAAACATAGGTAACATAGACGGCTGACTTGCGGATCGAAGGTTATGGCGAGGTGATCAATCCTACACATAAAAAATGAGGTATTAACACCACACAGTAACGTTAGGAAGCTGGGAGTCATTCTGATGAATCAAATTTGATTTCTAAATAAATATCTAGAGGTCTTGAGCTAGGCTTAGCCCTGATCTAACTATACATACCGCGTCCTGATTTTATATGTCATTTCAATGTGCACACCTCCCAAAAGTCAGATGCAGACCTGCCAAGAGCCGTATCGGTGGTTTGATTCTAGTTACGCTACATATTTATGCTTTTATAGTTCTTCCGTTCCGAGAGGGCCAATGGTACTCATGTCATCCTGCATGTTCTCAGATGTAGCCGCCGGGGTTGGGTGCAGCCCTGCCCCCTACAGGCCCTTGCTACTCCCTGCGACAGCATGGCTAGGCATGTTGGGGCGCGGCCCATGGTCTCAATCAGGCTGAGCCTGTCGGGGGCCACATGATAAATGTTCTCAGAAGTCCTCGAGACGTTGATCTTTCTCAAGCCAGCATCGTCCCAGAAACGTTATCAAGCCCCAATTATCCTCCAAAAAGAGCCATGGCATCGTTGAAGCGACTTTCGAGTCCTCAGATGTACACCATCGGGTGGATCACGGCTCTCGACAAGGAACTCACCGCATCACGAGCTGTGCTCGACGAAGAGCATTTGAAGCCAGAAAACTTTAGAAAGCACTCAAAAGACACGAACAGCTATGTGTGGGGGCGAATCGGAGACCACAACATTGTCATCGCTTCTCTGGCTGCCGGAAAGTACGGTACCGTGTCCGCAGCGACGACGGCGTGGAGCATGATAAGCTCGCTTCCCCACCTTCGGTTCGGCCTCATGGTCGGTATCGGCGCCGGCATTCCTAGGCTAGCAGACAAAGTCGACATTCGTCTCGGTGACGTCGTTATAAGCCAGCCGAGTGGCATAAGCTCGGGTGTCATACAGTACGACCTTGGAAAGTTGCAAGGCGATGGCCAATTCAAACGCGTCGGCTCTCTCGCGTCTCCGCCCGAGGTACTCCTCAAAGGGCTGACAGCGCTGAAAGCCGAACGAAGGCTCAGCGGACCTCGAACACGCCAAATTCTGGATGATATGATCCGACGCCATCCGTTATTAGCGGAGACAGAATCAGATGATGCTGCGTTCGTTTATCAAGGGGTACAAAATGACAAGTTATTTAAGGCCTCGTCGAGGCATATACAACCCCTGGACCAGGATAGCGTCATGCCGCCCGCTTCAACGGTATTACAAGACCAGAACCGGTTACTTTCTGCTCTGGTCTGGGTTTGGTTGCATCTTTGGAGGTCGCTCCTTTGGCTTCTCTCAGCCCCTCTTGCTGCTGGTGGTGCAAACGTTGCTAGAGTGAACAACCAAGGTGACGACGCAGACTTAAGAGTCACTCATTCAAAATCCTACGCCTATTGCGATTCCCATCAAGAGATAAAGCGTCGAGAACGACCTTCATCAGATCCCGTAGTTCACTATGGCGTCATCGCTTCCGGTGACTCGGTCGTCAAGGACGGTATTTCTCGGGACGAGATCAGTCGGCGTCTAGGGAACGAGTGTATCTGCTTCGAGATGGAGGCAGCTGGTTTGATGGACAACTTTCCCTGCCTCGTAATCAGAGGTATCTGTGATTATGCGGATACTCACAAGAATGATCGTTGGCAGAACTACCCCGCTGCGACAGCCGCCGCATTAGCAAAGGAGTTGCTAGGTGTCATTGACAGTGACGACGTGGAAGAGTCCTCGAGAATGGATGAAATCATGGAACAGCGTTAGTATTCCGTGGTTGTGTCGAGGCTGTAACTTACCTATTTGTAGTACAAGAAGATGTTTCTCAAATTCATTCAACAACAAAAGACGTGCAACGCAGTCTACATTTCCAGGAAGTAATGAAGTGGCTCTCCGCGCCCGATCCTTCAACCAATGATAACAAAGCCTTTAAGCAACGCCATGAAAACACGGGCCAATGGCTTGTCGACAGTGAGAAATACTCGAAGTGGAAGAAGACACCAAATTCCTCTCTATGGCTGCACGGCATTCCAGGATGCGGAAAGACGATCCTGAGCTCTGTTGCCATCAACGATCTCCGTCATGCTGAATTTTGCTTTACGTACCTCTACTTCTACTTCGATTTCAGCGATAACAGCAAGCAATCTCTTGAAAGTGCCTTACGGTCGCTTATCGCTCAGCTATACCACAGACATGAGGATGCGCAGCAGCATCTCGACTTGCTTTACTCCTCAAATGCTCCGCGGCAGCTGAGCATCGACCAGCTCAGTATGGTTTTCACAGCCATGGCTAAGCAAGTCGGCGAAGTATGGATTGTTTTGGATGCTCTAGATGAATGTCAGACGAGAACAGGTCGTGACAATGAAGGCTTGCTGCCTTGGATTGAGAGCATTTTAGTCTCGCAGCAAGCCAACATTCATCTTCTGGTCACGAGCCGCCCTGAACACGATATCAAATCGACACTGGAGAGACATATTGAAAACCAAATTTCTCTGCAGAGCGACTTAGTAACGGAAGACATACGTGCCTATGTTCACGCAAGGGTGACACAGTCGGGAGGTCTAGAGAGGAGGTGGCGTAAACGAAAGGAAATTCAAGATGACATCGAGAAGCATTTGCTAGAGAAGGCTAATGGGATGTAAGTTTGAACTAGTCTTGTATAAGCCAAGTTAAAATACTTACACAACAAGCAGGTTCCGCTGGGCCGCATGCCAAATCGACGAGCTTGAGGAATGTTTGGATCCTCAGACCCTCAGAGAGACATTGCAGTTACTGCCTAGGACCCTGGACGAGACCTACGCACGGATAATCGATAGGATACCTCCTAAGTTAAAGCGAAGCGCAATACGTATATTACAGTTCTTAACGTATTCCAAAGGACGACTACGAATAGACGAGATGTGCGACGCAATTGCAGTAGCCCCTCAATCCACACCCAGATTCAACATACAAAACCGAATGCCAGTTCCAGAAGAGATAGCTGGATACTGTTCTAGTTTGGTTAATGTCGTAACCCGAACCGATGACAATGGAAAAGACACGATCAAAGAGCTACAACTCGCGCACTTTTCTGTAAAGGAATACCTAATATCAGACCGAGTGGAGGGAAGTTTATCAGCCGATTTTAGGGAACCGTTAGCCAGAGCTATTATAACGGAAGTCTGTTTATCGTATCTCTTGGAATTGGATATCAAGCTGTCGCCAGAAAATATCGGGCAGTCTTATCCGCTCGCTAAATATGCTGCACGCTCCTGGATGGGCCACGCTGCCTTGGCTGAGACTAGCAGAGTCCGCAATATTATTCGGGAGTTCTGCCTACAAGAAGACGTTCACACAATATGCTACCAACTCTACAACCCAGCCCTGCCATGGGAAGAAAAGCCATTCCAATACCTCTAGGAAAAGTTTTCACTTTTATGCTGTGTGGTACATGGAGGGGTTTTGTGCGCAATCGAGGAGCTATTAGAAAACGGTGCAAATATCAACATGCAAGCTGGCTTTTATGGTAACGCTCTTCAAGCCGCTTCGTTTGAGGGCCATAAAGAGATTTTTCAGTTGCTCCTCAAGGAGGGGGCAGATGTTAACGCGCAGGGTGGTCACTATGGTAACGCTCTTCAAGCCGCTTCGGTTGAAGGCCATAAAGAGATCGTTCAGCTACTCCTTAGAGATGGGGCAGATGTTAATGCGCTAGGTGGGTATTGTGGCAATGCTCTTCAGGCCGCTTCATTTGGAGGCCATAAAGAGATCGTTCAGCTACTCCTTAGAGATAGGGCAGATGTTAACGCGCGAGGTGGGTATTTTGGCAATGCTCTTCAGGCTGCTTCATTTGGAGGCCATAAAGAGGTCGTTCAGCTACTTCTTAGAGATGGGGCAAATGTTAACGCGCAAGGTGGTCATCACGATAACGCTCTTCAAGCCGCTTCATTTGGAGGCCATAAAGAGATCGTTCAGCTACTCCTTAGAGATGGGGCAGATGTTAACGCGCGAGGTAGGTATTATGGCAACGCTCTTCAGGCCGCTTCATTTGGAGGCCATAAAGAGATCGTTCAGCTACTCCTTAGAGATAGGGCAGATGTTAACGCGCGAGGTGGGTATTGTGGCAATGCTCTTCAGGCCGCTTCATTTGGAGGCCATAAAGAGGTCGTTCAGCTACTCCTTAGAGATGGGGCAGACGCTAACGCGCAAGGTGGTCATTACGGTAACTCTCTTCAAGCCGCTTCGGTTGGAGGCCATAAAGAGATTGTCCAGTTGCTCCTCAAGGAGGGTGCAGATGTCAACGCGCAAGGTGGCTTTTTTAGTAACCCCCTTGTGGCCGCTTCGGTGTACGGTCGTGAGGAAGTCGTCTCCCTCTTACTCAGCGAGGGCAACTGTGACACAGAAGCACAACATATTACCACTGGTCGGACAGCCCTTTCATACGCTGCAGAGAGGGGAGATGAATCAATCTCAGCGAAGCTGATTACAGATGGCCAAGCCAATCCTACTTCGACAGGTTATGCAGGTCGGCCGCCATTGTTCTACGCAGCTACAGAGGGCCGTAATGCGATGGTCAAAATACTTTTACTGCACGGCCCATTGGCATCAGACTGGAAGGATCGCTACGGTTCAACCCCTTTATCTGTAGCGGCCAGGAAAGGCCATGCGGGCGTAGTAACATCGCTCTTGTCCACAGGCTCAGTCGACATCAACTCTTCTGATAACTTTGGCCGGACACCACAGTGGTGGGCTAGACGACGTGGACATGCTGAAGTACTGCGGCTTTTAGACAAAGCAGGAAATCGAACCATGTCCGTGGATGATAGCCCAGAAGCTATAGAGCTTAGCACAAAATCCCATGATGTTTCAGGTCGTCGTTGCGACATTTGCGTACTCGGCATTACAATTACAAGCAACTGTTATTATTGTTCACATTGCAATAACGGCAACTTTCATGTTTGCCTGGATTGCTTTAATCTTGGCGGACATTGCCTCGAGGAATCGCACACTCTAGCTTTAGCATTCAACGCTTAGCTTCTCAGGATGAGATACTCTAGTATATCCCTTACAAATTCAGAAATTCGTGCGTTCAGTAAAGACGTTATCCACAGGTTCCAATATGAAACTACTAAAGCCTAACGCATTTTTTCATATTAAGACAAAAAAGTCTTTTCATTTCCCAACTGCATCACGCCGAGCCTCGACTGACACCGCCCAAACTGAACTCCCTAATGCAGTCGGCAAGTTTGAATGGCGGGTTATTCACATCATCAGCTTGGTGGTGAGGCGGACTTTCTATGACTTGATCAGCAGACTTGAATGTAAGTTGGTAACAAGGATGGATGATGGACGGAAGCGGGGTCAATTCGCCGGACCAGATGGATTGTCCGGCAGGTTTCTGTTGAGGGGTAAGAGGGGTAATGACCAATCACATTCGGCATAGAGGCGCCAGAGATCATCAATTGCGGCTGGGCTCCGTGTGGATGTTGGGCTGGAGTTGGTATTCCGTCTTTTTGTTTGTTCTCCGTCACACAAATGTTGCCCTGTGATTGATTTTTTGTCCCCTCAAGTCACACAAACACAAAGGCAGTTGCAAGTTTACATCATGGCGGAACCGTCCAGCACGACTGTGTCTGTGCTCACTTCAGTCACTGCTGCAATTCACTCTTCAAATTCACTCGCCAAGGTCGTCGATGACTTCAACGATGACGATACAACTCTGAGTCGCTTGCGGCCTGAGCTCGAGGACCTAATAGAAGTACTAAACAAACTACAAGAGCCCATCAACCTGGAACATCCGATTATGAATCTTTTGGCAAGTCCTGTTGTTCGATGCAATCAGCTATGCACCAAGTTTGAAAATTCCATGAGGGAGTTTGACGCTGAGTCAAAAGCAAGCTTTTTGGACTGGTCTAGAATGGAGTTCATGAAGGGTAACATCACTGACTTCATGGACATTCTGTCAAGCTACAAAGGGACGGTATCGGTTGGCTTGGGTGCGATCATCATGTTAGTCGGCCAACCCAACGTTCACTGACCTTCTAATTAAACTGATTTGACAGGCAAACATTAAATGTTCCCCAGCAGTTCCTTGAAGAACACGAAAAGAAAATCAAGAGAACTACTCGCACACTCCAAATTCAGTTGCATCGAATTGACGAGAAGCTAGCGCTGCTCATGCCGAATGGTACAGAGAGCAGCAGTGCTCCTGACACGTCGGCAGATTTGCAGGATGAGAGAGCTGTGACCGAGCAATGTTTGCTTATTTGTCAGAATGCGAAGTCCCACCTTCAGTCGTTGACGGACCAAGAAGAGTCCCCCAAGCGACAAATGGCAATCAAGGACGGTCATAGCCGACTTGAGACTCATGTGTCAACTTGCAAAACGCTTGGGCACAGCCGAGATCGTCTCTTGGAAACAATCGGGCAACTGAAGGGGCGCTTAGATTCCTCGGATGTAGACGGAACGCCTCAAAACCAGCGCCAAAGGTCGTTATGGGAGACCGACCTAAGGAATTTAAGAGAAGTGATGGAGGGGGTCAAGATGGCTTCCGAAGTACTCGCTCAAAGGAAGATATACAGTGGTGGGGAATTGGAGGCAGATGTGGACAGCGATCAGGTATTGATAACAACCCAAGCGGACCTGTTTGAAATTAAGAAAGGCAAGTCCACAAACAGATCAGCGCAGTGGGTCGGATCGTCCTCGGATGACACAGCGCAACAAATCGCCAAGCATCGTTACGGCAGTCGCTTCGGAGTCATGAAAACTATCGAGGCTCCCGCTGCTTTCCGAGAAGTTAGTAGTCCCCCTGTACACCGACAAGATGTGGATAGACATTCGGCAGCGAGAGAGGCAACATCGCGACAACCTGAGCCGAACGTGACGAGAAAACGTGGTTCTGGAACAGGCAATGGGAATGCCAACCGATGAAAGGAATTATCAAGAGAAGAATTGAGACTACTCCTCTGAAAATTGCTGGCGTAACGCTATTTTCTTTAAAAATAAAACTAAAAGCCAGCTGCTAGCTTGTGACATTAAACGAGCTCGACGGTCGTGGTAAGGGCTCCGGATCCCCGTACGGCCGCGTCATTACGTGACTAAGACTTCGGCGACGAAGTTCTTACACGGCCTTCGCTCCGCTCATTTACTTTACTTAGAGAACACCAGCAGCTTTGTTCCCAATTGATGCTGCTCGTGCCGTAGCTCGAGAGAATAGCGGCTACTCTCAGCATCATAGGTACCATCCAAAACTAACGTTTCGATCTCTGGGCATTCGTCGCCGGATCACACGTCTATCGTCTGGTCGCAAAGGTGATCGACATGGATGCCTCCAGCAATATTACCAGCGTCATTGCCGGAATGAAGCCTTGTATGAGAGGCCGTACGATAACATCCAAATTGTCTCTAGCGTCATCTATGCCATCCATGGTGTCAAAAACATATATCCCTTCGCCCCGGACTAGTCTGGCACTCATTGAGCTTTCCGTACGCCCAGTATCGCCCGTCTGATTTTCCTTGTAAGGGAAGACTGGACACCAGTGCCGAATGAAAGTTGAATAGTGAACATGGTATAAGTTGAGGAGTTTTTTCAGTATGGAAGGTTCGAAGCCCTTTAGTGCTATGAAATGAATGGTAGCGCGTGGGTGATAGGGGCAGCCTGGGCGACCTTAAACAGTCACATGAATGCCGACTGAGCATAACGCCACAGACTATTCGAGAAGTTTTAAGGGCAAGCTGTGGTAATAATAGAGCCTGTGAAAGCAAGTCGAGTCGGATTCGCAGAGGTGTCCTCTGCGGCCTGCAGTCACGTAATAGGCGTTAACCACATCAGCAGCAGAGACACATCCAGATGACCCATTAAATATCAGTAAGAGCTGATTTGATGCTGCGAAGCCATCATCTAATTTCTCCAAGAATGAAGCTCACTAGAAACTCAGTAGTTGATAATTAAAGATAATACCTGGAAATAAAGTAGACATGCCTATTTTTAGGGTTTTGATTTGGCCGAGGAAGCAATCATTTTTGGTTTTGAGAACCAGTCATTTAGTGTGTGCGGGTATTAATACACATAGCTAAATATCTCCTTGCTTGCGAATAAATGCACAAAACTCTCATCGTACGGTTCAATGAAGTTGTTAGCATTAAAGCCTTGAATGTTGATAACATAAGGTACTAAGATACGGAGTCCATCGGCTAAACTGGAGGAATAAACTAGCGGGTGGATGGATGCTTATCAGTTGCTTACCCCCCCCCCCCCCCCCACACCTTCTACATTAAGACAGCGCATGTAATTTGATTTGGTGCTATTCTCTCGCCCTGGCCCCTGCTGCCCCGCCCCTAAAGAACGAGCTCCCCGCTAGCTTACTTGTTGAAAGCCAGTTAATTACAGCAGACGGATGGATTTGGGCCTCGCCCGAAGAAACATCTCCAGAATGATCAGCGGAATCACAACCTGTCTCGAAATCTTACTTTAACAACAACGTAGTCTCCAGCTTCTCGATTTCGCAATTCTCCACCGAGAAGCAAAGGATTCCTGGGTAGCTCAAACGTAGATATACATGCCTGGGACGTGTACTGGCAAAATCAAATAGATGGGCATGGACAAATCCTCACTCAAATTATGACTCTGCATCAAGTACGCTCAAAGATTTCAAACCGGTGTTCAATGTTAGCGAGACTCCCCCAGATCGGAATGGCTTGGAAGAGAGACTGAGAGGATGACAGAAAAATAGTATAGTACTATCGTAAGAAAATGGTGGAGAAAGCACTCGTCTTAGCATTTGAACTTCACCACTCACACCTTCGCTGACTGCCTATGGGACTTGGATACTTTTGGCACAAGCCTCGAAAGTTGAAGCTACATCAAGTCGATGAATTCCACCGAACATATTGATGGAATTATTTCAAACTCAAAGCGGTCATTTCACGTGTGATTTTCATTGTACTACTCGTAGCATAAAAGGATCAGTCGAGACCCCGTGCTAGACCATGCTACAAGACGTGAACAAGGTGATCCAATGGGCTGGGGGTAAGGCATAATGGGTAAGAGAGGTCCTTACTAACCACTTTATTGTTCTGGTCCAACTGCCAATACCGCCCGCAGCTCCGTGGACGTTTCTGAATCTGGTGACTGGTGTTGGTGGAGGCTAGGTTGTGAGATATCGAAAAGGTTGCCGAGCAGAAAGACGTCTGGGATCTTCCATGTGAGCTTCCTGATATGGCAAAGGAAGTCTTTGTCACTAGGGGGGGGGATGTCTTCTGTAGGTGCCCCGCGAATGAAGCAATAGTAGGAACCAGCAACGACAATCGCAGGTGTCGATGATCGCATAGTTTTCTCAATGTCGGCCTAGAGCGGCAAAAGAGCTGAATGGTTGATCGAACATCCGTTTTGAAGCTCTGAAAATGGACAGACTGGTCGCGTTGGTTTCTTGGGAGCCTTGAGCAAGTTTACGAGATAGGAGTCAGGCAATGCTGGTTTTCCGGCGATGTGAGATCTGCCTAGGTCAGCCCAGATGGTGTTGCTCACGTCGGAGAATGATTTGTTTGAAACGTACCTCATGGTCCCCATATTATAGCTGGAATTATAGATCTCTTGTACAACCAACTCCAATATCAACAAGACACCCAAGTTCAGGGATCAGAGTGTTGGTGGCCTCATTCCGATGAAAAGACTGAGATCCAGTAATAGGTAAGTGTAAGTGTATCCCAGCACAGTCTATTCATTAGCAAACCTCCTTCCCTGTCAAGCATAAGTACTTACCACCATCAAGAGGCCAGAAGACCTAAGCAGGTGCTGGTCTGATCAAGAGATGGAAGGAAGGAGACATGGAAGATCAGAAATTGCAGTCACAGGGGCAATTGCTGCTACCCCTTCTGTCGAGTACTTGATTCTGGGTAGCTGGGACGTCCCGGTGCACGGGTCGTGGAAGTGTGATTGGTGATGGGTATATTTGGTCACGTGAGGTCGCCCACAATGATGATGGAAGGAATGGACCCGGCTGGACACACGGAGGGAATTCTCCTTGCAAATCTGGCAGGCAATCGCCATCGATGGTCCACCAGATAAGATAAGATTAGATATTGATTTGGAAAAGTTACCTTGGGTTGTGCCTGCGTCTGCCTGTGTCGTACCTACCTACCTTGGTGGATCTACTGGGGAAACAGCACACACAGGTCCGCCACTCCTATCTTGGGAAGCCCCATTGAACTGGAAAGAAGGCACCCCCCATCCACGCATCTTTTACAGCAGGAAGGGACAGAGTACCTCGGGCAGTCATTTACATTGTGCCACGAATCATTCCATTGGTCGGTCTATTTGTACCTTTGTGGCTTGGCTCCTGTGGCTAGGCCAGGTGACAACCCCGAAGGGTGTTTTTTCTCTGCCTGTTCCCTCCTCCACTTGTCACCTCTTCCCACAGCAATCAGAAACCAAAAACTTAAATCACCAAGTCAATTTCTGACTACCCGTCTTGCCTTGCTTTGTCTCTCTTCATGACCCTTTTCTCTTTTACCCAAATTCGTTCACAAACAACTCAGCCAGTCAGATAGTGGCATTCTCATCTCCCAATCCTGTTTCCTCCATCCCAACCGTCGTGAGACCCACCTCCATCACTCCCTGACCCTTCTTGCGATTCATCAACATGGATCGTCTCCCGAACGAGCTGCTCACTCACACCCTTTCTTACCTTGAGGTTGTAAACCTCGCCTCCGTGGCACTCGTCAATCGTCGGTCCTACGAAGTTGTCTCCGGTCTCATCTTCTCCCAAGCTGTGGCTCAAGACCACTGGCTCCGGACAACCCCAACGGGCTGGCATTCGCCTTGCCCTACCGTCAAAGAAATCCCCCTCGCATATACTCTACGAATCGCCCGTCTAGGAAATGTCACCTGCCTACGCCGCCTTGTGGCTGCTGGCGCACATCTGGGTCATTTTTTTGCACCCGTCTGCGGACATACCGTCTTCCAGCGCCGCGACGATGCTTATCTACCACCAATCACAACTCCTCTGCATGTCGCTGCTACCACCGGCCATGTCGAAGCCGTCCGCTACCTTATATCACTCTCCGAACACCCCGGAAGATCTAATGCTCGCGTTCAAGTCGATGCAATGGCCTTTTTCTCATGCCTCTGTCCCTCGTCTCATCTACGCATCATCAATCACAAGGAGTGCCATAACTTGTCATGGGCCAAAGACATACCTTCGGCGACACCACTCCACTCAGCCCTCGCCCATGGCGCCAGCGATGATATGATCCTTCTTCTCCTGACCCGTGGCAAAGCCGTCTGGGATCTCCCTTTGGCGGTTTCTCGAGGTGTTACTGCCTTCCACATCATGGCCGCCAACGGTCGCACAACCCTCCTCAACGCCATGGCCAATCTCGGCCTGCGCGGTCGTGACTGGCCAGACCGCCGAGGATACCGCTCGCTCCACTACGCTGCCTGCGCGTCTTTCACCGGACACGACAAGAAGAGGGCAACCGAGGCCCTCGTCGCTTCTCTTATTCGCATCGGTGCCACTCCAGACCCATCGGACCCTTGGCCTGCCTCTCACATTCGACGCCCCTACGGCCTCGTGTTTAATTACATTCAAAACTTTGAGCGGACGGTAAACGAAACAGGTGCAATCAAACCGTCTCCCACCGCTGCCAGGATCTGGCTACCAACTGATTGGCAAATGCCTGGTGGAGCAGTAGTGGATATCAAGATTGAAGTCTTTCTTGATCTCCCGCCAGCTCCGAGGCTTTTTATTCACGCCTTCTTGATGGACAATGATACACTGGCCAAATTATTTCTCACTGTTGACTGAGAGACACATGTCGCCGGACGCAATTGCACGCCGCAACCACGGTATGGACTACCTAGTTGACCAACATAAATGGAACAAGCTTAGCTGACCGACACAGTCACAAATCTCCACCACACCCCAAAATGCAGATGAGCTGACGAACAATAAGAAATGAGGTGCGTAATGACCTGGAGCATGGGACTTCTTGGTTCTGCACTCCGCTGCCTATCCACCCCCTTTTTTGACACAGCAGGGTTTAGTATGCAAACATTGCCGTCTCCTACGAGCGGCATTCATCCTTGTAGCAACCACTCTCGCAATTCGTGTCTCCAATCAACCTAAAAGACTGGAAGGAGCTTGGGCAAGGGCAGTGTATCATGGATGTGCGAGAGCCGCGGATTTATAGTTTTCGTGTAGGCCTGCGTGTCGCAGATTCTGTCGAAATGTTAGCTCAAGAATAGCGGCGTCGCAAATATCATCTCAGCCTGCCTCTCATAAACGTTTCTACCTTTGTTTTTCCAACCTAGGCAAGATGGACTGGGTTACAGTAATTCATGGTTTAGCAGTCGCCCAAATAAAATAGCTATTCAAATAGGCTTGGTGTGTAGCGAATATCTCTTGTTAAACACTGATCTGTGAAAATGATGCAGACGTTTTCTGAGCACCTGGACTGGATGCTGCGCATTGAGATAAGCCATACACAATTTGGTCAGGCTGTCCTGTTTATAGACGCCCGCCACGAGGAAGAATGTAATTTTACTCTTTGGGTTTTTGTTTTCAATTAGTGACTATTTTCGACGCTCAAAATCTTCTTGTTCCAGTACGGGTGCTGTTTTATTATTCGCAAAATGTTTGAGCGTATGTTGAAAGGAAGATTTTTGGAGGCTTGAAGGGAGCTGGTTTGGTGGAATTGACGATGAGGTCTTTTGCGGAGGAGTTCAACGTTTGACTGGCCAGCAGGCAAGGCCTTTCGGAGGAACTCGGTTCAAAGACTTGATGGACACGTGCGGGCATTTTGGTCAAGGCGAGTACTGACAGCCAGCTATTTTTTGAATGGGCTATGTACCTTGCACGGAAGTCGAGCCTGACGCTGTTGGGTCCAGCTGTATCACGCGTAACTATTACAAGTATAAGTCGAGATTTCTGCATAATTAAATATTGACAAAACTTATATGAAAACTTGTGACCTGAATATTTAAATGGATAATGGACCCACCTGAGCACCTTGTGACTAGGCTACTGTCAACCACCAGTCAGGCTTTCCTCCCCCTTTCTGCTCTCCATGCTCAACCACATCACTATTCTCTCCCAGCGCCGTCTTCTTTTTTGTCATCATTTTCTCTTTCGACAGTGTTTGCGTCTTGTTAGAAGGACCAACCCCTCTGTTCTTTTTTTTTTTCTTTTTCTTTTTTCTTTTTCTCCCTTCCCGGGAGAGAAGCACCAGCAGCACCAGCAGCACCAGCAGCACCAACAACAACAAGATGGACAGAACCGTACGCTTCTTTCTCTCAGTTAGGTACTTTTAATAACATGCGATACAGTACTTCCCGCGGAGCTACCAGAACAATGTTGGACTTGTCGAGGCACCATCAGCTGAGCGTACTGCCAGTTTCGTAGAGAACCATATGCATCCAGCCCTTGCTTCCGCCGGTGCCACCAGATATGCCCGAAAATTTGCACGTGAGATGGTGCAGCATGGCCAGTTTCTAGTGAGCGAGATGCAGCGACATGACATAAATCCTCAGCTCGAGTCAAAGCACGATAGAGACCTTCAGTACCTTCGTGATAACTGGCCCCGCGGCGAATGGGTTCCTGCCCATAGAAGATGGGACGACTGGACCAACGAGATCATTGTTAACAACATGGTCAAGTTTACCAAGGCGTATCTACAAGCGAGCCCGGAGATCCAGGAGGCTTTGGGACCACTGGCGGACCAATGGGAGAGAAACAAGTTCCTCGGCGAAGCTCATGCCAGCTGGGATGATCAAATCACGATCCTCGGCACCGAAAATGCCCTTGCAGCACTCAGAACAAGGATTGCGGAGCTGCAGGAACAGTTTCGACAGGCGGGAGAACAGGAGGGAGAGCAGGGGAGGTCCAGCAGCGTGGAACATTTGTTCCGAGATGGCCCTACAATTGGCGCCGATGACGACGGCGCGCCGTCGTAGAACAACGACGATGTCCCTCTCGGTCTCGAAGCCGATGCCGCGGTCGACGCCGGTGTCGGTGCCGTTGAAGCCGACCCAGATAATGACGACGAGGAAGCCGACATTCCCACCACCCCTTCCTCTCCTCTTTCTATCCTACCTCGAACCCCATCTCCGCCTGCCCCATCACCCTCCCGGCCCCATTTCCGGCCCTCGCCCCGGCAACCCCGGCGACCTCGGCGTGCTCGTCCTTTGCCAGCCAGCCGTCAAGAGGAGGTGGCCGCTCTCCAAGCTCGTCTCAGAGCTTATATTCGTTCATTCAAGAGAAGCGCCTTGCACCTGTCGCCGGAGGAGATTGAAGAGGCTGCCAGAAATGCCCCTGCTTGGCTCGAGGCCCATTTTGAAGAAGAAGAAGAAGAAGAAGAAGAGGAAGAAGAGGAAGAGGAAGAGGGGGATGATGATGATGAGGAGATGAATGATGACGAGGAGTAGACTGGCTTGCTTGCTTTATTACATTGAATAAGGGTATTTTTGCCGACATGAATTCAATGGCACTGGAAAGATAAACTTGTGATCATCTCAAATGTGAGTATCCCATCGACTGCGAGTTGGCTATAGGTACATTATGAGCCACAAGTCAGTCCCCAATTTCTCCAAACTCCGTGGGAAATAGGTATGGGATTGGAAGGAAGTTTACACTGTCTGTCCCTGAATGGCTACAACCCCGCAGGCTATATACCTGTAGCCAACTCGCAGTCGATGGAATACTACTATATGTATTATTGTTTTGAAATATACTAAGAAATTAGGGTTATATCATCTTTATTTGCTAGTAGTACTAGGAAATCAAGTTTTTGTTAGTACTAAGGAGCTTCATGAAACATAGGAATTGTACGTACCGATGCACGCTGCGGAGCCGGAAGACGCTGGAGCGGCTCCGAGATCCCGGTCTATATGGGGCCGAAAAGAAGACCCGTAAATGTACATGTTTGTTAACTACCTTGTGTGCTTGTGTAGGCCAGCAATACACACTTGTGCACTACTGCAGTACGTATTGCCTACCTGACAGGGAAACTGCCACTGCGTGACTGGCTGGGTTGTTCTGTTTACAGGCCGCACAGCATAACCGCTTTGCTGAGTAGTAGCTGTGGCTAATTATTTCACAGAAGCTCTCTGGACAAGGCGACCATTGGGGGGGGTAGATAAGCTGACCAATTACCCACTTTTGAGAGATGACATTTGCAGCATTCTGATTTAATGATTGGATAAAACACATATTTAATGGGTCTACACGACCATTTTGAATGGTTAGGTGCACAGACTATCTAGAGGCGGTTTCGAGTTGTTCCTGAATCGATTTAGAACTAATTCCAAAGTCGTTCTCATATATCCCTACCTCCTCATTTACTGGTAAGCCAGACTGGGCCTGGGCTGGTAGTTGATAGTAAAGATTTAAGTCTTCTTCAGCTTCTGCATCAAGACTAGTAGGTTCTAATAGAGGACTTATTCCCTCTAGGCGAGGGAAGAGATTTTCAATCGATTGAAGAGCCATTGTAAATCGATTCGGAACGGATTTGGAAGCGTTTAAATGTCGTATGTTCTTACAAAAAGTATGTCAAGGGTGAGGTTTCAAACCGCGCTAAGGAATTTCAACCTGACCATAGCTAACTAGCTGACCATGGTCAGCTGATCTCAGGGTAGCCCCACAAATCACAAAATAAGTGGGTAATTGGTCAGGTTATCCCCCCCCCCCAATGGTCGCCTTGACCACACCCTCACTATCTATCTGTTGATGTGGAGGGTGTGGTCAAGGCGACCATTGGGGGGGGGGATAACCTGACCAATTACGCACTTTGAAAAGAGGACTTAGTCTTTGCGGCTGGGCTGCTGATTGGATGGTAGATTTGGTAGTGGGTCTAACTGACCATCTCTGCTGGTCAGGTGCACAGACCAGTCGCTGTTTTGGTTTGAATGGTCAAGCTGACCAGTGGGGTGGGGAGGGTAACCTGACCAATTACCTATTTTTCCTTCGAAATGCTGTCTTTTCTTTGGTCCAAGCTAGGCCGCAGACCCGCCTATGATGATTCTACCCAATCAGACAATTGTTTATCAAGACCGAAAATTCACACAAAGGTGGGTAATTGGTCAGGTTACTCCCCCCCCAATGGTCAGCTTGACCACACGTTCCGACGATGGACGTTTTTCCGGGCCTAATCCGACTCCACCATCTGGCAACACCTGGGCGGAGGGATGGGAAGTGCTCAGAATAAACATAAACCCCAGGTTTAGCGAAAGCTGGTAAGATTTGAAGCGCGGAATCAAGCACCAATCAATCCGTTTTCCCTCCGCTTCAGATTCAGGCTGAATCACCTGTGGGGAGTTGTTTAGGACTAAATGCTCCGGAAAAGCATGGACCATTCCGACGCCATACTAAGCACCATTCCATAAGCCACATCGGAATCACCTTTTGCTTCTCCATCGCCAGAACAACCTTTCCCCCCTGCTTTAGGTCTTACTTCGTTTCGTTCGCTTTTGAAATGGAAAAAGCCATTGTGTATCCGATTTTGTTGTTGACTCTCTCCGTAATACTTGTTTTGTTTCCCTGTTTTCTCGTCACCATTGTGATTTAACTCGCTAGCCTATTTAGGTGATAGTCAGGGCGACTTTGTCTCCAGCCCTAGCCGCGTCTCAGCCACAGTGTCTTTAAAGAAGCTCTCTTACACGGATGAACACTGTGACCGCGGATGTCATGGCTTAAATTTGATGCGCCGACTATGAGACAGCTTTCTCTCTGGGCCTCCGTCTGGTATCTTCTTGGTCAATGAAGCTTTCGGCAAATTGGACATCATAACTGGTCGCACCAAATAACTAATGTCGGCTATTATATGCTTCCCTTCAAGTTGACCCAGCTTGTTTTGCAACCAAAACTAGACAAACCTTACACTACCGGCTCAGTCATTAATATTAGCACTATAAAAGCTATACTACCTCTCCGTGGTTGAAGCACGGTGCTATTATAATATGAGATGTCTCTAAATGTCCGATCGAGTGTCAAATAGAATTTGAATTTGGCAAGAGCGTGGCGAAGAAATATTTAGTAATCCTTGAAATGAAATGGAAGCCGAAATACGCATATAGACACTTGTGGCTTGATGATGCCCTCGGGTCTTATTAGTCAGGAAAGATTCCTTGAGAAGCGCCGGTGATAGCAAATTCTCGGAAACACTGCGTAATACTACATAACAAAATTCATCTATTGGCGAACGCTGATAGTTCCCGAGACCCCAAGTGACGAGAACAAGAATGTTAAGCTGGTTATTTTATATTTGTTAAATTAAGAAGAAGGTATACAACTATTGTAAAGAGACGTCTGATTCGGGAATATGGGAGTTGGATAAGGAGGACTGCTTCCCTAAACTTGGCTGCTCTGAGGCCGCCATGACTGTCCTGGCTGGATCTGTATTGACATGTAATAGTGGGAGACGCTTTGCATTCAGACCTAACGCAGTCGAACACTTGGGGGACAAAGGCACAGCGGAGGTGCTGGTTGAGCAACTTTTTGACCAAGACAAAAAAATCATGCATCTCACCACCAGAGCCCTAGCATCGTGAGAATCTGCCTTCGGCGACTCCGGAAAAGCCTAGTCGTATTAAGCATTTCGTGCCAAGGACCATATAGCCTATGACGGTGGGGCCCGGTATGACTGCCTGCAGGAACGGAGGCCCGTTGATGGGGTGGGGCTGTCAGCATGGAGTCTCCGACACAGCTTTTCCGGGTGTTTGGCCGTCCCTTGGTTCCCATTTACCCCTGGCATTGCCATGAGCCAGAAAGCAAGTAGAGAGGAAATAAACAGGGAAACATGCTATACGTTAGCCTTTAGGTAAATGATCTCTTAGGCCAGGGGATCACGGCGACGAGTAGAGGCACTGGATCATGCGATAAAACACATCGTGGTCCATCACCATCGGCCTTGGCACGGCGGCTAGGCCATCAGCACTACTACCAACTTGGAAACTAGAGTTTTTGCGCAAACGAGCCAATCATCGCGGCAGGTTACACATGTTGGAATTTCGCACCGAAAATCTCCGGTTCGGTCCTGCATATCGGCTGACCCGAGAAACCTGAGTGCTTTGGGGCTGAATGCCAAAATGTGGAGATCACCGAGCTTCAAGCTGCAGAGTATAGCCTTTCAAAGTTGCAAAGGTCTGCGATTACAGCCAAGGCCCCCTGGAGATAGCTGCATTCCAATAGACGACGAGGGCAGTGTTGAGGTTTTTGATGAAAAGATGGATAGGGTGGCTGAGCATCGTGAAGAAGAAGATATAATACCCTCACGATGCCCAAGCTTCATTATGCTCCTGGAAAACAACACACAAGTCAGCATCACACACTCTTCTTCTCTTCACTAGATAAGACAAACTTCTCTGCCTAGATCCATTCTTCACTTACAACACCAAAAAAAATCAGCTTTTCAACATCTACACCTCATCAATAACCATGGTTAGACTCACAGCCTGGGCCACGGTGCTAAGTGCACTTATTCCCGCTCTCACGGCTTTGCCCCTCGAGGGAAGCAGAGATGATTCTGCCACCTACATTGTATCCTTCAAGCGCGGCCTCAACGAGAGCGACATTGACTCGCATTTCGATTTCGCCAACGACGTCCACCATCAGTCCTTGGCTCGCCGGAGTTTCACGCCGGGACTGGCGGGCAAGACGGGCATCGTTCGCAGGCACGAAATCGACGAACACCGCAGCTACACCGCAGTCTTTGACAAGGAGACCCGCGATGCCATCGCCTCGCATCCGGCGGTGGCGCTGGTCGAGCGCGACGAGGAAATCGGCATCGACATCCTCAACCCGGTCGACACGGAGGATGTGGACTACGAGTCCCGCTCCGGCAGCGGGGGACTAACGGAGCTTGCCGACGGCAGCCTCCTGCAGGCCGACGCGCCGTGGGGCCTGGTCAGCGTCTCGTTCGATCACGACAAGAGCGTGCCGCAGCTGGGGTCCGTCTACCGCTTCCCCAAGGACGGGCAGGGCGATGGCGTCTACGTCTACGTGGTCGACACGGGCGTCCGGACGTCGCACGTCGAGTTTGAGGGCCGCGCGAAGCACGGCGCCAACTTCGTCGAGGGCGAGGACAACGCCGACAACATGGGCCACGGCACGCACGTCGCGGGCACGGTGGGCGGCAAGACGTTCGGCGTCGCCAAGAAGGCCAACATCATCGCCGTCAAGGCCCTCGACAAGAACGGCAAGGGCAACGTCTCGGGCCTCGTCGCCGCCTTCAACTGGGTCGCCGCCGACGCCAAGAAGAACAAGCGCCAGAGGAGGTCCATCATCAACTACAGCGTCGGCGGCAAGGGCGCCTCTAGCAAGGCCTTCCGCGACGCCGTCCTCGCCGTCCAGAAGATCGGCATCCCCGTCTTCGCCGCCGCCGGCAACGACGGCGCCGACGTCAAGAACACGTGGCCCGCCAACATGAAGGAGGTCTTCACCGTCGCCTCCACAAACTCCCTGCTCAAGCGCGCCTCGACGAGCAACTACGGCGCCACCGTCGACATCTGGGGCCCCGGCGAGGACATCAGGTCCTGCGGCCACAAGTCCGACAAGGCCACCGTCGAGATGTCCGGCACCTCCATGGCCACCCCGCACGTCGCCGGCCTCGCCGCCAGCTTCAAGAGCCTCTGGGGCTCCGACGTCGACCACGTCGAGGTCCTCTACCAGTCCATGCGCAACTACGCCGCCGTCGACAAGGTCAAGGACGCCAAGGGCAGCGTCAACCTCTTCATCGCCAACGGCCTCCTCACAAAGGGCAAGGACCTCCCCACCTACGATCCCCGCCCTCGCCCCCCGATGATGTAAGGTCGCAAAAGGTGCACAGCGTGTGACTCTCCAAGGAAAACCAGTTGATATTTTGGTCACTGAGTCGCGTTTCTGTCGCGGGTTACAACAAAAATGGTGTTCGGCTGGGAAAAATGCATAGCGAGAAAAGTGACGACACTTCAGGCTATCGGTATATTCCTTATTTTCAAGTTAGATTAGAGGGGGTACAGCAATACACATTGCCATGGGTGCGTATTGGTTATCAATATTTATATAGAAAGATGGGATTTGGATAGATTTTGATTCAGTTCAGTTTGCTAGTATCATATTATATAAAAACAAAGGCGTCTTTTCAAACGGCTGGTTTCGAAGAATTCCTACCAAAAAACAACACACTGTTGTGAATGATATCTGGTCCCAATCTTTATGGACCATCTCAGTACCACTCCCCTTGGCTTTTCTACAATATTTAGCAAGCTCTCGGGGCTACTATATTGCGTCTTTTATCTAAGCCACATGATCAGTAAGTAAGCCTAGTCATAATTCATATAGAAGCCCAGATGGTTAGCAAAACGTTACCGAGTTACAGCGGCGAAGTTTAGGCAAGCCTGGCTACTCACGAACTTGAAAGTAGGTGGAAGTTTTACCCTGGAGGATATTACAGCATTAGATCCGTCGTGAACGTCGTCCCTGACCATGATTTCGAAACCCTTGCCCCGGTGTTCCAGCCCGACACGAGTGGGACGACGAACCCGCACTTCCCCACAAGTCGACAATCGCCTGCTGCTACTGAACGGGAAATCAAGTGCTGGGCGATGCTTGTGAGGGACTTTTTGACAAGGCAGAGTGACGCTAGCGTTGGGATGGCTTCGAAGAGGTCGACTAAGCAAAAATGACTTAACGGAGAATCCCATTCACGAGTCGCAAGAAATTGTCTTGTGCTATGCTGTCAGAGGGTATGGGTGTGAAGTCACTACAGCACACCCTCTAATGGTGCTATGATTGATTGATCTTTAATATGTTAAGGCATACTCACTTTCGGCCGCAGCGTAACTGTCCGCTTCCCCACATTTCACCCCTCTTCCTCCCCTATGGGAATGGCCTCATCCAGAGACTAAGCTTTGCTGCAATCTCTGGGAGGGTGTCACCGAACCAGTGTTAGATAGACGATGGATGCAATACGATTGGGGTTCCTTGATCAATGAGTGATTATTGTGCTTGATTAAGGGATTCTCCCTGTCCCGGGTTCTGTTTTGTATCTACCCGTTTCCCCCGGCCGCCTGCCTCACGGAAACTACTGCGACCAACTTGACTGCATGCACCAACCTTGACGACAGCTCAGTCAACTAGAACCTAATTACAGACTTTTGATACAAGATCTTTCTATCATTTACAATACCAGCACGAGGAGGAACGCTGTGGTTCGGCAATTGACGACAACAACGTGAATACAGCTACTTGCGATTGAATTCACAAAGACCTTCTTCATCGTAAGTGACGCTTCAGCGTCGATCGCACTCGATAAACCAACCCTCCAGAAGTATCATAGGAAGGCTATTAAGTAGAAAAATATGGATCTCCGTATCATGACTTAACATATAACAAAATCTAGGAAAATTCTGCGTATAACCTACTGCTAGTTGTGTCTTTTCTCTCCCTTTTGAACTAGTGTATGCGATTCGTTAAGGCAACAGCCGCCATGTTTGAAGCAGTCAAAACATATGTCAAAGTCACCGCCGATACAAACTGAACAGTTGTAATAATAAGAGTCCTCCGATACGCTAAATGTGCAAATGTCACAGCATCGTTCCGAAGGAACATGACGTGTTGTGCTGACGTCCAGATCCATCTGATCACCCAAAAGTAATATGTCTCTTTGCTTTCCGCTTTCAATCAGAAGCTGCAAGGTCTCAGTGTGTCCGCATATTTTAGCCCAAAACAAAGGTGTACGGCCAAAGAAATCCCGAGACTCAATGTTGACGCTTTTTGTGGCCAAGAGCAATCGCACAACCTCAGTATGACCTCTTCTAGCTGCCAGAGACAGAGGGGTTGAGCCGTAGTGATCCGTCCAATCTGAGGCCGAGGGATCCCGATTTATCAGAATATTGACCACAGTGGTATGGCCTTCTGTGGAGGCAAAAAACAATGGTGTTCGGCCAAGCTTATCCGTTGGAGAAGGATTTACATGAAACCCTACAAGCATTAACTTTACGATGGATTCATGGCCTTTCTCTGCAGCATATGACAAGGCTGTTCGACCAGAGGTGGAATTCTTGCAGTCCAATTCACTACTATTTGAATCAACCAGTGATGAGGCCACCTCTACTTTTGCATTTGCCAACGTAGTTCGGAAAGCGCTGCCGAATGATGTGGACTTGGTGCTGATGCCTAATCTACTTTCGAGAAGGACCTTAACAACCTTAAGATAGCCATTATATGAGGCTATATGGAGTGGCATACATCCAAAGTCATTAGATACCGAAACGTCTGCATTGCTCTCGAGGAGAGCTTTAACAACTTCAAGATGACCATTGCTCGAGGCCGCATGGAGTGGTGTCCATTGATGAATATCCGCGACCGAGGCTTCCGCCTTGTTTTCGAGAAGGACCCAAACAACCTGAAGATGGCCTTTGTATGAGGCTGTGTGGAGTGGCGTGCATCCGAAGTTATTAGATACCGAGACGTCTGCATTGTTCTCGAGGAGAGCCTTGACAACTTGAAAATGACCATTACTCGAGGCCGCATGGAGTGGCGTCCATCCTTGGGTATCGGCAACCGAGGCTTCTGCCTTGTTTTCGAGAAGGACCCAAACAACCTGAAGATGGCCTTTGTATGAGGCTGTGTGGAGTGGCGTGCATCCGAAGTTATTAGATACCGAGACGTCTGCATTGTTCTCGAGGAGAGCCTTGACAACTTGAAAATGACCATTGCTCGAGGCCGCATGGAGTGGCGTCCATCCGTTGTTGTCAGCTACTGACACGTCTACTCTGTTTTCGAGAAGGACCTCGACAACCTCCAGATGGCCCATACTGGAGGCTGTGATGAGTGTTTTGCACAATATGCTTGTGAGGAATCCTTCCGTGACTCGGAATTTGTCTTTATGCCTTTTGAGAAGAGCAGCTACCACAATGTCGCCGCACACTAGATTCGACACCGCAGCCTCGAGGACCTGTTCTGTGATTTGAATATCGTCTCCACGTTTTTGAAGAAGAAAGTCGGTTATTTTGTCACCACAATGTCCGTTTTGGACTGCACTCTTCAAAACTGTTTCCGTGATCTGGATATCGTCTCCGCGCTCCTGGAGAAGCAGCGCTATTACGTCGCCAAAGTCTTGGTTCCTTACCGCCGTTCTGATGACCTCATCGGTGATGCAAACCGCTTTTCCACACTTTTCTAGAAGTATTCTCATGCTAGCTGCGTTGCAAGAGGGGTTACTGGCCGCAGCAACAATGACGCGCTCGGTGAGTTGAATCTCCTCCTTGCGCTCGTCAAACAGGAACCTTAACAGCTCTTTATCGGGGTCAAAACCCAAGTCTTGCTGTAGAGCTGCGCATATGAGAACATTTTCTGATATTTGAACCTGGCCTCCTCGATTCTTGAGAAGTATCATTATCAACTCTGCGCCAGACGTTGAATTAACGCTTGCAAGGTGAACAATGTCTTTGGTGATCTGAACCTCATGCCCGCGCTTGTCAAAAAGTAGCTCCAATAATTTTGCACCGCTGTATTCGTTTTGAACCGCAAGCTTGAGGATCTCGTCGGTGATCTGAACCTCATGCCCGCGCTTCTCAAGAAGTAGCTCTATTATTTCCGCACTTCTATACTTATTTTGAGCCGCAAGTTTGATGATCTCTTCGGTGACCCGTACCGCTTCGCCGTGTATGTCGATGAGTTTACGCAGTATAGTATCGTGAAAGTGTTCTGCAGCCACCTCAACAATTTCATTGGTGATCTGAGACTCCGCCCCAAATCTATCGAGAAGTAGCACCATTGTTTGGTTTCGTCGTTTTGCATTATTGATTTTGGATACACTTTGAAAGAGTTTTGCGGTGATCTTTATTTCGTCTTGACAGTTGTCGAGAAGCAATGCCATTGTGTTTCTACCGCAGGCGACAACCCCAGCAATCGCCAGTATAACGTCTTCAGTAATGTGAATCTGGGGGCTGCACTTGTTGAGAAGCAGCGCTATTGTCTTATAAAAATTCCCGGAAAGACCCCTGCTAGGATACCGTGTTGCTGCTACTATAAGAGTATCTTCGGAAATGCCAATCTCGTCACCCCGCTCTTCTAGCAATAGCGTTATTACGGCTACACCAAGCTTGTCGTTCTGAGCTGCAGCTATAATAGTATCTTCAGTAATACTAATCTCGCTTCCTCTTTGCTTCAGAAGCAGTGAAACTAAGTCCACACCTAGGGTTTCGTTCTGAACCGCAGCATCAATGATTTCGTCGGTGACTATGAATTCATGTCCACGTTTCTCGAAGAGAAACGCAAGTATTATGTCACCGTATTTTGTATTCGAGGCCGCTGCGTTGACGACTTCTTCTGTGATCTGGATGTTGTTCCCATGCTTGTTGAGTAGTAGCGCTATTACCTGTATACAGGTTTCTTCTCTGCTCGCGACCATCGCTCGCACAACATCTTTAGTTACTTTGAAAGGAATTCCGGCATTAAAATGCCATTCAAGAATCCCAATGCTACCGTATAAGACTGCAGCTTCTTCGTGTGTGATGCGGCGTATAGTCCTCGGCCCATCTTTTGCTAGCTGTCTCCAATGCTCCTGGCCGAGGACATTAGACAAGTCAAACAGGCAGATCACCAGCAAGGCAGATGGCGTGGAAAACGTGACTTCCAAGAGCCTCCAAAACCCACTCCGGTATATACCCCTGCCTTCAAACAACTGTGTAATCATACTATGCCACCGATAAAAGACCGAGCGCGGGTTTTGCTCTCCAGAAAAGAATTCGATCAGAATTTGATTCAATCGTGGTTGCCTTTCTTGACCAGCCGCCTGCGCATGGTCTGCCCAAAACGAGCATGAGTATTCCAAAAGCGATGTCAAAGACGCAAGTTCGGATGGGATGGCAGCGAGATTGAGTAGACAGATTTCGGCCGCAACCGCGTTTGCGGTAGTTGTTTGGTATGTATATTGATTTTCAAGGAACTCCCTCACCGATAAATGAGAGAACCGAAAAGCGTCCAGAGTGGTATCGAAAATGACGAGGTTGCAGCATAAATCTAGAAGCTGATCCTTGGAGATCGCAAGAGAGGATCCGTCCTTTCTGGATACCATTGCCAGAAAGTCATCTGATTCTAGTTGCTCTCGACTACATAGCAACCAAATAAAAGCATTCCTGGCCAGATTTCTATCTGCATCCGCATCGCGGTTCTCGATTTTGAAGAGAATCTCTTGGTAGAGCCCTTCTAGCGTTTTAGGAATTCTTAAGAGTCTCTCCTCAATCGCTGCATCGGTAGTCTGTCGGCAAAGTTCTTGTATGTGTAGGCTTGCCCAGCGGAACCTAAAATTGTGAGTTAACTGCGAGACTCGATTGAGAGGGGCCATTTACATGCCATGCGCTTTGGATGTAAGTTCACGGACAATCTTGCCGTGAAGCTCATCTCTTCTTGCGCTGCCACGCAGTAAAGACCCTTTGCCGATGAGGCGTCTGGTCTCCGTTCGTACAAAAAGATCTATATCCCCCGAGTTGCGCTCGGAGGAGAGGAATAAGTTCGGGCATTGTCTTAAATTATAGACAATGTCCTGGTCATCCCGGCTTGAGACGAATATCTTCAAAAGACATGGAGCCTCTAAAAGTGTATTCAACAATCCCAAAAGGTTTTGTCGGGTTGCCTCTTTGCATTCGTCCAGTGCGTCGATCACAAGCATTATCTTATGATCTTTATAACTTTTAAGGAGCCTAAGAATAAGGTCCTGACTTTCAACTAGTGTGAGTGATCTAGAGGCGAAGGCCTTGTCTTCGGCATTAGTGTACTCCTTCACTGCAGCATCAAGAAGCTCCCCTCCGAGTTGAGGTATCGCAAGCTGTCTTGCAATACTAGCCGCTATGCTAGCAGGGTCCGAACGACCGGGCTCGGCTGGGTTACGGGAGCAGTAAAAGTACGCCAGGGCTGTGCTCTGACTACTCTGAAAAGCCTGTTGGGAGTCCTCAACGACAAGAGACCTATGTTTGTACAGTCAGAACAGAAGGAATTCTTAAGAAACGCTTAGCATACGTCAGCTTGCTCTTGCCAGAGCCTGGGATGCCGTGCAGCCACAAGACTGATGAAACGCTTTCGTTCTTCCATTGCAAGAAAGTTGGGTCCTCAAGGAGCCACTTTCCTGTGCCATTCAAAACTTCACTTCTCGTCAGTTTGTGATGTTGCTCGTAAGGCTCTTTTGAGATCCAATTCAAAATCTCAATGTTACGCCGGATTGAAACTGGCAGTATTAGCAGGAAGTTGACGCGACAGGATTGGTCACATACAGTCTGCTCTCCAATCCCTACGTGTATCAGTTTGAATATAGAGCCCGAGTAATGCTTTCATCGTAGATGCTGCTGTTGCAGCTGCAAACGTCTGCCACTTCTTATTTTTATGGCTGTCGGCATAGTCGCAGACTCCCTTGACAACAATACAAGGAACCTCATCCCACGCTCCGGTCGCCTCCATCTCGAAGGCGATGAGGCTATGTTCCTTGGCAATACTATCACGATGCATGCCGGACCTCATCACCGTGTTGCCTGATCCAACACGACCAATGAATATTTGCGGCTCCTGGGCTTGTGAGACGTCCCCTTCACGCTCTAGCCTCTTCTTTGTTTCAAGGCGCTCCCTAGGGAGTAGGTGAGCGACGTCGCATTCAAGCTCCTTGCACGATGCATCAGGGGCTGTATCGCAAACCCATGATTCGTCACAGCCACAGCCTTCTTCGTCTCGGTGTCTATGTATATAGTTTGGATTGAAGAGCATGTCTTGCGCCGCTCCAGGGTAGGGATACCGGGTCCGTTTCCGTTTCCGAACGGCCTGGGCGGCTTCTTGCTGGATCTGAGCAAGGGTCTCAGATGTTCGGCGCTGGAGAATATCGAAGCTACGTTCCGTCTCAAGACTGGCAAGCAGTGAGCGGATGTCTTTGTTTGGTCGTCCCAGGTTGTCGTCGATAGTGTCTTTTCGTGTAAACTTATGGGGATGCTGGCGGCCAAAGTCGTATTGAACTACTGTCTTGCTGATGATGACGTCCCCAAGTAGAATTTCTGTCTTGGTGCCCACGCCGGGCACACCGCCGCATATGCCCACCAAGATGGCCAGCTTGAGCTCTGTGTAGCTTGAACGAATGCTGGCCATTGCGCTAGCAGCAGAGATGCCTCCCATATTGGGTAGTAATGCCAAAACGACGTTGTATTTTCCGATTCGGCCAGTTGTGTAGGTGTTGGGGTCTCCTCGTGCTCTCCCGAATTTGTCGCCATCCTCGTCCCAGAATTCGTCGAACGCCAAAGTGGCAGCATTGTACTCTAGGGGTAGGGCGCACAACACCGCGATCCGAAAGTCCTCGCGACGCCGAGGTCGGGGGTCGGTAGCCATCGTGATGCCGTATTGACCGCCAGAATGGGCGAATCGCGATGCCCAGAGATGGAAAAGCGCTGGGACGTGAGGCTACAATCAGCGATAGATGCGTTAAACTCCGCAAATCCACTTCAGCCGCAGACCAAGACATAATTACTGACCTCTTGCATGAGGAGAAGGTGGACTTGAGCAAAACCCTTAGCGCCGCATTCGTGCATTATCGCCGACTGCACCGCATCGTTGACCAAACACAGGCTCAGGAAGCTGGTCGCCATTGGAATGCATCTCATGTGTTTCACACAGTACATTCTTACCATGTCTTTCATATTTTGGCAATCTAATATTGAGCTTCAAAAAGCCAAAATTGATTGACAGAATCTACCCAGTATCCTGTTTATCAAATACAGTCCACAGATTATAAGGATATGTCTTCTCCAACCTGCTTCGGCCCTGCTTTACTGCCGCGTGAAACTGACCTTTGTCCCCCAATGCCACCATCTTGATATCCAATGCCCGGTCGACGATACAGACATTCCCATCAGCGTAAAGGCCAAAGTGCCCTTGGAAGCTACGCCACAGAAAGCTCTCATAGAAAAACTCTATATTGTTCGAACCATTGTCACGACACAATTCTGCTCCATTCTGTGAATCGAGCGGGGCCAGAATTCCTACGGCGTTAAGCATCTTGTCCATTAACATCGACTCCGTGCCCAGAGTCTCAGCAGCATGACGTCGTATGTCACTGTCGTCGTCTCTCAACAGTCCTATAACTGCGGCCACGGTCGCATCCGATAGCGTCGAGTGGTTCCCTAGAGTATTAGCGGCTAGATATCTTACGCTACTAGAATCCTTCAAGAGTTCTACAAAAGTGGCTATGATCACCTCTGATTGAGTCGGTAGGTTACTTAGAGCTTTAGCAAGAAACAGTCGTATAAGGCCATCCTCCTGCTTGATGAGCTCGACAATAGTGCTCACAGTCGCCTCCGGCAGTATTGACTGGTAGCTTAGAGCGAAGGCGGCAGAAGTCTGTATCTCTGGGTCCTCATCCTGTAAAAGTTTCGCAAGAGCGAATATAGTTGATTCTGGGAGAGCCAGCCGGGTTTCTAGAGACTCAGCAGCGAAAAGCCGTATGTGAGAGTCTTCATGCGTTAAGAATTTTGCAAGGGTTGTAGTAGTTTCTCCCGATAGTGTCGACTGATTACATATAGCTCTAGCAGCGTAATCTCGTGCAACGAAACTTTCGTCATTAGAGAGATTCAGAAGGGCAGCTACAGTTGGCTCCGATAACATAGAACGATTTCCCAAAGCTTTAACAGCGGAAGATCGTACGCTGCTATCGTCGTCATTAAAGAGATCTATGAGAGCAGCCGTAGTAATCTCTGACTCTGTCGACCGATTCCCTAGAGCTTGAGCAGCGAAGGATCGCGCGCTACTGTCCTTGTGTTTTAAGAGACTTATAAGGGCGGTAAAAATCGCTTCTGATAGCGACGACTGATTGCCTAGAGCTCCAGCGGCGGAAGATCGTACGCTGCTATCCTCGTCATTGAAGAGACCTATGAGAGCGGCTGTAGCTGTATCTGATAACATTGAATGATGTCCCAAAGCTTTAACAGCGGAAGATCGTACGCTGCTATCGTCGTCATTAAAGAGATCTATGAGAGCAGCCGTAGTAATCTCTGACTCTGTCGACCGGTTCCTTAGAGCTTGAGCAGCGAAGGATCGCGCGCTGCCGTCCTTGTGCTTCAAGAGTTTCATAAGGGTTGTAAAAGTCGCTTCTGATAATGTTGGCTGGTTACCTAGAGCTTGAGCAGTACCATATAATTCGATGCTATCAGTTTCCTTAGAGAAGGCTGTCACAACCGCCTCTGACAGCGTGGACTGGCTGCAGAGAGCTACAGCAGCCAATTCTCGCGTGTAGTCGTGGTCGTTTTTGAAAAGTTCCAAAAGGCGATCTATCATTTTCTGTGACAAGTTCCTTTGAGAATCTGTTATAGCTTTGAGAAGGTAACGTCCCACACCCACTTCTGGGCACCCCCCACATTTGGGCACCCCATTTACACCAAAAACGCCGTTTTTCGAAATTCTATATTAAACTAACTACTATACTTACTAAGAAAAGAAAATATATATAAACTATGTTAAGTATAATTATAGCCATCTAATTTTTTATAAAGGTTTAAATATAATAATAGTTATAATATAGAAGTTTAAAACTAAAAGCTTTAAAATGTTAGTAGATACTAGTAACTTACTGTTACGGCCAGCTATCTGACAGTAGGGTTCTGCTAACAGAAGGTGCAGTAAGAGACTAACACTGGTTCGTAGAGGTCGTTCTGGTAGATCGTAGGGTTAGGGTAAGGTGATCAGTCTTACACTATGGTAACGAGGTTCTTAGTATTCACAATACTGAGAGGTAAGCTGAAAGTCATTCGAGGATGAATCACAAGTTGATTGCTGAAGAACTATCTAGAGGGCTTGAGCAGGTACTCAAGTCCTGGTCTATATAGGAGTCTATCTACACGTATTGTCTGTAGTCGTTGGAGATCATATTGATCGAACATGATCCGTTGGCCCCCAACTCTTCTTGGATCATTCTGACCTAGAATGATTCATCACGTGACTTGTTCCGTTCTATAGTTCTTCCGTTCCGAGAGGTTACCTTTTGTTCCCGTGGCCCTGCATACAAAGTCCTGTCATAACCGCCCAACCGAGTGGGTCCTGTTAGGTGTATCTAACGGGTCGTAACATCAGGTCTCCCCTCGATGGTCTTGTCCTTAAGGCCAACATAAGTAGGTCGTGGCTTCCCAGGTTGGGGAGTCGTCAATCGTGCTTCCTTGTTTATTCATGATGCTGACATCATGTCAGGTCGCGTTCAAAAATCCAAATCAAAGAACCCTGTGGCTTATAAGGAACTTAGCCAGCTTGTCGATTTGTTCGGGTTCATCATGCCTGTCCCTTGTTCCGGTTGCGCGGCTGCCGGTGTCGACTGCGTCGTTTCCGAAGTTAATTCTTCTCGTTGTTCGCGTTGCGTTGCCGATAAGCATTCTTGCGACATTCACGGTCCTTCCGCGGCTTCCCTCATTCGGGTTCGGCAACAGAAAATAAAAATTGATGATGAGCTTGAGAAAGCTGAAGAAGAGCAGTTAGCTCTTATGGCGAAGATTCGTCGTTTACGAAGGCGTCGCAAGGACATCAATCGTGAGGCGACTGATCTCATTCGATCTGGTTTGCGGCGTGTGGAGGAGGTTGAGAATGAGTATCGTTCCGAGGTTCTTGGTTTGCAGAGTGCTAGCTCGGAAACTGTGGGTGCACTTCATTCCCTGGGTGCTATTGGCGTCGTGGATTGGTCTGGCGTCGGTTTGGACGACTGGGGTCCAGAGACGTCCTCTGGTGCCAGTATTGTTGGAGTTCTTCCTGAGCGTGTTCCAGGTTCTTAACGTCGCACACCCACTTCTCGCACACCCCCACATTTCGCACACCCATAAATTGGGTCATCATGAGGTATTCATCAACTTCATAACTATAAGTCTGATTCGTCTCCTGCAACTGTGATACTATCGCCAGTTTTAATAGGTAATTCAGGCTCGCTAGATTCATCTGAGCTATCCTCAATTTCGCCAGCCTCAATTTGGGCTTTGTGAATTGCCTCAATGTTGGCAAACTTCGAATTTGGGCTCATTTGGACCTTACGCCGCTTCCGTACCATTCCAGCCTCAACTTCTGCTTCCAACATTGCAATCTTCTTCTCTGCTGTAGCCAATTGATAGTCCTTTTCATCAAATCCCTTTTGAACCTTCCGAAACAACAGTCGCTGCGTTTGCTGATCTTTATCCAACTTGCTGAATAAGCTAAGTTGATCATATAGATCAACTGTCTTCTTGGGCGTTGACCAGGCTACTATGGATGTAGCAGATGCCCAGTTTTCGTCTTTTCCACCATCAGAGGCCCTCATAGGCGTAGAATAGCCTGGCTTTGAGGGCTTGGAAGCATTCTCAAGCAGTAGAGGGCTCATGAGCGGTCGAGCTATCGAAATGGGCCATAGTCCTGTTGCTTTCCAGCCGCTTCTGATATTCTTGCTTGAAAATGCCATCTGGCGTGCTTTTCCATAGCAGGTAAGAAAGTTCCGTTTGCCTACAACTGTAGAATCGTTGTGTTGAATGAGGTATCCAAGCTCTTTTCGATAGGTCGCCTTGAGAGGCCCAAAGACTGCTTGGTCTAGAGGTTGGAGAACGTGGGATGTATGTGGCGGTAGGAAAAGGAGATATATCTTGTGTTTATAACAGAGATACATAAATTCTGTTGTTTCATGACTGCCATGACCGTCTAGGATCAATAGTCTCTGCTCAGAGGGATGATCAGGCTTAGTCAGAGGGATAAAGATGTTCTCAAGCCATTCCACAGCTGTAGAGTCTGAAGTCCAGCCATTCTCAGTTGCTGTGAACTTCCAACCACTGTAAATATCACGTTTATGGATATCAAGAGGAAACCATTGTTGTTGAACCGATTTCCCTCGATAAATAACAAGTGGAGGAAGCGCCTGACCAGTTGCAGAGACACACTCAAGCATAGTTGTCCAAGCCCGAGACCCAGGCTGTTTTTTTCGCATTGATGAGCTTTCTGATGATCCCAGTACTAAGCCATTTGATCCTCTGCCTTCTAGGATACCAGTTTCATCCATGTTATAGCGATGATGTGGTTTGATCGCCTTGATCTCTGGAAGGGCGAGTTGTTGAAACCATTGCCTGATTACATTAGTTGAGGCCCCATTGACACGCTTAGAATCGATGGCTCTAGCTCTATGAACCTTGATTGATGGATTTCTCTTAATAAAGAACTGAATCCAGTTTCTCCCAAGTGGCTGGGTAGTGCCTCTGATGTCTAGGATTCGCTGGGCAAATTCCTTGAGTTGTTGATGTGTTGGCGGCAGCCCTAACGCCGCCTGGATACGCACCCATTCAGCTAAGTGACTTTCCTGTGCTGGAGATAGCTTCTGGAAGCTAGAGAAAGCTACATTTCTTGCCTGTGAACCCTTTAATCGAGACTGGAGGGTTGATGGTGGAATTCCAGCATCATGAGCTGCCTTTCGGACACTCTGCCCACTTGCAACTGCATTGAGAGCTTGATTGACTTCTGTTTCCGTATACTGGCCCATTAAGCGTATAAGAGTAACTATTCAAAGAATTATAATAATCGCTGTAAAAGTGGTGAAGATATTAAAGAATGTTGAAGAGGGTAAAATTCTACATGAGCGATTTATGGGTGTGCGAAATGTGGGGGTGTGCGAGAAGTGGGTGTGCGACGTTAGCTGGTTCCCACGAATCGTCTTCGTGTCCATAGTTTTTCCACTTAATGAAGTATTCTGTTGTTTCGTCATTCCTCCGGTGGTCTAGAATGCGTTCTACTTCGTATTCGGTGTCATCTGTTTCCATAATGATGCAGTCTTCGGTGTGTGTACCGTCTGGTGCTGGTTCTAATAATGAGACGTGAAAGACTGGGTGACATTTCATTGTTTCCGGTAGTTTCAGCTTGTAGTTAACTTCGGAAATTTTCTTCGTGATTTCGAAAGGTCCTAGTTTTTTGAAGTCGAGTTTGTCGCTAGGTCGTTTCGTTTTGATGTTTCGCCGTATGAGATAGGCGCTACCTCCCTCTTTTAGGGGTGGGCCTCTCACCCTATGTCGGTCGGCGTGTTTCTTCATTCTTTGCCGTACGAATTCGAGTTCTTGGGGTAGTTTTTGTTGGATTTCCTTAAGTTTCTTGATGTCTGCTACTGCTTTTATCGCGGCAGAGCCGGTTCGGGGTTCTCCATAAGCGGTAGGGTTGAATCCATAGTTGAGGAAGAAAGGTGATTCTCGCGTGCTTTCTCCTATTGAACTGTTGTATGCGAACTGTGCGGTTGGTAACAACTTGACCCAGTTGTCCTGGTCGTAGTTCACATAACTCCTTAGGTACGTTTCCAGGATCTGGATGATTCTTTCCGTTTGTCCGTCGGACTGCGGGTGGAAGGCAGTGCTGAGGCTGTGCTTTGCTCCGAGCTGCGAGATCAGGGATCTCCAAAACTTGGACGTAAAGACTGATCCTCTGTCTGACACTATTTCCTGGGGCAGGCCGTGTTGGCTGACAATGATCCTGAGAAAGGTGTATGCTAAGTCTTCTGCCGTGCTTGATTCCAAGTATGGTATGAAATACGCGTACTTCGTGAATCTATCCACAACCACTAGTATACTGTCGTATTTTTGCGCAGACTTCGCAATCCTTGATTGCGTCAGCGACGTCTTTTCTTGTTACTTGCTTGTCGTGGTGTTGTCTGATCCGTTTCTAGGTTTTCGTAACTCCTTGGTGACCGTGAGCGGGTGCGCTGTGTATCTCCCTGATCTGGTCGTGTGTCATTCTTCCAGTCGTGCTGGTCTTGACACGGTCGCCGATCATTAAGAGTTTCGCGGCGGGTACGAGGTCGCCATTGTCTTTTTTAAGGATAACCTGAGTTTCTTCTAGGACTTCGTCCTTGTAATCGGGTCTTCGGCTGAGCGCGTCTGCTCTGCCGTTTTCTGATCCTTTCCTGTAGATGATTCTGAAGTTGAATTCTGAGAGGAATTCTGACCATCTGATTTGTCGTTTGTTGAGCTCTTTCGAAGTGGTGAAGTGTGCCAGATTCTTGTGATCCGTGTACACTTTGACTTCGTACTTTGTTCCTGATAGTTGGGGTCTCCATTCTTTGAATGCGTCGATAATTGCTATAAGTTCCTTATCATGGATCTGGTAATTCAGTTCAGGTCCTTGGAACTTCCTTAAAAAGAATCCACAGGGGTGTAGGACTCCGTTCTCGTCCCTTTGGCCTAGCTGCGCTCCTTCAGCTTCGTTCGAAGCATCCGTTTCGAGCTCGAAGGGCTTCTCAGGGTTCGGAATCTGGATGACGGGTTCCGATGTGACCTTGTCCTTGACTTCTTGGAACGCTTTCTGTTGTTTGTCTGTCTATTCCCAAGGTGCATTTTTCTTAGTAAGTTCGGTAAGAGGCAATATCGTTTTGGAGTAGTCTTTGAGGAATTTTCGGTAGAAGTTGACAAATCCTAAGAAGGATAGTATGTCCTTCGGGTTTTCTGGTGTAGGCCATTCTTGCACAGCCTTGATTTTGTTAGGGGACATCTTGATTACGCCTGGCGTGATTGTGAACCCTAAAAATTCTACTTCCTGTTTGTGAAACAGACTCTTCTCTGGTTCCACAAGTAGCTTCGCTTGTTCGAGTGCTTTGAGAATCTCGTGGACATGCTTCTTGTGTTCTTCCAACGTTTTGGAGAATATAAGGATGTCGTCGAGGTACACAACAACAGACTTGTCCAGATATTCCCGTAGTACTTGGTTGATCATAGTTTGGAATGTAGCCGGTGCGTTGGTGAGTCCAAATGGCATGACTAACGTTTCAAACTGTCCTCTTCTCGTTCGGAAGGCTGTTTTCCACTCATCTCCTTCTGCAATTCGGATAAGGTTGTAGGCTCCTTTAAGGTCCAAGGCTGTGAACCATTGGGCCTCGTAGAGTAGGTCTCTTAGTTCCGATATGAGGGGCAGTGGGTAACAGTCTTTGATCGTAATATCGTTGAGTCGTCGATAATCGACACAAAGTCTTTTCTTCCCGTTCTTCTTTGGTACGAATAGTACGGGGTATCCTGCGGGTGATTTCGAAGGTCTGATGAATCCTTTCGCAAGATTTTCGTCAAGCCATTCGTCTAAGGCTTTCATTTCCTTTTGGTTGAGTGGGTATATTTTGTTAAAGGTGGGTTCGTGTCCTTCCTTAATTTCGATCTTGTGATCCCACTTGCTGTGTTCCGGTAATCCGGTCTCGAGTTCTGGTGCAAAGAGTTTGCTGTAGACCCTGTATTCAACAGGTATCTTTGACATTGGATCTTCCGTGACTTTGTCAATCGTCGTGGCTGCTAGCGTCCTAGTGCCAATGTCTTTTATCCTTAGCATCAGGCGTGGTCTTGCTCTGGTTGCTGCTAGTAATCCGCATGAGGCCTTCGTCGAGTGCTTCTCAGAGGCTGGATTGAATTTTATTCGGCCGGTAACCTAATCGATTTGTGGGTTATGTCTTCGTAGCCATGGAATTCCGAGGATAACGTCGTGGTTTCCTATCTCCGTGATGTCGAGGCTGATAAGCTCCTGATGGCCATGGTAGAGCAAAGGGAGTTGCGCTGTCTCCTGATCAATGCTGCCTCCGCCATACTCGACTTCTTTCCCTTCCACATTCCTTAGTCGGTAAGGGTTTTGCTTCTGATTCCATGGTATTTCTCGCTGTTGCACTATTCGGGGTGCGATAAAGTTTCCTTGGGCTCCTGAGTCTATCAGGACCTGTGTGGTGTATCCGCCTAGGTTTACTGTGATCTTCATTTGTGCGTCGTCGTCGAATGTAGCACATAGGGACTTGCTGGGGGAGCTCGCCATGTGTCCCGGACAAGGCGGCTCTCCTAGTTTTTTGAGTAGAGGGCCTTCTCGCCCTTCTTTCGGTCTCTGCCGAGGTTACTTTCTCTGATTCCTAGACGAGGTGGGCTGGGCGTCTCGCCGTCCTGTCCTTGCTTGTCTAGTTCTTGTTGTCGGAATCTCCAACTTTCGCTTTTTGGAATGTAGTGGAGTTTGCATAGGTCTTCCCTGCAATTCCACCAGACTCCCGTGAAGTGGTTCACACACTTCTGAGGGTATTCGATGCTGGGTCGTAGGAATGCTATTCCATTGTTGTTGGTTTTCTATTCTCCGGGTTCTCCCCGTACTTCCTAATATGAGAGTTCTTGTTCCTCATAGGCTCTGCGGATTCGCAGTTCTTCTTTTCTTTTGGGGTATAGTTCGTTTTCTGCTTTCTTTGAGAGATGGTAGGCGCAGTGATCGAAGATGCAGTAGATCCATGCTATCTCCTTGTGTTCTCTGTGCTGTGTCGTAATCCTGGGATCGTCTTCCAAGAATATTTCTTCATCCCGGGTTTGTGTGATTGTTGTAGGGATTTTGTTATGATATTCTTCTGCATGGAAGGCGATCTGTTGGCAGTCGTCTTGGGGGTCGATGTATTTGTATTCTAGTACTTCCTTAATTTTTTCCATTCTGTCGAGATGGTGTTCTTCTTCTGCGTCTTCCAGGTCGGTATCGTCTATCGACGTTCCTTGTGGACGTACTTCCGCCGAGGGTGGTCTGTCTACGACGTCTTCAGCCCATTCCGAGATGGGTTGAGGAGTAGCGCGGGTTCTTTGTGGCAATTCAAAGGTCGAGTCGCTGGCTACCGTGGTATATGGTGAGCTCTATCGTTAGCTTAGGTTGTCCTTTGCTTGGTATACTCGGGTCTGGGTGCTGGCGTCCCTGAATTGTTGTTGTCTCAGCATTTCATCCAATTGCTCGGTGGCTTTGCGGGCGTATTTGCTGGCTACCGCGAGGGTTCGTTCCGTCTTTCCATCGTTTTGGGGTCGGTAGACAAATTGGGTTGCTTTGTACTTGAGTTGATACTGTCCTCGGGTGTTTCCGCGTAGTGCGATGCGGCGGTCTCGGGTTTTCCGCATGTGTTGGAGGGTGTCTCCAACTTCGCTGTTGTTTCGAATTTGCATCGTGTAGTTGATGGCGTCTTGTATCCGTTTGATGGCTGTCTCGTTTTCTTCTTCGAGTTTCCTGGCTTCTTCTTCTGAGAGACTTTCCGGGGTGTTTACTTCATTCGTCTGTCGATAGTTGGCGAGGCGTGGGATGTCCCATAAGAGTCCCGGTTGGTACACAATGCTACCATCTTGGAAGGCGTTGTTGAGTTCCGCGGCCTTCTTCGCTTGTTCCCAGTCGTCGAGTGGCTCTTGTCGCTGCTTAGTGTAATCCGGTCCACCGGTGTATCGGTCTATCACAGCAATGGCCTTGGGTATGTTGGTGGTGTCGTATCCCGATCGTCCTGCTGGGTTTTGAGGGTACCATCCACTATTCTCTTTTGCATGCCTGTGCGTAGTGCAATCATTGTCATAGCAGGCTGTCCATCCCTTTTCTTCGTGGCTAGGGATTTTGGTTGCAGCGTTGGCTTGCTTAGGGGTTGCCGTAAGTTTCTTAGGCTGTATGCAGTGTCTGGCCATGTGTCCTGGCTTGTCGCAGTTGTAGCATTTGAATTCTCTGCGTCTGGGTTTGTCTTTTTGCGCGACGCTCAGGTCCATGGGTCCACTGTGTTGTCCATGTGCGGTGCTCTGCTGATTGTTGTTCCTGTTGTTCTGGTTTTTGTTGTTGAACTTGTGTTGAGGTTGCCATTGGTATTTCTTTCCTGAGTTGGCTGTTTGACGTTTTTCTCCTTTTTCCTTGCGTCGTTCAAACAGTCGGTTGTCAATCTTAATGGCGTATTCGACATAATCAAGGAAGCTAGGTGGCGTGTCCACTTTGGCCATTTCGTCCTTGACGTCGTCCTTGAGACCCTGGTAGAAAGCGAAGACTTTGCTTTCGTCGGTCATGTCGAGTCTGGCTGCGAGTCGTCGAAATTCTGCGGCGTACATTGTAGCTGATTTGTTTTGTCGTAGGCTCGCCAGTTCTCTTTCTGCTTGTCTTTTCTCATCGGGGTCTAAGAAGAGAGATTGAAGGGCTTTAACATATCCACTGAAGCTGAAAAAGATGTCCTTCACTTCTTGACTGTATCTCTCGATAGGGGTGTCCAGCCATTCTTGTTGGAGGGGTTCGAACCAAGCGAGGGCCTTCCCTTTCAAGAAGGTGGCGGCGTGGACGACACGTTCGGTATCGTTCTGGAACGTGTTGATGTGGAAGGCTTGGTAGGTCCGTATCTGTACCAAGTATCCTTTGAGCTGTCCAGGGGTTCCGTCGAAGGTGGTAGGGGTGTTGAGCTTAAGGCGTTCTCTTCCTTCGACAGGAGCTGATATGACGTTCGCGGCAGCTCGAAGGGTTGTGACTTCCTTCTCTAGTTCTTTGGTGCGGCGGGCTTGTTCCTGTAGCTCCTTGAGGGCTTTGACGTTCTGGTTGAACAGGTTTTTCATTTCCCTGAGCTCGTTGTTGTTCCGCTCAAGTTGCCGCTTAAGTTCTTCATTGTCGTCATCGCTATCGGATTCCTCCTTCATTTCCTGGTCTTGAATCTCTTGGGCCAGATTCTGGGGAATACGTCTCTCGGACGTGGACGAGGTTCCAGGAGTAGGGTTTTCGGTAGTTCCGTGCGAAGACATCTTGTCTTATACTGTTCGTTAGTCTCAAAGGGCAACTTACTGAACAGGAGCAATCAAAGTGTTACGGCCAGCTATCTGACAGTAGGGTTCTGCTAACAGAAGGTGCAGTAAGAGACTAACACTGGTTCGTAGAGGTCGTTCTGGTAGATCGTAGGGTTAGGGTAAGGTGATCAGTCTTACACTATGGTAACGAGGTTCTTAGTATTCACAATACTGAGAGGTAAGCTGAAAGTCATTCGAGGATGAATCACAAGTTGATTGCTGAAGAACTATCTAGAGGGCTTGAGCAGATGCTCAAGTCCTGGTCTATATACAAGTCCCGTTTCCCAATGTCTTGGAGAGTCTATAGAGTCGCTCGTCGACTCTATCGACTCTCTTCTGATTGGTCCTTTACAGGAGTCTACAGAGTCGCTCGTCGACTCTGTCGACTCTGTCCTGATTGGTCGATTGTCACGTGACTTGTAACGTAGTTCTTCCTTGCCGAGAGGTTTACCCTTGTTCCCGTGATCCTACGTACATATGTCCTGTCGTAGCCGCCCGACCCAGTGGGTCTGTTAAGTGCATCTGACGGGTCGTAACATATATCCTATATATTTCTAACGGTATAGCCGCTAGCCTAAGTAGATCTATTAACTCTCTATTAGGTATAATGAGCGGGTTGTAATACTAACTATAAGGGGTACCTAGAAGTAGGTGTGGGACGTTAGTGCTTTGGGATCCTATACACGTCCCTGATCGGCTTGTCTCTACTATAAGTTTCTACTAGGCAGCCCTAACCCTTATTTTACGTAAAAGTAGTACTCACCTTGCCTTGGCTTTTAAGTAAGTGCAAGCCACGCGGGAAGAGGAGAGAGAAAGAAATAATGAAATTTCGGAGACATTCGGCAAAGTGCTCTATGTAAGCAAATTAGCGATGCCGGAAGGATGATACTTGGATTCGGTCCGGTTCACACGGCATCCGATTCTCATAACCCGGCGAGCTATACACCCATAGGATCGGGACGTAATTATCGCATGTAACGGGCAATGCCCTCTGGCTTGTCGTTCAGTTGTCCGCCTAATGATTATATCTAATAAACAGAATCTGCACTCGAAAGGAAAAGGTTTGCCATGAAACGACCTTATTTATTAACTGTCTAACTAGACAGTACTCACCAAATAAACCACAGCATTTACGCAACTAGTTATTAGGCCACAAGGCTTTGTGAAAGTCTTCCTCGTTAGACCACTTTAATTCATCAAGTAGTACGACGTGACTTCCCCGTCATTCCAAAGTTCTTCCGTGCCTGGCTAGATTCTGGCTAGATTCTTGCGGCTACCTCAGGGATTACTTCATCACGTGTCTCAGATGCTCGCTCGACAACTAGAGCGGTCTGCCAAATATAGGTTTGGGTTTGTAACAGGGCGCCCATATAAGTTCACTGTTCAGTCAGAAATGCGTCTTAACGAATTAAGACAGTAACTCAGGCATATTTGGCTTCTACAAAATTGATTTTCTCATGATCATGAACGGGCGCTTTATGGGTCGACTTACCGCAAGTGAATTTAGAACCCTTCCTAGAATGTTTTGAGTAGGATACCATCTACGACAAAATGCCAAAACGCCTCGGGGCAGACACATGCACAAATATCAAAAGAGCTGAGACACAATTATTTTTATCCTGTGACGTCAACTCGGCATCCCTTTGAACCAGTAATCCAATCTCCCAAGTTAGTCGCCCGGGTGACTGCAGCAGGCTGCGCCCCTGACACAGAGGCACAGCCTGATTTGGCATCTTACACATACAGATACTGTGCTCTCTGAGTTTTGATAAAACCAGGCTGTTACATTTCCATCTCGAACATTTGCAATTGACGGAGAAAAATGCATCATCACAACCAGCGACCTAATGAACCGAACATGAACTCCTGCACCCAAGACGACCCTACGATACCCTCTTCGCCGCCACTTTACAATGGCGAATTCAGCAATGTCAGCAGCAGAGAAAGTCGAGGCTCGATTAGTCAAAGAACGGCAATGTCAGACTACAGTGAAAGGACTATTCCTCATTCTTCGGCGCCTAATTCAGCCCAGGCAGAAGTTCAACGCAAGATTGGCCCTTTCAGACGCAAACCCGATTCATCAGAACTACCAACTGAACAAACACCACTTAATCTAGACGAAAGTTCGCAGCCTGGCTCAAGAGCCGCCTCGCCGCCGCCAAAGGTACAAGAGATTCAAGCTTTCCGCTGGTGGTGGTGGTGGGAAATCGCAGCCGCGTCCATTAGCATCACCAGCATGTGTCTCCTTGTCGCAGTCCTTCTCCAGGTACAGAACACCCCACTGGCCAGGTGGACCTGGAATATTCAACCCAGTTCCGTTATCTCCATCCTCACCACCTTCGGCAAGGCTGCGATGATGGTCCCGATAACGGCCTGCCTCAGTCAGTTAAAGTGGAGGCACATGCAGCGACAAGCACGCCCCCTGAATCACCTACAGACTTTTGATGATGCGAGCCGTGGCCCATGGGGATCTGCCATCATGGCATGGAAAATGCCTCTACAGTCACCCCTCGGCTGGGCTTTGGCCATCGTTACCGTTGTTGCTCTCGGAATGGAACCAAGCGCCCAAAACATTCTCGATTTTCCCAGCATCGAGTGGAAAGTCACAAATGGGACGGTCGCCAAGATGTACTCTTCAAAAAGTTTTCACCCACAAGAGGATAACTGTAAGTCACAAATAAGCATCAAGTCACCGACGTGTTTCTGACGATTACTTTACAGGGGACTTTTGGATTCCAAATACGGACGTGACCAAGCTACAGGCATCAGTTATGAATGGAATTGCTGGGGCAGTATTTGAGCCGAACTACAAATGTCCCGGGCCATTCACTCGTTGCGTGTGGACCGATATCACCAGTCTTGGTGTCTGCATAAACTTTCGAAACGTGACTGAACAGACAACCCGTAACTGTACGACGACTGAAGACGATCAAGAGTTGAGGCATACTTGTACTTACAATGTTTCCGGTCGCATTTCCGACGTCTTACCCGTTATGGTTGACTCTCACGAAAATGACCTCAATTATCGCGAATCTCAGATTCTCTTCTTCGACTTTGATTTCGGGGCGTGGTTCGAGGGACCTTTAGGCCAGCTGACGATTATCAAACACCAACGGAGTGAATCGACAGAGAAAGGAACCATTACTTATCCAGTGACCAACCCTCCTTTTCCCGACGTCTTCCTCGCCGACTTCGAGTGGCGTGCCAAGACATACCGCAACGTCAGCGTGGTTTCCGGGACACTTTTTACAGGCGAGATACGTTCAACGCCGCTACATTACAGTAGTCATATCCTCAGCGATGAGGATTTTCGAAACAGTCCCCTCAAACAACCCTCGATGCTGTTTACGACACCCGATAACGCCACCGAGTTCCAGGTTTCGTCCATGGTCCTTACCTGGCTACCTACATACTTGAAGAACTTTTTACATGGAAGCCTAAGGGAGAAGCTGATTGATAACCGTCTGATATCAGACTCGTTCCCAACAACTGCTATGAACCTGGAGTTCTTGATTTACTTGACGGAAAACATGACATCAATCGCCGAAGCGCTCGCGGACACTCTCACGAATCAGATACGTAGTGGAAACCCTGGTGATAACCAAAATGCGGCGATGGCTAGAGGCGAAGCATTCAGGACGGAAACCTTCGTGGTGGTGAGGTGGCCGTGGCTGATACTGCCGTTGCTCGAGACGGTCGTGACGGCTGCGTTGCTAGTCACGAGCATTGTTCTGACGAGAAAAGACCCTTTGCTAAAGGCATCGACGATGGCTTACCTGACATATCCGTTGTCTGGATGGAACGATTCTGAAGTCACTGTGAAGGATCCTCAGAGTGCTGAAAAGCTTCAGAAGCTAGCTGAAGGCATGCGAGGGAAGCTTGAAAGCAACGGCAAGGGCAGGTTGGCATTCTCTAGATATTGAGTCGACATTGACGCATCGCTCTCAATCTTAGATAATGTACCTATAACAAACCATTGCGCTCTCTCGTATAACTTTCCCAAAACCTATTGGACTTACTTCTTGCTGAAACAATGCAAGGCTGAGCTACCTCTTAGCCAATCGGTGACTCGACTTATTGATCCACTGACCTCTTGTCCAACGGATCCTCGGGATAGTCAGAGCTAAGTAGAGTGCCTCTACTGGACGATGCTCATGTTGCTATGGCCGGAACTCCGGTTTCCAGTGGCTCCATCGCCGGCGACACTGCAGACTGCCGGCTGCCGGCTGCCCACGTGACAGGCAGCCAGACGGGTACAAATTCCACAACCACCTCGGCTAGCACTTTTACTGGATTTTCTGCTAGTCATGGACACGTTGGATTGTTCAAGAAGCTAGCGATTTTCTCATCTGTACATCTAGAAACAGTAAAATGTCAATTCAGCGCCCCCTTTCTGCTCTTATTAAGCGGATGCGTTCTTCGATAGACTCTTCACAACGAATCTGCAGTTGACGAGGACGGAATTGAGGAAGAAATGAGGGGTAAGATGGCAGCTATCTTGCATATCATCCTCCTCGCCCAGATACGTTAATCAATGACCCAAAGTGGAAGCAAACATGACACCCTTGCAGCGACAGCTTCAACACTTGGCCGGCATTGTCTGGCCCGAGAAAGCCCGTGGGAACAATGTTGATATCCGCTTGGAATTCTCCCACAATTTCTCGCCCAACAGTTCATGGTATGCGTAGTTATAGACTCGGATGTCAGTCTTGAACAAGGCGGTAGGAAGAGTAGCAACCCTACATCACCAATACACAAAGAGCCAGAATCAACGAAATCGATCGGGTTCTGCCACAATCTTTCGGAAAAAGCGGCCGAGCCTGATGCAGGTATCCGTTCGTGCGTAGGCCAAACCGGGCCGAGGCCCTACCAGAGCAACTGTTCTCCTGGATTAAGGGCCGACATCGACGCTTTTCCCCTCGGCTTATATCGACAATTGTTTCCTTGGAGCCCTCACGAAAGCACCAGTGCCCAAGAAAGGGTTGCAGCATGACACAACACTCAGAAGCCGGGTCGATACTGCAATCCAGCAAACATGATCCTGCAAGTCATCATTCAATGGTCGCGTCCAGCATCTGCAGCCGGTGAAAAGCATGCATGCGTCGGGCAAGGTCTTGCATTGTCGAAGCGGTCCGACCAGGGCTTTTCTTCAGTTTGCTCCATTCTACAAGCAGCCCAAGTCCCCGCATGCTCTCGGGCCAAGAAAAAGACTTCTTCATTTAGAAGAACCCCACAGCATCGTCGAATTACGATAATTGCATCTGCCTCGCACTGCGTCATCTTGCATTATTTGCCAGATATTGCAGATACAGCCTGTGTGGTAGCAAGCATCTGAGTTGGCTCACCGGTATCCAATTCAATCGAGCATGACGCTTTAGTACGCCACCATCCCACGGAGGTAGGGCTGCTTTCCAGTTCCAATTGGATATATTCCGTTTGTTGTCTCCCTCCGTCTTTTCAATTATCAGTAAATCATTTCGATGCGTCAACGTGCGTCGACGTCGTCTAAATCGAGGTGGTCACATCTACCGTGCACATACTCTTGCAGAACTTAAGAAAGAAGCCTTTCTCTCAACAGTTCAATGTACAGTTATGTCTCTTTTCCCCGGCCCAAACTTTTGGCTTCACCACAACACCAAGACTGAAAGATCAAAATTCACAGTCTGATGTTCGGCGCATACTCTTGATTTTACTTCAAGCTCGATCGATTACAATGTCCAAAAACGATTCCAAAAGAGCCATTCCTCCAGTACCAGTATTTTCCTCTACAAAAAATGACTGGATAGTGCAGCCTACCATCTCAGCAGTAGCTGAACCGAATTCCCAAGAGAAGTCACAATCAAGGAAAATTTCAAAACAACAGTTCAAAAACACGGACTCGAGCTCGAAAATTTACCGTTGCACCTCTTGTCTAAACGATTTTGAATGCTATGGCCCTTTCCTGTGGCATCAGGAACGTTGCGTTTGGCAGAGAATGTGGGGTGGAGATGGAATCCTACCTTCGCAACACTACTAGATCGCTTCACCATAGCTTTCTGGTTACAATACTAAGAGTTGCAGGCATTCAATCTTACTGCGCGATATATGCATAAAACCATGTGTCATTTCATTTGGATATTGTTCTGATGCCAATTGACTCGTGCAAACCCAAACCTTATACCCTGTACGGCGATACTCTTTGGGCTCCCACAAATTCTTGCTGCATAGCTTTGCTATTATCTTGAACTTGTTTTTTGCTTTCTTAATCTATGGAACTACTGGCAGGAGGAGTTCTCATAGAGCGGCGACCACTCAACGGATTGGGACAGGCTGGGACTGGTGATGTGAGGTGTTATATGTTGAGATGGGTAATTCCGATGCCTCATATGAATAGAAAAGGTTGTCGACGGGATTTGTCGGGAATGCCGCCTGAACACCGATAACTGAAAGGTAGTATTACCTTACTTTCGGGGAAGTACGAGCGAGTTGCGGGGTCCGACTATAACAGAGAAAGTTTTTGTGAATAAGAAATGGAGTGTTCCTATCGACGTTGTTAATTTATGTCAGCCTGTGCTGTTTGGTTGTTCGCCAAAGAACATCTTAAGCATGTATTTGGGGTGAGTTATGTCTTAATAGCTACAAGCAGAAAAATAAACAAGACGACACAAAGAAAATATGGCATTACAGTCGATGGGCTCTGTTCCAAAGCAAAAGCTGGTAGAGGCGACCCTGATGCACCTTTTATAGTTGGTCTGGTGATCGAACACATACCACTAACTGTGCGAACTAGGCACCGCATCGTTAGGCACCGCATATTGTTGCTGCCCATGCCATAGTCGGTCATTACATATTTCAATTTGAAAGCTTTCTAATGTACTAGTCATTTGTGACGATAGTGTCAACGCTCACCGAACACACCGAGCGAGGTGTGTTTACGTAAGCTACATGAAACGCATACCGTTGACGTACAAGTACGAGCTTCCTCACGCACATACCCTCTTTCTCAGTCAAGTCACTCTTTTACACCTTTTCTAGCCTGATTACAATTTGCCTAGTTCGTCACACAGGTGGAACTTGAGATCAGTTGGGCTGAAGAGTTTGCTTTGTGCCATGTTGGCTGCAATGACCTGCGCGTCAGAAGACACACACTATAAATTAGTTAAGCCCCGCATGTGATGCCCAGTGCTAACCAGCCCTCGATGGGTATGGTCATGCTTTGCCATTTTATCTCAAACACCCTGCATATCTACTGGAATTCCCCAATCCCGATTGACAAGCTTACATAAGATAACAATGAATCCAGCCTGATGCGGGGTTACGGGACAAATATGATGAGGCATTTTCTTGTTTTTCGACTCCCTATTCTTTAGGATCATCTTAATATTCTAGCCTAGCTAGCTTAGTACTCGCAAACTATTTTATCGAACCTCTTGGAACGCTGAAACAAAAATCTCATGCCGGGGTCTAATAGAGCCAGTTATAGTCCTATGTTCGTTATAATTAATGTTCCCAGTTTTAATCGTGCGTTCTAACTTACTCTCTCAAAGCATTCAATGTATACAATGGCTAGGTTACCATCACATCGTCATGATAATACTGGTGACTTCCACTATTCTTTTCTGTATGCACGAATCCAATTTGAATGGGCTAAACCCTTTACTAACTGTTGTAGCGATTCTTCTCGCGGGATGCACAGTCGAGAACCTCAATAGCATATGCCTAATTACTCTCTCTTATTCGCAAAATCCAACATTGTCTGTCCCGAATGCAACTGCAAAAAGTCATAGCACATTGCAACCATCACTATTCACAGCCATTGATCATGCAGGGCTGGAAGTTCGAGTCGGATATTTCAGTATGTGCCTGAAGAATCAAGACCAGTGGGTCTGCTCGCGCGACATACAAACACTCGAATCCTTTTTCAGGCGTACCCAACCTGGGGAGGCCCACGATCCTTTACAAATCCTTCGCGTTGGCGAAAAGTTCAAATATGAAGTCATCTTCACAGGCCTAATGTAAGATCAATATACTCCGCCACTTGTGTTGCTTTAGGAAATTGTATCTGGTTGATTTTCTAATAGAAGAGTTACAATGCAGCTTTATTTCAATTGTTTTTAGTTTTATAGCATTCATTCTCTTAGAAACCTTTCCTGCCTGGGCAGAAACTGAAGACCCTGAAGCAAGCGACAACGAACCAAAGCCTTTTCCTAGTAGACCTGTATCAATGATTGTCTTAGTTTGTTTATTCTTCTCATCTCTTTGCTCCCTTCTTGCTGGATTCTGGCAACACTTATCAAGTTCCGCTGCAATTGCGATGGGTTCCGTTTTCAGCCAAGGAGCAGTGGAAGGGCATGTCTGCGCTGGGGCCATGGCACTCGGATGGATCTCGTTTTTTTTACTAACGCTTTCATTCCTTATGATGCTCATCATGATTTTATCTATCCGTGTGCTTTCGGAAATGGTTAATTAGTATGCTATTGACAATCTATGAGTGGATCTATGGCTGAGAGACTTTACCTTGGAAGTATAACTAATTTTAACTCTATGACTGGCTCCTCTTTATACATGATGGGAAGCGACGTCTTATACGCACCTGTGATACGACTGCGCTCCCTCTCACTTGCATCCTTTACGACAGTTTGATTAACTCCTAACAAGGTAGCTATGTAAAACGAGGCTTAGCATGTGTGTGATTTACTGCTATCCATGAGCCGTTAGAATATCTCAGTGCAATCTTCCAATTACACGACAAATAGCAGTGCTACATAAATCAAGACTTTATAGATAGTGATAATGGCTCTGTATCCCAAGCAGACAGATACCGTTTTGTATGCTGTAACCAATTGAACTAGAGGGAAGGGGTAATCGGACATCATGTATATCTAAAACTGCATATCGCTAGGGGCTGTTTTACACTATCTTGACAAAACACTACTTGAAGTAGTTGCACTAGAGATCGCTAACCATGCCACATGATTCAGCCTGTGTATTAAGTATCCAGAGGCTAATGCGAACGCAACGATAGCCGCTGTAATCGATACTGCCGCTTTGACACCTGAAGTTAACTCAGACGTCCACACTGGTCCCAAAGTCGCCAAAAGAACAGTCAAACCAGCAGAAGTTACCAGAATTGAATGGCGCACTGAATGGCCCAAACTATCTCTGATAGAATTCAGCCAACCAGCTATCTTATCGACGTTAAATGCAATGGTAATTAGCACAAGAGAAATACCTAGGCCAATAGCCACTAATATCACCTTTATCAGCTGGTATTGCGTGTGAAAGAATTATCAAAATAAGACACTTACGTATGCGCTTTATAAGATAATCGAATGGGATCCGTTCATCTTTATCGAGAGGGAACCCATTAGAGTTAATTGCAAATATAGCTGCTATGAAAGACACGGGCAACTATGACGTTGTTAATACCGTTATATATCCAACATAGGATAATCTTACAAAAAGAATAGTTACTACGGTAAAGACAACAATTGTCTTCCCCTGCTTAGCTGTGTCTCTCGCCGATGCTCTAGCATATAAAGCCTCGCTTAAACTGGCCTGCTTCTGTTTTAGGTCCATCAGACGGTGCAGCTTGGTAAAGCATTAGAGAATTGCAATCATGCAGTAATGGTGCAGACCCTTACTAGTTTTTCTGCCTTCTTGGCCGTCTTTTCCATATGGTCTATGCGTAATAGATGATTTTCCAAAGTTCTCGCCTCAACTAAAGGGCCTCTACTGCTTCTTCCCGCAATGTCCTTGAGGCTGAAGTTGAGCTCCTTAATAACCATTTTCTGATCAGTCAGGACAAGCTTCAGAGTGTGAAGTTCGTCCACGATATCGTCGATCTCTATCATCAACTCTATCTCTTTGGCAATGCTCGTCAACTGTTGGTTTTCTTCGCTGATTGCTTCTTTGAACTCTCTTAAATAGTTCGCTACGTTCTCATTCTAAGTTAAGTGATGTTAGATAATATTGTTTCGGTCTCAGTGTGCACTTTTGTTGGAATGGGTGGCAGATCTCTTACAACTTGTACAATTGACCGTTCAAAAAAGTCGAAAAATAGAAGTTCTTCGTCAACCTGGTGGGGATCTAACAGTTCAACGCAACATGTTGTTATAAGCCCTGCAAGGTCGTGAACCGAACCAACCGCTCTTCGGCCTGGCTTCGACAGGCGCTGGGTAAGTATATGAGGAACATTGAGTGGATCGTCTACGTTCAATCTCGGCCATCTGTTGTTCTCCATCGTAGTTTTGTTTGGCATCACGCCTCTAGTCTCTCGTTGTTTGCTTACAGGCACCTGTTCAGCTGCGGTTTGCGATTTTGGTACAGCTGGAGCTTTGTGAACTACGTTAGCAAACCACTTCCGAAAAAATGTTTGCCTTGGAACCTCTGTGACTGGGTCATTTGTATGATGTGAATCCTTTGGTAGCCAGGATTCCCATCGAAGGGGGCTGCAGGAAATGATTATGTCTGTGATTATATTAGGCTTTTGTTTTTAGGAATTTTCCAAGATCATAGGATGTAATACCGTCGCCAAGGACCCATAGCCATAGTTGATCCACCATAATTATCTTAGGATCAGGGAGTAGCTGAGAACTTGTATAGCGATAGACGACCTGGTCATCATCACGATGGGAAGTTGTTTCAATATGACCATAAACATATTGATCCAGCGTACGACGTGGTTGAAAGCCCTGTTTCCCGGGAGAAAGGTATCCCCGGATAAGATACTCATGGAGGTTCTGCGGAGGCAGGGGGTGCCGATGCTTTTTCTTCTTGTGCTTTTTGAGTACCTGTGATATCTTTGTGCTCTCTGGGCGGCTTTGCTCATGTGCCTCATTAGAATCAAACTTCCCTGATAGCCCTGGGTCTTGGCCGTGAAAGCCAATCTCAAAAGGCATCAGCCTTGTCGGTGTGCTGTGCCCAGAATCGTGGGCCCCTGCATGTTCCGTTCTGGTAAGGCCATCGCTAGCGCTATCCAATGGCGGCCCTCTGACGGGAGGAAGATCAATCGCTTCGGCAGTGTCGTGGATTTCTTGACTAGCTGTTACAGAACCATTGTTGGGGGCTATCTGCTGCATCGCCGACTGGGGTTCATTCTTCATCGTCGGATGCGTTTGCTCATTTTCGACCCTGGGCTCAGTGGTAGCCTCCATTTCTAATTGATCATGATTATTGTCAGAGTTTCTGGACCCACTCTCTAGATCCATGTCTGTGGCTGATCTGCTGTTGTGGTGCGGCTTTTGCCACCCCCAATTACTGATTCTATCATTCAGCGACTTGAGAGTAGCTTTTAACCGCGAGCCAAAGCCTCTTTCTGAAGCATTGTCGATCGAGATGTTGCTAGAACCAGCTAGATCGTCAGAAGTGGATAAATGAGGTTCGACTGTTGGACGACGCTGATTCTTCACCGTGGGTGAAGCGTCTCTTCCCCCAGTGTTTAGTAGAGGTGTGGGTGGCCTAGGAACTTCAAGAATGGGCCGCCTAGGTCGTTCAACCAATCGTTTCTTCAGTGCCGTGTTCATTGCCTCATATCCGCTATAAGACTCAAAGTGTAAGAACGGTACCTCCTTAGTTAGCTTAACCAGCTTGGCCCCTTCAAATCCCAGATCTGACTCACAAAGGACACAATACCGTCTCTCCCATCTGTTAAGGGGGAAATGCTATGGCCCTTGCACAAATGTGTTAGGAATCTTTGGCTAGCACCGCAAGGTTAGAGTCTCATTCACTATCTTACAGGTACACGTCGGCAGTGTGGCCGCATGGCTGAGAAGGATGCCGCAAATGATTTGGGCTTTGCGTTTGGTTCGGACGCGGATAACTCCAGGTCCACCTTCGCGCTATCATATACCTCCGCGGATACATTGCCTTTTTCGGCTGCAAGACGTCTAATAAGACTCTGTCGTTGTTAGCAGCCCCCGGATGTCTGTTTAGAATGTTTGGTCGGCGAGACAGTGTGGGACGAAAGAGCTTTCAATAGCGCTGGTGGTTTGTTCGGGCTTCTTACCTCAATCCAGACCATCTAATATATAGCAGATGTTAGATGACAAATTTACTATTCTCTGGATGAGGAAGACTTTCTCACGTTGTTTGATGGAAGATGATACCACGTAAAGCTTGGCTCACTGCCATCTTCAAGATGCCTTTTTATTAACTCTGGGCCGTCGCTGTACAGAAGCTCGTAAACGGACACCGTCTGCGGGATAAACTGCTCGTGTTCTCCTTCAGTGAAAAAGTCTATGATGAATGCATCAAACCCATGGCAGGCATCCACTTTGTTTCGGTCACCCTCAGTCGGTGCTGGATGAGGCCTCAAAACCGTGAAAGGCTGTTCTGAGCCACCTTCAACATCAAAGCCTCGAATCCGAGGCCCTTTCAGGATTCTCTGACCCTCCAAAAGCTTGAGCATCTCTTCGTTGTCTTCCGCTAGATCGAGAACTGACTGGCCATCAGATCTCCAAATGTGGGTTTTAGCTCCCCCCTGCAGCAGAAGCTTTACAGTCTCTGTGCTGCCAGAAGCGACAGCATAAAACAGCGGTGTTCCTTCGTTTGCATCAATTAAGGCATTCGCATTGGCCCCATACTCGAGCAGTGTCTTCACAATACCAGGGTTGCCACGATCGCATGCCAAATGAAGAGCGGTGCGAGGGCATTCTGTGTATATTGTGTTAGGGTCGGCGCGGGAGTCCAGAAGAAGTTTGACGATGCTTGCGTTCCCCCCGTCAACTGCAAGGAAAAGTGGCTCCCGGCCATCATCTGTCCAAGCCTTGATATCAGCCCCAAATTCGAGTAGCAGCCGAGTAATGTCAACGTCGGCGTGCAGCAAAGCCGAGTGAAGTGGTGCCAAGCCTTGTGCCTTTGCATCAGGGACCGTATTATGACTCAGTAAAAGCTGAACAATATCGGAACTCCTCTCGTCTACCGCCATGTGGAGGGGTCTTCGGTCATTAGGGGCTGTAGCCTCCACATCGGCACCATTGGAAAGTAGAACCTCAACAGCCGCCACATTGCGGCGCAAGACAGCCAAATGCAAGGCAGTAAAGCCTTCACTATTTGGCATATCGATCCCTCCTTCAAGATGCGCAACAAGTGATTCTAAAGCCTCAGTGTTGTGCGCTGCTGCTGCTTCCAATAGCTGCTCAGGCTGCGGCGCTTCCTGGGCTCGGCCCTGATCTTCCGAAGCAAGCGAGTCTCGCTCCATAGTAAACTTTTCACAGGTTCAGTTATCCGATGCTTGACGTTAATTGACTAGTAACCTTACCTCTTGACGGGGTGGAACCACTTGGGTTCTGTTTCTAACTAAGATAGTTTGAAGTGCGGGGTATCTTGAGGTAGAATAAGCCAGGTCGATGTAGGAAAGCGGATAATTCCGGTTGATGTCCAAGTCAGGGCAAAGCAGAAGTCGCATGCAGCTTATCTAAGCTGACGAGTCCTCAGACTTTGTGGCTGTATTTGCGTGGTGCACCATTATCCTAAGGAGTCGATGACATTGCGAAATCGCCGTGGATACACGACGAACCCTCAAAACCTAGACGATCACCTTCCGTTCCCAAATGAAGTTCGTTATGGCGGTGATTACCTCATCCAATGCCATGCAGCCTCAAATCAAATTATGCCTGGAGTCATAGAAACGATCGGTAGCATTGCTAACCATTGACCGGCTCAGCCGCTCTGCACGACGGGTCGGTGATTTAAAAAGGCGGGCCGTGGTCCCACTCCAACGAAACGGACCGGCCCGTGCTGCTCCATTTTTCGGGAGCTCCACCAGCATTAAGACGCCAGGATTGCATCGGGGCGCGGAAGCGGGCTCAGCGATGCTAAAGCTAGGCAAATATCGACTTTTTGCTGCGCCTTTACTAACATCCAGGACGTCATCCAGTTCGGCTTCGAGCCAGCGACGACGTCTAGAGCTTTGGCCTAGCGGAACGCTCCTGCCAGTGTCGGACTACCTGGATGACGTATGATGTTGCTTGTTAGGGTTTAGTTTCACGTTAATCCCATGGACTTCAAAACCCTGATCTCCATTCATATTTTTCTTTTGACCACCCGAAACGCACGTACGACCACACCCACTGGAAAACTCGGGATCTCGTCCACTCTCCCATAGATTTGCCAGTGAGGGCCGGATTAGTAGTTGGGTCGGTGACGACCAGCGAATAACTGGTGTTGTATGTTTTAATCTGTATGATCCTACGACTCAAAATCAGCAACATAGTATCCACCGTAGATCTATCTAAGATAGCGTGTAGGACATTTGTAATCAAATAGGGACGGACTCCTAGAACTGAAAGGTAGCACTGACTGCCTAGCTTGCGAAAGAATAAAAAGAGTTGTATTATACAACTATTGAAGAGAACTTCTTTAACGTCATGAACTGAACAGTTCCCTCACTTCCTGTTCATGTGGGCTAGCTCGAGCTGCCAGAAGGCCAACCAGAGTTGTTCCCCAGCATGTAGGCAGTGACTGAAGCTGTCCGAATAGCCAGTAGCGGATACGAAGACGAAACAGAAGCCGGTGTTATCATAATGTTGGTGCTCTCCATTCAAATTAACACGGCGCTTCGGCTTTACGACCAAAGATGATTCTGAAAGAAAACGGCCCTGATAACTATCTCTTGCCAGCTATGCAGTTAGTGGTCGAGTAGTTTAACTGAAAGAACGTAGAACGTCTGGACGCTTGCTATTGACCTGAACGCTTAGGGTCGTAACGATGAAGTCACTTGAAGGTGTGCCTTGACCACGGCTAATGCTCGCCGCAAGATGATGGAAGTAGATCAGAATATATGAGAAGAGTTGATTACTGACACGCTAAATGACCCCGAGAGTATTGCAAGTCCGAGGACGACTCCCGGACTACCACCTCAGTCAGAACAAAGTTGCCAAACTTCTTTTGTCTCTAACAGAGTATTCCAAAGACTCTCAGACTCTGACTGCGACGTATTTCGGCAATTATCTCGGATTCTCAGCATGCAGTCTTCATGGATCTTAAGTTGAAAAGAAAGTCCAGAAAGACCGGAAACCTTGGGTGATTTTACTGCGCAATGTGTCGTATATGTTTTGGGCAAGAAGAGCATTGCGAATTTTCGATGCCATCCTGGTGCGAGCAAAGCCTGATTAGATTAGCACATCCGTCATAATGTTTATAGTGGCCTCGGTCACTTTTGGGCCTTACTCAAAGGTCTAACCTTTGAGCTAACATGTTTATGAGCTTAAGTGCAGTCCTGAGCAAGACTTTGCACATAGCCAAAGTTGACGTGTGAAGCTCTTGAGAAAACGGGACCGGGGTATCAGAGTCCAGGAGCTGGTATTAAACCAAGTTATCGCCTTTCAGCACACAAAGGTTTACTTCATCTAGAAATTTCAACCATCAAAAGTTCCAAGTAACTCGACATCTTTGAGTTTTATTGTCGCTTCGTTGATGGAGACGAAGATGAACCATTTGTTGAGAGGCTGCTAACTTGGGCACTGAACTTCAAGTCTTCGTAGTCTTTTTCTTGCTCTCAACGCCTTTAGCTCTGCTACGTGAAACTAAGTGCCATTAAATGTTTTCAACATATTGGGGGAAGGCAAGAAATGATCCTTCGAGGTGTTGTATTTGTTTTGAAAGTGATTGAGATGAATCTCTTGTAGATGGTTCAACCTCAGAATGTGACGGACGTTCAGGTAGTCTTTACTCATCTCTTTCTTCGCAAGCGATGGTAGGGCTGGGGTATGAATGCAGCCTGTTCATGTGGCAAGATAAATTAGGGACTAGATAAAGTGAAACCCTCTTCGAACTTCTGACTTTATCTTATGGTCGGTCGACTGATGCATGAGGCTGGCCTGATTTGACGTCTTGGCATACTCCACTGCTTAATCTTTGCACAAAGCTGAAGTTCCAAATACATCCTATCTGTCCGCATGAACAATTTTCATGATTATCAATTAGAACAACCAATGATGACGTATCGCAGAAAGACACAGGTGCCTTTCAATCAACTTTATGAATGTGGTTAAACTTACTACTTATCATGAAAGGTTTCCATTTGCATTTGGCTCAATTGGTATCATCTCTGGGTTTCTATGTGCTGGAAGCTGGTGTGCGGTTGCTAACACAATCTTAAAGCTTAGGCCGGACCCTTCACACAGGGCTTATCTTAAAGAGATCTTTTTATTCAAGGTAATAAGAATAATTGCTATGATCTAAGCTTATTGACATACAAAATAAATTGTGTAAAACAAATTGCTTTCAAAATAGTATTTATGTCGAAATTTTGAAAATGGTACTAATATAAAGTTTAACACTATTAGTCTTTGTGCCGTAAAGAGGATAATGAGAGCTAAAATAGTCCCCTAACCTGGAATAGAAAGCAATAGAACATATTAAGAGGGAAGAAAGCGACGCAGGAACAGGAAAGCCTTTTTAGACTCGCCTAAGTTACAAACTATCTATTTAGTTAGTGCACAACTTTTTTCATTCTTTATAGCGCTTATTACCCCAAATTGATTGTTCCAGAACAGACATACTTGTATATTCAAAGTCTAGTAACTCTTAAATATAATCATCAGACAAATTAATGATTTTACATAGATTTATACGAGAGCTATATAAGCCAATGATAATTTCATGCATTGTTACGATGACGGAACTTCTTAGAACTGATAAATTAGTGGGGAAAGTATCCAAGGTCACGAGCACCTTATGAGTGGTGGTGGCGGTGCAGCTTGGCACAGGATTTGTTGCGGAGCCTGATTTGTTGGGGCAAGATGTTATACTTCCAACTTCAAAACCCCGCAGCTAGCCTTGTCTAACGAACTATGTTTGCCTCCTTTGCACATAAATTTTCCTCCATAATTGAAATTAGAAATAGTTGATCTAACAGCAGGTACATCATCTCGAATTATGGAGGCGGTAGGTGGCGCCGCAGCGGTGCTTCAACTTGTTGTCGCCTTGGGCAAATCAGTGCAAGTCGCTACGAACACATACAATGACATTCGGGGTTTCGACGAAAGCGTAAAAGATTTCGAGACGCAACTCGCAGCCACAAATGTACATATCGGTCTGCTTGACAAGTGCATACGCAGTGGAAATTTTGAAGAGCACATCTGTCGCTTCGAGCAGATCGAGGCCGTTCTTATCAGTTGCGAGCGGTCATACATGCGGTTATCCAGCATTTTTGTCGAGATCCAACGCGAAAGGTCTTTCGGTAGGTCCATTAGGGGTTATGTGTGCCACAAGCGTCACGCATCCAAGATACAGACCCTGAGAGACCAAATTCAGATCGGAATGGGAACTCTCCAGCTTCCCGTGATGGCAGACATTATGTAAAGCTGCCGATGCCTTCCTAAATTCTGTGTAATTTGCGCTAATAATCCTGCGTTGGTACAGATATAAAGCGGCAACTAGCCAGGGCCCCTCTTATCCTGATCCTCAAGTGTCTCGTCTTATCCAAGACCTAGCTAGGCGAATACACGAAGTAGAGCACTCGAACGCGCGGCATTACTGGGATATGATGGAAAGAGATATTGAGAGGCAGCAATCCGCGAATCGGATGGCCCTCTTGTCAAGCAACATTGAGACAAGAATACAAGACTTGAATACAGAGGTTGCAATCCTCTTACACGAGCAGTCCAGATATCCGGTCAAACCATTGTCTAAAAGGTTCGAGTTTATACTTTCCGGGCTCAGAAAAGAAATCAAAACATTCTTCAACTTCCAAGAAGCCTACTCGTTGTCGCCCGAAATCCTCCAGGACACAATATCTGAGCTATTTGCAGAAATCAAGGCTCAATATCAAACACCAAAAGCCGACCCCTTCATGCCCGCAGAATTCGACAAGGTCTTTTCTGAGTTGAAAACAAGGATGATATTTCGAATAGAAGCGCAAAAAGCTTCTTCGCTACCTCCTGAAAAATTTGAGAAAGTCACTTCAGACTTGAAGGGTGTAATCGACATTCTAATCAGGTCCCAACGAAAATCATCGTTGCCATTGGAAAATTCGGAGATGATTATCTATAGACTGAAAGAAGACCTTGCTGTCCTATTAGAAGCTCAAAGGATCTCCATCTGCTGGCAAAAAAGCCTCGACGAGGTGGCTTTAGGATTAAAATCAAAGATTGTGGTCCTTGACGACGTGCAAAAGGTTTCTTCGTTGCCCACAGAGCCGGCGGCTGACTTAGACCTAATCAGCAGCTCTTTGAAGAAGGTTCAAATAGACGTATCGGAGCCAGTGAAAAGTCAGGAGTCCGAACCTAGCAAAGTCTTAATGGAGTTGGAAGCTTGCGACATGCACGTAGAGGCAGAAATAATGGAGGAGACACGATCCATTATCATGGCAACAAAGAGTGTTTCTGGGAGCCTTAGAAAGGCAGCCACGACTATGGAATCTATGTCGACATCTTCCAGAGCCACGCATCAGGAGTCAAGCCTCGCAACTCTCCAACGCCATAGAAAGGTTGGAAGAGCCAGTGCCGACTTTGGGGGCCTCCTGGGTGCTGAATGGGCTTTCAATCTCTCTCTCCAAGGAGGAAAGCGTGAGGAAATCTCGAACTGGGCCGATAATATTGTGTTGAATGACTCGGAGTCAGGCCCTGATGTCATGTCCGACACTAGAAGCATTTGGACAACCGCAGTCTCAAACGAGTCGTCACCAATGTCGTCAGATAAGATGAGCAGCGATTATAGTTTGGCTGAAGAACTTCACCACCGTCGCGTGCAACTTGCCGAGACCATGATCAAGAAGCAGCAGTTCTCGCAGGCCATTCCTCACCTAGTGCGAGTCCTTGAAACTATCAGGGTCTCGGGAGATAATCACCAGAGTGAACATATTATTCAGCTGCTAGCAAAAGCGTTGGGAGAGACTTGTGCTGCTCGCGGCGAATTGGGTGGCCTGTGCGACAAATTTCCCAGTCTTGAACATCATCTCGACAAACAACGGCTAATTAAAGTTGAGAATCTGCTTGCAGAGTCCAAGTTCGACAAGATTGTTCGTTTCCTAGACCCTGAGATCGGAGCAAGCAGCAAGGAACCTGTCCTAAACACATCGATCAGTGTCCAATTGCACTTGTTACTTAGTATTGCACTGGTTCGACTCAAAGAAGCTGAAAAGGCGTTACCTGTTTTAAACAGGATTTTAGAGTTTCCTTCCCTTACTATGACCCAAAAGGGTGACGTGCACCGCTATTTTGCTGAGTCCTATCATTTGAAAGCGGATTGGGCGAACACTAAGACTCATGGCGCCATCGCTGTTGAGTTGAATATGAACTCTCGAGGTCGCGACGATGAGGCCACTTTGAGCTGTATATTGATCATGGTTAACGCCTGCCGCAAGACGATGGACCCAGACGAGGATATATGGAAAGAAATGCTTCCTGACACGCGGAAAGACGCCAAGAATACTGGACAGCACAAGAGTGACGACAGATCACTACTGAAAGCTTCGAAACTGTTCTCCGATCTCTCCTCAAATCCCGAACAGAGACTTGAAAGCCTGTGTCAAAACATGTTTGAATTGGCTGCCACCGATGTCGAGGAAGCAGTGGATCTAGGCATTGCCTATCTCCGTATCAACTATGAGATAGACGCTTTATCTTCAAAGTGGTATCCCAATCGAACGGCCAAAACCGTTTGCTTCAATTGCATGCGGCAGAACATAAAAGATTTCATCACTTTAAGGTATTTGCCTAGGACGCTGAAAGCTCAAGAGACACTTTGTCGCCGTCATCGAGATATTTCCGCTAGTGGGAATTTTGTGGAAAGCCACATTCCTTGCTTCACACTTTTGACCTTCTTTACAATAGCAGATCCCATCAAAGGTCAATGGCCCGAAAGACACCTTGAAGGGTGTGTTTACGAAATCAAGACATTGCTACAACTAGGAAATCCCAGTTCAACAGAAATATCTATAGTGCTAAAGACACTTCTTCCTACTGTGAAGGCGCAGATAGGCTTATCGTTCACACATGACAAAATTACGCCAGTATGGCTTGCTGCAGCCTTCGGCCAGAAGAAAGTTGTCCAGTTTCTTTTGTCTCTGACAAAGTATTTTCAAGACCCTCATACTCTGATAGAGACGTATGCCGGCAACCTTCTCGGATTTCCACTGTGTAACCCTGAGGGCCCGGAAATTGAAGAGAAAATCCAAGCATCTTGGATCACCCTGATCCAAGAAGGTCCGAATGCTTGGGTGATTTGGTTGCGGAAGATGTCACATATTCTATGGACACGAAGGGCGCTGCCTGTCTTTGATGCCATCCTAGCGCGAGTAGGCTCATATTCAATTAGTATATCCGCCGATTTGGCAATAGTGACCCCGATGACTTCTGGGTCTTGCTCAACGATCGAAACTGTTAACTTGCCGCTTTTATGCGCTTTAGTAAGGTTCTGGGCAGAAGCTCGCATAGAGCCAAAGCGTGTACTTGAGATTCTTAAGAAACATGGGGCTGATTTTAGAGTGGTTGATAAAAAGGGAGTTGCAGCTGCCGACACGGCGTACACGGAGGCTAAGAAGTACCTCACAGACAAGAGTCCTTCCGGATTGAAATTTCTTAGTAAATCCCCACCGGCCCAGATTCCAGCTTACTTACAACGTGATCCTATAATTCTGGGCCATATTCAAATAGTCCAGTTCTTTCGATCTTCTGGAGCGAAATTTCAAACTGAATTTTAGAAGCCCAGTGGGATTTTAAAGAGTTTTCAGTCTCAATTTCATTTTACGAACTGTTTCCTCCATGATGGTTAAGGGTTCATCTTCTCGGGAAGGGGCAACTACCCCATCAAAAACGAACAGATCTCGCAGATACTTTGACCTGCTATTTACTGCGGCCTGAATACTTGGATGAAAGAGTGACAAGGTGCTAGGTAGCGGACTATCGGGTTATTTCCTACCACTGATTAGATATAAAATAGATCATTTAGGGCGTTTACACTGTGGGATGTATACGCTGCTCATTTTGTGAGTTGAAAGTGATTTGCAAGTGTTGGAGCGTATTCTGTATGGTTTTGCCTTTGACGATTCGGAGCCAACTATTCAGTTGACTGACATTAGACGGTGAGTTGTTTCTGTAGGATGAAGAGTAGGGGGAAACGGATCGTAAGGTCTTGAAAATGACTAAGACGATCGGTGAGCTGCAGCCGGTTGTTAGCTAACCTTGCCACGATAGAGCACGAAGGGATGTAGCAACTAGATGGCTGCGAGAGTTCAAATAGATTATTGGCTCCAGCAATCGAAACAACGTGGGCAGCAGTGAAGTTCTACCAAGATGACTGACTAACTGTATTGTTTAAAGGACGAATACTTTGAAGTCAGCCATGAAGAGGCCTGAAGACTGTATAGTCGTGGTTTTCGTTTCTGACAACACTATCTGGCTAGAATGTTGTGAAAGTCCCAGCGATCCCAGCGATCATGTTCCGAGTTACTAGCTGGCTATACTTGTCTACTACTAATTATCGAAAAGAAGACAAGGAGAGATCCTTAATATCCTAATACTTACCTCAAAAGTCAATAAAGCTTTCTGGCTTGATTGAACTCGGGGTACCTCACTGTGGACACCGAGGGAGAGATAAAAGGAAGATGATAGGAATCAATTGTCAGTATCTAGAAGCCTAGCTTACTACTCTGGACTGAGAAGACACAAGACCGTGACCCAACTTATGGATGCCACCATAATGCAATTATTCTAAGGAAAGCCTATGAAGCGAGATAAACCTCTTGCATCGTCCCCTAGCTAGCTATGGAGTTTTGGCTCCAGACCTCCAGGCCTACTCTGCCGTGTCGTGGTCCTGTAGCCACGGTCCGGGCTCGACAAAATTCAAAAAGAACTCTCATTCCGCTCGCTCGCTGAGAGGATAAAAGCTGTCTTGGCCTATCTGTCCCGCAGTAAGCCACAGCAAGTGCTTCAATATCGCTCTTGCAACAGTCCTTCTGATTCCGGCGCAATTGAAGGCAGGATCATATCTACTCCTTCATTGTATCAGGGATGTCGTAGGTCACTAGAAAATCGCTGGCAGGCTCAGGCTCAGGCAGCTTAAGTTCAGGGTTGCGCTTGTTGATTCCCTTTGCAAATAGAACCCTAGCGTAGGATGGGTCGAAGACAAACAACGTCTCGTTTGTCCGACTATTTTTTACTTCCGCGGTAGCTGAGATCTCGTCTATTTTTATGAGGTTTTCTGGGCCAAACGAAACAGTGGCCCACTCGATTTGTTCCTTGATGTGCTTTGCAGTCTCAGGATCGAACCGGGTATCGATGAAGTACAGCTTGTTACGACCAGCCGCTGCCACGTATGGGGTATCCGGCGCTACAATCTGAGGGCCGTGCCATGCGTTGATGAAATTGGGTACGTAGTTTTCGCGATACTCCTTTTGGAAGGTCGGCGACCCCTCGCATGGTCGGAACGGGTTTAGAAGCATGGTGGTGAGCAGTGTAACAAGCATGGTAGTATAGGAGCAAGCTACCTATGCATTCTCAGAGACGATGGAAACTGAAAACGGACAACCCTTTATCTCCCGCAAGACACTTGAAGGACAACACGTAGTGTGATTGTTAGCATCTAAGGAGAAAGATAAGCCATTTTATGGATGCATGGTTTCTGGTGGGATGATTTCAGAACATGACCGAATACGAGACAGCAGGGGTAGGCGTTTATCCCGCATCAGCCATCTACCAACACCAACGTGCCAACAGAAGAACAGCAACCAATAGCCAACTGTCAATACATGCTTTCGGATCAGGCAGCAATGCAAGCAGGTCTGCCTGTTATCTAACCTTCCACATTAGGCTACGGACAATGCTGGAAACCCATTTTGGGGGCAACCCAATATAAAAGACTGCAAAGCCCGCTCATTGATATTGTTTTCTCCCAAATAGCAAATGGAAAAGATTTTTAAATAAACAAAAAACCACTTCTGATTATGAATGAAGACGATCTTGCTCTTTCATTCACTTGGCATTGCTCATTCTATCACATTCTGTGATTCTCTGGGTTCTAGTCTTAACACAACATGGGTCTGCTTGTCGATGCTCCTGGCATTTCTGCGGTACTTGCTGCCCTTGAGACTCGTAGAAGAAGTGAGATACTTCAAACTCATGAGGAATACTCCCTCCGTTGCAATAACTCGTTACCATGAGAGCCTCCAGCTGCGGCCAGCAGCCATCGCACCAGTGGTGACCAGCGAACCGGGGAGATTCTTTCTCTTTGGTGAGATGTATAAGTTTACGACAAAATTTGTTTAATCAGCTTACTGTGGTGTTCATGATGGGCCAATCCTCGCGGCACTGTTCCCGGATGGTCTGAGCTTTCACCTTGCGATGGATGTCATTTCATTTGTGTGTTTTTAAAAAAGAAAAGTGAAACCAGGTTCAAATAGGTTATTCTGGTTAAGGCAAAATCGCTTGAGGTCCTTGGTTTGGATCGCTGGATTTGACTTAGGGGATCTCTTTTAGAGGGGGGGGGGGGGGGTCGGTGGTCAACTGTAAAAGTTAATTGTCTTACCGATTGTTGCATTAGTGATTAGTGATGAAAGCCGCTCATGGGGCCAGAAAGGAGATTGGCAACGGAATCAGGAGAGGGATGTTATGATTGAAACCCAACCAAAGGCAGACATCCAATCACACGAAGTAGCTTGAGTTGGTCTCACGGAACCATTTCTTCCCGCATGTGACCCCTCACGATCAGGCTGAGAAGGGAGAGCTGTTCTCCTCAGTCGGTCCCAGCGAATATAGCCTTCATTACCAAAAATTACGGCCAAGTACTACAATACTAGTTCGTCTAGCTTTCTCGTATAGCTTATTATTATTTGAACTTTATTGTCGGACTATCACGCCATGCCCAAGCCGATTACTGCTCGCGACTTCACGATCGGCTGGATCTGCACTGTGCCCATCGAGCTAGCAGCAGCGATTGAGATTATGGATGAGGAATACGCTGAACTCCCGTCCCAGCAGCAAGATCCGAACGTCTACTGCTTCGGCCGCATCGGTGTCCACAATGTCGTCGCTGCTTGCTTGCCCGCCGGCCAGACGGGCACAAACAAAGCGGCCATTATAGCCAGCCATATGAAGCAAAGTTTCCCATCGCTATTATTCAACATCCTCGTCGGTATTGGTAGTGGCGTCCCAAGCCTCGAGGATGATATCGACATTCGGCTTGGCGACGTCGTTATTAGCCAGCCAAATGGGCAGCATGGCGGAGTAATTCAATATGATTTCGGGAAGACTGGGGCTAATGGTCGCATCGCTCGTACTGGTAGCCTCAATGCGCCATCGACGATACTCCTTGATGCTCTGGCTAAGCTCCGCGCAAATGACAATCGGGGCAAGACGCGGATTATCACGCATCTTTCTCAGCTCGCTAATAAACCACGGTTTATATCGCCAGGCCCTGATAACGATACCCTATACTATGCATCATCACCTCATGCCGCCGGTGCTACATGCGCAAAATGCCGCCTAGAGGATAGAGTAGACAGAGAGCCACGGGAATCAAATAAACCAGTCCTATTCTTTGGCAACATCGCATCTGGGAAACAGGTAATCAAGGATGGACTAACACGCGATAGGTATAGTCAGCAGCTAGGAGGTATATTATGCTTTGAGATGGAGGCAGCCGGCTTGATAAACACACTCGATTGTGTTGTTGTTCGTGGTATCTGCGACTATGCAGATGCACACATGAATAAGCAATGGCAGCCATACGCAGCTGCAACAGCAGCAGCATGCGGTAAAGAACTACTAACTACAATCCCGCCCCTAGTTCCAAAGACAGATTGTAAGCGATATAAAAACTTGTTAATATTAGTTGATATTAATGTTAGCTACTAGCCTACCGAAATCCTCACTTTATGATCCCATTCGGCCGGAATGAAAGCTTTATCGGCAGGGACGTGATCTTAACGCGACTTCTTCATGAGATTCCGCCGGCTGCTAATAAAGACACCTGTCAGAGGACTACCGTCGTGGGTCTCGGAGGGATTGGCAAGACACAGGTTGCGATCGAAGCCGCATACCGTATTCGAGACGTACACCCAGACTGCTCTATATTCTGGGTGCCGGCCGTAGATATGGTTCTTTTTGAGAACGCATATCGCGAGATCGGTAGAGCGCTTAACATAGAAGAACTTGAAGAAGACGAAGCGGACGTCAAAAGCCTAGTTAAAACGGTTCTAGAACGCGAAGATGTCAATAGTTGGCTTCTTATCGTCGATAACGCTGATGACATGGACTTACTCTTTACTGGTCCTAAGTTGGCAACTTATCTCCCTTTCAATCGGAAGGGCTCTATATTGCTCACAACACGAAACCTCAAGGCTGCAGTACGATTCAGTCATCCTCGTGTCATACGTCTATCGGAGATGGGTGTTGTCGAAGCCACTCAACTCTTACAAACGGGCTTAGACAAATTCCAAATCAGTGGCGCACAGGAAACTACACAATTGCTCGAACATCTCCTTTATCTTCCTCTAGCCATTCGGCAGGCATCGGCTTATATCGCCTCTAATAAGGATATGACTGTGTCTAAATTTCTTGGGTATTGGAAGGCCAATGATGATTACCTGGGGAAGCTTCTGAGCAAGGACTTCAACGATGACCACTATCAATACGAGGCTACACAGAATCCAGTCACCACGCTGCAGAGCACTACAAAACTATCCATCGACACTCGAACAGTTTCCACCGAAAGCTATAGCAATGCTAGTGTGGCTAGCCAGATATTTAGCGGGGATCTTGTCTCTACGAAGCCATCGTCAATTCAACCAAACATCAATGCCGTTGATGAGGACATCGCAACAAGGCAGATGGCTGAGATATTCTATAGCCACACAAAGATTGAGAGTAACTCCAATGATGCGAGCGACGAAATCAAATCCCTCTTATCGGAATCTGAAGATATTCAGTCGAAAGATGAATCGAATATCACTCGCTGGGAAGTCAGAGAAGCTGCAGCCAGCTACCTGGCTGAAATGTTGACTGACGATCCAACCCTCGGTCCCTTATATGCAGAAGCGTCTAAACTTTTGGACGATGTGCGTTTTTTTCGCAACCATGGGCGTTTGCTTAAAAGATATTACCTGTCGCTGCGCTCACAAGCTTCAAGCCGAAAATTAAGCGTGGCAATTGACTTTCTCAGACCAAGATCTCACAGAAGCCTTATCTCAAGAAAGATTCTTGAGAACACAGGGAGGAAAAGGGTTCATGTGGCATTGCCTGAAGCTAACGAGCGGAACTTAATCCTAGAACGTTATCTTAACGGCGTCGAAGTCCAGCCAGACGTGGTGGAAACACCACTAGATGTTGATGAAAGCAGTGGACGTGAAATCTCTGAGGATGAGATCGAAGACGACCAAGATGGATTTTCTCTCCTTGATCTTGATTATGCCAGGAGCTACTTCGTCTCTGGAACACCGCTAATATGTTTCAAAGTCGAGTTCCGAGATTTCCTCAACCTCTCCAAGAAAGACGTGGAGGAGGTCCAAGACGAGACGCAGAAACAAACACAGGAGGCAAAGCAATGGGGAAACACTAAACGTCAAAGTCTGTATTACGGCGTTACTTACTGGAAAAGCAGACTATTTTCACGGCTGTACGATGCGTGGTTTCTGCCAAGACCTGGGTATCAAAGAATACGTTACATTTGTGTTCGTGGCTGACCTTCACTATCACTCTCTCTCCTTCTCAGATGAACGGATGAAACAGGGCTTACCAGATACTACAGGAATGTGATGAACATATGTTTTTGGACATCAAAGAACTCAGCCCGGGCGGAATCCAGCGATTTCGGCAAAACTTTGCAAAGAATGGGCTTGCTAGGATCATCACCCCCTACGACCCTACGACAGGCCAGGACTCAAGAGCACAGCAAAATCCCCGGAGCGGTCTTTCCCCCCCTTCGCCTGCGCACTTCCGGCCAGAGAGTGGTCAGCATACCTCATCGTGGCAGAGTTCTGAACTAGGCACTTTTCCATCAGGAACAGGGTACTCGACGCCGGCGCCCGAGATACGGCGATTCGAAGATGTGGCGTTACCTCCAGAAAGACAAAATACTCCTCAGTACCTACTGATGTGCGTCAATCAGAAGAGTCTTCCAATATTGGACCATATCGACTGTAGTTCATTTAGGAATGACCAATACCTTTTCCAGCTAATTTTAGAGAGATATCAATTAATACGTGATGGATCAAACTGGAGAATACCCTTGCTTTTCCCGCCGTTACTATGCGTAATGCTGGGTAAAGCGTCGGAATTTCTTAGACAAAATACTCCAAGCTGGTTGGAACGGATATTCCAATTTTTTCAGAAGCTTTCTGAGGCAACACTTTTCAAAATGCATACTGGTGACTATGTTCAGGTAAATAAACAACATGAAACTATTTCCCTAAGGAATAAAACTACTAATATCCTCAAAAAAGTTTCAACTCGTTCCCATGGGAGAATCTACCAACCCGCAACATTTCAGATACGGGGAATATCCGCCTGTCTCCGAGGTGTTGGAAGCAAAAAATTATTTATATGATCCAGTACCAACTGATGTTGCAATTGATTCGATCCCATTGTGGCATCTTACACAACCCGGCCTTCAACACAGCGACAACTACTGGATTACAACATTTCCAAAAAAGCTTCAGGGACAGTTACACCGCCAACCAGGAACCCGTGAAAAGGTCATAGGATGGGGCATACGAATTAATGAGCACTTCAATTGGGGCCTGTTTTTCTCTCTTCTATTTTTAATCTTCGTGATCATCTGGGCAATTGTGGCTATTTATCTTGCTTGCAGGGCTGATGACTCTTCTGGTTTTGGTTTGGGGGCTTTTCTTACAGCACTAGTTGCGATTTATATGCCTTTTCAGTATTTTGCTTGGAAGGAAAGGTTCCATTGAAACGGTCTGCGATCGGCGTCGTATGACTGAGTATTGCGAAGGCTGCTTTCATAACAAGACATCAAAAGTCTCATGTAAATTTTGGAAGCGAAGTGGCCATTAAGCCATCTGTTCAAGAACCAAGATTAGCGGAGGGGAACAGAGTAAGCGGGGTAACCTCGGCACCTTTGCACTTGGCCAACACATAAATGCGACTAATGTTAGCATAGTAAGTAAAAAGCTTGATTGACAATAAAAGCTATCTATTACGATGAAACCATTATCGAACGTACGGTTGGCATATTATCAACTTCCTGCCGCGCACTGTTAAGCGTACTGCTTTAGATCCTCACTGCTAGTGGCCCCGATGTCAAACAGCCGCGCGTCTGGGAAGACAACCGGATCGCATTTCCTCTTGCAATTACCATTCCTCGTCTTAGTGTGACATAGCTCAGCTCACCTTCAAGTGTCTTTCTAGTGTATGTTGGATAGCATAAAGTCAATAGCCTCGAAAACAGCCTAAAGACGAAGTATAACACGTTCCGGGGAACAAAAGCGATGCATTCCGAAACAGGGTCCAATAAGAAATCCCATTTATCAATGCCAAGGCAAAGCCTAGACAGTCGTGAGGGTCTGGACCAAGAGTTTACAGGAGACACGAGTGGTTGTTGGTGCAAGGGTCAAGATGTTCACCATGCTGGAACCTCATTAGTGGACGATGCGAAGGGCAGGGGTGTTATCAGTGCCAGAGACCAACAGCAAAGAGATAAAAATGTAACAATGCATTTGCGGATTAATGATAGGCAGCGGAGACGCATGAAAATGCGACCATAGCTCACGTGGTGCACTCAGTAGCCTCGTCTTCGCAGCCACGAATTGGCAAGCAGCTCCTCTAAGTATTTGGGTCGGTTCTCCCTTTTTGTGGTTGAGCTCTTGTATCATGACTTTACAATGTGTGTACCTCTTCCACTCATGCGGTCATCGTCTGGGGCTTTAGACTGGTGTCCATCCGCAAGACACGCATCGAGTGCAGAGAAGCACACGGTAGTTACATCATCGTTAGCACCAAGGAGGTATTTCTCAAGACCGAGGCAACATACCAGATGTTACTTGTAAGGCAGCAGTACACCGGAGGAAGAAAGACTGTTTTTGTAATTCATTAATTTGCTAGAGCATTGGGCATCTATGCAGCCATGCCACGTTGGGGTAGCGTCAGCAAGCATGAGCATTTGAACGAACTGATTGCTTCCATATACAAAAGTAGGGCAACCAATAAGAATTAATATCTGAGGTCGGCAAAGATAATTAAGGCACTCGTTCACTTGGCTTCGGTTTACCCCACCTTTCTGTCACAAGTTTTGTTACCTCAAATCTCCACCATTTAAAATAAAAATCTTCAAACTTGAAAACCCGACGCAACTTTTTTCAAGACTGTTCAAATCACTAGAGCCGTGGGAAAGAAGCTTTGCCCACAATGGATTCTCAGGACGCGTGGTCAAAAGAGAAATCGTCGTCAATGGGGAAGTTCCGAGTCCCTGTTGGCCGAGTTCCGGAAATCGACGAGACCTGTAAAGATTGCGAGGAGCATCCCGTGGTTTTCAGATGCACAGTCTGCCCTCAGCCGCTTTGCGAAAGTTGCTGGGGAGTTAAAATGATACACAGAAAACAATCTTCGGATCACAAACAACTTCTACTGGACGGGTCTCCAGTGGAAGGAACACACCGACCACTGTAAGGGTTCGTCTTCAATCATTGTGATTACAAACTCTGATCCTTGTTACCCATTCCCGAAGATATCTGCTCGAACAGGCTCTTGATCCACATTGGTCACAAAATGAACGCGAAGAACAGCATCGCGCCGACTACGCCACCCTTTGGTTTGCACTCGCCAAATCCGATCAGAAATCGCTGAAGTTGGAAGCCTCTCCGCGGTTTGAAGATCTTATACAACAACACCGCCACGATAATCCGAAAACAGATTCTGTCTATCCTCGCCTGGTATCCTTTGTTGGCGGTAGTGGGGCAGGGAAAAGCACCTTAATACATGCGCTCGTTAGGAGACTTTGGGTTTCTACTCCAGACGGCGACCCCAAGGACCAGTTTCCTGCCCCAATCATTGGCGACGACAGTGCAATTCCAACGTCTTCCGATGTTCGTCTTTATGGAGACCCACTCCATAACAGGGAGACACCTGAAACTCCGATCTTTTTCGCAGATTCCGAAGGCTTTGGTGGTGCAGATCAATCCGCTGCAGCCAATGTGCTCGAACAGGACAAGAAGACCACGAATAAGGTCAACCATGGGCCTGGGATTGGTAACAACATCTGGATCCGCTCTCTGACAGATAAATGGAAGCAGGTTAGTCACTACGTTAAATGTTCCAGTGGCGTCGAAGGTCGTCGAAACGTTGCTTTGAAGCGATTATTTCCCCCTCTACTATACAATATGTCGGACGTTCTAGTTTATGTTCTTTCCGAAACAGAAAACAAGCAAGTTGGGGGAGCCCTCGAACGTCTTGCGGAGTGGTCCCAAAAGTCCGCAACGTCTGCCATCAACCGAACGTCACTACCATCACTCATCGTTGTCTTCAACCGGTCCGATGAAACTAAGTCGGAGTGGGATCCTGAGAAGACGACTGAGCGACTCTGTCAGAATTATACAGAATTGATTGCTCCGATTCTGAAGCATTCTTACTCCTCTGTCAAATTCATTCGGATTCCTAACCGGAATGACCTGGCACGCCTGGCCTCTCAAATAAAAGTACTTCGTGAAATGATCGAAAATGCAACAATGGAAGCTTACGAAGCCAAGAAAGCTTCCAATAGGTTACTCAAAGCCGAACATCATAATCTCTTCTGCTTAATGGCTTTTAAACATTTCTCTGAATACGAGAACAAGCCGTTCGACTTCATGGAGACTTTCTTTTCCCTCAATCCGCTGCCGATCAATTTGTCAAACAATTTATCCATTCTTTTCAAGGCCATCATGGAATCACTGACTACGGCAGAAAGGCCGACTTCTTCTGCAGCTTTGGCCGAGGAGGTTATTAAAGTTGTCACCCCCGTGATCTGCTCAGCTATTGCCATTGATGTTCATCGGTCTTACAAGCAACTCCCTGGTTCATTATCCAATCTTATTCAAGGAGAAATTTCCGACCCTCACAAAAACGATCTTAGCATTCGAGATTTCTCATACGATAAACAAATCGGAACCGCATGTCAAACATTCCTTGATAGAGTATGCCTGTGTGTATACAAAAACGGCACGGAGACCTGCCATAATAAAGCGGGTGCCCATGGTCCAAGACGTCCACATCAAAATCGCCAAGGCGCCGACATTGGTCTTGGGAGCGATGGATCTTATGTGGCAAACGATTTTCACAATCGGTTTATCGCTTCCTGGAACCATGAATTCGTCCAAGGCATTGCAGACCTTGACAAAGTGAGAAACACTTACTTGTCAGAGAAAGAAGGAGACTTGGGGCTTGATAAGCTGTGGGAAATACACAGAAAGTCAATTCTGCACATGCACGAGATGGTTGATGAGCTAGAGTTCCCCGATTTGCTCGGATGTTTCTGGTGTTTTAAGGATGTGCCGACTGAGCGACTACCATGTGGACACTGGATATGCGAATGTTGCCTTGTCTACATGTGTGAGAAAAGCCCGAAAGATGAAAGGCTTTACCTTCTTCGGCGTTGCGACCGTCACCGCGGAGGTATGATTTTCGACTTGCCTTTCGAATATTTCCGCCTCCCTCAGAATCTCGGTAGAAGACTTCTGTCCCTAGATGAGGGTGGTGTCGGGGGCGTCGTTCAACTTGCTATTCTACAAGAAATTCAGCAAGAGCTTGGTAAAAGTATTCCTCTGCAGGAGTGCTTTGATCTCATTGGAGGCACTGGCTCAGGTGGTATCATCGCCTTAGGGTTGGTATCGTTAGGCTGGGACGTCTTCGAGGCCACCGAAAAATTTGAAACACTTGTGGAGAATGCATTCTCTAAGAGAAGCGGATTCGACTTTTCCTTCTGGCAAGCCACGCCAACATATCTATCCGAAAACTTGGAAAAGGGCATTAATCTGGCCTTTGGATCGGATGGCAAGTTACAATTGGCAGAGTCAACTGTAAGAGAACCCTGAATATCCCTTAAAAACTGAAAACCCGTAACTAGTTATTAATTAATTCCAGTCCAAGCAAACAATATCCGGAAAATGCCCGGCCAGGGTTTTTGTGACAGCTTCGGTCAGTGGCCAAGGAGGCGAAGTGTTAAGCAGTTATCACAGACGCAAGGATCTTAGTAGGTATTCACTATTTGACTATGGTTAACATACTGATATCAACAATGTATCTTGAAAGGTGCAAAGGAAACGCGCTTAGGGCCTATAACTCACATGTTACGAGCAGGTCAGGGCAACCAACTGTGGCACAAAGCAAAAGCTTCGGTAATGATGACTCCGGCATCATTATCCCCTGTTCTGCACTATATAGCTACGCCGGCCAGGCACCAACTGGTTGGGCCGTAACACCATGTCTCCCCTCTAAGAGGCATGTCCCTATGCCGAGGACCAATCGGTCATATCGCGGGTATAAGCAGGGAAACTCCAGGCTAGTAGGGAACCAATCTACATAATTGCCTGCCCACGGTCGGGCGTCGCAGGGACCAGGGAGGACTGGCGACGTATGGGATTTGAACCCACAACCCTCTACGCGGGGTGGAGGCATCATTGTGTTACGAGCAGGTCAGGGCAACCAACTGTGGCACAAAGCAAAAGCTTCGGTAATGATGACTCCGGCATCATTATCCCCTGTTCTGCACTATATAGCTACGCCGGCCAGGCACCAACTGGTTGGGCCGTAACATCACACTCACACCTGTAACATCAGCGTTAAAGGAGCGGCTCGAGCCACATTTTCTTTGCCAGGGCTCTTTGACCCATTCCCAATTATGAATGTTAAAGAGTACCGTGGCGGTGGGACTGAATACCTCAATCCTGGGAGGGAGACATTGATCGAGGCTGAACAAATATGGTTTAACAACCCAAACATGCACCCAGACGTCTTGGTCTCCGTTGGCTCCGGATACCTCGGTCGACCGCCTACGTCTTCTAAAGTATCCGAGCCAGGGAATGAGGAGAATGAAAAGACTGTGGAAGCAGAACCGTCTAAGCTTTTCAGCGATCTCTCGAAAGAGCACCCTTGTCGTTACATTCGACTACCTCCGCAATTTCTTGAAGGATCTCCAGAAGCTGACAATGAGAGCTTATCAAAACGCATAAAATTGGCCGCCAAAAACCCCCGTTTACTGATTTCAAAACGGGTTCAAATGAAAGACATTATTCGTAAAAAGGCGAAGCTTATAGTTCATCGCCTAGTATCGACCACGTTCTACTTTGAACAGACGAAGGCCGTCATGGAAGAAGGCGAAATCGTCATCTCAGGTGCGTAACGCAGAGCAGATATCTGAGGACAGAATATCTGGGTAAAAAGGGCACACTGAAAGCGGCATTCGGTCTTTGCTCTTTTCCCCCCCAAAAGGTCCAGTGTTGACTGACCAACGATAGGCGCCATACGATGCCGCTATAAGAACACCTTAGATATCACCAAGGCGTTCGGACAAAAGATTAAAAGCTACATATCCCCTTGTTTCGTAGTCCAACCCTCAAATGTGGAGGTATGGAGATTCGACCAGGAATCTGGGGATCGAATGCATGACAAAGGACTGTTTTTTGCCGACGTCTCATTCCGCCTTCCAGCTTCGTCCACCACAATTGATATCAAGTTCACTGCCAAGAACTTTCCAGCGGAGAGTATCAGTGGCTGCCCTATTTTAGTTAGTAAATTGAAGAAGGACAACTAGGTATTCATTTGGTTTACTTGGGACAGTTTGGATGTGCCATTGGTGGGGTAATTTCAGAATCAAATGCGCTCCTTTGACATAATGACTGAAACAATTGTCACGTACAAAAGAGTCTCGCTTTTAGTATTATTTTGGTATTTTTATGTTTATAACTCCTATGTTGTACTGTGACAACTCTACCTCACGTAAGCATCAGTGAGAATTATTTGGGGCTTCCCAATGCAGTCTACTGGGTCATGTACAGAGAGCTACCACCAAACGGTTTGAGCGATAAAAAGGAAAGAAACTTGATGTGCTGAAAAATATGACTGACCAACACCTTTTTCAATAGGTCAGGTTCCGAAATTAGGGAGCTTGTGATGAATGTCGGCCTTTCTTCACAAAATGGGCAGACGTACAGATCGCGAAGAACGGCTTTCTGGTGTTTTTTTTAGTAACGACTCGAGCTGCGCTGCAGTTGTGGGTCTCGACCAGTCTGGATGATGAGACAAATCGATCATGTGAGCTTCCCAAACGGTTGCATCGTTAAAATTGGTGATCGGGTGACCAATACCGCAGTACCACGAATGGGAATGAACACTTCTTGGCCAGTCTTCGGGGTGTGTGTGGCTCATATGTTCAGTCCAGCTTGTCTCTCGAGCAAATCGAAGCGTTGAACAGCTCGGAAGCAAGCATACGTACGGAAGTAAGTCCCGATTCAAATGAAGCCTGACTCAAAGAGCAATCAGTATCCCGTAAAGTCGCTCAGTGTGAAGCATTACGGTACATACCTCGAAAAGATACTCCCGTTGCCCTTCCGTAATGCATCAGTGGGCAGAAGCTCCGTACAGTACGGAAAGGCTACCTCGGTTCGGGATATGTTCATCGGTGGACCCGGATATCCGTCGTTTTTAAAAGGCAGACCGGATTGAGATCTTTGTCTTCCAGATAAAGACGTGATATTGCTTCCTCATCTTCCCTCGTAAAGAACTCCTGAAGAAGCGCACCTTTCGACTCCCTTTCTCTCCCTTGATATTTATAGAAAAGCGTTCAGCGACGTGTGGTAATTGATTCTTCCATAAACGCAGCGAGAAACTTTGTCGCCTTAGGGTAATGAGATTTAATAATAGAGATTGAGAAATTAGTAAACCTTACTTGTTCGCTCCCATTTAAGTTGATTGATTTTAGGGAGCTTGGTATTCTTTGTTGTCTTGAAGCCTCTCTTGCAGCGCCAGTCAAAAATTGCAACTTCGAAATAGCAAAATCAACGGCGCCTAAGAAATGATCGGACTCCGGACCTCCGAATTCAGCATCTTCCGCTTCCCTTGGATAATGTTCTATGGATATCTGAATTGAATATGATGATGATAAAAGTACATGGTTATATTGTGTCTCTTAGTCGATATTTATTTCCGTTCATGTGTGTTTTATTAACCATTTGACTGGAGCACCATCTCCAGTAATGTCAGATATACTTGTTTGGATCTCAACTTCCGTGTCATCATCCAACTCCACGATTTCACCTCTAAGTCTTGCCGTTGCAGCACAGTCAACCATAGTTGCTACTTTGTTGTATGGACTGGACTCTGATGTCCTAGCCACCTTGCTTATTAACCAGTGTTTCTTGAACATGAGCTTCGTGACACGGATGCCGAAGATAAAGTCGTCCGAGGCTTCAAAACCGACATTCTGCGTAGTTTCCCTTGACCATTCAGACTTGGGGCCTAGTTCAATGGGTAGTCCGCCCGGCTGGTGAACTCCTAGCTCAGCTGTCAACCCCAGCCTTCTTCCATTGACCATGTTGACCGAGGGACCACGAGCTATCTTCAAGCCCGTCACCATGTAGACTGGTTCGTACGTAGATGCTGATATGTGGTTCTTTACATCTTCTTCGCCCATACTCTTCTCTATTTAGTCTTTCGATGGGTTGAAGTATACGGTGTCTAGGCTTCGAAAGTGGTAGACGTCCTCGTCACTCCGTTCCGGCGCAAAGCTCAGCTCCCCTCTGATGCCATCAGCACCGAGAACATGAGCCCAAACTCCGTATTCGCCACTTTTCATGCGCGACCGTGTACTAGAAAAGTTTCTTTGGTGGTTGCAAAACAGCTCAGAGGATGGTATTCGCAGGTGACAGTCTCGGTTGATCGGTTCTTCCGCAGAATCAATACTTTCGATGATGGAACCCAGTTCGAGCACGCCACCAGCATCAGAAGGAGGGATACTGAATGTTGGTGCGAGATGGTATTTTGGAATCTGCTTTCCTGTCATGGCCGATAAGCAATGGATTAGGTTAATAGTTAATAGCACGGCAAGATTGACCGATTCGTCGTATGGAGGACACGTAACGTAGCTGTGAGATTGACAATATGTGCGTTTGCATTGGCCTCCATTGGCCCTAATTGTGTCATAATCTCGAGGTCAGCTGTCTTGATTGTTAAAAGCGGGGTACACAGATTATGCCACCTACCATAGGTCTCCTAGCTGCTTTGATTCGCCGAAATATAAGATATGGCAGCCTTGCCAAGGTGAAAGACACATACTGAAAAGTAGCTTTTGACCATATAATGCTACTTATGCTCAGATAAAAGCTGTAAAAGGTGTTAATTATTGCGTGAAACTGAACTGCACTCTATGTAACCTAATGCTAAAGTCAGAGAATAAAGCAAGGTCATTGTGGCCTAGTTCTTATGGTCACCTACCGACTAAAGAAATCCGCCCTGACGACGAGGCAATAGACAGCGGCGCAAAACTTGACTGATAATAACAGGCTGTGCCATCAACTGGTGCGTGTGACAGTAGCTTGGACCAGGTGTTGGTCAGTATGAACTTGGTGAGGCGTGGCATGCTCTCGAGCGAGAAGTGCGTGAATCTTCTACGTAGCCAGTAGTAACTATGCGGAGGTGGTACACTGTGTTCGTACGTGAGTATCTGTGGATCAGGTTAACATCAGGTTAACATCATTGGAGTCGCCGTGCTACAGCCAATGAATGAAGCTTATGGTGTCGATGCAGCCGAGCGCAGTCAAGGCTTGTTGCAGTTCCCAACCATCAAGTGGGCTAGGTCTCCTGAAACTTGAATGAATGTGCATTCAGTGTAAAGGATTATTTTAACATGTGCTCAAAAATGCACCACCCAAGCTCAATACTATGTCAATCACCAGAGAAATCGTGAAAGGCAACCGTTAGAATGAAAGCTACCCTCAATAAAGCTGGGCTTGAATACAAAGAACTCAAACTAATCGGTTTGATTCGTTACACACGTAGCATAAAGTACTACTGAAAGACCGTATGTGTGGCTATAGCTAGCCACCAACGGACGTGTAAGCTTCTTTTACTATAAGTTTGAACAGATACTGACTAATTATGGTTTGTAACATACATATAGCCTAAAAACACGAAACAGTATGAGCGTGCCTACCAGGAAGCATGTAAAATTATAGTCATGATTCTTGTATTTCAATTCTGACTTGATATTAACTAGTCTTCATTGCAACAAATGCTAATAGAGCAAATCCTCAGCGACGCTTGCTAGGCTAATGCAAAACTTATCCAAGGCACATCTCAGTACCTGGGCGTTCTCGTCTTCATGGACATTATAATTCTTGCAACTGCAGTCCGCGTTGGTCACGGTCTTCATCTCACCCAAATCCTTCTTACAAGCATCAATAGCCGAATGCACCTTTTGAATAGGTTCCCTATATAGCCTCTGGATGAGATCCTCACTCTCGTCAAGCAGCGCTGAGGACCGGGAGCGGGCGCCCTTGGAGCCAGCAGCAACTAGAAAACCCTTGCAACCGTTTTTCAGAACCGTAAAGGCCCTTCGCAACAGCGCCTGTGTCTTTAAAATGGTCTCTCTAAGTTCAGAGGAGATACCGTCACTGGAAACGTCTGACAGGATGCCGGCAACACCGTCTAAGCCATCGGCAAAGACGAGCAGGGCATCCTGGTACACGTACAAGGGCACCGGTCCACGACTTGCTTCAAAAGTGGCGTTGTTGGTGAGAGCGTTCTGCATCTTTACTAGGGCATCAATGATCTTTGATGTAGTCATCTGCGTGCCAGGAGAGTCGGCAGTAACTGTGGACAGACGCCCAACGGTATATCTCTGGAGATAACCTCTGATCTCTTGAACGTGGGGCCCGCCATGCGTTTCTGCAAAGCGAGCATCGGCGATAGTGCCCGCTGACTCAAGAAGCGTTTTTGGTCCGCCCGGGTGGGTGGTCAAGAAGGACGTCATATCGTAGACGATACCGTCGATGGCAATCCAGCATGAAGTAATGGAATTGTGGGCTGCAAGCTCGGAGAGACTGATGACGGGGGTTTTGAGGTCTGTTGGAGAGGAGGAAGGGGAGGAAGACGACCGTGAGATTAAAGGTTTTTTCACCGCATTAAAGAGATCTTGGTGCACTTGGTCCCAAAGATCGGGAGGTGAGGGTATTTTTGTGCGGTTGTTATTGTAGGACTCGTCATTTAAATCTTTTGCTTGTTGTTTTTGCCGCTGCTGCTGCTGCTGTTGGGTTTGGTCCAGTCCAAGGTCGCTCATCACTGTAGCACCAAATTCGGAGGTACCACAGACAAAAACATGACCGTTCTTTTCTTTCACGAGCCGCTGGACAAAGTCCCGGTACTCTAGCAAGTGGCTTGTTACGTGACGGTCCCCCTGGGGTAGTTCAGTCCAGACTCCGCTGCGGATCATTTGGTGTGTCTCTTGGCTGAGAGCCAATATGATGGTCAATGGTAAAGCCTTGGTCAGTTCCTCCAAGCTGTCGAGGGGACAGGGGACATGACGAAGTGTTTTGGCAGCAATCACGAAGAGAACCTCGCCCATCTCACCCATGTCGTCTTGGGTATCGTCTAGCCGATGTCTCGCTGCCACCCGATCGTGTAGAAATCCCACAAAAGGGCCGATACCGCTGCCCTGGCCAATTAACACCAGTGGCAAGGTCATATCGCGTGGCTGGCGGAAACGAGGAGAAGGCCAGGGACGAAGGCGCAAATGTGTGCCTTGAGCTGAGTTGCTAAGAAAAGAAGATACCAGTCCCTCGGGCGAGTGTTGGCCGACAGTCAGGGTGATGGCCATACCTCTCCCCTCAGTGTCTGGTATGACACGGGCAATAGAGTAGAATCTTGGCTCGACATCATCATCGCCCTCTTCTGATGAGACGTCTTGGTCTTCCGGAGAGGAGCCTCGTAACCGGCGCTGGTGCGAAGATGTTCTCTTAACATTCTTCCTTTTTCTCGGCGGCCAGACTTGCACTCGATCGCCTGACTTGAGCGGCAAATTTGCATCCAATCTCACGGTCACCACTACGGTGCCTTCGTACACGCTCTGCGACTGGATATACGCGTCTTGCCACAGTGGTCTCCCTCCTAACCGCGACGCCATACCCTTTTTCATTTGCATACTGAGCATGGTCTCGGGTCGCATCTTTGGCTTCCCTGCCGTCAAACATTTGTCCTGGTCACTACTCTGGACACCACTGCTCGTCGAGTGTCGCCCTGTGCTTAGGCTCACACCTGTGACGCCAACAGCCTTGACGCGGTGCCTCTCTAGGAACCAGACGTACATTTGCAAAAGCCCATCCCACGCTGCTGAGAGGTGCCGGTACTGTGACTGCTCATCAGGGGACAGATAGTGTAGCCGAGCACATGCACCAGCAACGTAATCTCTTACGCTTCCGGCTTCGTTTCCAAGGGCATCCAAAAAGGCGCAGATGTTGACTGGCAATTTTGCCCGTCGGTCGCTCTGCATTCCCTTCAAGTCACCCTTCACGTCCTTGCGGCCAATAAATGCGTCCAGCGCGTGGAACAGCGGTACATCGACGCCGCTATTTCCCAGCTCGCCGGATGTCACCGCCTGGCCCATGGCAGGGTATGTCTTGATCCAGATGACGGGATCGAAGCGAGTCGTGTCTCGCGGCGTCATGGCATCAAAAACGTGGGCGCACTTTACGATGCGCGCCGCCAGATTCTCTAGGCAATGCGCGACCAGGTCGGGTTGATCAGCCAGCACGCCGCTCTGTGCGAGGGCCATGGCAGAGAGTGCGGGCGCGAAAACAGCCTCCATTCTGCCCTGGAGCCCTGAAGAGAGTCGCTCCTCGGGAAGGCCAAAGTAGACACTGCTGAGGCTGAAGGAGTCATTGCCCACAGCATTGTTGAGAACGTCATCGGCGGGCACCTATCGTCGTAAGTTAGCTACTGTACTATATATGTAGAGCATGTTTGAGTATGTCTACATACCCGCCCAGTAAGAGGTCTTCCCAACGCCTTGCATACTTTATCCCACGCACCGAGGACATGGGCAGGGAGCTGGAACCGTTTGTTTTCCCCTTTTCCCTGCTCCTCACCAAACATGTATGCGTGGGCCAGCGCGCTTAGCACAAGCGCCGCTCGAGCGAGATGACGTTGTTCCAAGTCATCCCAAGCGTCTGTTTCCTCTGACACGCCGTCGCCCAAAGCGTCGACGGCTTGACGGACTCTTCCGGCTCGGAGTAACCGCGGCAAATCTGCATGAACTGACTCCCACGCCTCCAAGGGCGGTGGCAAACGTTGGTCTGAGCGCGATGAAGCGTTGCTGCGAGCGGTGACGTGATTTTGGAGTAACGTTTCTTGGCCTCCAAGGAAGCCCCTTGTGCGACTAAAACATCCATCAAGACCTTTACCGATACGGAGTATTCGTGATCCCGTCCGGGGCGACCCGGAGCTTCGGAACTGGAACTCGGTCGTTGATGATTCTCCGAAAAGCGCCGTTGCCAGAGAGGCCTGGGCAAGCAGAAAGCTTGCTTGTGAAATGGGGCAGTCGATTACTGTTGAGGATGTGTTGTCTGTCTCGTGTTGGTCTTTCGCCTGAGCTTCTGGCGGTGGCGTGATGATTCCTCCAGCCGGTGCCTTGGGCACTTTGAGGAAGATTGATGGTGGTGATAATGGTGGCGACAATGATTTCGTGCTCTTAACCACATCTTGTTGTGGCTTCTTCCATAAAGAAGAGGATGTAGAAGGTTTGGGAGACGGAGACGGCGTTGGAGGGTCTCGAAAGGCAGACATGATGGTGAGAATAGGCTCCAGCAAAAAGACTACTGGTTGTGGTTGCAACAAGAAGATGGAGAGGCGGGATCAATGGTTCTTGATCGCCAAAGACGGCATAATAAGAAAACTCCGTTTCTCATAAAGATAATATGTTCAATTTTCCCGGTTCCATCGGCATAAGGCCTCCATGTGTACGGCATTACGCCTCGGCAGTTCATTTTGTCCAAACTCGTGCTTGCGAGGTTCTAGTTAACAAACTTACATCGCAAGCTTTCGATTTCCAAGTTCTGGTTTAGGAAATGAAGCGGGAAAGTTTCCAAGGGCCCGGATCAACTTTGGATGAAGGCCAGAAGGTTCCAAGCCTACAGCTGTCAAGCTTGCAGGCTACGTCAAAAAAAAAAAATACCATCCCCCGAACTTTGTAAATCTCGGCATTACCCCCATCGGAGCCCGAATTCCACACGTGTTATCACTTTTGAGTTGCGAGGTTCGGGGAAACACTCGTTTTCGCCTTAGTACTACTACGTCAGCCTCACCTGTCATCACGCTTCTCATGCTGAGAAGCCGAGGATAGTGACGACAGTCTTTGATCATTTTTTCTCTATTCGTATTCGTCTCGTGGCGAAGGATAACTACTACTGACAGGAACAGTAACGAAAGGGTATCCTAAGTGTGAAAACGACCAGTAGATCGATCCAAGGCCGATCAAAAAGCGCATAATGATTCTGGACATGCCTTCCATCGTTCTCGCACTCAACCTGCCGGATCTCCTCCCGCTCCTCCGGAGCCTCAGCCTAGCCATCGTCGGAGCTTTTTTACTACGCACCATCTACTACCTAACCCTCCATCCCTTGGCGGGATATCCAGGCCCGCTACTCGCACGTATTACCACAATCACATCGTTGTGGCACCGCGCGAATGGTTCCAACCACAGCTGGCCGCTTCTCCTCCACAAAAAGTATGGCCATGTTGTACGTATCGGCCCAAATGAGCTGAGCTACACACACCCTGATGCGTGGCACGACATCTATGCCAAGGCGGGCGGTGGTGGCGACTTGCCCAAAGACTTCGTCGGGCTGGGACCAGACATGGCGGCGCCCGAGAAGGGGATCGTGCGTGCCGACGACGCCAACCACCAGCGGCAGAGGCGCATCTTCTCGCATGCCTTTTCTGAACGTGCCGTCCTCAAGCAGGAGAGCCTCGTGCAGGGTCATGTTCGCAACTTGATGCGCAAGTTAGCCGAAGAGAATGCGGAGCCTGCTTCTTCTTCTCGTGGCCGCGTCGATCTCATGACCTGGCTGAGTTACTTGGCCTTTGACATCATGGGAGACCTCATGTACGGTGAGCCGCTTGGCATGCTGGAGAGCGACCAGTCGGCGCGGCAGTGGGTACGTGATACATACTCGACCATCAAGACAGTGACCCTCGGGATGGCAATGATGGGATGGCACCCGCCTCTGGGACCGCTGCTCCTCAAATACATATGGGGAGAAAGTGGTAAACGCCGCGCCCAGCATAACCGCTTCTCCATGGACCGTGTCGACAAACGCCTAGACCGCGGTGACGACTCGGGCAGCGACATCTGGTCGATGATCATTCAGAACAGCGGCAGCGAGAAGAAGCCAGGCATCACGCGCGCCGAAATGTACTCCAACGCCGCAACTTTCATGATCGGCGGGACTGAGACCACTACAGCCGCCACGTCGGCTCTAACGTACTTGTTGCTCAGAAATCCGGCCAAAATGGCCAAGTTGCGCGCCGAACTCGACGGCGCCATTAGCGACCCGCAGTCGGACATGACCTTCACCGACCTGCGCAAACTGCCGTACCTCAACGCGTGCATCGAAGAGGCCATGCGCTTGTATCCGCCCGCGCCGACGCCAATGCCGCGGATCGTGCCCCGAGGAGGCCATGTCATCTGCGGGCGCTTTGTGCCGGAGGGTACGCGCGTCGATATCCCGCTGTACGCGATCGCGCATCATCCAGACAACTTTGCCGATGCCGAGGAATTCGTGCCGGAGCGGTGGCTGGGCGAAAACGACAGGCCCGCTAAGTATGCTGAAGATCGGAGAGACTGCATCAAGGTGTTCTCGGCGGGACCGAGAGACTGTATTGGCAAGAAGTGAGTGACGTATTTTCCCTGGGTATCTTTTGCCTTCATGTCATGAGTACTAGTTGCTGACCAGCTTCCATGCAGTCTTGCTTATCCCGAGATGAGGCTCATAATGGCTAGTTTGTTGTACAATTTCGACCTTGAACTTGCTGACCCCAACTTTGACTGGCTTGACCAAAATAGTTATGGAATCTGGGATAAGCACCCTCTCTGGGTAAAAGTGATGCCTCGAGAGATTGGACAGATTCTATGAATTCACTCTGATTACTGATGCGAAACCTCTGTGACATAACTCTGTATTTAAAAGTCATCCCGTTGAATAATAAAATCTCTTGAAAGTAAAAAACTACTGAAGAACTCATGCTTATTGTATACATGGCCTCTCGATGGATTGAACTTTCAACAGAACAGCTAATTCCCGCAAAACGGCTCAGGTTGACGTGAGTAGGGCACACATCTTAGTACTCCCATTTGAGGATTTTGCTATAATACTACTCATTTACCGGTATTAAACAATTGACAAGATTCCTACGAGATTACCTATTAAAGCTCACTCCCAAAACCTTGGCCCAAAGTATGCGCTAAGGCCTACACCCTTTTCAGAAGACGAAATTGATGCCATGGTATGCAAACCCGTCTCTCTGTCGTCCCCGCTATTTTGTGAAAAGAAAGATGAGTTAGCAAAACCATGCAAACGGCTATAACTGCAACGATGAGACTCACAAGGCATCTTTAATAGCAGCTCCAAAGTTGTAATTACCCATCATATCCTGTGTCTGGAGTATGCGCTCGTAGCGCTCCACGATTCCGCCTTCATCGCGCGCGTACTGCCACATGGGCACGTACATCTTTACTTGTGGGACCACCTTGCCCGGCACCAGCTCGAAGGCGAAGCAAAGCCCGCAATACTTGCTGTCAGGCTGGTTGAGTGGCTTTTCCATGGTGTCTATTTTGGACTGAGGAACATCTTCCATGTCCATGAGCAGGGGCCACACTTGCGGTAGAAAGTTGGCGGAGGAAGCATCAAGGCGGCCACCCAGAGTAAAGACATGTCGGGCCGAGGCAAGTGAGTTGGCGTGTGTGTGGGCGTAAACTTTAAAGCGAGGCTTCATCTGTGGCTCCAGGCAGTCGATGGCGAGGAAATAAATGTTAATGTTGTCTTCGCCGTATGAGACGAGAAAGGCCCTGAGCAACTCCCAGGCGGCCATCATCTTCTTGTCGCTCTTGGCAAGTTGTGTCGCAACGGAGTCCGTTATTTCCACTAGTTCCCGGCCCGTTGCAAGAGCTTTGAGCTGCGGGAACAAATATGCCTTCATGCCGATGGCCGCTTTCCCGGTCTCATCCTCATCGGATTCGAGATCAAAACCGGCATAGCAGATCTGCCGCGGCAGCGCAGCGGAAGAACCACATCTATTAGTCGCCTTTTTAACCAAGCCCGCCTCCTCCTCATCAGTAAGAAAGACAGAATTGACAAAGACGTCCAGCCAGGTACGATCGGCGCTGCATGCAGACGCCAGACCTTCCAGCTTCTCGCGCAGTCTCTTCTGCCCTATAGGGTCGTCGCCCGCAGGGTCAAGATTCACTAGTGGCTGTACCGTAAACCGCACTTTAGCCTTTTTCCCACGTGCAAACGCGATGCTTGCTTCGTATGGCGAGTGGTTGTGGGTCAGAATGTAATGCAACCTGTCAGCGGCGGCAGGCTGCTTAAGGCGCGGGACCACAGTCTCACGAAGAAAGGCGAGATGAAAGTCCCGGATGTGAGCCGGATAAGAGCCTGCCCAGCTTAGGAGTGAGGAAAGTGTCTTGTCGAGAATAGGGAGCCATGAGGAGACCTGAGGGCCCCCGTTGGAAGAAGTGGAAATGTCCACTTCATTGTAGATGTTTCTCTTTGTCGATGACATTGACGTGGTAGACGACAGTTGAGTGGTGATGTTCCATGTTGAGATTGTTAGGGTCTACGAAGGTACCTAAATTTGTGGCTGGTAGTCGTACTCGTATCGTCTGCTCTAGGTTTGATGACTATTTCTTTTCTTTGGGAATTTAGTATGACCCGAGGTGGAGTTTACCGAGGTGACTGCTTTGGATGTATGCGTTGAATGACAGAGTTCGCAACTAGTTGCCTCTTTTAGAATTTCACCGGGTCGTCACATATATAATAATGCTATTATTTTTGGGAGCGGAATTTTGGGAACAGTTTTTTGGAAAGCGAGTACGAACACGGTGCGGGTTAGCCAAAGCAATGAACAATATTTACATAATTTGACGTCAAGGGACAAGGATGGAGTTGACATGTGAAACGAACCTACCACATTGGATCATGTTGTGCTGTTGATCGTCCCGTCCCGAGAGCATGGTTTGACAGGGCTGAGCTCAAAGTCTAAAATGCGTTTTTCATGCGGCATAGATCAATGGAGCGTAGATATCTGTCGGAGCAGCTCCGCGAACTAGCAGATCAGTTAAGGTTTACGGAATGACTTGTAAAGTTTAACTCTGGATGACTTTGAGCAACCTCTGCCGACGTCCGCGGACTGCTACTCTGCGCTCGGACAATCGGAGGCGGAGTTGGGAACTCTCGGTAAGCCCGGAATAACACAGTAGCAGCGAAGGCGTCGTCGGTTACGAGGATGAGACCCCAACCTGTTGACTATTTACCTGAATTTCTTGTTAAGCAAGGAATTTTAGATCCTTGTATCTTTATTACCCCCACTTACATGTATGACGCGCATGGCCACGAGTCTTCTGAATCGCTTCAAACAGGTCTCCCTTGCTTCAATCAGTGATTTGGTCTAGGAGCAATCGGCTGTACGCTAACATATATCATTAATATTGTTGATAATGTCTTTCAGCGGATTCTTGAGCCGCATTCGCATAGGGTATTAATGAGTCCGGCAGCAAACTCTCCTCATCTTAAAAAATGACGAGGCTACGGAGAAAGACGTCAGAGTTGAATTTAGGGCCGTGCGACCCGGGCCTACCGGTGGACATTTTCTCCCCGACGGCTTTCGCCTACCTCGGTCCTGTCGGCTTCTCAGGGTTGTACGCCGAACGCTATATCGAACCCCCGGCGGTCTCCGTTGCGAATCTCTACAGCGGTTCCATGCCCAGCAAAACCCTCCCGATGTCTGTGCCATGAAGAAGTATGTGGTTTTAATGGCTGGATCGAAATAATGTCCTTGAATCGGCGATAGTCGCACGTATATGTTAATGGTATCGCTACTGTACAATTCTGTAGGGGATTCCAAACTAATTTTCAGATGGACGTAGTGTTCCTTATATCCTAGACTATTGATCGCATTCTCAACGCTCTGCCGTAAGCAAATAATTTTCTAGACAGGAGAGGGGTTATAAAAGAAGACGCTTTTAGGTTTGAACGGATTTAGCTCGTGGGTGCTGCTATACCTAATCTTACTAAGAACGCTTCATCGCAAAGTCTTACAGATCGGGGAAATCTCGTGAATACCTCACTTTTGACCGTCGGTTATTAACTTCTCTGCCTTCGGGACTCATCTGAACGCCTTAGCCCGATCGAAAGAGCTGGTTCGCTCGCAAGCCAGATGGGTTTGCCAAGATAAAAACGCATGACAATGGCAAAAAGGCCATAGCGTTATGACAGAGTTTAGGGCACGTCTATTCGCAAAATCGTGAGAACACTACGTGGTGCGATAAACTTCCCAGTCGGCAATCGATAAACGCTATTACCATCTCTACTATAGTAATTCCAACCACGGACACGAAACACAAAGAACTCTCTCACTTTGACTGTCAAAAACCCCCTATTACATACAAACCCCAAAGGTACGTCCAACAACATCATTCAAACCAAGGCCTACCGAAAAACCTCTTGGCCACTTCTACTTCTTAAGCTCTCAGCACAAGCATTGCCGAAAACGAAAAGCCGAGAACATTATCATCTCTACTATTACGCGACCCGGTAGACTACATCCGAACACCAAACTCACCTGCAATTACAGCACCCACAAAATAGACGCTCGATTGTGTCCTTGCCGAGGCCTGGACTAATGTGACCTCAGGAGGCAGTTCACATGAAATCTCATGAAAATAGCATTCTCTCTTCCAGCTTAGTACACTCTTCACCATTCACTACATCACCTAGGTAACCAATCGAGAAACAAAAAAACATTCGTATTCATCAGTCAACATGGCTACCGCTGAGCAACAAATCACCCATCTCCGCTCCCTTCTTGACATAATTTCCACCTCAACGAACGACCTCATCAATGAACTTTCCTCCTCTCTGTCCTCCAAGTCCATAAATGGTAACGGATCTACAGTAGCCTATGCCGATGTTCGCATCCCGAAAGATCCCAAGACGGAAGAGGCGCGCAAGCGCATCATTGCTGCCACGGCTTCTCTCGAGGCTGCCGTGATCACACCCCAATGGCGACTCAGCCACCTAGCACACAGTTATTTCATACCTCGCGCGCTGCACATGGCTGTCGAATGGAAGATTCCCCAGCTCTTGGAAACCAACGGGCCCATGAAACTTGATGCCCTTGCCGCCGAGACGGGCATCGTTGACACGCGCAAGCTGGGGCTTGTGATGAGAACGCTTTGCGCTCACCATATTTTCGCCGAGACGGCCCTCGACGTCTTTGCCAACAACGAGGCGTCGACCACCCTTGCCACAAATGAGCGCCTCGCCAGCTCGGTGCGCTACGCCTCCTTCCTCTTCCCCACGGCTGATGTGCTCCCGAGCCTCCTGAAAGACCCGACCCTCTGCGCCAGCTATGAATCGCGAGATTCGGCCTTCGCCAAGAGCATCGGCAAGGGTATGGGCCAGTTCGAGTACCTGAATGCGCACCCTGAGTGGCGCGACTGCTTCAATCTCTGGCTCGCCTCGCTGGGCGAGTACCTTCACGGGCTGACCGATGTGCGTGGGTACCCTTGGGAATCCACCCTCAAGAACGGCGCCGTGGTAGTCGATGTCGGCGGCGGAGTCGGAAGCTCCATACAAGCCTTACGGGACAACTTCCCCGACCGCCGGAACGACTTTGTCGGCATCGTTCAGGACCAGCCCGGCATGATCGAGCACGCCACTGCCCATTGGCAAATGACGGACCCTCAAGCGCTAGCCACGGGCGCGGTTAAGCTCACTGTGCATGATTTCTTCAAAGAGAACCCCGTCAAGGGCGCCGATGTATACTGGTTTCGGTCGGTCATTGTGGACTGGCAGGACGACGACTTGACCAGGATATTCACGCACATCAAGAACGCCATGGCGCCAGGAAAGTCTCGCCTGTTGATCGGCGAGTACATCATGCACCCGACGTGCGGTGATGCCCTGCTACCCGACGCGCCGCCCCCGTTGCTGAAGAACTATGGCGAATTCCAAGCCATGGGGCTTATCTCAGGTTTCGTCCTGACCGTGAGCCCAAACGGCCTTCAGCGCACCGTTCAGGAAGTGAACAATGTTGTTGAGGCGGCTGGCTTGAAGATTGTCAAAGTGTGGATTTGCCGTGGCCTGGGGAACGTCATTGAGTGTCGGTTGAAGGAAGACGTGTAAATGCTATGAATGATATTACTCAGGTGAATATGCTATGGTTTTCGATTTAAAAATATGTTGCTGCTATCTGCAATCTGACTTTAATCTCGACAACTCCAGCGCCGCGTTTCCAACAGACATGCTGCTAGTAGAAATGTTTGAAATTACTCTCCCAAAATCACCATCCCGGCGTACAAGTCTGCCAAATCTTAAGACTTCATAACTGTACTCTGATTAGAGCAAACAAAACTTCTTGGAACTGAGCAGGCTCCCGACTCAGACAAAATAATGGTATAAGTTCGACTTCGACAACACCATTCCATCCAGGAGTGTCACAACTCAACTCCATTAATTGACATATTCCCACACCCAACGGGTCTAAAAAGCTACAGACTATTGTCAGAAGCTGCTTTCTGACATTTGTAAACGCGACAAGAACCATTAGCATCCTCTTCAAAGGTTGAAAGCATTCACTGCCCATTAAAGAGGACTCTTGAACAGCAGTCTGCAATGGGCCTCAGTCCGTTGGCTTCGATTTTCTTGTAACGGGTTTCCTATTAAACTCCAATATAACGTCCCACACCCACTTCTGGGCACCCCCCACATTTGGGCACCCCATTTACACCAAAAACGCCGTTTTTCGAAATTCTATATTAAACTAACTACTATACTTACTAAGAAAAGAAAATATATAACGTACATGATAAGCGAGTGAGACAGACAAGCGAGTGAGACAGTAAACCGCGACCGTCGCACCTTGACGCGACCGGCACCTTTTCCTCTACAATAAATCATGGAATCAGCTAGTATTGAAAGAAGGTTACAAATTGCCCTTCAAGCAATGAGAAATGACCCAAAACTTAGTGCTCGGGCCGCAGGTGCACTCTATACAGTCAGTCACGCAACATTAAGCCGGCGACTAAAGGGAATAGTCTCACGACGCGACAGCATGCCTAATTCACGGAATTTATCAGATTTAGAAGAGAAGACAATAGTTGAGTATATTCTCGACCTAGATGCGCGATCATTTCCTCCCCGGCTGAGTGGTGTGGAAGAAATGGCCAATCGACTTCTCGCAGAGCGCGACGCGCCTCCAGTTGGGAAGCGCTGGGCTTCTAATTTCGTCAAGCGACAACCACAGCTTAGGACGCGTTTCTTTCGCAAGTATGACTATAAGAGAGCTCAATGCGAAGATCCAGAGGTGATTCGTGGCTGGTTTTCGCTTGTGAAGAATACAATTGCGAAGTATGGTATTGCTGATGCTGATATCTACAACTTTGATGAGACCGGCTTTATGATGGGCGTTATTGCTTCTGGAATGGTTGTTACAAGTGCTGAAAGGCGTTCAAATACGAAGATGACACAGCCTGGCAATAGGGAATGGGTTACAGTTATCCAGGCTATTAATTCCCAAGGGGAGAGCATCCCGCCATACATCATCGTTGCAGGCCAGTATCACCTCTCAAGCTGGTATACAGAAACCTCTCTTCCGGGCGATTGGGCTATTTCAACGTCTGAAAATGGATGGACAACAAACGAGAGAGGTATTGACTGGATCAGACACTTCGACATTTATACAAAACCACGTACGTCTGGGAAATATCGCCTCCTCGTTGTTGATGGTCATGAAAGTCACCACTCCGCAGCCTTCGAGCTCTTTTGTCAAGAAAACAACATTATTACACTGTGCATGCCGGCTCACTCGTCTCATCTACTTCAACCCTTAGATGTTGGTTGTTTTCAGCCGTTAAAGAATGCCTACGGTCGGCAAATTGAGAATAAGATGCGGCGAGGCACAACCCATATCTCGAAGGAAGATTTCTTTGCAGCATTTCACGAAGCTTTTAAGCAGTCTTTTACGAGGAAAAATATCCAGGGAGGTTTCCGAGGAGCTGGACTTGTCCCTTTGAATGCAGAAAGTGTTCTCTCAAAGCTGGATGTAAAGTTCCGAACGCCAACGCCTGAGGAGGGGGTCCCTCAGACACCAGACCCTTGGATCTCTAGGACGCCGAGCAACCCAAGCGAAGCAAGATCACAGTCTACTTTTATTAAGAGTCGAATCTCACGCCACCGAAGCAGCTCTCCAGCATCAATTTATAGTGCTGTGAGTAAGCTAGCCAGAGGGACAGAAGGACTAGGGCATCGGGTAGCATTACTAGAGTCAGAGGTTCAAATCCTTCGAGAGGAGAATGCAATATTAAGTCGGCGTCGAAGGGCTAAGAAAACACGTCTACAGAAAGGAGGAAGTCTTACTATATCTACTGGAGAGGATATACAGTCGCAAAGAGAGGCAGACACGCAACTACAAGAGGAAACGCGACGGAGTAGTGGTCGCAAAGTGAGGTCTGAGACGACTCATCGTCGGTGTGGCGTATGCGGGAATACAGGCCACAACGCGAGAACATGTCAATTTATTGAGGAAACTGTCGAATTGAGGGTTCAGAACGATGTATATTCCGTTATGTGTGTAACTGTCTAAGGGCCCTTCAGGGGCGCGTAGGGAAGGGGGTATGCCACCCCCTGACCCGGGGCTCGGCGCTCGGAAATAGTGTTCTGCCGAGCGTTGCCGAAGCCTCGCGTAGCGCGCTCAATCTGACAGAAACATCCGAAGAACAGGAATCCGAGTAGTATTAATCAATCTAAGATTTCTTGTTATAGATTTCGATATTATTGTCGCGAAGGTCTGGTTTACTGTCTCACTCGCTTGTCTGTCTCACTCGCTTATCATGTACGTTATAGATATAAAGATAACTTATAAAAACTAGTAAAATACTTAAAGAATACCTTAGAAAAGCTATATAAATACTAAGAAGAAGAAAAGGATATAAGCTAAGGAGAAATATAACTATTAAAAAGATACGAAACGCTAGGACGAAGAAAACGACGCTTAGCAACCGAAATAGTTAAAAAAATAAGAGGTTAGCATAACCTAAGCTACGAAATTATCGCCTTATAATACTATATCCTAATTAATTAGGTTTATATAACTATCTACTTATAAACCTATTACTACGGAAGACTTTAGACTTAGAAACTCTAAAGCCTAGATTACCTCTATAAGTAGCTTATCTATTACTAACTAACCTTTTTTAAATACTATCCGTTTTTTACTACGCAACCTCTTAAGACAAGCTAGCAACTTATCTATCTCTACCTATACCTTACGTAAAGTAACGACTTTTATTTTAAATACCTCCTTTTTAGCTATCTCTTTATGCTTAAGACGACTAGACTTATCTAGTAATCGATTTACTAAAAGACTTAGTAAAACATGCGATATAAGCAAGAAGGAAACTTATAAGTATAGATAGTAATATTAGTAATATCGCAAGAATAACTATGATAAGTATACTTACTATACTTCTTATAACGCTTAAGCATTTTATATCGTAACCCTTTTAAGTAATAAAACATATAAGCTATAACCTTAAAACTAGACTAAGCAATCTTAAGCAATTAAGCAAAATAATAAAAAGTAAAAGTACTTTAGCTAGAAAAAGACTTTGATTTTTCAACGCAACCTAACATAGTATTAGTATTATTAAAGGAAGCATAATTAAGGATCCCTAACCTAAGACTAACATACCTACTTATAAGCCTTAAAGACAAGACCTTTCAGGGGAGACCTAATATTATAACCCGTTTATTATACCTAATAAAGGGTTAACAAACCTACTTAGGCTAGCAGCTATGCTATCAGATATATATAAGACATATAGGGAATAATAAGTTACTACTAAAACGGAAGAACTATTATATAGATTACGTAACGATAAAGAAGTAAGTACTAATAAGGAATTAGTAAGTACTTACGCTAAGGGAAGTAAGTACTTACGATAAGCAGGGTAAGCACTTACCAAAGCTACCTAGGATACTTACTTCAGGACGTATATATAGATTAAGACTTAAGTACCTACTTAAGCCTTTTAGATAGTTCTTTAGTAATCAACTTATAATTTATCCTCGATAACTTTTAGCTTAGCTTATAATCCGTAATATTACTTTAACTCGTTACCTAGTATAAGACTAATTACCTTACCCTAACCCTCAATCTACTAGTATAACCTACCTATATATAACGCAAGACCTATTATTAGTATCATAGCCTTAACTTCTATTAGTAGAAACCCTACTATTACTAGCTAGCCGTAATATTACTCCGTCTCGTCTTATATACCGTGACATAGTAGGAGCTAAGAACTTTTTAAGTTTCGATAGGCTTAAAGGCTAATATAAAACGGGATACTAAGACGGAGTAGTAATTAGATCTAGGTCTTAGAGGGTAAGTATTAAATAAGAGTAACTCTAGGTATAATAATAAAAGAGATCTAATTCTATATACTACTATAATAATAAACATTATCTTTATAGTATAGTATTTACCTAAAGACCTTTACATTCTTAAATTACTCTATATAGTACTACTATAAGACTAGGCTTATAAGTATTCTTACTAACTATAGCTTTTAACCTTTTCTAAAGAATAAAGTTCTAAGATATTAGATCTTAAATAAATATTAAACTTTTTCTTTTTAGTAAAAGTAATTATTCTAGCTAATTTATAATATCTTACGTTAATAAACTCTATAGAATTAGGTTGTACTTCCTTACTTACTAGATCGAAATTTAGTCTTTTCAAGAAGGTCTTTCTTATGAAGATTAATTTAGAAATTATACTACTAGTACAACCTATAATATAATATATACGGACTTATAATACTAATACTAAAAATTTTATTTTTATAGAGTTAGTACTAATTTAATCTTAGATCAAGGCTTTTTATAATAATTAACTATTATAAAGTAGAGACTATTTCCCTATATATAAAAAAAGTCGTGGTATCTTATTATCTATTCAAAAGGCTTCTATTAAATTTGTAACAAGACTATGTATAATATTCTTACTATCGCTTTACTCTATGTTGCCCTTCCCAGTACTCTCGCTGCTAACGCTGGTACCGTTGATTTCTATAACGGCAGGGGTTGCTCTGGCTCAAACATCCAACATATAAACCTGGACTCTACCGGGCATTGCTATAGTCTAATGTTACGACCCGTTGGACATGGTCGCCAACACGACCCCGCCTGGATCCCGGCGGCTAACGCAGGGCATATGTAACCCAGCCGGACAGGTGTAACCAGGGATCCTCGGAACGGAAGAACTATGGACAAGTCACGTGGCCTCGGGGATAACGCGGGGTAAGGACAACCCGGGCTGGATATGTTGGATATGTCAGATATTGTGGTGACCGACGTCAGGCACGGGCGGCATCAACTAGGAACAAAACGGCTTGTATTCTCTAAGTGAGCGAGCGGAGCGAAGGACGCTTAAGAATACGGTCGCTGGAGCGAGGTCACGTGACCTCGCGGCCGAGACGCGGCAGAGTGGGTCCGGAGGCCCGGAGCCAGCACGACACACCCCCCCAGACGGCGCGTAGTCGTCTGGAAAACCGCGCCTCGAGGCCATATCGCTACTATCGCCTAGATACAAGATTATGAGGCTATTCAGAGCCTCTTGTGAATATATATATATAACAAAAGAGAGGTGTTGTTGTATTCGCCTCGGTCTTTGTGCTCGAAGTGATGTGAATATGGCGAAATTCGCCCTTGCGCGCCGCCTGGCGCAATAATCGCACTTTCCTTTATTCAACCGTCGTACTTGCCTCTTATTATTGCCAGTTGAATTTTCTGAAAATCCTGCCTTCTGATTGGCCCACAACGTGGGTTGCCCATCAGTTATTATTTCCTCTGCCCGTTGACTCTTCTGCAGCGGTTCCGGCCGTGGCCGAAGCGGCTGGTCTCCGTGCTGCCATTGACAGCCTTGTTGGAGGACACTTGCCGGCGGCTGTTCTCCCCGCGTACAACGTCCTGATGGACACGTACGCGGCCTCCCTCCGAGGTCGTTAAAAGAGCCCGCCCTACGGGGCGTAAGTACGCTTGCTTTTGCTCCTTTGGGAGCGTATCATGCTTCCTGGCCAGGGGCCAAGTCAAAATTTAACTTTCGGCCTCCGGGCCAGCATTGCTCGCGCGCACCTGTTTCTCTTCGCTTCTTGTGACTTGTGCCCGAATGTCTTGTAGGTTTAGAAGTGCCCTGAAGTGTTCGAACTTCGCTCGGGAGAGTGCTTTTGTGAGACCGTCTGCTGGCATCTCGTCGGTAGGCATATATACCACGTCGAACGTCTTCTTGGCATACTCTTGGCGTAGCCACATGTTCTGTATATCAACGTGGCGAAGGCGCGTTGAGATGCGTTCCTTGTCGCCTACTACCAGGCGAATCGTTTGGCGATTGTCACAATGGATCTTCCATACGTCTCCGAGGTCTAGTTCAATATCCCGAAATAAGCGTTTGAGAGCGATGGTCTCCTTAGCAGTGTTTTCGAGGCTAAGGAGTTCCGCTTCTGTAGTAGAAGTGGTAACGGTATTCTGTCTCGCGGCTTTCCACTGAATGGGACCGCCGAACAGTGAGATGATGTACCCTTGAGATGAACGCCGCGTCTCTTCGTCGTCTGCGAACGAGGCGTCGCCCGCAATTAGGAGAACTTGGGCACCTGCACCCCCCGAGCTACCGAAGCAGAGCGAAAGGTAGCGAGTGTGATAAAGATATCTAATGACTTGGTTCGCGGCCTTCTGATGTTCGAGAGACGGGTTCGTTAGGAACCTCGAGAGTGTAGCGCAAGCGAAGGCGACGTCGGGGCGAATCATGATCGCAGTGTACAGAATTGAGCCGACCTTCTCTTGGTATTGCTTTACCTGGTCAGGGGTCGCTTCAGCGGTGTTCTTCTGGAGCGGGACGAATGGCAATGGTGTATGCGGCACGATCGAGTCGATAAGGTTGAATTTCTTCGCTACGCGTTCGATATATTGGTCGTGTGCGAGGTTAATTGTTCGCTTCTCACGGTCACGTATCACGCGAATGCCTAGATACCACTCGACAGGGCCTTGGTCCTTGAGTTCATACTCGGCTTTCACCCCGTTTATAACGTTTTGAGCAGCTTCGCGGTGGTCCCTATGGTATAAGACGAGGATATCGTCTACGTAGAAGAGTACCATCACTTTCTTGTCGTTTGAAGTAAAGAGACAGGGGTCTTCGCTTGCAGGCTTGAGTCCCAGGCGCCGCAGCGTTGATGAGAACTCCTTATACCAAAGGAGGGGAGCGTCTCGTAGCCCGTATAAGGCACGGCGGAGCTCGACGTACTTCCCGTTCTGTTTGAAGCCGTCTGGTAGGTAGCAGACGACAGGCGGGTCGTTCGGTCCTCTTGTTGCGTTTAGAAACGCATTGACTACGTCGAATTGGTCTACTTCAAGGTCGAATTCCGCCGCGAGCGCCATCGCTACTCTAAACGTCCTTGCTGCGAGGGTCGCTGCGTAGGTCTGTTCGAGAGGATGCTTCGCCTGGAGGTCGCCGCGGACGCAAATTCGTGCCTTGCAGCGGTCGAGGTAGCCGTCTTGATCAAGCTTGTAAGTGAACACCCACTTTAGAGGAATAGGTTTCGTAGACGCTTCGTGTTCGTCAATGATTTTCCAAGCGTCCATCTCCTCTAATTTACTTATCTCGGCTTGGGCCGCTTCGTAAAACAGGTTTCGGAGGTGGGTCGGCATTTTTTCAACACTTTTCCACGTTCGTGGGGGCTTTATAAGCTCATCTGTGTGTATTTTCACTCGCTGTGGAGTGACCGCTCTGGAGTGCTTCGCTTGGTGTATTGACGCGAAGACGAAGCAATGGAGCGTATAGTGGGCTTGGTTCGCTTCCTCCACAGCCTTCTGCTGATCAGGCATATAGGTATGGAAGAAAGTTTCCCAATTACGTTCCGTTTGTAGGAATGCGAAGTGTTGGGCGAAGCGAGGTGATCGTCTCGGTTTGCCCTGTTGTTGGCCGTAGTCCTTGCGGTTGTACACCCGCTTGGTCTTTATCTCGGGTTCGCGCCCGTTCCCATTATCCGAGTGTGGCCGCACCGGGTGAGTTGGGGAGTCACCCCCGAGATCATTACTCGAGTCGGCCTCCACGGCCGGTTCTCGTGGAGGTTCGTTGTTGGTCTTGACGTATATCACGTCTTCGACCGCCTCAGAGAGGGCTTCGTGCCCCGGGTCGGGAACGCCGGCGTCCATCGCTTCGGAGCTTTGTTGGCCGGTCGTTTGCCCGTCCGTCCCCTCCGGCGCTGCGGCCGGCTCAGGGGTCGGTTCCGGGGTGAGCAGGCCCTCTTCGCGTCGGCTGTTAACCGCGGAGCGTTTTACCGTTGTCTCTTCTGAGATTACGGTCGACGGCGCGAAGGCAGGTGGCAGGGGCTGCTCTTCAAGTGAAAATACGAGTTCGCTTGGTTTTGCGAGTCCGAGGAATTGGAGTCCTGGGTTCGCCGTAGCCGGAGGTTCCGAGATCTCCGTGGAGACTGTCTCGGCCACCTCCGCTTGTAAACTAGCTTTTGCATCGTCCTTCGAGTAGAACTTCGTCTCGTCAAAGGTAACGTTTCGCGTGATAATCACTTGATCAAGCGAGGGTATCCAGACTCTGTATAGGTTGTGAGCGTCCATAACGTAGCCCACCAGATATCCAATATGTCCTCGCGGTTCCACCTTGAAGTTACGTCTGTTCCTATCCGCTTCGCGGTCCTTTTTCAGGGGATAAGCCCTACACCCATACGCGTACGTCCAGCCCCAGTGGGGGCGAAGGTCGCGGGCGAGGCTCGCGCTGTATTGTGGTTGCCACCAGCGAAAATACTGTCGGAACCAGCTCTCTTCGACTTGAATTGGTGAGAGCCAAGCTCTTCGCTTCCGTGGTGACATATTGTACAGGTAGGCGGCTGCCATGACTGCTTCCACCCAGAGAGTAGTTGGCAGGCCCGCTGCGCTGAGCATCTTTATCGCTCGGGTTATTAATTCCTGGCCCGCTCGTTCGCCTCCGCCATTGGGTTCCTTGGTGTAGGGGGGTGTCTCTTCGATTTCAATCCCGTTATGCTGGGCCCAAAGTTGATACTCAGTCATTCCGTTTATCGCAATTACCGCGCGTTCTACGTCTTGTCTCAGCTTGCACAGGGTGACGCCTCGTTGGCGAGCGACCCATCGTTCGAAGTGCCTGAGAGCGTCGAAGACGAAGGTGTGCGATTTACTTACGCGCGGAAACGCGAAAAGACGACCGGTATATTCGTCTTTGATCACTAAGAGCCAGCGGTTCTTGTCAAAGCTTGTCGGGTAGTCGAAGAGATCCCATGAGACCCTATAGTACGGTCGAATTGCTTTCCGTTCAGAGGTTCGCCTCGAAATTAACTGTTTCGCGTGCGCTGTCGCGCAGTATTCGCATTCCAGACGCGTGGGTCCTTTTATCTTTACTCCTCTCACGTTTGACACCATTCGTTCTAGTGCGTCTGGTGCGAGGTGACCCGAACGAAGGTGCCATAACCAGGCGTCATCATACCTATCAGGTGGTTTACGAAGCGAGAGTCGAGCGGGATCCTGTACTGCAAGCACCAAATGGTTCACGATTCCTGCGTTACTCGAGGTAATTCGCTTCTGAGCAATATACTGGGAACCGGTCTTATATTCGAAGAAAGTAATGTTCATCTTCCTAACAAGATGCTTGACTACCACGCTGTTTTTGTACGTTCCCTGGCGAAGTGTGTTATCCAATCCGGAGTACCAGATGCCTGTCTTTCGGAGGAGTGCTTCCGAAACGATGTTAACGTGAAAGTTCTCTACGTATCCAACGTTATGGAGCGTAAGGTCTGCTGTGAGGTCTCCATCAGGGCCATTTAGTGCTTTTGGCAAGATCCACGTTCCCTTTGCTAGGATTGGGTACGAAGCAGTTCCTGAGTCGACTCTCTCGTCGCCGATGCACGTTTTAATAGAAGACGATTCAAGCAAGTCAAGGTTGTTAACAAGGTGCGTAGCTCCGCAGTTGTCGAGAACCGTGCTTCGTGACAGAACATGGGGTCCCGTCAGTGGGGTTGCAAATACGCTTGGTTGGTCGTAGTCCGAGTCGAAGTCGTCCGAAATTTCCCGGAGAAGTTCACGGCTGATCGTTACTGCGTGGATATTTCTCTTCAGTGTCACCTCTGACTCATTCTCCTCTTGCTGCGATTTCGCTTTAGAGCCGGTATTTCCTGACGACCTATTGCGAGGCGGCGCTGGGTTTCGGAAGCTGGGAGGTTCCGTCGCCCAGATCCAGCCTTTCCGAGCTAATTCGGCTCGGAGATCATAGTTCTCGGACTGATTGATACGCTTTCGAATCTCCTTGCACTCGTCCCTCGATAGTTTGTCCTGGGAAGGCTTGATTCGCCCGGTAAGGGCGTACTCCACGCGGGTGCACTCCAGGGGGTTTGCGTTGTGGGGTTTGTTGCAGGGGCACGCTTCGGATTTGCCTTTTCCTTTCGAACCGCTTTTTCCATCTGAGATTGCTTCGCTCGGGCGACCGGCAAGGGTAGCGTACACACCGCTTGTTTTACCCCGATTTTTGTCGTATAGGGTGTCCTCATACAGCAAGTCCTCCAGCATATCCCTGTATTCACTTACAGTAGGGATGCGGTCCCCCTTGCGCTCCATTTTGACAATTTCAGTGAGCTCGGAGGTCGCCCAGGAGGGGGCAAAACGGTGTCCCACCGCTCGAAGAAAAGTTTTCGAAGCGAGCGTTCCCTGGCTTTCCGGTATTCTGAATCGAAGCGCGCGGAGCAGTACTCGATGGAAGTCTCTTAGCCAGGTCTGGGGGTTTACGCTTGTGTTGGCCTTTTCCAGGAGGAGAAGGTACTCTTCGCGAACTGTAGTTTGACTGCTTGATTCGCTTGGAGCGTAGCGTTTCCGAAGGTACTGAATAAGAGCACGGAGTGAACGTTGGTTGTTCGCTAGGATCTCCGATCTCGCAGCGTAGAGGATGTCCTTGTCGACCGTTTCCTTAACCTAACGCTGAATAGAGTCGAAGTCCCGCTCCCGACGAGTTTTGAGGACGTCGCGGCCTGATTTTGAAGCGAGGTAGTTCGTATATCTTTCAAAGGTCCCGGGCGTGTTTTGCGTGAGAGTTGGTTGTGCTACAGGCTCCTGGAGTTCTTCCCCTGTATCGTCACTCGCTTCTGCCCTATGCTGGAGAATCGAATCGTAGGCTTTCCGCTTCCGATCATAGGTTCTACGCTGCTTTTCGTTCTGCTGCGTGATCCATGATTCGATCGAGAGTTCTTCATCGTCCTCTCTTGGGTCTGACGGAGACGTAGTGTCGTCTGGGTCTATGAGATCCCAGACGTCTGCTGCGTCGGCTTCGGCGTAGAGAGCGTCGTACCAAACGGGGAAGTCCCGGCGGCAGGTTAGCCTTGTCGTGCTCGTGAGAACAGATATCTGCGACGACATCTTCGTTGTAGAAGTTGCTGTTTGAAGCGAAATTTGTGAAGACCGTAAGGAGTTGATGGTGTTCCGCCACGAACCCTTCGTCTGGTTAACAGTAGAAAGGGGTGATGTGGTAAGCTGGGCTCATAACTGTGGTGACCGACGTCAGGCACGGGCGGCATCAACTAGGAACAAAACGGCTTGTATTCTCTAAGTGAGCGAGCGGAGCGAAGGACGCTTAAGAATACGGTCGCTGGAGCGAGGTCACGTGACCTCGCGGCCGAGACGCGGCAGAGTGGGTCCGGAGGCCCGGAGCCAGCACGACAGATATCCAACCGATCCCCGGATATGTTGGATATGTCAGATATCCAACCGATCCCCGGATATGTTGGATATGTCAAATATCCAACCGATCCCCGGATATGTTGGATATGTCAAATATCCAACATAGCCAAGATAAGGAGGACCGTTCAGGACTTGTATATAGGATGGACTCGAGCCGGGCTCGAGGACAGACTTCCATAGCTCTTCAGCAATCAACTTTGTGATTACCCTAACCGGTACTTTCAGCTATACCTAAGTGACGACTACTCTACGACTCTTGTTGAGGCCTTGACTGATCACCAAGACCTTTGAAGATCTACGATCTATTCGACCAGGACCACGGAACGACTGTTACTACTCTCAATCCCTGGCTTACTGTTAACACAAACCCACTGTCAGTTAGCTGGCCGTAACATCTAAATCCGTCGTGGGCTTCTTACTACTATCGCAAGGACAGTCAAGGCTTTTATAGCTGTGAGAGCTCCCTCAATCTTCACCTAGTATTAACTAATCCGTCTATAGTATTTATATATCAGAATCCTATTCCTGGTATACCTGTATGTCCTGTAAAGCGAGGCAGAACGTACAGATCGGGCATCCCGAACGAGTGTATAAATATCCCAGATAATTTCAGACAAGGCCAGTTCAACGCTGAAATGTAAGGACCTAACTTTCTCTACTTAAACAATGCTAAGGTGTCTGCCTTAATAGTTCTAAAATTGCAGCACTACCAAAACAGCCCATTCAGACTCGAGCGGCCGCTTAACATCGGGTGTAGTTGCTGTAACTTTGGTGTTAATAGTTGTGGCGAAGCATATCAGCCACAACTACCGTAAAGCTGCACTTCAAGTATCAGGACAAAGGTCAACCCAGAGCAGCATTCAGAAATTTATGAATTTGGTTCGTTCTTATGACAACAATATTAACGTTTGATAATTATTTATAGTGAATGAGACAGAGCTTACGGCGTTTTCGGTGTTAAGTGATCCGAGAAGTACATCTTCACCTACATCAATACTCGTCTTCTCCAAATCATGTATAAGCACTTCGACAAGCCCTTCTTTGAGTACGATATTTTCCCTCTTGTTGGGTCCGAAGATACGTACGGCGACAGTATATGTCGATCCCATACTCAGCACATTTCTGGTTCAAGACGCCGTAGTCGTCACGACTTCGCAAGGCTCGCAATCTGCGTCGCATGCAGCTGAAAGGCATCTTGAACAAAACTTTGTCATGACTACTCAACAACGAGATACTTCCATAGCCAAATTTGTAGAGTCTGAATATTAAATTTTCCTAGCAAAAATTCGGGCCTTTGGTATCTCTATGCACTGAGCGATGAAGGGCGAGACGTCGTTGGTTTCCAGATCACAGGGACTTCATATCCACAAATGCAAAACCATACTAAAGACTATGCACTCGACGCGTACATTGAAGACTGTCCGTCCCCAAAAGATTCTTGCAGCCAGCTTCAATTCCGAGTTATTCTGAACGATGATTCACTTGTGCCGTTTTTGGCCTCTCTCGCTCAGCTGCAGCTTGCATGCCAATCTCAAGGAGGCAGTGCTCCGGACGCAGTTGGCTTTCGATGGCTGCGATTTAAATGATGAGTAAATACCTGGCTTCGAGCACAGTGGATTTACTCTCGGTATTTATGAGAGCTGTGGCATTGACTGCATCTCGCCCGATGCTGGAGCACTCACACAGATCGAGTGGTCTGTTGTATCAAGCTGAGAGATGTAACGCGCAGGACCGTGCACCCGGGTTTTGGCGTACCTACTGTTGGCTAAAGAAACAGTTCGGAACACGACAGGACGGAGTTCGGTGATGGGGGATACTACCGTCCGAGATAATGTCTCCTCAGCAATTGAGACGGTGGGGATGGTGCGGACGGACAGAGATAAAGTGTCCCTTCTCGATTCAGTTGACCAAGAATTTCCTTTTGCTGCAGGAAACGGATTATTGAGCAAGTGTAGTCAGTCCAGGGGAGATCTTTGATGTGACTTTAATGCCACGCTGACTTTACATCATTATTATACAGCCACCAACATCCTATACCTCATTGTTTCCTCCCGTAGATCCCTCATCAGTCCTTCCCTTCCCTCCCCATCGACTATAAGTAGTCTTCCTCTCCTCGCTCTCATCCCCGTCAAACGTACTGTCCAGCATGAATGGACTCCGCTTTCTAATCTCCCTGCCCTTGTATAGCAATACAACAGGCACCACGCTGAGCGCCAGTCCAACAAAGCCTAGCAAGCTGCCGGCCCATCCGAAACCCAGCGTGCTGAACAGCTGCCCAGATGCCAGGGGCAGTAGGGCGCCGAACGTGTTGCGGCCGAGTGAGGCGGCGCTGAGGGCGGAGGCGGCGTATTTCTCGTACGCGTCGGTGAGATAGTTTACTACGCCCATGTAGATGCTGTAGATACCCACGCCAACGATTGTAATACCGATCGCGGGCACAATCCAGTGAACACTTGGTCTGCACGTCCATCCGTACAGGAACAAGCCTGCTGTGAAGAGTAACGAGCCGGGAATGCTGGTGTATAGCCGCGCCTCGGGGATCGGTTTGCCGGGCCGTTCCTTGTTCTTTGGCGCGGTGCGAAGATAGAGCCAGTCCTGAAGCGGGTTGATCAGAGTCCCAATGACGGCACCCACGGTGATGGCGAGCTGAATGAGGCCGGTTTGGAAGATGCCAAAGCCGTAAGAGTCGCCAAAGGTCTGCACTACTGAGCTAAAGAAGAGGAAAAGGATGCCCCATGCAAAGGATATCCAGAGTGTGAAGAAAGTGACCACGGGCTCGGTGAACAGCATCTTGGTCGGGCGCATAAAGGATACTTTGAGCAGAGAGACGACAGAAGGTTTGTCTAGTTCGGACTCGGCATAGATGTCGCGACCGGTTTCCTTGCGCAGCTTCTGCGCGCGCTTCTTGAGGATCACATCACCACGAGTCTCGCGCAGGATGAGCCAGAATACCGGGATGAGCGCGGCATTGTAGATGATTTGGATGTAGTAGATCCATCGCCATGGCGATTCAAGGCCACCGCTCGGCTTTTGGATCTGCACAATAGCACTGCCGATAAAGGGACCAAGCGCAATGCCGGCCACACTGGTGAAGCCGAAGAGGGACATGGGCAAACTGCGGGCTTTGTCGCCTTTCCAGATATCGCTGATGCTGCCGCCGACGATATTGATGGCAACAGATGATGCACCACCGCCAAAGAAACGGGTGACTACGATTGTGGCGAAGTTGTTGGCGAAGGCAGAGCCGAAAAGTAAGAGTTCGAAGACGATGTAACCGATCTAAACTTGTTAGTGGCCTCCATGGTATATACTTGAGGGTCAGAGAGCATACAAAGTAACCAGGCATACGGCCTGTGTTCTCTGTCAATGGCACAAACAGCAACGGGAACAGCGCTGCGCCCATATTCCAGCTTGTTGTGGCCCAGTATAGGTTCGGAAAGGGTTCATTTTGTACGTTCCAAAGAGGCGCCATCCATTCATTACCGGAACCGTACGAACCGGCTGGCAAACCCGTTAAGATTGAAACGAAGCAGACTGTGACTGTGACAACCCATTTATATGTTGGTGACCAGTTAAACCTGCACAAAATCAGCATGGGACTTGTTCAAAATGAGGCTGAACATACGGGTTGTCTTTGTCATCTGGACCGCCCCAAGTGTGTATTTGCACCTGTTTGCCATTTACCATGCGGGTTTCTGGCTGTTGGCCTGAGACGCTGGGGCGGTGTTGGGTGCCATCTTGAGAATCTGTCTCTGTTGAAGTTAGCTTACGATACAAGCAATGGAAAGCTCCGGACCCGGACCTTTCTCCACGTTTACAGACGACGATATGGACATGATGGCAGAGCTTACTGGATCTACGACATACAGCAGTGTTCAAGAAATTGAGATTGAAAATTCTTTCGGGCTGATATGGGAACTGAGAAGTTACAAATTCGCTCTGGGTAAGGGTCGACCATCTGGCAGATGACAAAGAGTGATCTCATAGCAGCTTAATCAGCGTCGTGCGGTAACGTTCGGATGTTCATAACCATGACGTTAGCGTGATGATCCCGTACAAGTACCCACCAGAAGCGTGAGAACGGCCACCCGATTGGCCAAGAGTGATCGAAGCGTTGCAGGGAGTCGAAGATCTCGTTCCTTGGCTGCAGCCCTACCGTGATTGCTGGAGATGGGCTAGCACAGCTTTACGCCGCATATTCAACGAGCCCCATAGGCAAACCGGCATGCGAAAAAGATTCTTCAAAAGCCTGAAACAAGACGTTCGAGATGCGACATACATGTGGTTCGATTTGCGCATCTGTGGTTTATTAGACGGTGAAATTGGCTTCTATGCTGTGATTTGGGGTATAGTGCTGGTTTCGACTGCTTTACAAAGTCAGGCTTTGGGTCGTATTTGTTGACATGATGGTTTTACGGTCGTCGTTGTCTTTGTTATCTGCATTGTGTAATGTTACTTAGCGTTATACGTGGGGCAATACTGTCGCCCTGGAACGCCCTACTAATATCTTAGTAGAAGAAATTTTATTGCCCTATATCTACTAAATATAGACCAGCCTGTTGTTGTGTATCATCTTGACTTGGGGTTCGGACGCAAAGTCCCCAGCCACTGCCAAGTCTCCTGCCAGTCGTCATACTTGGCCCCTTCAGCAATGTCATGATCAAGGCTTTTTAGGTCGTACCAACGATTCTTCTCCGCCCAATCGTATAACTGTTCATAATCTCTACAGACATGCCTTGCGCTGTCTCCAAGGCCAGATGCGTCACCTCGTTCTGTCTGTTCGGGGTCTTGTCCCTCCAACGTGGTGTCCGCGTGGCACATGATGGTCTGTCGGAGATAATCCACGCAGTGATTATAATGGAAGATCGTATGCCATATCAAAGGTCTGAGGCCGGCATTAGTCTCGTAAAAGTAACGCTGAAGAATAAACTAATGAAAATTAGAGTCAGTCAGCCTGTCTTCAGTTTCTCACTCCATTTGCTCAGAAGAATAAGATTCTTTTAAAAAAAGGGACTTGAGCAGGTTCTCACCAAGCAATGCAGTTGATGGAAAACTGCTATGCCGTAGCGGTAGACACCGTTTTCTGGGGGATCTTTGAAGTCTTGTATCGGAACTGGCAGGCTATGAAACCTAGCTGGATGGCTGATATTCACAAATCCTCGCCCGCCTACACGCAGTTTGTGAGTTTTATCTAAGATATAAGCCGTACCTCCAAGTTCTGAAGAACTCCAATCGTGGAGCTAATCCCAAGATTTGCTTAAGTACTTACGAGGATTCAATGCTTCCCACGCCATATACATGTCTTCCCATTCCTTCTGCGGCCACGGTATGGATGAAACGGAATACTTTAACGTCTCATTGGCGAAATTTGTTTCTAAGAACGGGACTAAAACAAATAATTGAGTCGATAAGTGTAATAAATTATGCTTTTGTGGAGAGCCTACGATTCGGAATTGGTGATAGGTTGTTCTTATTAGTCGTAGCAGGTGACAATTGACATGAACATGTCCTTTCCAGGTGAGAAAGAAATCCTAGCTGATGGGTGGTCCAGGCACCGAACAAAATGCCCCCTACTACGCCGATAATCTCTCTAGTGGTCGACATATTCTTCGCTAATGTAAAGCTATATCTAATTAGCGTCTAATTCCATTAGATTCCGGGCTAGCTGTCTGTCTCTAGAGTAATCGTGGTAATACCTATCTAGGCATATTTTTTTGAAAAAGGAAGATATCAGGAAATCGCAGTTTTAAAGTTTGTGGTCTAGTGCTGCACGAACAAAAGACTTGGTCCGTTTTCATGTGACAGAAGCCGATCTCAAAGTAGTTAAACGCCGGCTGAAGACGTGGTTTACTTTTTCAATTCCGCAGCTGAGTTTGTGGTGCGACGTGAGGCTTGTGGCGGGATATACCCTCACTGGCTTGCATGTGTGAATCCTGAATGGACTTCGAACTAACCTAGAATAGATAGACCAGAAACGAAGTAAAAGGTAAAGAGTGTCAAGCTTTGAGCTAGAAATCTTAAAGCCGAACTTGACCCAGGTGGATGTACATGAGCGGAATTGAACTGCCCTCACACCTATTCATCCCGTCAACTCGAAAACCATTGCCTACGCAATTCAGCGGGTTAGGAAAATCCATCTTTTCTCAGCGTTGTAAGCTTGAGACTAGGCCAGCTCCTATGGCGATAAATTTTTATGCACCATACAACAACAGGTGCTAAATTGAAAAAGCAGCTATGTCCGAGAACTGCAGCCTTGAAATCCCTCTCAAACATTCCAACGTGAGCGACGAGGCTTCAAGCGAGCATGCTCGCCCGTTTCTTCATCATGTCGATAAAACTCTCTCATCTCCATCCGAGTACGACCTAACAGAAGGACTTAAGAGGCAAAAGTGGCGAGCTGTCACATTTCAGTCAAGCACACGCGCCTGTTTACTCATCCATTCCTTTATAATTTTGCTCTATACATGTCTTTTCTATTATCTTACCCAAACATCTTTGCCGAAACGGCATCTTACGTTCAGTAGGTAAACCATTCGATTAACTCCTTGTTAATCTCCAAAATCCCATTCTTGTTAGAGGAGAACTGTTACGAGCAGGTCAGGGCAACCAACTGTGGCACAAAGCAAAAGCTTCGGTAATGATGACTCCGGCATCATTATCCCCTGTTCTGCACTATATAGCTACGCCGGCCAGGCACCAACTGGTTGGGCCGTAACACCATGTCTCCCCTCTAAGAGGCATGTCCCTATGCCGAGGACCAATCGGACATATCGCGGGTATAAGCAGGGAAACTCCAGGCTAGTAGGGAACCAATCTACATAATTGCCTGCCCACGGTCGGGCGTCGCAGGGACCAGGGAGGACTGGCGACGTATGGGATTTGAACCCACAACCCTCTACGCGGGGTGGAGTCATCATTGTGTTACGAGCAGGTCAGGGCAACCAACTGTGGCACAAAGCAAAAGCTTCGGTAATGATGACTCCGGCATCATTATCCCCTGTTCTGCACTATATAGCTACGCCGGCCAGGCACCAACTGGTTGGGCCGTAACAAGAACCAGGGTTTTAACAAATTTCCATTCAGCACCTGCAAGTGACATCGCCTTGGAAACTATCAAATCCCGTTTCGATGTGAGAGAAGGTCTAAGAACACCGTACAATGGACCGCCAACCGATCCGTCTGTCGACGAGGCATGGGAAAGGCTTCTGAAAAGTTAGTTCCAACTAACATTTTCCCAGTCTATTTTGTCTTTTATTTTGTCACATCCTATGCCAGTTTTCTATATGACTCCATGCTGAAGGCGGGTTTAGATTATCACATCTGGGTCACTAGAGACGAGCTGGGGAAAGTTGGCGGCTATCATTCGATTCCAGTTCCTGGAACTGACGGGCATTACGTCGGAAGTTTCACCGTGATCCACGAGATCCACTGCTTGGTATGACTGCAATACCTAAACTAAGACATACCTAAGAAGCTCTGGAATATACAAATCTAACTGATTACAAAAGAAATACATGAGGCAATGGTGGTACATGGGACACTATTTTCCAAACGCAACAGAACAGTTTAAGAAAGAGGTTGATGTACACTTCAGTAAGTTGGGAATTTTTACCAAGATATTTAAGAATGTCAGGGTTCTGTATTTTGGCTAAGCTACGTTTACTAGATCACTGCCTTGATGTTTTGCGTAATAGCGCTATCTGTCAAGCTGACCCAACCATCTGGACATTGACCTGGGTCACAGATAGTATCAACCCTCAAGTGGACTTTTCTCAGGAGCATGAATGCCGAAATTGGGACCGGTTGAATCAATGGGCCGGCCAGCGAAGGATTGATAAAGAGGACTTCTTCAGTCATCTGGAACATCCACTATACGGACGGGACACACACAAAGTACCAAAGAACATCAAGAGGCAGAAAATAATTACGGATTTCGCAGATGATGGAAAAATAGAAATCGTTAGGTATGAAGATGATAGCGAAAGTTCCTAAGTACGACGAGACCATCAATAAAAACCTTTCCTCTGACTCCAGGGTACTATGCACATGAACATACTATAACCTACCTTGATGCTGTTTTGAAGGCGCGAGATCACAAGGTGCAGTCACCTTACATAATCAACGACACAATGAACAAAGGCTGCGAGAATGCGCTGACACAGCACGGCATACATGGAATGAAACTTATCCTAAATATTCCGAGTAGCTTCTTTTCACTTTTGGATACACAAAGACGACTTTCTATTGAAAACCAAAATAATCGAAATGAGATAAATTCTTAAAATCTTAAGTACAATCCTTCAGGAACCTGTAGTCATCTCCTCCTCAACTACCTCTACTTTTTTGTCACTCTCAGCAGAGGGGTTTTTCTTAGGGCTTTTCTTGGGGCTCTTCGTGGGGCTTTTCTTATCGAAGGGGATCAGGCCGTCCAGATAACGTCGACTGTTGTGAGAAGAATGAGCAGCATCGTTACCTAACACTCAAATTCAGCCTGTCTTTTCTAAATTTATTAGAGTCACGGCCTTAGAAAGTAAACCTACCTTTCACTGCTAATCCCGAGACAAGCGTGAGGGTAGATGCAACAGCAATGATCGCGAATGCTTTAGTGACCATGTTAAGTGAGAGAGACTTTTGGTACTGTAAATCAGTTTGAAGATAGAATTTGCGGTAAAAGGCAATATGGTTCCTCTTGTCTTTCGAGGTCAGAATCACGTAGCACAATGATCTTAAGTAAATTTGACGGCTTAGAACTACGTTGAGTGTTGGTGACAGATTCTAGGAGGTAAGATACCTCGAAGACTAACTTGTATGTGTTAAACTTTGTTAGGATTAAGACTCCTCTCAAACAGCTTCCACATCTTTCATTAAAGTTTACTTCCAATATTCACAACGACTTCTTCTGTTTCAACCTCTGTCAGGATTATTACTCCCGCGTCTTTCTAAAAGTCGTAATACTTAAGAATAAAGTTGGTTCGTAAATCCCGCGACGGAATCCTCCATATAAACTCTATTCGGACAGCGTTTCCTTTAAAAAAAAGTATCAACGCCTTAACTTGCGTCTATCGGAATCTTAATAGAATGCCGAATGCAAAAGTTTAGTTGGCCGCATTCGGTCTTTTATTACGCAAGCGCTGAAACTATCTTGGGAACTTATGGAGAATAACCCGAAAATGAACAAGGCGGCAACCAAATATAATGACTCAGGAAGACTTGAAGGCTCTGTTTAGTACTGAACTCCGGATGTTTGTAACCAAATATTCCGTCTACTTCCAGACCAAGACCTCTTTGATCGAAAATGTACCGGTGGCTGATTGTCGTCTGTGCTTTTATCTACGGGATGTGTATCTCCGACCCAAAATTGATTTTCGTACGTGAAAGTCCGTCTTCCTTAGAGTTTGGCAAGCTGTTTTCGCAAGCCAATGCAAGATTTGAAAAATTGCTTACAGCACAAACACTATCGTTTAACGACACGGTAACAGCATACAGAAACCGGCGGGGGCGGGAGCCTCCCGCAGGATTTCGCCAATGGTATACTAAAGCAATAGCTTCTCAGTCACTCATAATCGAGTCGTTCTGGGACTTAATCTATGAAGACCTCGAGCCTTTTCGGAAAGTCAAGCCGAGCGTCCTGCGTAGTCAATCATACATACTTGCTAAGTATGGTTCGTTGCCTCCGATCTATGGCTTTCATATACGGAACTCAAGCTTGAATATGTCGACTTGCCAAGCCGACAATGACCCGTGTCTCTCTGTATCTCATATGTTACAGTCTGTGTCATATCTGCTAAAGCCCGACGTGGAACTTTACCTGGCCATGAACCTTCACTCATCTCCTCGTGTCATACCCCCCTGGTATGAGCTACGACAATGGAGAGCAAAAGATGGAGAGGCTCAAAGATTGGACGCAACTCGATATGATGAACAAAAATTCAAGGAAAGAGTCCAGGTTAGAAGAAGTGGCGCTGGTAATGATCAATCAATATGGAGCGGTAAGTTTTGGAAGCTTCCCCTCGTACAAGGTGCCGGTTGGTTAATAAACATGGTGTCAAAGCTAACCAACTGATTTATAGACACAACCCCAGCGGCTCTGATCTCTGACGCTTGCCCCCCTGAATCGGTGCTCAGGGCCGAAGACAAGGGAATTTCTTCCGACGCTCACGTAAATCCAGAGCAGGATTCTCTGGTTAAAGACTGGGTCGTTGCTCGAAGTGTATGCCAAGAGCCTTGGATACTGTCGTCACACGGAACTTTGACCCAACCTATGTGTACGTTACTGTCCAGGGAACTTCTGCCACTTTTCGCAAGCGCCAGGATCAAAGACGTCAATCCAGAGATCACCATACCTGATCCGCTTTATTGGATGCCAGACTCCGACTACTGGGCACAACATCCACCGACACCTTGGCGTGAGAAAGCGAACTTAGCATTTTGGCGCGGATCCAATACAGGAGGACATCATAATTCAAGCAACTGGCGGCAGTCACATCGTCACAGATTCGTAATGGCAACTAACTCCACAGTTTTGAAGGAATCGGACAGCCACGTATTGGCCGCCAGAAATAGGTAAGTTATTTCTAGACTATGTAGATGCAGCTTGCTGACTAGCTCTTGAAGATGTCGGACTTATCAATTAGCCGAGAGATACGTTGACACAGGCTTCGTTTCGCTTCGCTGCCCTGACCATGATCAATGCTCGTATCTGTTAGAGCAGTTCGATTTAAAAGCTTATCAGCCTTTCGATCAAATTCTCAACAACAAGTATCTGTTTGACGTGGATGGATACAGCTTTAGCGGTAGGTTTGCCAAAGAAACTCTAACGTTGTTCTGAAGCGAGCATGATTATTACATCAGGCTTAATTCCTATGAACCTGGAAGATTATGCTCTAAGTCATATGCAATCCCACAGTATAACCCAAGAATCTAACAGAGTACTATACTGATCTTAGGCCGTTTTAAAAGTTTGCTATTATCGGGTTCAGTAGTCATAAAGGATACTATATTCCGCGAATGGCACGATACACGACTGACTCCTTGGAAACACTACGTACCGCAGAGAGGAACGTATGGACGAGATTTGTGGAGAATTATAGAGTATTTCATGGGAGACTGTAGGGGAAATGGGGCGCATCCAAGTGCGGGGGAGAAAATTGCCATGGCTGGCAAGGAATGGGCTGCACAAGTTCTGCGCCAAGAAGATGTCGAATTATACTTTGGTCGTCTACTCCTGGAATGGCAAGCCCTCATCGAAGATGAACAGAGAACAAGGGAGTAATGCGACAGTTTATAAAGGATATTCAAATCATGCAAAGAAATCGCTTATAAAGTGGGACACATGTGGGGGAGACGGCGTTTATCTACCTCGACGCACAGGATTCAGGAGGGCTAGGTTCGTTTGAGTAAGGCGCCCATTGCGATATTGGAGACAGATGTAAATGAGTAAAAGTCCGCCGATGAAAGGTCGATTGTTCGCAAACATAAACTGGTTGTTCACCTGCGCGATTATGACACACTACCTACCATGCACCTACCACGGAAACATTCTTATGAAGGTTCCGCACTCTTGCTCGATGACGATGAATTAAAAGAGCAGAGCATCCCGAGACAACAGATTTTAAACGGCAAATATAGTCAATCGATACACCGCGAGCTCAAAAAATGCAATAGAAGTTGGTTTCTTTGGCTGGTAGTGTCCTACGCCGTTACATGTGTTATCTCCTTCGGGCTGGGGTACTGCGTGGCGATCAGAGGACATGCTCTGCCCAATGTTGACAGTATATATTCCAAAGATGGTTTGTGATTTTCCTTTCTTGGTTGCCCCGATATGCACTGAAGGCAGCCAGTCCTTCGATGAGAACGAGAAACAGTTACTAACAATTAGTCTTAAAAGTGGCGCCCATCGCGATCCGAAAATACCTTCAATCAATAAGTGAAAGGCCGTTCGTGACCTCAACTGAGTCACCATTACTAGATCACAGCGATGACGCGCCCATGCAAGCGCGCCCGCCAAGCCCAGAAGTGGACGACTTCTGGGTCGGTCATGGGCATAGTCATTTGTTTTTGATTACGGAAACGGATATGATTCGCTTGGGGAAGAATCCATCAAAACATGTCCGTATTCCTGATGGCTGGGGATATGGCGACAATGTTTTCCTTACTCGTCTAGATCATATGCACCAGTTTCACTGTCTCAACTGGCTAAGACAGCTTCTGCATCCCGAATATTATAACAAGACGAGTGCCACAGATATAGGCCATGGAGATCATTGCGTCCGCACACTCTTTGATTACCTGAATTGTCACGCATCTTACGAAGTACACAACTATGTGTGGATGGAAAACAGACCGCAGCCCTGGCCTGACTTTGTTTCAAATCGAGAGTGTCGAAGTATGCAAAAGTTATTAGATTTCGATGGTACACACTCTGTGGACACTGACGCAAGAATCATGTCGCTAATTCCCCCCGAGGATGCGTATATACACCAGCAGGATGCCGCAACCCAAGCATTCTTAGACCTCGTACTCCAGGACAACCCAGATTATCCTCAGCTCGAAGAGGAAACGAGGTTAAGAACTACAGATTTCGAGCTAGCTATATTAGAATGGAGAGAAACTGGCGAAATACCGCGGATTGAAAACCTAAAGCCTTGGCAGGGGGTATAACCCTAGCAAGGACCGTAACCCACACTAGGAGGGTTATCATACGGCAGTATAGACAAGGGAAAGGTACAAAAGGTAGTAGTTACTGTTAGGGCTATAGCTAATATACTCTTAAGCTATTCTTCTAAGCGCTACTATTATAAAAGAAAAAGAGTTAATAAAACAATATCACGCTTAAGACTGGAGAAAAGAGTTGAGTTAAGCCAAAAGTCTTTCACACATACAAACTACTTTTTATTTCCGCTCATTCGGTATTGCCTAGACGCAGTGATTATTTCTTTTCCAAATTACATCTCGGCCGTCGACATACAGAGACAGCCTTGAGGCGTGCGCCTCTGCTTGCCTTCATACCTCACACTTCGCATATCTCATGTCCTCTCCTGCCCACACAAGGATTCGCGTGTCTCCGTCCTGTTGAATAAATGAATAAGATCACCCGATTTCGCTAAGGCAAAATAACCCCTTTCAACTTATTTGCATTGCAACCTGCTTGGTTGGGTATCTAGAGCCCATCCATATTTAATCTATGTCACAACTTAGCACAAGTATTGTAATAGCAGAACTTATGGATGAGTCTCTTGATCAGGGTAAAACTCTTATCTAAGCTTCCGAGGAAATACTGAAGTTTGACCAGGTTCCTTCTCCGGCTGACTCTTGGTCAATCCTCAACTTGGCAACCTTGAAACCCGTACCGGCCCTGATCATCACGGGTTGATTGGGTTTCTATCGCCGGAGGTGAAGAGCCAACTCGTCAACAAAACTAGCCTGGCCCATAGTGTCGCGGCGGCCAGTGAACCTGCGATACACATGGAAACCATGGATTTGCTAGTCGACTGCCCCTAACTCCTGTGCCACTGTCTGGTAATGGGCAAGTCCTCTCATGGGGCTACTTTCAGAATGGCGCATGCGTAAAGTCATGGGGGACGATGCAGGTCGTCACGTATTTAAATCCTGCTGTGGTCCGAATTACTGCGCACAAGGTCATCTGTAACGCCGCACGGAGGCTTTACGTACATCGATGTAGAGGTTACAATGCCCAAACACATACTTCTCGACTTTGACAAAGCCCTCATACTAGAAGAAGATATTATAAAAACTGCGGTTCTACCCTGCCAATTGGCCAGAGACAGACAAGTTCGAGCTGTCTGGTCCGTTGTATGAGGCTACCTGTGAAGGTTCTGGCAGACGGCTAGGATCCTATATTTGCACACCGTCCTGGGAGACATCTTCAAGTTCGACAAGCAACACGGCAACGACCGCAGTCAGACGCTGCGCAACTTTCCCATCGCCCCGGATCTATCACTCAAAGTCTATACATCCAAAGCGCGCTTAACGTGCGGCCGGACAACATGCGTACCTGGATGCTGAAGCTCCAGAGAGGCAATGCCAGGCGCGCGGGCTAAACTTCAGGACCTTCCATCGTCGGCACGCGGACGCTTTCGGGGATCGATTGACTCGGTACCGGCTCGATAGTCGGTCATGCGCGGGGACGAGCTGACGACATCTCCTGCGGTTCTACCGCGCCGAAGCCCCGTTTCAGACGATGCATGACTGGACCACAGAACACGGCCCAAAGGCGGAAGAGAGTTTTTTGAGAGGCATCGGGCTAATCCGTAGAAGGTCCGAGGGCCGTATCGGCCACCGGCTGGAAAGGCAGCCTCTTACGATACTGTGTCGTATAGGACAGGACGACGGCCCTCTCACAAGTGTAGAGCCATGACCAAGACAGCAGGCCTAGCACCAGGATAAACCTTTGCCTTCACACAGGGTTTAGAAAGCTAGCCACCCAGATGGGAGGCGACAGCCATTGGATCAACGCGGCGTGTATGTGAGTGTTGTGGCCCTCCTTGTATCAGTTTAAGAGGCTGACTGAGACTTGCGTATAGAGACTCGACGAAGAAGACCTTCGATCCGAAGCCATTGGTTTTATCAACCACATCTTTCAAAACAGCGGAAGCATCCTCATTATCGACCGCAACCTGATGATCCTGAAGGCGGACAATCCCACCATCTGAGATCGCGAGGCTACCCTTGCGGCTTTGCTGTTCACCGACTGGAACACCCGCGCCTCGGCATTGCTCGAGGGTCTGAAGGGACACAGCCACATCGATATTCTCTGCCAGGATGATCGAATCATAGGCCGCACGCCTACGAACACGACCGCTTCGATCTTTCCGTCTTTTGCCTCCTCGTTCCACACACCTTAGAAAATGGGACGAGCGGAAAGGGGCCAAAACCCGTACGCGCGATGCAGTCCCTCGCGCCCTCGATCCAGCACGAAATCAAACTTGAGGTAATGGGCACGTGACTGAGCCACCGGCCGGCCAGTCGGCGGTTCGACGACAACTTCAGAATATGGTCGCTCTGCCTGGACCCGAGGGTGGGAGTCGTCAAGGATCCAGTTTAGTTCTGGTGATGGCAGGAACACGTGCACCCGGGATTCTTGCTCTCCAGCGCCGAGAGGCTCTCGGAGCCAGAAAGGGAGATGTGCTGCTGAGGCCCACCGCGAAAAGGTCCCATCCAGAGCACGACACTCTACAGGCCGACCGGAGCGTGGCCAAATCGGTCACCCTGCTAGCAGTCTGCGACTCCGACTGCGTCGAGAGGCGTTGCTCTCCTTTCACGTTCAACCAAGATGGACGCCGAGATTTGCTCCAGTGGATCTAGCACCGCTCTCCTTCCGTGTCTGGCGTACATGGGCCCCGAGATTCATACCGATGGATCTGGAGAGATATTGTTGAATGGCCTCCAAATATACAGTTGCTGGATTATTGGTGGATATGCAGTTGATAGAATGTGAACTGCAAAGTCCTGCGGTCGATGTGACTACCTCAGTGGACTCCCAAACTCACTTTGGGGCTACGCGGGAACAGTCCATAGCAAAGCAACAGCTCTTGTAATTCATCCTTTCCAGTAGAGAAATAAGTTGCGGACCAGGTCTGGTGCCATGGCTGGTATCTGGTAGAGTTGCAAAGCCATTGAGCCTGGCAGACATCCACACCTTTCTGGAATAAATGAGAGCTGCTAAGAAAACGACGCTTTCACCCAAATTCAGGGGCCTTCCGAACAGTTTAATGGGTGCGCGGGTCACACTATCCCCAGCTAAGTTAGTGACAATGCGTTGTTTGAGATTGAGGCTAAATCTGAAGTCGATGCTGGACCTGTGGCTATGACGATGGAGCTTAACCAGCTGATACTATTCTTCTAGCTTTTTTAGTAGTACTGCCTTCTCAGAAGTTCATATGTGGCTACAGCTGTTCGCCAGCCTTGGTTTTGTTATTAATTTTCTGATCTATACTTGAGTTTTTCCACTTTCTGTACTTCCATCTTCCAACACTGTGCCATCCCTTGTTGTTATGTAAGCGCAATGGACGCCGGCCGAAATACGCACTTGTCACCAGTGCGAGCGCCGGCATTGGCTATGGGATTGCTCAAAGTATCGTTGAAAGCGGGTTCGGCGTGATTTCACTTGATCACCTGGCTGAAGAGCTTACTGATTCTGCTCCTAAACCCAAAGCCCTGGAAGATAGTACCGCTGTCACCACCATGGTCATGGATGTTAGGACTGCGACATCTTGAGATATGCGAAATGCAATCAAGGCGGTGATTGAAAATGCTTGTCTGCAGGTTTCGATTCTTGTCAAAAACATGGGTTCAAATGATATTTCTCATCACTATTCCGTATCTTCGCGGCATATTCGGTCGAAGGCGTTGCGCCGTCATCGATTTGAGCTCGTGATTCAATACTGGTCTCACATCAATGACACTAACAGTGTTGACACGACAAAGCCCGACTAGTAACTAAGCGGATGTCAAATCTACCTACTCCCAGTACTTAATAGCTCTGAAAATTAGCTCCAGCGGTGTGATCGGCAGTCCTTGGCTTGCGACTGGCGTTTTAGCCTCTCACTTGCAAGAGACACGGAGGCTTTCCCAGAACCAAATCATATCTGCTCTCTCTATATTATCCCTGGAGACGCAGTGAGCCAAGGAAACAGCGTCTGGATTACGAAAGGGTCTCCAACCTGGGACATCTTTAATAAGTGGTTGTGTAATGACTGATGGCGCCGTGGCCACAGATTAGCGGGAAACGAGACCCTCGGTATTACATGCTGAGCTTGCTTGTAAAGAGCAAACGAACTGGTGCGTTGATAGACGTTATAGGCAAAAATAGGGACATATTCAATTCTTTTCACAAAAAGGCTAGATACGACATTTCCGCTCTGAAACCTTTGCGGCCTCTTTCCTGGAGTTGGTTCTTGACTTCAAATTGAGTTCGCTACCCTCTATGAAAATTCATGAAGTTTCTTCAAACCGAAAGTCGCAAGGCGGAGCCTTGAATACCAGCTTTCTCACTCTCCATTAACTTGATGTCAAAAAACCCCTCAAGGGCTGAGATCCGGCTTTCCTCGGTTGCACATATTTGTACAATCTCCGTTTTCCCACCCAAGTTCTGCTTCACAACGTTATTGACCATCATTTTCTTTCCACATATGGTTTGTTCATCTGTGTCTGCCTCCACCTTCTTTTGTCGCAAAAACTTTACAACGAGAAGGTTTTTTACCTGGTTGCTGTCCCGGTGTGTGCTCATCCAATGGTTAACGACACCCCAGTCCGGCTCCAAGAATTCGATTTCGGGAAAGGCATAGAACGAATTCCAGTCAGCAGCTTCACGGTTACGATACTGGTAGATCCAGAGCTTGCTGGATTCTACGCGAAGGACTTGAGAGGGCAGCCATTCCCGCACGAGACGGATTTGCTGCGTTCCAAGGTTTTCGTGGACCAGCCCCTCCACTAGCGGCATTGGCATCGTAGCACCGTCCCCACCAAACGCAACGTCAGCATGATATTTTGAGCCATCGCTGAATGTAACAATGTTGACGATATGTCCCCTAGAATGGTGAGCATGTTGGGTTGGTACAGAACTTCGATGGATCTCACCACCCCGGAAAGTCTCCACGAGGTACTCCTTCAATTCTGCGCCGTGTCCTCACACCAGCGGTGTACGCCTCAAATCCCATAGCACGGAGTATGTGATTGTACAGTATTGCGATTTCCATGCAAAATCCTCCTCTTCCACGATTGTTGGTTACCATTTTGCGGAAGAGGCTCTGAGGCTCAAGGTCGATCTCGTGAGACGGATTGTAGTGCAGGGACAGATTTTCGTAGGGTAACTTCGAGATGGTGTGTACATGAAGCACATTCAACAACTGTGGTGAGGGCGTGACATGGCGATATCTTTCTGGTACTTCAATGTAGTCCAAGAAATGACTCAGTTGATCCGAACTGTATGCTGAAGCCATCTTTTTTTTTTTTTAATTTGTCTACTGGGGTCCTGAGACTGAACGACTTTCGAGTCACGATATGTCTATCCACGTCCTAACTGGCTGCTATTGTCAAGTCGTTAACTGTCGTCTTTTTCTGCTGGGATTGTAATTCGCGATTCCGTGATCTCAGACGCAAGGCCATCGGCTTTGCAAGTAGCGATGCACCGACCAAGTCCGATCATCGGGAGGCTGTACGACAAAATACGGTGAGTCAAATCTTGAGCCAGGGGGATCTAAGGACCAGTTTATCCGTGTCCGCCCCGCTTTAATTAGATTCTGCATTTGGCTCACCCACTAATTACTGTATGTATCCCTATATGGCAGCTGAAAATCGAGAAGTCCTACGGCTGTGCGATTCTGTGAGCGCAATGCGCTTGATGCATTCCGACGTTATAATGCCCAAGGACATGCTTCAAGAAGCGGGAGCGATTATGCTTATGCCCTTAGCGGTTGTGCACGGGCTGACGAAGACTTGGGGACTATAAGGCCCTCAGGAGCTGAAACCCAGGCGGTCACTCGACTGTATATTAGTAACGTGTTACGACCCGACAGTTAACAGACCACTGACGACGACCCCGCAGGGGCTCAGCGGTTATAGGGACGGCCGTCAGCCGTTACGTCGTAACAACCCCCACGGAACGGAAGAACTAGGATACAGGTCACGTGACGATAAGCAGGACCGACGGACGATAAGCGGTCCTGGGACAGGACCGACGGTGCCAAGGGCGGTCCAAAAACATCAACAACAGCGAGAACGAAATTTTTGAAAACAGCATCAAATTGATCAAACCACGCCCGCTCGCGCTCTCAGAGGTCACTTTGGGCATAATGTCATCCTCGGCATTGATTCTGCTCCCAAAGAGCCTGCTCGTGGCCGCGGGCGGGCTCTGACCACGAAAAATTCGAGAGCAAGCCACAAAGTATGACACGTCAATAGACAACACCATCGACACCACCGCGGTTGAGTCACGGGCTATCACGTGAGCACAACGACCAAGCCCAAACAAACATCAACACCACAGCCACCGATAGGTTATGGGTCGCCTATCACCCCCGACAAAGTTTGCAACGTCCCGCGACAACAACGACGACAAGCCCGACAGAACGGTATCACCTCCTGCATAGAGAAAGCACCAGACACCAGGCATGCTACGATCGATGCCACAAAATACTACAGTTTGCAGACAGATTGGTCCCCTGTCGCCCCCTCCGCGAAGAAGGATTGTCGCCCCTTCAACGTATGACAATGTCTGCGGAATCTGTGTACGAGCTCTCATACTTAGTAATCGGACGAATCGAAGCGGTTGGAGCATTGTGTTTTGCGGATTGAGTCCGACTCCAGGCGGTGGATGGAGGTGGTGGTCGAAAGATGGAAACATAGAGCCACATAGGAACCCAGCATGAGGCAACAAAAAGATTTACAGATTCAACTGAGATATAGCACATGCGAGTCTGAGAGGATGCGGACAAGATAAAGAGACGAAGCTGAGGGCTGGGGGGAGACTATAGGTATACAGAACCAGACATGGTGCCTAGCACCAACAGAACCGAAGTAGGAGGACGCGAAAGAAGGATTCTAGAAGGCAACACCAAGCGAGAGAGCAGGCAGGAGGACAACAATCTTCAACAGAGGGCATAAACACACAAGAATAGATAGCATAGTGGGAGCTTGGGGACAGCTGGTCCTGATCCAACAACAGGGCGAAGTGGGGCGTCGCGGTTTATCGTCGATGCTTCGGCTGTCTGCCAAACCCCGCTTTCCGGGCATAGCTGCTAGCATAAGAGCGGCTTCATAACCGTGTAGGAATCAATCAATCAATCAATCAATCAAGCCAAGGGCGGTCCATGGCGATGGACCGACGTCCTGGGTGTCGGTCCCCCAGGATCAGGAAGTGTTCAGCATGGAACCAGACTTGTATATAGTTGGGACTCGAGTCCTCTCGAGTCCTACCTTTCCTAGTTCTTCAGCAATCAACTTTGTGATTACCCTAACCGGTACTTTCAGCTATACCTAAGTGACGACTACTCTACGACTCTTGTTGAGGCCTTGACTGATCACCAAGACCTTTGAAGATCTACGATCTATTCGACCAGGACCACGGAACGACTGTTACTACTCTCAATCCCTGGCTTACTGTTAACACAAACCCACTGTCAGTTAGCTGGCCGTAACATAACGCTAAAGATGAGAAATCCAAGTTGTTAAAGCTGTTTTTGCAGAGAACAGCGTCCTGGCCGTTCCAGAGTGGCAGGCATATCTGCCTAGGACGAAACTTTACATTCGTCAGGAACCAAACCTTCGTTTCAGCTCTAGATGTCGGATTCGCGTACTGAGCCTCAATGTCAACACAGCACCCTAGCTTAGTTATGTTGACTTGACCCGGCAGAGCGTACCGAAACCGAAGCCACCTGTTATGGGGACGTTCCGTAACAAAAAAGACTGGGAAAATGTCACTTAGCGACTACTCGCATGAGTCAAGGCTTCCGACCATCCGCATTAGAGACTGGGGTTCGTGTCATCCAGTATTACGAACGGATGACCGCATGCGCTTACTCAATGTTCGGTGCATATCGCAATATTATCAGCGGGACCCTAAGTCTGCAAACCGTGCAGACTTTATGTAGCCAACACAGGATGAACTTCAAAAATAGCATGACTCAACCTATCCATCACAACCTAAGTCGCACTTAGTAACGTAAGCATTCAGACTGTGAATTCGGAGCGTTCAGTACGTAGGGGTTCCATAGCGAAGTCTTTCTGACCGTTTCACGCCTAGTGTGTTTTTCTTCTCAACTGCTGACCGTAAAATCGAGAACGGTAAAACGCCAAGAAGTCTTTGCGAATTTTGATATTTCCCTTTATAACTAATCAGGAGGGAGGCCTATCCGAAAGACTTCCTAACCTCTGGATTTTTTCAACCGGTATATGTGATTGCCAGGTGCCTTTATGAGAGCGACATGTTTGACCGTCAATTAACACTTAATAGACAAAGCCTTCCGGCCAGTGAAGGCCATATTTATGTCTAGTGCGCATATTCTGTCATGCAGTTAAACCACCTGCATATATATATATCTGCTATGTCTCTTAGCTCACTGTTAGGCCTTCTTCAAAAGACTGATCTCTTGTTTTCCAGATTATGTAAACTGCTTTAGCGTACCCTCCTACTTAAGACCAAGTGGAAATCCTTGTGGCATAGGCCTACGACGTATACACAGTTGTTAATATTATCATTTCAAAATCATCCTGAGCTCGTTATAAGTTACGTCGTGTCATACCGCAGGATCTTCCCTTTACTGTTACAAGGTAAATAATTACACATTGCTAACTGTGCTATAGATGTCGTGGCATTGAGGGCCGAGGGCGGTTACAGTACAAAAGTAGCCTGTCCAGTCTTTGTCTTTGCCATGTTCTTGTGAGAGGGTCGGTCTCTCCTATAGCCTACGCCTTAATGGTTTTACAGTTAGGCTACTGTATATCCTGCCTGCCTGTATGCTCGCCTATATCACCCGCCTAGCCCTCTTAAATAAAAAGTGGATTAGGTTATGCCTGATGGGGTGCGTTGTGAGGACAGACGTGGACTTAAGTATGAAATGTAGGTATAGGCAAATAGAGTAAAGCAGTCAAGTATATAGTTCTTCTTTTGTTAATGTTAGAAGAGCTAGTGATATAACCCTTCTACATCTAAGGCATGGACAAGTCTTATTACTTGAGGGCTGACGCTCAAATAATCATACACTGGCATTCAAAGTATTGTAAGAAAAGCCGGCTTCTGTGATTTTACGTGTCATCTCTACATCTTTATTGCATATAGTTGTTCTATTTTGAGACTTAACCCGTATTTATATATGTCACCTCCGTATTTCTTGTACCAGCCGCCATTTCTAGGTGAAGCGTTTGCTTGGTTGGCTATACCTAATATTTCGTAGTCACTACATTCTCTGGGACGGATAAACCCACTGCAAATTCATTACTTAGCATACGTACTCACTCTACTGGATTGGAGAACATGATACATACGGATACTCTTTACCGACATACACCATTAGTACGGCAGAAGCCACAGCAACGCTGGCCGTCGATCTTGCTAATGCAACATTGGCGGGAAATCAGCTCGCCAATCGACGAGAACGGGTGTACCCCGAGCGGGTTGGCACCGGCAACGGCAGCAAAAGCAGCAACGGCGACGAATTTGAAGTTCATATTGACAGTGCTTTGGTGGGTTGGTAGACAGTGATGTTGATGGTGAAGATTTTGTGATTGAGTGGATGTGTAGTAGAGCAGAGGAGACTTGGGCTAATGCCCAACAATATATACTCCTATATACACACTTAACATGACTAGATTATTATTTTAGAACGGCGGCTTTTTGCTCTAAACTGTGATATTCAAAGAAATGACATCATTAAAAGTCTCCTATATCCTAAGCCCCTGTTTGAGTTCGTTAGGATGTAATAGTCTCAAGGGCGCAATCATAGATACAGGGTTTCTCACATAGTGTTCCCTTGGAGGTTTAAGCCTAGAACAGTTAAGATTCACCTTGTAGATGTATGTGAAACTTGCTGATCACGAAGGTGCTTAGACCCTAGCCTGCTTTACCAGGCCACGGTTAATAGATAGAACCCGTACCACTTTGGCTGTAGCTTTACTTCCTTACTTTGAAACACAGGGTGGTACTGTTAGCTTTTAGGGGGAAGTTTAAGGGTTTCTCTACTGCATTTTATTTTAGATGCAATATGGTGACTTTTCTATTTCATCTGCAGCGTAGATATACTAAGTATAGAACTATATCAAGAAGGTAAAATAGACTCCTTTAATATAATTTATTTGACCTTTTGTTTACTGCTAATTTGAAATGAGACTACTGGCTATACGGCCTAAAGTTTAAGTGATGTAGTGGCTATGAGTCATGAGATTGAAAATCGGTCGATTGTAAGCCTAATACGGTCGATCAGTCAACGCATAATGGAGAATCCTGGCAAGCCTGACAAGATCAGCATGCATTTTTAGAACCTATGCCACTAAAAGTCATTATCTTTACCGAGATATGAGGCACTGCTACAAAATGAACATTTGAAGTTGCTGATTCATCTCACAACTATTTTGAGGCTGTATTTATAAGTGTTTCGCTTTCGCTAAATAACGTCAATACTTTTTCATTATACAACCTTGATATGGAGAAAGCAATAATGGGCTCTGAGGCATATCCTGAAAAGGGTAGGTTACTTGCGTGGTCCGATGATGACTACAATGTCGGCGACCAGACACGCAGGAGAAGCCGTCGGCCTTGCGCGTCACTCATCATAATAGTGCTCACATTCCTAAACCTATTCCTTCTCTCTCTGTGCATATGGCTTGCACTGCGAGGGGGCGACCAAACAGCACCAGAGCCTCAGCCACACATCGTTCCGGGCTCGGGGCCCTCTTGGCTTCCACCACAGAGTAATAAAACTGCCCCTTATCTTTTAAGGCGCTTCCCAGCAAGGAGGAGCAAAAACCATCGATATTTTCTAATGCTTGGTGTCCCATAGTACCGATGAAAAAAATTCTCAATTCGGAGCCTATATATGGAGGTCCGATTACGAATGAGAGCCAGCAAGCTTGGGATGCCTTAATGCCGCGTATGTTCACCATCGCCAGAGCTTTGATTGGTGTGAATTGACATATCTGCCAGTTGGCCGTGGATTTGTTGTCATTAAAAATGAGACGGCGCTTCCTCAGGTGCCCAATTTTAATGCGACCATGAGTGAGTATGGGGGAGTAATATCTGTCTTCCACCAGCTGCATTGTGTGGTTAGTAATCAGCATCCCCTGCACAATTGGCACCTGGACAGAGGAACCAGTTGCCTTGAAACGATAATGATGGAATAACAACTTCAACAGTGGGCAACTCGAGATGGTTTCTTTCGGCTACTTCGCGATGGCAAAGCGAGCGAGTCAGACCTCGAACACCTGGGTCACTGCTGGGACTTCCTCAGGCAAGCTATCCAGTGTCGCGCTGACACCACTATCGAGTGGCAAGTATCTGATGAGCTCTCGGGGAGTCTGGGATGGGGCTATGAGCATCAATGCTATGATTATGATGCCCTCTACACCTGGGCCGAAGAGCATAGGTGGGGTGATGAGAATGAAAAGAATATTCTGTAGATATGTCTGTAAATCCTGGCACACTTATGCTCTTTCTAATTTCTCGTACGTAGTAAGGTTTTTTTCTTTTAACATAAATACTTTTTAAATAAGTTCTAACTAAGTATTCTTCCACTTCTGACTTGAAAGAATTACTCTTGTAATAGGTAATAGCTTAGTCTTGCTTTCATAAGTGCCTATTCTCTTTCCTGGAGTTAGAGTTACTCTTACCCCTATTCAACCAGACAAATGAATACTTATTACCCTTCAGCTCCATACTGGACTCAAATACTCAACAAACCTTCAGAATTTTAATAAATACGTGAATACCTCTATGCCTTGAATTTTGTCATAGTTCTGTATTTATAGGTGTGTGGTGTTGACTCTTGAATTAGGTTTCATAAAATTGCGGTTACTCTAAATAGATTTAATCTTAGAAGTCGTTCAGAGGCAGAATCTCCGCACATCTGTACAAAACCTGAAATGAACAGCCAGGAGTAAAACACGTTCAGGGACTATCTTCTATCAAGAGTTGACATTTATATCGCGAGTCTGGCTATACAAGGACGCAGGATTCGCTTCCCAGCATAGAGTTGGCCAGCAGTGATGGCCAGACATTAAACAATGGCATGAAAGGGGATTCAGGTATTGGCCCCTCTAACGAAGAGACCCAAAATCTACAACTAGAGAAAGAGCCAGGGAGTATTAACACGCAGATACTGATTCAAAACACACCTTCGCACAAACCATTGGCATCCCACGCAACACCCATCGGCCTCCATGGTATGACCGCCGAGATAGAACCCCCGTCCGGCGATAGCAATCAGCGGCGCTCGCGCGTGGCTTCCACATAGACATAGCGGATGAGGTCAGACGCGTAATTTTCCTTGTCGAGCATGCTGCCGAATTACATATTCAGCTTCAGAGGATTTTCAGTGAAAGAGGATGACGAAAGGGCTGACGTAGACCATAGGTCCTAGAATATGACGGCATGAGTTATTCAGCTGCAGCAAAAAGAGATAGAAAGAAAGACAGAAAGCCTTAGCTCGGTTTGAAATAGTAATAAATAAGCTCAGCTTGCATTCGGCCTACAAGCAAACTTATCTCGGGCGTAGCTTGCCCCTCGTCTGAGATCCACGCCAGGGTGGGATAGGCTGTAGATGTTGAAGGACCTGGAACTGTCCAACCCTTAGCTAACGCAAGGTCCTGGGTAGGTGGTGTTCTACTGTGGGGGCTCTTGGAGAACACAATGCATACGAAGCGCGACAAACGGGTGAGATGCAAATTGGCGGTCCTAACATAACGCCATTTCCAGCCTTCTGGCTAGCATTAAAGCGAGGATGATTATAAGGCGAGCGGGAGAAAAGGTAGTTGGATAAAGGGTTCAAGCCAGGAATGTATGTTGTCGATTATGGTGCGCAGTGTTGACCTTCCAATCTTTGGGTGAACTTGATTACAGGTGAGACCTTGGACGCTGTGCTTACCATCTCCCTGTGTATGGGGAAGCAGAAGACTGACCGAGAAAATTTTGAAGATAGAGTAGATTAATGGCATGGCCTCCAAGCTATACTACGTAACAAACCGTGTCTATCCCACCGAGTGCTGCATGGCCACGATACATTTGTATGAGGGACAACAGACACTCATAGCGAACCCAGGCATTTTGTTCTGCAACTAACAATTCAATAAAAAAGCATATTTCACCTACATTAGCATCAGCTACTAATCGTCAGTTAGACGTCTTCAAGATGCCGCAAATCTATGCATGTTGACCCTGAAAGCGTTGAGATTGCGGTCTTGGATGCCGTTCTTAGGGGCATTCCTGTACTCGTTAGGCCTAGAAATAACTTCCGCTTCGGCATCGGCGTGAACAGTTAGCCTGATGACAGATTCACATATCCTCATCCTAGCCCAGAATCATCTTCACCACCGTCATCATTAGCCTTCCTTACTCCAAGGCCTTCGAACACCTTAGTAATGTGCCTCCCAAGTTTCCGTGGTGAAGTACCGAAACTCTTTGGACTCCGTCATCAGGTTGGTCCTAGAATCAGCTGCAGTAATCGATATGGTCGTCCTAGAATTGTGTGGCGTCGTTGCTAACCGTTTCCAACGGGTTCTACAATTCCGAATCGATGGCGACGACGAGGTGGAATTCTGCAGGGCAGTGTGCCATCAGATCACACAGGGCACTGCCAAGCTCGACCAGATTGCGCCTCAAGGGCTAGAATGTCACCCTCCTGCGGAAGGTTGTCGAACACGACATCATCCGCCCCTGTCTATTGGTTCTAACTGTCAACACACATCAGCTAGTCATCGACATCTAATAACTCACGTAGAACGGTGAAGCAGCAGACTATTTGTTCTTTGGCCTAGTCGAAGCTTGTCGGCACAACGGGGATCTATGAAGCCCTATTTGTTGTTGCACATGCGGGGAATCCCAAAGTTGCACGCAAAGTGCCTAATAGCGATGATGGCAGCCGACAACGGTGACTTTAATGCCAACAAGGCAGGAGACTCGGTGGGTTTTGCATATTGGCACATCATAACCTAATCCCGAAATTTAATGGCAACAGGCTGTTCCGGTACGTGTCTGTAAATCTTGTTTTTTCGCCGATGGCAAGCGCCTTGGACGTTATTGTGATGGACTGGATGGTAGATAACGCGTCAGACCCGAGAACTGGTGGCTTCTGGTAGCTGCGACGTGGACGCGCTGAATTATGTGGTGTAATAGGAGCATTCTGCCGTCAATAATGATTGTGGGAGCGACCGAGATTAAGACAGCTTTGAGCAACCGAATCCATCTGACATTTTTTGTTCAAAGGCGGGGGTGCTGAAAGCTTCGGGTAGGGGCGGAATAAGACGAGTTCGAGATTTTGAGCAGGCAGAGAGCGATTGCAAAGATTCAAGGGAAATAATTTGGCTTCCAAAATGTGGTTTATATTTACTCTCAATTACAAGACGGCCAACAGAATAGAACATCTTAAAAAAAGAACGCCAACCAAACCATAATGCTGAGCAACACGCCGTACAAAGCAGCAGCGCCTAGGAAGAACCACCACGAGGCTAGGCGAGGGAATGGCGAAGGTTCTGAAATCGACTGGGAGCTGGAACGGAGGCTTGCCGGATCGATGAGGTCGGGCAAATCAAAACTCTACTAGCCGTGGTATACGGGGAGGGCAGGACAAGTCAGAGTCAACGGCACCATGTGTGCTTGTTTACAGCGATCAAGCGCGATAAATAGGGGGAAATCGGACGACGAGCGTCGGTAACAAAGCTGGAGGTAGTGGCTCAAGGGACTGCTTAACAGCGACAATGACGGCGGAACCTTTTGATGCGGAGTAGCCTGGCGACGCGAACAAAGGAACTCGGGGCACATAAGGGTTTCGCAAGTAGGCAAGGCAGCGGAATGCCTACAGAAGTTTGGACGAATTGAATGATGAGGGAACAATTACATTTACTGTGGCAATGCATAGCGAATACTATAGCACAATAACATAAATAGAGAAGGTAAGAGGGACAAGACAAAAGTTGTGAGTCTAGTAATCAAGGTAGATAGCGCATTTCTAGCGAAGCGAAACAAACCCTTTGTATGTAGTTCAACATACTGAGAGATATATCCTACATAGATCGGATGTGTCCATGTTTTTTACTGTGAACCAACTTGTGTGGTTGCTGGTTTGCGTGTTCGGTTGGTCAAATTTGATTGTCCAAGTCATGTAGGACCTTTATATACACACAGACGAACTCGCTTTAACGTGATGAATCAAATCATTTCCATTCAACAACCCAAGTATTCGCTCCAAAACCCTGGACAAGACAAAGATTTTAAGAATACCAACTGCCTTGACACCTCAGTATGTCCCGCTTCTGACAGCATGTCTCTTTTGTCCTAGATAGTGTGAAATGTAAAACAAGTTGCACGCCTTGCATGCTCATTGACCTCCCTCCCTGTAGGCTCAATCTCGGGAGATTCGATCATCCTTTTGGCCTGCGGGAGCTGGTGGTTGCCGTCACTGCCTCAATCCCATCGTCGCTGTAGTTACTGCTGTCTCTATATTTGTCCCAATTGCCGTCAGTGATAACGTGATTAGTCTAGTTCTAATTGCTGCACATGGCCCTTCTCTCGAAGTTGTCTTTCCAACGAAAGATACTCACACATCTCGAAAGTCGTCAGTCCAGACCAAGCCGCCTCTTTTGACAAGAGTTTTATTTTTCGTTATTTTGTTGAGACGATCCTACATGCTCAAAAGACATCCTCCTAGAGATGATGTGCCATTCGCCATCGCTGAGAAGGGGGAAGGGGAAGCCATTCCAGCCAGAACTACCCACCACTACGACCGGCTGCGGCACGTTGCTTTCTCGTAGAAACAACAAATTTAAGCTGTTTGAACGATGTCAGGAAAAGGCTATCAAAGCGAGAATCGAGCGTATAAGGACATTTTCGGAGGGACCGCCTTTTGAGCTGGGTATGGGGGTGCCCAGGTCATGAGCCACTCTGAAGGTTCGTCCATGGAGGAAGTATGATTCCTGAACTCTGGAAACAGTATGTTAGTGAGTAGTTTTGAGGCGGGCAAAACTGGACAGGTTGAATGTCCGTGCGAAAGGATAGGAGGCGCTGATAGCGACGCCATCGCCTGGGACTATGTCGGGCTCTTGTAAGGAGACAAGCTTGATCTCTTCCTCGACGTGGTGCGGGATGAAAAGTATCATCGTATCGAACAGAAAAGCCAGCAAAGCTTAGATTCAGCCTAGCCCAAGCTAAACTGGATAGAGCTTCGTTGGCAGGAGACATGGCGCGAGAGTAGGAGGGTTGCACCAAAGCAGAGCGGAAGCGCTAGGAGGGTGAGAGACTGATGTCATGGCGATGACAGCGAGGCAATATGTTCATGGCGTTAGCTTGGTTTATTGTAGTGTTGTGGGGATGTTTATGCATTGGTGTGGGATGGTTTTGGTGGTGGTGGTAATGGTTGTTGTCCTTCCGTTGAGGAGCATGGCCTATCAGCCATTAGCGAATGGTGAAATGTATTGTTCGGAAAGATAATGAGAAAGAATTGGTCTGCTACAGAAATGAGTAGAAAGACACTTTACTTCTACCTTGTCTTATTGTGGTTTTATCTACAGAATACTAGCTAAAATAGTAAAATTACCAAACAACCAGAAAGCGGGCTTAAATGAATGCCCCAAAGCACTACTACGAATCAGATAGACTAAACTATATTAACCTGGCTCCTACTTCGAGGTGCTAGGTAAGTTATAAACCCTCCAGAACACGTCCTACCCGTAAACGTAGCGCCCTCATTCAATCTTCAAACTTCTTTCAACATCCACATCTACATCCACTTCTGCATCCACATCTATCTAGCTACCTTATTTCATGTTACTTTAGCAGTGTTTTAGCTAGTTGCACAGTAGCAAACGATAACGCTAATTTTGCATCTACCATACCGGATAATAAAGCGACATTTAATATAACCAACCTAAACCTCCTGTCGGCTTCTACTGCTGTTTATACTTCTACCATGAGCTGATGGCACTATAAATCAATGCCCATAAGGCAACCTCGCTTTAGCTACAGGGAGAGGTTATCCACAATTTGCGGTATAATCTGCAGCTTCATTAAAGTCTCTTAGGCTTTCTCGTCATTTTCAACCTCATAGTTGTAGCAAGTGTCGAAACCTTTTTTTCAAGCACCAGCTGGCATCTTAGTTCGCAAAATACTACAATGCGAGACGCTCAAACCTCTCCGACGCCTCTGACCGGATGCAGTTGGCCCCCTAGCAGCCGCAGAGTCGAGAGACCTACCACTTGCATATCTAACAAATTTGTCCGGCATACCAACTTACCACCTGCTATCACATTCTGACCAAGTCACCTCAAGTTTACTTTAGGAAGCAGATGAATGATCCCAAGATATAGGTTGGGTTCCAGGCGTGGCAACGGCAGAACAAACAAAAGCCTGGAAGATGGGGCAATATTTTCAAAGGCGGGGTGCTGATCACATTAGAGACGACAGTATGGTTCCCGTGCAAGATAGTCAGGAAGTAAATGCCAATCTTGCTCAAACTGCCCTCGATACCAATTTCAAAGCCATCTATATGAAAGGCGATCATGGTTTTGATGTTCTCTCTCGCATTTGTGATGGCTGGATGTCGCAACCTTTGAGGACATGTTGGCTGCTTGGTTCCCTTAGGCTTCATAGTGTACTAGAGCCTAAATAGTTAGGCCGGAATCTTGTCAGTCAATTTCATTGTTCGTAGCAACATCTTTTCTTATCTCCCTGTCTAGTTCATCTCCTTGAAGACACTGATAGGATAGCGTAGTTGGGCTAGTGTGTGGCTGTGCGTCAGTATAGACCCCTGACGGCCCACCAGACAAGGTTATCCATTGCTTTAGCATCTAAGCGCTAGCCGCGTGGGAGTCTTGGATGGACTATGTGGCACCGCCTATTCTTGGGGTATCTAATCGGCAGCTAGATCGACTCGCTAAATGAGCCTCAACTGCACATGCACGGGCGCTGAGTGGTCCAACGCCTGATGGCGTTTAAGCAATCTACACTTCAGCTCCTGAGCTGAACACAATGGGTCAACGATCAAGCCACATTCCGACAGGGCTAATCCAAGAGCAGCCAAAGCCAAGCTTTTATGATGCTTACTATAGAAATCATCTCTGCCTGACTGTCCATTTCAGAAAGTTTTATTCGAGAAATAGTACAAAGACCCGCCAAGAACTAGACAATGAACGTTACTTACATCCACATCAGCCACGCCAGAACCGCCACAAGGACTAAGCTGAGCATGAAACTACACTCTGGACCGATGGCGAGGGCATAATGCACTAGCCTGGCCTAGCCGCTCCAGGAGTGCGCGCTACATTCCCACTCAGTGAACCGCGTGGCGGTAAATAGCTCTAGACATGCCTTCGACTTAGCCACTGGATCCAGACCTGCCAGGCTGATGCCGGGCGGAACTCTTATTATAGCTCCTTTTCCCTCGGTATGCTGAAAAAACTTAAGCAATTTTTCTCTTTCCTTTCCGTCAGCGTCTGTCGTTTTCGTGCGTAATCTTTTACTGTACTACTTATAGGCGGGTATGTAGAAGAACCATCTGGCAATCTTATATTATAGTATGTGGTCTTATTGCTAACAGATCAACCCTTCCAGTGTCTCTCATTCCGCTCCCTCTTTTCGGCCTTAATTACAGGACGCTTAAACAGTTACTAGCAATCTGCGCATGATGCAACGCGCACTTATACTCGCCATCACCCTCTCTGGGGTTGTGGTCAACGGATCCCCCTACAATCCAGCTTTCAGACGCCAGACCGCCCCAGGGACTCCGGGTTGTACATTCTCGGCATGTTACACTGATAATACCAATCAGAGGGCTCTTACTGGATTTTCTTTCTTCGACGATGCAATGACGGTAGAGAAGTGTGCTACCGCCTGCGCTGGTTACAAATACTTCGGTCTTGAGTACGGGAGGGAGTGCTTTTGTGGCAATACCATCAACAGTGACAGTGTCGAGACACCCATAGGAGACTGCTCTTTCCCCTGTCCTGGAAATCCGTCTCAGAAATGCGGCGCGGGCAATCGGCTCAACATGTACAGCTGCTCAGTGACCGCAACACAACCACTCCTCACTACCTACTCTACCCGAGGTTGTTACGTTGAGCCCCAAAACGGCCGGGCTTTGGCAAGTTTGTCCACGAGAGCCGATGACATGACAGTGGAGAAGTGCGCCACGTTTTGCGGCACTGCCGGATATCCTCTCTTTGGCTTGGAATACTACACCGAGGTTAGGGTTATCTTTTTGTCGTATAAAACCTGATATACTAACATCTCTCGTAGTGTTATTGTGGGCATGGTCTTGCGACCGGAGCCGTGTCTGCTCCGGCCACGGACTGCAAGTTTGCGTGCGCAGGCAATCAAAACCAGTTGTGCGGAGGAGACTGGCGATTGAACGTCTACGAATTTGATAAGGCCGGTGCAGCTTCGACCACCTCACCCACCGCTACATCTTCCCCGTCTGCAGGTCCCGTCACATTTACTAGCGAGGGTTGCTACACTGAGGCTCGCGGCGTCCGGGCTTTAAGTAACGCGTCGTATTTTAACAACGCTATGACTGTCGAGCTATGCGCCTCTGTTTGCTCCAACTACGCCTGGTTTGGTGTTGAATATGGAAGGGAATGCTATTGCGGAAACACGATCAACACGTCGTCGGGCAGTGCACCTACTAGTCTCTCAGAGTGCAGTTTCCCGTGCCCTGGAAACCCATCGCAGAAATGCGGAGCTGGGGATCGGCTCAACATGTATCGCAACATTCCCACCCAAGCTTCAACGATCACAAGTTCTTCATCGGCAACGGCTGTAACAACGTCGGCCATTATATTAGTTGTACGTACTATGCTTGATTTTTTTGGACCTTAATTCCTTGGGATTTTCTGATTCACAGGTTAACTTGTCACTGCAGTCAACTGAGCCTCCGACCACCACTCTCACTACCATCACTGAGCCCGCAGCGACCACTACCACCAGCGCAACAGAATCATCTATCGCCTCAACACTTGCTAGCTCTTCAAGCGTGGCGTCATCTAGCGTTGAGAGCGCATCGTTTGTTCCGTCCTCAACAGTTGCGAGCTCATCAGGCGTAGGATCATCTTTTAGCGTTGAGGGTTTATCGTCTAGCAGTTCGACTTCATCGTTCATTCCTTCATCTACGCTTGCGAGCTCCTCGTCCTTGGCTGCCAGTTCATCGCTTAGTTCCTTGGAGCCAACTCCAACTGCTAGCGTGAGCTCTACATCATCTACGCCTTCGTCTAGTTTAGAGGCATCGTCTACTGCCTCCCAGTTCTCCTCAACACTAGGTGACGTATCATCAGCACCGGCAAGCACATCTGCCACTTCATCTTCGATACAAACCAGCTCTTCTAGCTCAGCTGCTTCTACTCCAAGTGCTGATCTCTCGAACTTTTGCCTGCGAGTCCTTAATCCGGGTGTAGGCACCTCTGGTTATGTGTTGAAGTACGCCGGCTCAAATCAAGATTATAGTCTACGAGCTTCAACCTCTACAACTGGCACAACTGCGCTCTTCTCTCTAGACGCGCAAGGCCGTCTTATCGTCACATCGTCTAATCCGGATTATACTAATGCTCTCACAGTACCTGGAACAGGCTTGATTCGTAACTTTCGGCCTCAAACAAATCCTGCGTTAAGCTCATTCGTAATTCCTGTTTGTACTGTTCAAACTGACGTTGAAGGATATGTTGGCCGAAGGGTTCTCAGGTGTTCTGCGACAATTGGTACAACCACCTATTCTAGGTTTCGAAGCTACAGGATTAGTTCTACTAGTACTCCCGAAGTTTTTGCGACCTCAGACTTAACTACAATTACAACGAATAGCTACCTTGTAGAGCTGGGTGTCTTTACAGGTAGTGGATGTACTAGTGCTACTCTTCCTAATAGCTAGGAGTCTAGTTTTTTCTAGCTAGCTTAACTAGCTAGATTATATTAATTATAAACGTTGAATGGCCTATAGCCATATAAGGCAGATAACGATGCGTTGCAATGTGTGTAGTTGATTAATGAAATTCTCTATAAACTCCGTGATGTTCCTTTTCAGTTTAATCTCAGCGGTGAAACAAAACTTGTCCCTATCGTACGTAGACAGTTGTAAGACACCAAGAGGCTCTCCCCTTACATGAGATAACCCAGCCTCATGGCTAAGTCATCATGGTCGTCTGTATGTTTAAGTATTATTCTATTAATAAGCGTCTTTTATTTTTCAAAAATATGAAAGACATATCTTAAAAACTACCTTGTTTTTATTTAAAGGTGCTCTTTATTATTAACTGAATACACATGGTTAAAAGGCATATATTAAGCGCCAGTTAAACTATAAGATCTAAGATTCAAAAGAATAATCAATTAGTCTAGATAGTTATCTTAAGCTTCTTAATAAGACTATACTTAGTTATTAAGCTAGGAAAACTTTTTAATATTTATATTATAATTATATCGGCTTATATAATATAAATAAAATCAAAAGAACTAATAAAATCAAAAGAACTAATAAAATCAAAAGAACTAATAAAATCAAGATATATTTCGATGAATCTCTACCAGGGCCAGTAGATCCGACTGGGGAATTTGAACGATGATGGGGACGGCGACCCTAATGATAATGTAGATAAAGTGCAAAACCAGAGTAATACTGAGTTAAAAGACACTGTTCAGGTTGTCTAACAGAATAGGGACGATCTGCAGCATGAAATTGCTTCTTGGAAAGCTCTCAAAAGAGCAAATTACGAAGACTTCACAAGCACAAAATGGCCAAGACGAAGCGGACCAGTCACAATGATTTTAACATTATGTTTCAAATCACTTAAGTCACTCTTGAGAAACGGGAGATAGAAGAAGTATGCTGAAACCATTGAGTTGAGAGTCTGGTCAGAGAGAAAGGAACTACAACTTTCTTGAAATGGCTAAGAAGAACCACCGAACCGGACCCTGAGTAAAGAAACCGAATAACGCACGTACAATGAGACTCCTCCTGATCAGTTAGGCAACTTCTCCACGTCAGTTCTGTTCCAAAGACGGTCCGAAATACCAAACCACGGAGATGCTTTTAAAATCGACAGGTCGGCAGAAGACTGGACTAACTTTGCTTGATCAGACGCAAGCTTGTACGCATCCTACTCTCCGCCAGTTCAGGAGATGTTACTACCAATCGTTGAAAGAAGACCACCACCACTGAGACGACGATTTGATTTGTTATCAGAGAGTGAACCAGGAGATTGCCACTTTTCTTCAAAGGTAGCGAAGCTATATTTCGGAACTTCGCCGCACATGCAGTTCGAACACTTATTATCAAACTCGCCAGGGAGAGAGACGCATTCGGAAAAGGGTGTCATCGTACCAGCCTGATCAGGGCGACCCCCGCCGGATGAGACGTAGTTTTGAAGACACTGGCGACAAGGGCTTTTGTTCCGGACCCCAAAGGCGTGGATGATTAGAGCGTTTGCAGCTTGAGGGCAATTGATCAGCTTCCAGATGAGCTGACCCTAGGGATTAGAGTGAGTATTCTCGACATAAACCCGACGGTTTAAGTCCATATCGCGGGTAGCGGACAGACGAGTGACAATCGGTATGATCGTGGAAATGTTCTTTAAGGAACTCCAGACGCCGTAGTTGGCAGCAGTGGTCTTGAGGTCTTTTCGGGGGTTTCGAAGAGCGAACTCTCTATATAGAGCACCCGCAGGGTATGGAAGCGTGTACCAAGCGACGGAAAATTTAAGCTGTTCAAAGCATAAATCAGCAAAGTTCTTCTGATTAGAAGAGGAAGGAACGAAAAAGAGAGCCAACACTGGGGACGACGATTACAGGAAAAGCAGGCTCTGCCATCAAATTGAACGTAGGGTTCAGAGTGTTTGAAGAAGGCTGAGGACGTTCAGATATTAAGAACCAAGGCTAAATAGGCTTGTTGACGGCATTGCTGTGGAAGCCCTTGCTGCAAGAAGACATTGTCGCTGATGAACGGAGAGGAAGAAGTCTAGTCAGAGAAATAGTGTAGGCAAGCGCTGGAAGCTGTTGGTCTTAAGGAAAAGAGGAGGAGATGACTAATGGAAGTAAAATAGTCTTTTTAATCTGAAAGAGGGCTATGATTTAGAGTAAGTGCCAATCTGTTTGGTTTCCTAGGCTGACAGGGTTCTGAATCAGCGTAATAGTGAGGGAGGCTACCAACAAAGAAGGTGAGTCGGAACAAACGATATTAATAACTCACTTCGTAGACAGAACTCTGTTTAATCAGACGCGCCACGTCTTCACACAAAGGAAGACCGTAACGGCTAGGGGAAAAGCCTTCCTGCACTCTAAGACGCCTAGGTCACATGCGCCAGAATCAATTTACTGTTTGAACTTGAACAGGCGACTGAATCATATGTTTATGATCAGTGCAACACCCCTGATCAGTTTTGCAATGATCTGAGTCGGCTCTACATCACGTCGATTACTGAAGAGCTCTGCGTCCCGAACCTAAGAAACAACATTCTGCGCGCTGCGCCTAAGATTGATATTCTGGCCCGGAAACAGAGGGCGTCGTGAGCGCAGGAGGCTCTGATACTGTGGAATTGATTTCAAGGAGACTAGGCTCGCATTATGCTTTTCCAGTGTAAGACGAAAAGTCGGGTGAGTATGGAAGTACAACCACCGGGGGAACTGGGACTCTTTAACATCAGATAGCTGTTCAGTTGAAACCTATGCTCGATCTGGTTATGCAGGGGCCGGGTAAAAACACTCAAACAAGAAGCTGAAATACATAAAAAATTGGCTTGTACGGAATGAAGACAATCATTATGCTGGTTCTCGCAGCTGCAATACGAAAACGGCTTGGGGTAGCATAGTTGTGGCCAGTCCCGCAATTAAAGGCAAGCTGTTTTTGGTTACTTCTGGTGAAATTTCCAACAACGGTTTTATTAGATGTACTCAAGATATTTCTATCGAGTCATATTACCACATACAACTAGACGCAGTTCTATAAAGAGCCGAAAATTATCTAAGTATAGACTTAGAAAACCTAGCAATGGATGATTTTGAATAAGTTGAGCAAATTGTGTAGTTGCCAGCCCAACCATGTCTCTCGGCATCAAAATATAACAGAGGCTGGAGTTCTCCATCAGGCCATATTTCTTAGTTTTAAGTAACAACACGCGTGGTGGCCTGGAGGATTGTGCATACAGCATCTGCTTTACATATTAGCCTTGCAGTTTTCAGAATAAAGGACAAGCTTCAGGGTCATCATTATTGTCTTCATATTAAGCAAATGGAGTTTTGCTCCTCGAAGCCTCTGTCGAATAAGCGCTTCATGACGAAGCTTCGGCAGAACCTAGAACTAAAACTACCATCACATGCCATTCTATCGCTGGGCTAGGAATACAAATTCCATAATTACTGAGAAAAGCTTAGAATCGGCTTGCAATGAAGACACAACATGGAGCCTTAGGATAAGTAGCTCGGGCATAAATTAAGTAGACTGGAAACTGATATTACTTAAGAACCAGTTGCGGCCGATTGGTTGAGAAGCAATTCTTCGACCTTAACTATAGGGTGTAAGGGTTGTACACAGTCCCGTTCTGCTGCGCCCTTCTCAGCAGCTTCTTGTTGGACCTGTGTAGCAGGAACTTGAGGAGCAAGCAGCACGCAATACCAATCGCCGCGAACCCCATCATCAGCAAAAAGGCCATCATATAGCGCGGCTCGTCTCTGTCGGGGAAGAAGTATGGCGCGATGAGGTTACCGATTTGGCCGAGGACGTTGATGACGGGGATAGCCGTGGCGCGCTTCTCGGGCGTGCGGCCGAGGGTACCAACCAACCACGTGTTGATCAGCGGGTTGGCCGCGAACATACCGCCGATGTACATGAAGGATGCGGCATAGCGGGCCGGCACGTTTCCCGTGGCCGTGCACACGACGTAGCCGAGGATGGCGACGAAGACGGGGCCGGCCATGTGGTAGCCGCGCTCCTTGAAGTGGTCGGAGCTGCGAGCGTTGACCAGGGATGCAACGGCTGCGAAGACGTAAGGGGGCGCCGTGAGCAGAAGGGTCGTCATACGTGACTCAAAGCCAAACCCGCGCACGATGGAGGGGAAAAAGTTGAGAAACCCGTACGCGGCTGAGATGGAGATGTTGATGGCTACAAAGATCCACGTCCTATAGTCGATGAAAGTGAGCTTGAGACCATACCAGATGCTATTGCTCTTGGCCTCGGGCTGCGACACCCTGTCAGCCAGGATACGCGCCACCGCGATGCGCCTCATGTCCTCCGTCATGGACCATCGGCCAGAGCCTGTCTTGGACTCGGGGTAGTCAGGGAGAAGGAAGAGAGCGACCACTGCACATGCAGAACCAGCCATCGCCAGGACAATGAAGAGCCACTGCCACCCGGCCATGCCACGAACACCCTCCAGCCCGGCGTACACGCCTGCTGCGATGAGTCCAGAGCTGGCCATGGCCAGCACCAGGCCAGTGTACAAAATGGCAGTGCGCAGCGCAATTTCCTTGCGGGTGTACCAGCAGCTCATAATGTAGATGGCCTACCAGCAGCTGTCAGTAGGTAGTTGTAATACGATTACCCGGCAATGGGGAGGTCGACTTACACCTGGAAGCAGAGGAGCCTCGCAAAGACCGAGGATGAAACGACAGGCGAGCAGTCCGTGGTAGTTCTTGACGCCCGCCGTGGCCGCAGAGACGCCAGACCAAACGATTGCGCAGCATGGCAGGTAGAGACTGGGCCGGACGTAGGGAAGGATCATGTTTGATGGAATCTGAACTGCGACATAACTAAAGAACCTGATTAGACAAGGTTAACGGCGGTGGAGAACATGGCGCGGCTCACCCAGGAACTAAAACAGCAACCGCCGTGGCGAACTGAGTATCGCTAAGACCAAGATCAGCCTCGAAGCTGCTGATACGTGCCTGCCTGTCAAACGAGTAAGACATCCGTCCGATTTTTGATGTTGTCACCAGCAACTCACGAGATGGAGGCACGGTCGAGATAGTTGAAAAGATAGAGTACCCAGAGCATTGGCATAAGCGTCATATCAAGCCGTCTGACGATCTTCTTCTCCTGCTCCCGCCAATCAGGGATACCTAGGGCCTCGAGCGGTGCATCGACTGACGGTATGTGTTGCGGCTGTTTCTCCTCATCCAATCCCAGGTCCGCGTGTTCGATGGCTGTGTCCTTGCCCTTGTCGTCCTCCAGCGGCGGCGCCGTCGCGACGGGGATGTCGCTGGTGGCTTCGGCGCGGTATCCAGATGTCCCGCCCACCATCTTGTTGTCGGTCGCTGCCATTGTCGAGTACTTTGATTACGCGATGGCCTTGAACTTACTGTGTTTCGCTAGGTTCGACAGTTGAAGGATGAAGGGGGGAGATGAGCGAAGTCTGGAGTGATCGCATGTCTTGACTTCTGAAGACATGGTGCGTCAAGAGAAGTCCTTCATTTTATATGCGAAGCACATCTGCAAAAGAAAAGTGTCGGCAACACATTTGGCCTTGTCTTCGTTATCGTTTCATGGCTCCTGACCCCGCAGAGCTTGAAGTCATCGAGGCGGGGCCCCGCGTTCGCCATTTTTGAGTGTTTCTTGGCTACCAGGCGCTGCTGGTGATAGTCTTGGTCGTCTCCGTAGGGAATCTTAGCTTGTCGATTGCGAGGTTAGGGCCGTCTACAAGAGTTCTGGGCGAAGAGAAGCAAGCGTTTGTGCTCACTTGGTATTGCAGCCACCTTGTAATCCGATCGCGGCCCACGGGCCAAGATATGAAGTTTCGTCAGTCATTGACATAGTACATCCGTACTTGAGAAGTTTAAGCTTGGTATTGTCTCTTGAGTTTACCTGGTTGGTTCTCCCCCGATTTTACCGCGCACGAAACTTCACTTCCGCGGGTGTGCACCCCGGTTTTGTCTTCCGTCTTGGCTGGCTGCCGGAACCCCTGCGATTCCCGTCTTGGCTTGAAAGTCCTAGCCTTTCGCGGCCATGTTGTACCGTGGGTTGAAACCCCGCCTCCCAGCCCGTCAACCTTCCCGTTCAAATTTGACAAGAGGTTTAATGGACCTTAAATCCCGCGGCAGGAGTTGCAACTCGAATTTCAGCTACCGAGGATAGTCCGACAACTCACTCCCGCCTTGGACGACGACGGTAAGCTGCATAAATGTGTCGCACTCCGTCTTGGCTTCTTGGTCCCAAGACTGCTGTCTTTTCTCCGTCTTGATGTTCCTCGATGATGCTATGGCTGTACGCAGCACCACCTGTTCACCACTCTGGTCTCGGACCGAAGTTCTTTTCGTCAGCGTAGTGGAAGCAGGTTCTCCTCCTGGTTTGCTACAGCAACCTAGGGTTAGTCTACATCTTAGTGCTTCAGCAGTCAATTTGCCCCCTTTTACAGAGGACCGCAAGCACATTCAAACGCTTCGTCTCCAAGGCGGTCTCACTTGAACTGCTATCCCATCGAGTGCGGTTTGATCTTATTGTGCCGAAGGCGGGCTAAGCTAACCACGGCATAGATCAATGACAGCCTTTGGTAAGCTTTTCCAATCTGCCTTAGACGCATGCTTGCGTGATGTCCCGTGGATTTACGAAGCGTTCGACTGGCGAATTCGCGAACACGTCAAATCTTGTCCACGAACTCCCTTGAAGGGGCCGTCGCCTGACCTCTGCACGCCGGGGACATGGTCCATCGGGCCGACAGTCTTTCTGATGGTATTGCCCATTCGATTGATCGTGATTGTACAGTATGCCGGGTCGATTGTGTCGTTCTTCCCCATACTTGTGAGATAGGGGGAGGGAGGTTGGAGGGGTTTGCGCAGGTTTGTTTCTCTCGTATCCCACATACCGCAAGTTCCCTGGTTGCTCTCCTAGGCTTCTTCCGAAAAGTATTTTTTACATAAACATGGGATTCATAAAAGTGGCACTTGGTGACTGTCGATGCCGATGCCATTAGGGGGTGAGGATATTTAACGCGCCGGCGACATCCTCACTCATTCGTTCTCCGCTTATATAAGAGGCCCGTTCGCCTTAAATTAGGAAGGGTGTGGCTCGCGGCCCCACTTGGCCGACACCCTCCGACCGTTGGGGTCCGGACCGGGGAGCATGACTTGCCCTTTTAGGATTTTAAACGTCGGAAGACCGGCAACTGAGAAACAATCAGAAATCAGATGAAGATGCACTATACTACTCAATAGGACTTCCAGTACGTTTAGGTGCATAAACTCTCTATTAAACCTCCTTAAACTATCGCGGAATAAGACTGTTTGAAGTATAGAGATACTCTACTAAATAGCCGCAGGGCTTGTAAATGAGAGACTGGAAGGTAGAGAGGGAGATTCTTATCCTTAAGAATTCCTGTTGTTGTTTGTCTTTTTGTATCCGGGAATCATACTATCATCCCATCATTCTCTTAATTATCTTGATGTTGATAAGAGACTGAGACTGTAGATAGCTAGCTTAGCGATGGGGGGAAGCTTTCTGGCCATCGTTGATAGTACCGTTCTCAACAGCAGCACGGTGGCCACGGGCGACGTAGCCGTAAACGGGATAGTACTGGTCGAGCCAAGGAAGGACCTCAGCAACACCAGGGGTACTACGCCAGTCGCGCATAAGGTCCATAGCAATAGAGAAAAGGGAGACAATCTGGACACCAGCAGCAGCCATACGATCGTTAGAGACGTCACGGATAAGCTCGGTATTAGTACCAGAAGCCTCAACGTTAGCCCATACGGAGTATCCCTCAGCACGTAGGGACAGAGCGAGGAAGGTAGTGCAGACGTCGGTAGTAATGCCAGCGAGGATGATCTGGGACTTGTTGGCGGCGCGGACGGCATCTCGGAACTCAGAGTTGTCCCAGGCGTCAACTTCTCCGTTACGCTTGATAAGGGGAGCAGTAGGGTGATGGTCGAGGATCTCCTGGGGGAGAGGACCATTAGGACCTTAGGCTTTATTAGTTTTGGATTTCTTGTATACCTAAAGCGGCTCTAAAATGCTTACCAGTCTGTGCAGAGGTGGTTAAAATAACAGGAAGGTTAAAGACCTTGGCCAGAGAAGAGTGGGCGAGCATTGCGTTACGGTAAAGGGTGGCATCAAAGTCGCGAGCGATATTGAAGAGACCCTCCTGCATATCAACAACAAGGAGTAACGTATCATTCTTATCAATCCTCTCAAAAGGGACAGCTAGAGTATATATATTAGTTAAGCTCCTCCTAAAAGGCGATGCTGAAAGGTGAGTGCGATTTCAAAGGAAGTGAGAATACTTACCGCTACCAACAACAGTTGAGATAAAGGCAGAAGCCGTAAGGAGAAGAGAGAACTTCATTTTGATGGACGGTAGTTGTTAGAAGCTCGGTGCTAGAGTGAGGTACTCAATTTTGTAAGCCGTTCGAGGCAAAACAACAAGGTTGAATCGTCTTTTAGGTGATGATAGAGAAAAGAAAACGGATTATGGCGAGAAATCAGTCTTCTTATATAGAAATATTTTCCAAGATGGACAATAGCTAAGATTTCACTGTTGCAAAATCATCTTAGAGTCTCATTTACTAAGGCCAGTATTCTTCAACGGGCCTTTGAACGGGCCCTTGAATAATCCACAATGCCGACTGTGCGGTGTTTCCCCCGTCGGCAATCTTCCGTTATGACAGGTAGCCAACTAAAATAAAGTTTACGGTTGCAAAAAAATTTCCCCATTCGGTAAGGTGGCGAACGAAGGTAGCTGGTCAAAGTAGAATCCTTGTTTCTGTTCAGGCAGATATTTTTCATGCTGCATGGGCATTGCATTTCCAGACTGCCTGGCGGTGGGATATTACTCTCTCTTGAGACTACAGAATATGCTCTTACAAAAAAGAATATTATGAAGTTTTCCTATACTAAGTCAGCTCATCCTGCCAGGTCTTGGTAATATCTCCAGCCTCTACGGCAGTTTAAAGAGCCATTGTTAGACGTGTCGCCTTTACCGAGCGGTCTCATGTGGAGTACTATGGTGGAACTCCGCCGATGAGGTCCACTGCCAGTCTAATGCCTTGGTATCTGGCCAAAGCCTACTCACTACACCAATTTAAGCTTAGGTACCATATGAGGTGCCTCTGTAGCCAATCTTCTACATCTTGTAGTACAGAAGAGTTCCAGAGGGTTGACCTACTCCATGTCAAAAGCGACCTCATCCTAGTTACTACAAGTTAATTCAGGTTTCTATGTCGCTGTCCAGATGATTTCTGTGCGATGCATTGGGCTCTAAGAGTCCCTCCTAGGCTTAATTATAGTACTATGTAACGCAGGATTATAATGATTTCCTAAAACTTTCTACAATACACTACTAGACTTGGAACCGACTGATGAAGAAGGAGTAATTCAAGACGATTATGTAAGCACTAGGGACCGATATCCCTAATATAGAAGGGAATGATTTCAATGTAGCTACGTAAGGCCTTTCAGCTATGTAAGCGTTTACTTAGCACGTGTGGATCGAATAGGGCGTACGACATGCGTTAGCTACTACGTAAGACTTCTGGCACCAGGGGTAAAAAGATGAAGTAGTATAAGCCTTAAGGGCATGTGGGTCGAGTAAAGCCCACCACATGCGACAACAGGTCACTGGCGGAGAAAGACTCTTCCACAAATTCTTGAGCTTTGTAATCATGTGTATGGTGGCCAAAGTAGCCTGGTGTCATCGGCATCTCCAAGATCTCGGTGCTTGTCCTGGTGTGTGGGCTTGGCTTATCTTGACGCGAAGCGAGGCTACTGGGCGTCTTCGAGGGGACCTTAACATTACTAATTTACCCAGCCCTGCTCGACCTGAGTACGCAATGCAGGTTCTGTCTCGTCGAGCATGGCAAATTGTTGGCAATGGAGCGTTTGAGTGCTAGCTTGGCTAAGGATTCTGTCAGATAAGATGGGATTTTTGCTTCGGAAAGTGAAAGTAAATCCCGCTCTATGTGGGGTCAATCCCTATCACCGATGCCGGGATCGCGCCTGATTCCTAAGCTGTGATGCTTTGTGTGTAAGCATCTGTCGGAAAGCAGGGATACTGCCCGCTTGGGGGATTAGGCACTCAAGAGGTTCTTGTGGCTGTGTGCCGTGATAGTGGGCTGTGACAGAGACTGTTGGAGTGGTAAAAGTAATTACCAAAGTGGCTCAAATGCCAAAAGTGACGGAAGTAAGACTCAAAACGTCTACAGCGAGAGGGAAAACGATTGATTGAGGCCGTATATCACCGGACTAGTAGCTGCCTCGGCCAGTCCAGGCTTTGCGTTATTTCTTTTCTTTTGTCCCCATTAGTCTCGTCACTTGCGCTTTTGCGGTCCCTTTCCCAACATGACCGAGAAGGTTGCCCAACGTTTTGGCGGCATCCACCTAGGGGTAAGAAACTTCATTTTGTCTCCATCGCTTTCAACCAAGAAATTCAACGAGGAAGCCGAAGTATTCAGCATCACTTTTTCTTCCCTAGGATGAGACATCTCTGAATGGCAGCGCTCTCTCTTTGGTTTGATGAGCCACAAGGGTAGCGTGGAGTGGCCTTCATCAAACATTTGCGTCGGTTATTGCCGGCAAAGCACTGTCAAACTTCCCCTTTCCAATCATAGATGTTACGCTTTGCGTTGGCAATAGATCGGCTGCATTGATACAAGTAAATAGGGGCCGGAAGGGAGGAGGGACTAGTACATCAAAACACCAAATAGCACTATCCCAACCATCAAGCTGAAGTTGAACATCGCTGAATTCACAGGTTCACAAAAGTTCAGCAAAACAGTACACATATGAACAAACTAAACCGTTTGCCTCGTGCAATCTTCTCAATATTCTCCCCTCAAATCAAACGTACTCGGCGTGTTGATCCATCAATAGTTTCCTCCAGGCGGCTTGTAGAAGATTATCCATTCATGTCCCATTTTGAAGCATGTCCCAGTTGTTTCTCAGCTAGATATATGGTACCGAGTCTGATGCGCCGGTGCCTTATGTGAGCCTGTTGGCTTAAGGCAGTCAGGGAACTCTACGCTGACGTGGCAGTGCATAGGGAACGTGCCGCACCCCCATTATGGCAGTTCACCTTCCTGATTTTGTCCTCATCTCCGATGGCTTTTACTTGTAGTAAAAGCTAAAAAACATGCTTACCTAGAGGTCTTAAGATACGCATATGACCGCTAAATCCTATCAAACTTCTAAGTAAGCTTGCCGCCACCTGGTCGATGTACTTTCTTAACAGTACCTAAGTCTATGTGTGAACTTGTCAGTAGGTAGTCCGCATAGAACGGTCAGCATAAGGAGTAGCTGGTGCATCATAGCTGTAGAGTTAGCTGCATCTACATCACCTGTGTGGTGAATTTTTTGGTTATCGTTGGAGGCCTCAGACCACACCTGTTGGCAGTAAGGACGAAAACACGCTTTTCAAATCGCAGCCAAATGCTGGCCACGCATGCCCGTTGAAATTCTTACAATTCCCTGACTCGTGCTGTCGGAAATCTACTCTCGAAAGATCAGTTTCATTGACCTCGTTACATTTGCGATTCACAAGACCAAGACGGTGCGACTGCATAACTATTTTGACTCCTTACAAATTCCATACCACCATTAAGATTGTCCTCCTTCCGAACATTTCCCTATGACGATAGTATAATACAAAATAAATCTACCCACTAAATTCCTCCTTCCTCCAGGAATTTGCGAAGGCTCTCGCTAAACACCTTCCCACTGACCAGATTAAGATTATTGCCTCCACCATAGCTGCCCTCGGTGACGAGAAGACGAAGGAGAAGGTCTCTCTGTCTGGGAAGAATTAGCAAGGCCGCCGAAACCAATTTGTTCGCTGCTGTTAAGATCCACGAAAAAGGCCAAACAAAGACCTGTCAACATTGCTTTGATGGGCGTACATATTCGTGTCGTAACTTTTTCGACTTATGGTCACGAAGGACACACCGAATATGCCAACCTAGTAAAAGTCATGGATACATCCAAATCCGAGCAGCGTATGGTTAGTCGTAAGAAACAGCCAATGTAGCTGGCCTCCGAGCTCATCGGGCTATCCTTTTACGGACTTTCGCCCGTGCCCCACCGTGACTCGTATTAATCACGATATCTAGAGGGATCCACGGCTAAATTTAATGCTCAATAGAGGCAAAAAATGATACTAAGAGACTCCTTAATGCGTAGAATCTTAAGCTTACGCTTCACCTACAGTATACACCCTTGCTGCTTATTCATACTTACAAAGGCTTGGGATCTGGGTGTATCGGCTTCTGCGTAACAGAATGAAGAGAAATCATAGACTCTAATAAGGCAAAATGGAAGCGCTGCCATATGATCTCACTCTGACTAGAATGTGTAGATTATGAAATTGTAAGATGAATAAATCGAGGTGTTGGTATGGAAGAGGAAGATCTGTGATGGTGTGTAGATGATAGCTCTACACCCTTATGGCACTAGGAACATCTTTAATGAGATATCTGGGGCTGGAATTGTTAAGAATACGAACAGAACGCACGCAAGGGGTTTGATGGAAATCATTATGCAGCGGGCCGAAATAGATCCTCCGGTGAAAGAGACGAGTGAGAGAATTAATGATAAAAGTCCTTGTATGCCAGTAACTTGAATTTTGCAATGAGGGCCATATTATCACTGTTCCCTCTGAGTATCTTTCTTTCATTATGCGTCAATCACTTTCTACTTCTTTGAAGTCCTTATTCTTCGTCAAAGCTGTTTTAGTCATGACTTTCGTCTTAATTGCGCTTCACTCGTTGTATCTCTATTCCGAGCTAAGCACAACAACACGCATCAACTACATCTCACCACCTACTTCACGAGCGCCTAGAGGTGGGCGATGCCTCCCGCAGTACTCTTCAGGTTTTCTTCAGAAGTTAGACTCCCTTAAGTCTTCTTGTCAACTACCATCCATACAACCTCAATGGCGCGTAACCACCGTAACAGCCCACTTCGGCAAACTTGAGAAGCATTACCAAAATGCACTACAGACGCACATCCTGCATACTATGCTTCATTCTACGAAACTTGAGGTTATGTGCGCGCCAGTAATCGATAACCTCTGGAATAAGCCTGCATTTATTCTATCCCTCCTTCTAGATGAAATGCTTAAGAGACCAGAGGAAAGAACAGACTGGATCTTCTGGGTTGACCGCGATACTCTTATCCTCGACGAATGCCGACCCGCATCCAGCTTTTTGCCGCCTGTTACCGTCGATACTCAAAGCGAAGCTTCGAAACCAGTACAACTTCTAGTAACAAATGACTGGAACGGACTGAATAACGGTATCTTTCTACTTCGGGTTGGTCATTGGGCTATCGAGCTTTTTAGTGCGATAGTCGCCTTTCGATACTATAGGCCTGACGTAGATCTTCCGTTTACTGAGCAAAGTGCTATGGAGATCTTGATGAAAGAGCCGAAATTTAGAGATGCTGTGCAAGTTGTTCCACAACATTGGTTTAATACCTATCCTGGCAGCAACGCAACCACATTTCTTTCTAGAGAGAACGAAAAAGGTCTATCCGATTACCAAGCTCGACGAGGGGATTTTCTGATTCATTTTGCGGGAATACCAGGGAAGGATAAAAGCATAGATGACTGGGTAGATATGCTTAGTGGAATGCCAGATGTGTGGAATGCAGACAAAGTACAAAGAAACGTAACTGCAGATATCGAAGCGTTCTGGGCGAAACTGATTCCTGCGGAAATTCATCCTCAACGGATATAGGCGCAGCAGTCACCTTTCATAATGAAGGATAGCATTTTAGAACAAGTGTAAGGCAAGCAAAAACCGGTATCGGGATGTAGATAAAAAAACGATCCACCATGGTGTGATTTGTTATTATTCAAACTCGAATGCGTGAATTCCAAAATTGAAAAGTTTGAATCGTGCTTAGAGTTGTCGTCGTGGACGGGTTGAGCTCCTTCGAACTCTAGATGAAGGCAACAGTGAACAAAGACGCTTCAGGGTTGGGTTTGAAACAAAAGACACAACGATGATCCTGGCTATGTCCTGTGTCTACCACTCCGCCTCGGGCCAGGCTTACAACTATTATCGAACCGACATTTCTTTTTCATGCGTCTTAGATGGCTCATGAATTTCTGCTTGTTGAATTGGGCTGTCAAGCAGCCTGACAAGCTAATCTTCCGTTTTGGCTTCGATGCCCCTCTAAAACAGGTTTTGTTAAGACCTCTCTACCTCTTTTCCCCTTTTCCTAGAGCGAAGTCAACTGACTACTAGATAATGGTCCAGCCATCTCAGGATTTTTGGCAGAATAATTGCGCTATTTGACGGCAATATGGGCTCTTTGGGAAAGACTTTTTTTCATTTTTTTTTTTCCCTAACTCATGATCTAATGCAGGGATATCCAGCTGCAGTACAGTCGAGTGGGAAGTCGGAGTACAACCGGGCTGAAAGGAAGGGCTCAACCCTTGCCGCCACGTCGTATTGAACAGTAATACGAAACCTTCTCCACTACCTCTTGTGGCATGCTTCGTTAGCTCAACAGGCTGCTACCAGGTGGCTGTTTTGAGTGTATGACCTTGGCAATAGTGTAACGTCACATGAGGCAATAGGTTATTTCTTCACCGCTGATTCATGTGACAATATGAACTGGAGCAGTAATCGTCCCATAGTCTCACTCACTGGAAACAACTCATTCACAATCATGTTTATCTAAGAAGGCAATACAAGGTTAGTTTCGATATTCGCTGGATTTTTCCATGTTAAGAAACAAAGTCCGAGCTACCGAAACGCAGCGACCTTCTCCCCCCCTTAGTGCGGTATGCAACGATGCCATATCTCGCCCAACCGGAAATATATCTCCAGGTGTATATATCTTTAAAACAAATAAGGGCAGGATGCCTCATAAGAAAAGGCTGAAAAGACAGCTACAACACTCTCGTACACTATCCCAAGAGCCAAGGATGTTCATTGTGCGTCAATAATCGCTGGTCCAAAACGATACCTCCAGGCTGTTGGAAAAGTAGGCCTCACGTCAGATGTGACCACTTTAGATGATTTGCATGAAGCTTAAAATTTGTTGTATAGCCTTCAGCGATTTTAGTAAGATGGAGGTCCAAAATTTGATAGATTTTTGATATTGGAGCTTTGTTGTCAATAAGATGAAGTCATATGTCGCTTTTACCATTCTGCATACGAAACCATCTTTGGCGGTGTTGATAATGGCTGTCAAATCATTCACAGCGTTCATTTCAAACTTTGCTCTAGCATGATGTACAATCAGGAACACTATATGCTCCAAGGGTCGCTATTTTGCAGGTGTGGTTTGAAGTTATGATCTGGCGTGTGTTCTTGTGATGGTAACTGAGTGTCTAATTAAACACAGGCCAGCAGGTCAAGGCGGAAGGCATCCAGATCGATTGTTTTCGTGCACTACAAAGGGACAGTCCCTAGGATAGAACGATATCATCCTCGACCATCTCGACGGGTTGATAATCTATATTCACAGATACGTCACTGTGCTTTTTGTCGCCATCCACAGTCACAATGCATCGGAGAAAAGGGCCTGATGGAAAATTGTAAGCCAAGGAGTCCCTAACAGAAAATAGTGCTATGGATAGTTTTAAGGAGCAGACTGCGCATGTTGTTGGTGTTGTGAACCCGTAAATTGGGGAGGCATCGGCGCAATGCCCAGAGTACTTGTCAGTGTTTGAGACCCATAACAAAGCGATGAATCCGCAGGTCCGCAGTAGGGACTCACATAGACGATAATTACGGCAGCTCGTTATTTGATAGGGCAATTTTTCTTCTCTGGCATCATGGCAGTGTAGAATGACGCGATGCACCAAAGACAACGTATACGGCAACTCAAACATCCTGGTCACCACAGGAGGCGACACCTACCTCAATTTCTGCTTCTAGACCCTCACTAAAGCCCCACCACTCTTGATTTGCTGGTCATCTGCCCCTGAGGAACGCGTGGCTTTGAGACGGCCAATCTGCATGATTACATCCTCAAGACCAAGATGGTGGGCAAGAAGCTCATCATGCGGACATAGGGCGCATGCTACACGGCAGCACCGAAAAACGAGTGCAACAACGGTCGTCCGCTAGACGAAGCGGCCGGGGACGCCAACACTAGAGCATGAGCTCCCAGCCTCAACGCAGCGGGCATCCCGTGGTTTCACTGGCAAATCGTGCCGAATGCCGATCCGCACTGCTGGTGGGATTATGAAGTGGGTATCGAGGATGAGGGTTGGGGGCGCACTGAGTGAGGTGGCTCCCACAGCAGGGACACGCGGAAGGTGCATTTGGCTTTGTGAGATAGGTAGCTGTTATAAGATGGTAGTGGCTGTGAGTCATCGTCGAAGTCGCTGTTCAGTCTCATGACACGAGTGAAAATTACTAATTTCGTAGTGTTATTACAAATGAACACAATATTCTAATGTAGAATCGGGCTGTTACACCATAAATAGGTACACCTTCAAGCCGATAGAGATGCATAAATGCATTTATTCGCTTTCCAGACCCAGAGCCGGATTAGGATTAGTCAGATCCGTCATGTCTTTGTCATCGATATCAGCTAATGTCAAACCGGACATATCGGACACCAGGTGGGCAATGTCGTCGTCCGTTGATCGCGTAGTCCCGTTTGTAGGTTTGAAACTGTTGATGCAAACCTTGTCATTGCATCGTACAACCAAAAATGTCGACTGTGCGCGGAGCACCCCGCCAATCACGCAGTTCCCATTGACACCGAAGACCGAGAGTGAGTCTGCTACTTCGTTATGCTACCTTCTCATAACCGCAAAACGCAAGGGGATATTTACCTAACTAATGTCAATTCGGCCCACTGAATTATGACAGAGTTGAGAATTGGAGGCAGAATTTGTGGATAGCCTAATGACAGCTCAACGAACGATCAAGACCAGGCGACACTGCCAAAGCAACACAGGGAGCATGTTTACATAGTATGGTGCATCAACACCGTTACAGTCACAGTGAGAGGCCACAAAGCAATTGTTCCATTAAACAGCTATAGCTACAGACCAAAGTAACATATTACACTCCTACGGTAAATAATTAAATGCTCAGCTGCCTCTGGCCTACTCCAAAACCATTTGTAATAACAGTGAGGCTTTCGCGTGCTCTTTTCTATGAGTTTAGTCTATCACCCTTTCAGTTACTAGGAGACTTCTAATAAAGCAATAATAAAGCATTAAAGTAACAACTGAATCGGCCAACTTCTCTTCACCATGATTCATCGCTCATCCTTCACCTTTTACTTTAGTCATGCAGCCCACTTCTGCGCCATCCCTGTGTCGCCTTCGCTTATAGGTCGGGCTCCACGCTCTAGATCCTCACGGGAAGTGCCAAACCTCTCCCAAGGACAATCTAAAGCACCACCGTCAATACTATTAATAATAAGATAATCGAGATCTACATCTACTACAGAACACTGTTTCTCTATTGCCACTTTAGCAGACAATGCGGCGAAGGGCTTGTATACTCTCTGTATGAAGGACGATGTTCCCCTGACACACTGCTCGAGGCTTAACATTCCTTGGATTAACGGCCTGGAGATACCGTCACAAGTAAAGTTAAAAGTCATGAGCAAGGTCAACTGTCTTATGATACTTAACACGTTGATAATCCATCGTCTTGTGCTTGAGTACAAAGTCGGCCGATTCCTAGTACGCACCGGCTCTACCCTCGTTATATTCATAATACTGATTTTCATCCTTGATCTTACAGTTGAGATTCCTAAAATCCATCCTATTCATCGGCGCAGAATAGATGGAAAAAGCTGAATAGAATACAACGCACTATAGAATATATCGCACGCTACGTTAAAGATGCCATACTGGTTATCTCGACAACTAGAGACGTGAGTGAAGGGATAATAACCTAAAATAGTTTGTCCCCAGAGTCGGCTCCGACTGCTCGATAACAGAATTAGGCGGTATGTGTATAAAACCCGCATCGTTGAACATAAAATCGACTATGATTTCCTGTCAAAGAAGCTTTCGAGCGACTTGCAAAATCTGGATCAGATCATCGAGTTCGAGGTCGAAGAAGAGAAGAAAGCCGGTCGATAATGGATGCAGCTGACAAATAGACTCGTTAGCAACCGATGCTTCAGACTCATTGCGCACGGCGAGATAGACTTCGGCATTTTTCGAGTACAATATCGCTGGAAGCTCTTCACCAATATTTGTGTTGGAAACTGTGAACGTAGATCTTGATTAATTAGTTTTTATCCGAGACATTTCGTCAAGCCTTACGAAATCTTTTACCGGCAAAGCCTTTAAGATCTGTCTCAGTGAGAGTTGTTGCTGGTGTTCTAGCTGATCAAAGGTTTGGATACCAAAATCAAGTAGTCCGAGATGGAGAAATGCCCGTGAACTGATCGGAATCAAGTGAGTGTGCGGGATGTTGATAGTTAATTGGTAGGCACAATGGTAACTAGCAATTAGCAATGAGCTGATTCGCGGCAAGCCCGTCTCGATCGATTTGCAGTTTGGCTTCAAAAGGTGTCCGAGGGTTCGTTGCCTCCGTATCAGCCTCGGCATAAATCATTCGTTTCTTAAAATGAAGTCTTATTTAAATTGCAGTAGTCTAGTTAAACTTGAAAGATTTTGGTTAGTCGGTCGGTCTATGGAAATTACCACAATAGTTTATGCTTCTGAACTTCTAGGGGTAGTCATGACTTAACTAATGCATGACAACCATTTATTGCGGATTTAAGCCTGATAAGGTGCCGAAATGCGGCCTTTATTACAAAGTAGGTCGGATCCATAGGACGACCGATCCGTCGGGTGTAGTGTTTGAAACTGGCCGGTTGTCCAAAACTAAAGGTAGGTATCGCGGTACTCCTTAAAATAATTAGCTAAGCGACTACGCGACTCGCTTGAAAAACTCGACCACCGCTGTGAATAGGCGTAACGGGTGTCGCACAGAACCGTTGCGTTGAATCTAGCCCCATCCTATCCTTAGGGCAGAAGTCAACTTTATTCTGTAAACATTTAGCAGCGGTAAATGTCTTGAATGCCAAGGAAACTTTCAAGCAGATTAAGAAAACTAAGAAAGGTTACAGCAAGTTTCTCACTTACAACTCATACTAGCCTTGGTAGGTTACGAACCAGAACTAGCCAGACATGCTTGTAATGGAAGGCTCCGCCTATTCTATCTCTTAGCACGGCAATTGCTTTCCATAAATTTGAACTTTTCGCACAAGGATGGGTCGCAGTGCTTCTTCTTGCCCTCGAACCCGCAAGCAATTGATCCTATCATTATTCCATCAGTATTTCAACAATCCTACGAGTAAAGTTGGCCATGAGAATCCCTTGTTCACCCAAATTGTGGCGCATAGTGTGCCTATCCTAAGTGAACTGGGGCGCCTTGGCTCGAGGGAGGCTCTTCGTGCTCCCTCGAGGGTCTTACAACGATGTAGTTAGGCTCACAGCTCTAGGAGACGATCTTTTCGATCCACGTAATCCAGTACGAGACGTGATACTTGCCGCTATGGGTGACCGTATTTTACTGTACCAAAGAGTACTGAACAACGGGGCCATGGACTCAGGGCTAAGATCGGCGCTCCTTCCTAATAGACGAGGAACCCTACTTTTTATCATTATAGCCAACGCGGGTAGACTTGATGGGCTTTCCATGGAAACAAAGTCTATAATGGCAATGGCATCAGCCTGGACATTGGACCATAACATGATTAAAATAATTTCTTGCAAATCACCAGTTTTGCTAGTGCCCAATGGGTAGTGGGGAAGCGAGACTTATGTAGAGACCGTGGAAGCTGAGAAAATTCCGTACACTTCGCAGCAATCGCAGTTTCATCCTTCATTAGACACCGAGTCTCTTGTTTTTGACGGTGATGATGCATCCTGGACTGGGTCATTGAGATTGCTCCCTTAAATGACGCACCAGTTCCATTAAATTTTCCATTAATCCCCTTAATTGCCACATCTGATTACTGCGCCGCCTGTGGCCTCGTAATAAAGCAATGCCAAAGAAGTACGGTTTCCGAACTTGCCGGTAATATGAATGTTGAGGGGCCATCAATGTATAGAGCCTAGAAGCCATCTTGGCCGCGGTTTTTCCATCAGTCTTGTATGTTATCGATCGTAACATGTACGATGTCTGAGGCCCCATTTGTACAATAGTTGATATAGTTCTATGGGACTCGTAAATATTTAGACGGATTATGAGGTAAAATTTTCAGGTAGTTATTCTCTAGATAGCGACGCCCAGAGGCTAAACTGTGCGCACCTCATCATAACTCACCTCTAGGACCACGTCTATTCGTTCCTGAAGACATCGCGCGACTTTTACGAATGATTTCTCGAAGTTATCAAATTCAAGCCGTCGTACTTTCACCTTTATCGGGCTTTATCATATTGAACTTACGGAGGAACTAGACCGGATTTCTACCAAGGTGAGCAGCATCAAACAAATTTGTATTTCAGGGTCTTGTTTCATTGGTAGTCCCATATTCAAGTATTGATGCTGTATTCCCAATCGGCTGTCCATCAATGTAAATTTTGTGCAGGTGATCGATCTGCGCTGTCTTTATTTATCATTTATCATTAATGTTGTGCAAGCTCTCCTCTACCGTGCGTTTGCAAAACACTGCGTTGTGTCATATAAGACAGCGGCTTTAGAAGGAGTATTGTATGTTGGCGAGGTTCGGTTTCATGACTAGGTCTTATACGGTGTAAGCCGGCAACGCATTATGGTTGGCCCGATGTTGTGGCTCACTTCGAAACGAGCAAAGGGTTGGGGTTGATGTTCAAATGAGAGTGGGCAGTGAGTGCCTTTTCGGAGGATTTTGACTACATAGATGAGTCTGATATGAATCATGTAAGTGGATGGGCACAGACTCGACAGGGGTTCCACTATTAACACCCAATGCAATTTTTGTATTGTGTGGATAACAGTGGGACCCTGGCAACACTAACGTAAGGAATGCTTGGGGATGTATCCCATCGACCGCGGCATGACCCCATTTTCGCCAAGGGAGGGGTGAAGCCAATCAAGGCATATATGGCTGCCAGATTCGTTAACTTATGTACTTAATATTTCAGTACAGAATTTCTAGTAAAATTCTAGTGTACTAGAAGTACTCGCTACTTCTCATGGAGCCTGACAATTCAGATGAAAATGTTATGTTTTCAATGTATCTATTGTAATGCGGAGTAAAAATGGCTCTAAAAGTAGAAACTTGAGGACTTGGTGAAAATGGGGTCAAACCGCGGTCGATGGCATAGTCGTCTGTATACAACGGACATACGGACAACAGGAGGCTCTTAGACCCATCAACGTGAGACGCTCTCCGCTGCTGTCAGTTGCAGACCCGGTCCCCGTTGTCGAATAAACCTCACGAGGACTGATGTCTCTGCCACTGGGCTGGCTTATGGCATTTTGAGTCAGCTCTGTCAACCTCTGTATGTCGTCATGGCTTGGAATTATTCCGACACGAAAAAGAGAGAGAGAGAGAGAGAGAGAGAGAGAGAGAGATACTTTGGACTGTGGCATACTGTGTAATGCTCGCCGTAGACATCTAAATGCCGTACTGAGTGTGCTCTTCGGTGCAATAACTTACTAGGGTGCTCCTGAGAGAAACCCTCCGACATCTGTATCCTGGTAGACCGACGCCTGCTCAAATTCGAGGCTTTGTAATAGATAGCCTGAGCTTACGAAAAAAGAACCTTGAAGTTAAATCATGAATCTGAGGGTAGAAGAGGAGAGGGGATAACGCCTTTTTCGAAGGCAGCTGTTGAGTTCTGCCATAAATGTGATAAAAATCAGTGGAGCCAGACCTAGGATGCATGACCCATTATGGAGCTTACGGATTCCGGTCGAGATGAAATCGTGGCCCACTACCTCCTTTTTTTTTCGTTTCCATTCCCTTGGAAACTGGGTTGATCATTGTCTCCCCACATGCAATACTTCACAGTAGCATTTCCGTTCGGGCTAGGTATTGGGTACAACTCGTAATATGCCGGAAGATAAGATCGAAGGCTTACATGGGACAATGAGGTCATAATGCAATGACGACTGTCCGCAACCACTCGCCGTGCTGCACTTAGAAGCTCAGAAAACTCAGCAAATGGGACTAGAGGAATCTATTGATTTAGGTCCATTAGCTAAGGACAACTCCTACCCATGGTCGTCAGCAAGCCCTCCACAGAGCTTCTGCATCTCAGTACCATGACGTCCACGTCTATAAACATCCTTTGTTCCGCGATGCGACGTTTGTTTCCCATCGCCAGCCGTTACTCATTAATTCTCTAGTTGTCCCGTTCTACAGTCCAAAAACCCGACCTTACCGTTGCCAAAGGAAGATGGTTGCCCTAATCAATCGTCAAGCCCTGTGGCTTGCTAGCCTGTAAGTATATCTCTTCGGGGGGTGACGTAAATATATTGATGTGTGATAGCTCTGCCCAAATCTTTATTCCTCAAGTTTCTGGTATTCCGACCCATGCCAACCGAGGACTAGACTTGCTCGAGCGATCCATTCCCACATATCAATCCCTCAACTACACAGACGTCGCCCTAAACACACAGAGTATCCGTTGGTACATTATAAGCAGCAAGCTCGAAAACCAGTCGGACCAAGAATTTCAGTGTCAGTTCGAGACGTCAGTACTATCTCTTACGCAAGTGAACACCTACTAATGCTTCTTGAGTTTGCATGCCAAGGACACAGAGGAATCAGCTCTCTCTTTCAGTGGGCGCCCATTGACTCAGTACTGGCAGGGTGTGCACTACCGTGAGCAGATCAATGATTCTGATTTGGCAGCCTGGAATGATGCATACGCTCCATTTGTGTGTAAAATGCTCTCAGTCCAGTATTCTCGAACTGACGACTCCATAGACCTCATGGACTCCAATGCTCAAGGCCTACCAGCCAGTTTCGCTGGCACGCCACGTATGGTCCAGCCTCGAAGCTATCAACAAGTCTAACCATGATCAGTCATATCTGAACACTACGGGACAGGTTTTAAATTCTGAAACAACACAGTGAACCATACTGACTGGGTCAATAGCACGCCTTTGCTCTGCCGGAGTACGTTGCGCTCCTAACGCCCCTCGCAAGACTGGCTTGGAACAATGCGACCTTCAGCTTCGAGGACAACCCGAGGCCAAACAACGACTCTCATATCCATGTTGCGCTCTTCCTAGGTGATTCATCGGACGGCGCTGGCCACCAGACTATCTACCAGACTATGGAGGTTCGTCGTGCCTATGTAGAGTCCGTCTTGCGCCAGAAGCCTTTCCTTGCCAACGGCCTCCTAAATTTCGTCCAGTGTGGCAAGTCCCCGTTGGTTGGGTGAGTGCGCGGAAAGTCCTCGATTCTAAAGACCCTCTACTCACGGGAAATAGGTCTAAACCCTTGGATGTACTAGGTCCTGTCTTTAAGGGTAGTCTTTTCGAAAACGCTACAGCGTGGCAGCATGTCGCCGCCGAGGACTACTTTTTCTCCGACGCTGCCTCGGCGTCGAACTTTTTCAAAAATCTGCCCGAGCTCAGGAACCTACTATGGGAAGGCTCTTCAGGCTCTTACGCTTTTGCCACAAAGGTTCACCTGGTTTTCAACTGGCTTGACGAACTTTAAGTTTTCAGTCGGTCGTCATTTTAGGGAGAGGTTACTTTATGATTTACCAAGGATATCCGGCTTTGTGGGCCATATTTTATGCGATAGTCACATCTTTATGATGCACTGAAGCATATCCAATAACCCCATTGCCAAAGAGCGGCTAGAATATTTCTACGAAGTAGACTGCAATTTATTCCTATGGACTGACTGCAACCTAGTGTGGACCATGTGCACCCGACCGGGTGAATATATATCTACTACGTGTCTAATGTGTGGCCGAGGAGCTTTTCATCTACTCAGGTTGCAGATTTCAAGTGCGATTTCGTGATTAAGTGTGAAGCAACAGGCATGCGGTGATGGATCAATCTACATGCTACAGTATGCAGGCATAAGCTCGCCGAGCCTGGTTTTGAGGGACTGACCTAAGCTAGTGATGCCAGAAGGTTGACCTCGGACGACTATTTCCGTGCAGGAGGAGAGTCTGGAAATGCTGCGGTTTTAAAATTTCAGTTCCGGTCATGTCGGCGCTTCAAATGCCAACAAGTCGTCCGGAAGAAGGCATCCCAATGTGAGAACAGCCTAATATGCGGGCGATACGCCAAGGAGGGCCACCCCAATAAGGGCTGCCGCGAGACAGTACTCAAACACGATCCCTACGGTGGTCCGCACGGATCCTTCAGCAAGAAGTTTCCGAAGCTCTACCCGTCTTTGTATACGTAGGAAATTTCAGATTCTCCAACTGAATATAAGAAAACAGGATACAGTGCACTATATTTGAATCAATGACGAGCAACTGCCGGTTCTCACAGTCATGACGATGCAGAAACCATGGGCATAGAAGAGAGAGGACATGTTCTCGACAATGCCGATGTGGAATAGTAGTTGGATTAGGATCGTCCTAACGTTTTACGACCTGTTATGCCTTTCCCTGGGAGAGATCTTCTATTCTGTCTCTTGACAGCCTATTGTTGAGGAAGAAAGACGCTCTAAATGAGCCTGCCGCTTTTTGATTAGTTGTTACGGCCAGCTAGTGACAGCAGGGCTCCTGCTAACAGAAGCTCCTAACATAAGCTGAGGTAACGAAACTGATAAGGCGACAACGTCGTTTCACTAATGCAATAGGTCTGTAGATCAAGGTTTAAAGTAAGGTAGTTAATCTTATGCTTATATAACGAAGTATTAAGATTATAAATTTCAACCCTTTCCAGTCAAGATGTTGTAGCGGCATATAACTAAAGTCGATGTCACGTATGTAATGCTATTCAAAGTAAGGACTACATAGCCCTTGAGGCAAGATACCTTAATCGCCAGCCTCAATGACACAATCACATGCAATATCAATTATTTAAAACTTAAACCGTAAGGTACCTCGTCTGCGTTTGCCTCGATCCTGTCGTAGCAATAATTACATTGACTGACTACAATGTCTCTAAATGGATTCTGTAACTACTGTTGATATGCAGAGAAGAAGTCTTTCATTTTTAAGTAACGAATTTCTTATAGTAGTAAAGCCTAAGTTTCAAGCGTGCAAGAATATGGTACTAATGTATGTGGTATATTTGTGCAATATCAAGAGCTTTGGATACCACCTATGATCGAAATCATCATTGTATTTATTATATTCGACAGTCTGTTCAATTCGAGCATTCTCCCTAGTATAGTCCTGTTAATTGAGAGGAAAGGTTTCGGAGCTTAGCAAGACTATATCATTAAGGAAATTTTCGGATCTATCGAAACCGAAAATTTCGAAATCCGACAGCAAATTATCCAAATTCTTCTCGAGCGAGATACTTTGCTTCAGTACACCAAGTTCTTTTTTGCGTAGTTTCTGAGACCTAAATATTGGAAGAAGCTGCCAAATCGCCGTAACATAAGAAGAGACTAGATGTTAAAAGCTACTTTAGTGCAAGTGTTGGGATTATAGGAGCACCCGTAAAGAGGAAGGACTGAGGGGAACACTGTTGCATTATCTTGTGTCTGATTTATATGGGAGAAGTTCCACCAGAAGTGCCGGAGTAGGTGATTGCATGAACTCATAGCCATCTAGCGGACTGCCCGTCACGTGGGCAGCCCTGATATCGGCAGGTCTACTGGCGACGGAGCCACTTCAAGTTGGAGTTCCGGCTATTCCAACAGTAAGGGCTGAAGTCGAAATTGTTGCCGTCCGTAACATTATAACACGTGGCTAATGTAATGAAAGACGTAATCAAAATATAATTTTCATCGATTAGACTACAACGCTAGAGAAGTACGTGCCATGAGGCACCCATTATCTCATTTCTATTGCTCAATAGGTCTCAAGTTTTCCGTGGTCCGCCTCGACCCTCATAACACCGTTTGCCCAATAAAACAAGCAATAGCAAATGATGGCGTCTGGAGCTTCTACCTGTACTCTCAGGCATGACTACGGTAGCGTTTTGACTATGCCAATAGTAATACTCTATCTATCATTTCAATTTCAATCCTCCGCATATCTCTGTTTCAAGAACAGCAAGGAATCAGAACCCTAAGCCTTGCATACAAGAGAACACCTAAAATGCTGACCATGTTAAAAAGCAAAGCACGTTGCATCACTTTAGAGTCTATCAAACGATTTCCAAAAACTTTGAAAATTATTAATGAAAATAAAGCCAGAAAACATATAGTCTCCGTATTAAGAACCTAGTCTTTCTCAAGCATTCAACTATAGATGTCGCATCTGACCATCTTCACATTAGGCAGTTCATACATTTTGACTTTTGTGACGATAGTGTCAACGCTCACCGAACACACCGAGCTAGATGTGTTTTACGTAAGCCATATGAAACGCACACCGTAGGCGTTCAAGTACGCGCTTCCTCACGACTCATACCCTCTTTCTAAATCAAGTCACTCTTTTACACCTTTTCTAGCCTGATTGCTATGTGCCTAGTTCGTCACAACTTTGGAGCTCTAAGTAATGACCATAGGTTTGAATGTTGTAAACACAAGATTGTCAACTGTAAGTCGCCGACTTTGAAAATTCATCATTTGATTGTGACTACGGGCTAATAGTAAAATGAGGCTGTTTACCGACGTTAGCAGCTGTTTTTTCATAATTATTTGTGTATACTACCTATCAATCTTCTGAAGAGAAGACAGGAATCGGCGGAAAATGTTTTTAGAAGTGCCCTTGAGCATGCTAAAACAAAATGGTGATAGTAGAGTCCCAGCGACAGTTCGCTCCTTTCCATACAGAAAGGCGGCCTAGTAACTAACTTTATAATAATAATAAGAATATATATATATATATTAGCTACCTTACGCCTAAAGATATTTTTGACCTCTTTGGTAGGCCAAGGCAACCATCTGGAACTAGAAAAGGAGACAACAAATGATCCAACCTAATAGCATCTCACGGCGCATTTACTAAGAACTCCCTTTGGATGGATCTAAATATCGGTAAGCCATTTTAGATGTTTGCTTTTTAACCGGCCGTAGTGCGGGTGACCTTCTGTGACCTGCTATGCAAGGTGGCATACCTCAAAGCAGTTAAAGGGGCATGATTTGTTGACCTGTTGATCATGTGAGTGGGCTCTTACGGATTGGGTTACCCCTCCTCTTGGCACGGAAGCCACTTTGATGGGCACCCACAAGCTTGATTTACTCCCCTAGAAAAGCGGGATAGAACAAACAAGAACTTCGAAAAGGCTAGAGAGAATATCATGTGGCGATGCGACGAAATTAGCCACCGCTACCCAGCTGACGTCTATGTATAGTTACAACGAAAGCACAAACACTACATATACAGCTCTATTGATGATCCATCGCGGCCGATGCCGAGAGCTGAATTGGTACGCGAACCATCCCTACCTGGCTTTTCCGGCTGACTTATGAAAAGGAGGAAGTCTATTATTATTATTTGCCCATGAAAAAGTCTCCGGCTAGTTTTGTTCGTCGCGGAATGCAATCAAGACGCAAACTTTTCGCTGAGAAGCAGGTCATCCTGAACGAGCTAATTCGCATGATAGCTATAGCTTAAATTAGGGAATACTTTTGGTAGGAAGTATTAGGATATATGCTTTTTGGATACGCTTTGATGGATTCACTTTGCGGAATATTCTTTGGCGTATGTATGTTACGGCCAGCTAACTGACAGTGGGTTTGTGTTAACAGTAAGCCAGGGATTGAGAGTAGTAACAGTCGTTCCGTGGTCCTGGTCGAATAGATCGTAGATCTTCAAAGGTCTTGGTGATCAGTCAAGGCCTCAACAAGAGTCGTAGAGTAGTCGTCACTTAGGTATAGCTGAAAGTACCGGTTAGGGTAATCACGAAGTTGATTGCTGAAGAACTAGGAAAGGTAGGACTCGAGAGGACTCGAGTCCCAACTATATACAAGTCTGGTTCCATGCTGAACACTTCCTGATCCTGGGGGACCGACACCCAGGACGTCGGTCCATCGCCATGGACCGCCCTTGGCACCGTCGGTCCTGTCCCAGGACCGCTTATCGTCCGTCGGTCCTGCTTATCGTCACGTGACCTGTATCCTAGTTCTTCCGTTCCGTGGGGGTTGTTACGACGTAACGGCTGACGGCCGTCCCTATAACCGCTGAGCCCCTGCGGGGTCGTCGTCAGTGGTCTGTTAACTGTCGGGTCGTAACAAAAGGACCCACATAGTAACCATGTCCTGAGGCTTAGTAGTGATCTTTGGATAGTTGCATAATATGGGTATAGTAAGCTTCTACCTTGCATTCAGCTACAATGGTAAGGAGAACACAATATTGGGGAAAGAAAACAGTATGCTTTGGGGTTCGAACGCCTATAATATAAATTAGAGGACACTAGTATGGATTCACATACTGTGTAGTTAGTGGTAGGTTATTTCCTATATCCCTAACACTATTAGCATTAAAGACAACAACGAAAGCATTTAGAGTTCAGATGCGTCTCCTGGATATTAGATGATATTGAACTTAATTTGCTACCTTCGGTTAATTAATGTAGCTTACGACGGCTGTTCAACCATAAATTCTAGGGCTCCTTATCAAATTAACAGTTTTG